AAAAAAAAAAAAAAAAAATTGTCGAACAGGAAAATATCACCTGGGTGAAGTCGTTTTTTTTTTTCCAAAAAAGTGAGACTTGATGGCCAAGTTTATAGAAGGCATCGTGCTAATAAACAAGCAACTTCCTTGTGAAACGCGAGGATCGGCGGTTCGATCCCGCCAGAGACCATAATTTTTTGCCCTGTTTTTTTTATAAAATAATATTAAAAAAAAGTACAATACAGCTAAATTTTTTTTTTTTTTAGATGAACTTATCAACTTTGTTATATTTTTGAAGGTATTGTTTATTTTTTTTCTCTTCTTCTTATAATTGTAATTTTCATATACTTTTTAAATGATTCTAATGTTTAGTATGAGTATCAAATAATAACAACAAATATTATTAATTTTTTTTTCATTATAGACAGATTACAAACTTTTATGAAATTTTTATTTTTTTTTTTTTTTGGAAACTTTTGAATGTCTATTAAGCGATGATACTAGTACTTTTTTTTTCAGCGGCTTCTTTCTTTTTTTTTTATTTATTTATTTATTTAGTTATTTTTATCTAATTCAATATTTAGGTCTAGACAAGTATCAAGTAAATAATGTTGTGTGCCTTAATACAAATGAAAAAAAGTGCAGACCAAATGAAAAAAAAAAAAAAGGTTGTAGTGTTTAATTTAATAATATAAACTGCAGACATTATTAACATCAAGCTGCAACTTTCAGGTACACAACTTTTAAACGTTATGGTTTATCTATTTGACACTTTCTTTTCCTCTTTTTTTTTTTTTAATGGTTATTTTTTTTTTCTGTTTTTTCTTTTTACTTTTTAATGCCGGAATACCCCCTTAAAACAAATTTCATGGACGTCTGTTTACTGGTGGCACATGTGCGTAACAGCTGCAGGAGGTGTAAAACGTCTTTCTTGCGCCAGTAACAAAGAACAAAGAACAACTAAAAAAAAAAAAAAATAAAGTCTACCATATGAAACCAGAGAGGGGGACCCTTAATAATCTTTGTAGAGCCCAGTTATGCTACTTATATGCTACAAAATCAGGACCTTGTTATCATAGTCCTAAAGTTAAGGTCTTAGGAAGCTTGAAAAGTGATAAAGTATCAAGTTGATTGTAAAAAATGTTAAACTCATTTTTTTTTTGTCTTGTCGGCTAATTCAAAAGTTTATGAATTAACCGATACCTTTATCTCTCTCTATCTATATTGAAAGTTAAGTCATGTTTACTGTTTCTCACTCGGACCATGATTAGAAATATTCCTCAATGTTCCGTTATTTAATTTTATGATTTTTTTTTTTAAAAAGAAAAAAAAAAAGGTATTCATAGAACTGACATCAATTAAATGTGCGCACCGCCTGTTAGTTTATTTATAACCTTTAATTTCCCATGGCAAATTGTTAATAAGAATAATTATTCAATTAATTTATATATATATATATATATATATATATATATTTGTATAAATTTCAAAATAATAATAATAATAATAATAAAGCTAATTATAATAAAATCACGTCTACTACGCGTTTCTGGATAAATCTGGAGATTTGTCTAACTATGAAAAGCTCAAATTTTTAGTAGCCGCCAATTATTATTTTAAAATTAATACAAAAAAATAAATCAATAAAATTTATTTTCTCTTTAGAAATACGCAAAAAAAAAATAAAAATCCAAAGTAGGTTATTTTTTTTATTATGTCCTCTATTTATAGGTCCCACAAGCAAGTTAAAAAAAATTTATGACGACACTAAATATATATATTTTTTTCTTTTATTACTTTGAACTTTAGGCTTAAGTACTGGATAATAATATCTCATTATAAAAACTAGGTTCCACCCAGTTTAAAGTGATAATAAAGATTTGTTTGCTTTGTAGTTGAATCTTATTTATATTTAATTTTTTTTTCATAATATTAATTTTATTTTTATCGGATAATTGAATTGCAATTCACCATATTCAAACAAATTGAGGGCTGGTTTCAATCAGTTTGATAAATAATGATATCTTTTATTCTACGCCTTCGTATTCAAGTGAAGAATATATTTTTATCATCAGATTAAAAAAGTTAATAAACAAACGTGAGACTAATAGTGACGTTGACAAACGTAGATTATAAGAACTTATAATTCACAGGAACTAAGATTTACACGTATTTTGATGTCGTCGTGAAGATTATCTGCACATTATTATTGATTTGCTTCAAGAACCTCCTTTTTGTTAAGTTTAGTTTGAATAAGTAAAAAAAAAAAAATTAAAGACAAACAATTTTGAAAAAAAAAAGAAACGTAAGAAATACAATTTATACGTCATTTCAAACACTTTTGAGAAGAAAGTATATATTAGAACACAATTCTAGAAAGTGCAAACAATTGGGCTTCAATGGACAAAGCTTAAAAAACTTTTGAATATGTAATGTTAATGGTTTATTAGAATAACCGGTCATATAATAATTTAAGTAATTATCCAAATAATATATTTTTTGTAATCTCTATTTCTATTTATTTATAGAATTGTATTTTTTTTAGTCAGTCTATCAAGCCATTGAATTAGTAAACATGGAGGCTGGTTTATATCTATTGTAAAAATTGGTTTTTACATTAACAAAACCATTGTTTTATTTTTTTTAAAAATAAAATAAAATTATTCTGGTTTTCTTACAAAGTCAATGCTCAATTCTTATGAATTAACTCAATGACTTGATTCTTTTCCTTACACCATGGATAAATATACTAATATCATTTTACTATTAAAATCCAATTTTTTTTTTCGCTTTTCTTAACAAAATTATTCTTAATCGCGTATTTCTATTTTGGGGGTTTTGATGCTCAAAATTCTTTATATATGCCATCTTTTATCATTCATCATCGCGTATTTCTGTTCTGGGCTCATTGCTTCAATAGGTGCGGCGCTATTTTTTTTTTCTTTTTTGACGCGAATAATCATATATATATATATAAAAGGGAGATAATATTTATTTAATTAGGACTAGGCAGTGAAAAGACGTTTGTAACTACGCCAAAACCCACGTAGATTTCTTTCTATCTTTTAAAAAAAACAGACAATTAAATTTCAAAAATACCAGTCTTTTTTTTTTATCTAAGTTTTAATTACTTTATTTTAACCTGTGTAAAAGATTTTTATTATTATTTTTTTTTTAAAATATATATTTAGGTCCACGCCTTTGCAAACATTACAAAAATAATATTATTATCTCGACAAAGGAGCACTCCCTAAAAAAAAAACGGATTTCTCACAATAACTTTTCAAACCTTGACTTTCATATCAACTTCTGAAATAATAAATTTAAATACATTTTTATATATATTTATACGTATAAAATAACAGTATACTGTTATTTTATTATTAACTATTAAATTTTCATGAACTTTTTTTCCCCCAAATTTCCACGTGTAGGTGTTTTTTTTAAATCTATAAAAAAAAAAAAAACTCAGCTGCTCGCTCGTGAACTTTTATTTTTTCCCTATCTTTTCACAACTTTTTTGTGGTTATTTTACTTATGATTAAAATAACTAATTGCTTCTTTCAATGGAATTAAATGATTATTATTATTATTCTCTTTATTTAAATAATCAATCTCTGTGTTTTAAAGTCTTTGTGTTGAGTCTCTTTGATGGAAATGTCAAACTTTTTTATTTTATTTTATTTTATTTATTTTTTTTTTTGTTCCTTGTTTGCTCCAAATAACCAACCACCATGTAACAAAAGGGGTTGACAGCACAGAGAAACTTTCCGACATCAAAGTCCTCTTTGTGATTGAAAAATAAAAAAAAAAAAAAAAAAAAAAAAAAAAAAAAAAAAAAAAAAAAAAAAAAAAAAAAAAAAAAAAAAAAAAAAAAAAAAAAAAAAAATAAAAAAAAATAAAAAAAAATAAAAAAAAATAAAATAAAAAATAAAAATTGCAAATAAGATTGATTGTTCATAAAAAAAAAGGCACGAGAGTGGAGCGATATTGAAAGGAAGATTTTTGGATAAAAAAACAACTAGTTTAGTCCTTAACAAAAGCTTTCATTATGTCTTGAAAAAAAAAAATTACAATATAAACAACTTGCTTCACTTCTTTCATACCCACCGTCTCATGTTATACTATGGAGACTTTAACATGAATATATAATTCAAACAAATAAAGACTTTTTTTTTTCATGAAGACTGGCTAAACACAAAAAAAAAAAATACTTAAAGGAGCTGAGCAATAAAAAAAATTATAATTAATTTTGAAACTACAGAGCTACATCAATATAAATAGTAGTAATCTCAACTTAGATGCAAGCCAACTTAGATATATTAAAAGAATTATAATTAATCAAAGGTTTACTACAATTTATCATTGATCAATTCGTAATGATATTATGGTGGCTTTGAACAAAAAATATACAAATGTAATTTTTTATTTTATTTTATTTTTTTTTTTGGCTTGCAAAGTTATTTTTATTGAAAAAAATAAAATAAAAATAAAAATCTTGATTATTTTATTTATATAAATAAATCAATATTATTTTAAAATTATTTATTTCATCATTGGAATACTTCATCAGTACCTTGGAAATACTAAGAAAGACCGGTGGTGGTAGTGGTTTAAAGAAGTGAAAGGCTGACAGTAACAAGGAACAAAAAAAAAAAAAAAAATATTTCACAAAAAGAAAAAAAAAATAAAAATAAAATAAATGCAATTTATTTTTGGTGAAGTCTCAGGTACCAACCCTTTCCAATATAACAAAGCATTATATCCTCAAACACACATAAAAAAATATAAATATATATGAATTCTCTCTAAACTAATTTTTTTTTTAAAGTTTCTGTTTTCCCTTTTTTTTTCTTCTTCAATTATCTATTTTTCTAACTATTATACATTCATTTTAAATTTACCTCCCCCTAATTACTTCTCATCCAACTCAATCATTCAAGTACGTCTTCTTCACCACAAATATTCAACTTTAACAATATTTTACTCACAACCCTTTTTTCCTTATTTTTTAGATCATGATTCCCACTGCTGTTCTACCATGGATGCTTGTGGGCACCATGGGCCAGTTTGCCCACGCTTTAACATTTCCTTACACAAACTCTACCATATCCAGCTCTGAAATTGAATCTTCTTCTTTAGAATCATCCACAGACTATTCATCTTCCTCCTTCTTAGACAGCCTTACCAGCTCTGATTTTGAATCAATCTCATCCTCATACTCATCAAATATTCTATCCAGTGAAACTGACTCCTCCTCAATTTTCAGCACATCTTTACTAAGCGACGAATCAAGTCTCTCAGAGTCCCTTACATCAGCACTTTTGTCATCTTTGTCGTCCTCCTTCTCTGAAGACGAATCATTATCTTCTTCTATAGAATCAACTTTAGCAAGCATAATATCTTCTTCATATTCATCAGAAGAATCAACCTCCGATTTATCTTCCAATTCATCTTCCGAGTCTGTTTCCGTTTCCGTTTCCGAATCTGAGTCTTCTGAATCTGTTTCCGTTTCTGAATCTTCTGAATCCTCTGAATCTTCTGAATCCTCTGAATCTTCTGAATCTGTTTCCGTTTCTGAATCTTCTGAATCTTCTGAATCTGTTTCCGTTTCTGAATCTTCTGAATATTCTGAATCTGTTTCCGTTTCCGAATCTTCTGAATCTTCTGAATCTTCTGAATCTGTTTTCGTTTCCGAATCTTCTGAATCTTCTGAATCTTCTGAATCTTCTGAATCTTCTGAATCTTCTGAATCTTCTGAATCTTCTGAATCTTCTGAATCTGTTTTCGTTTCCGAATCTTCTGAATCTTCTGAATCTTCTGAATCTTCTGAATCTTCTGAATCTTCTGAACTTTCAGAATCCGAATCCTCTGAGTCTTCTGAGTCTGTCTCCGTTTCCGAGTCTGAATCTTCCGAGTCCTCTGAGTCTTTTTCTGTTTCCGTTTCTGAGTCTGAGTCCGAATCCTCTGAGTCTGTTTCCGTTTCCGTTTCTGAGTCTGAATCCTCTGAATCCTCTGAATCCTCTAAATCCTCTGAATCTGTTTCTGTTTCCCAGTCTGAGTCTTTTTCTGTTTCCATTTTTGAATCTGAGTCCTCAGAGTCCTCTGACTCTGTTTTGTCTGAGTCTTCAGAGTCTGTTTCCGTTTCTGAATCAGAGTCGTCTGAGTCTTCAGAATCGTTGTTTGAGTCTGAGTCTGAATATGTTTCTTCCAACTCTACTCTTTCTGAATCCGAGATTTCTTCTTCTATTAGTACCGAGTACAACTCTACTCTTTCTGAATCCGAGATTTCTTCTTCTATTAGTACCGAGTACAACTCTACTCTGTCTTCTGCTTCTGAGTCTGAATTCTTTTCTGCAATTGAATCCGACTCTGTTGCCTCTAACTCTACTTTGACTGCGTCCGAGTCTACTTATTACAATGCGACTATCACTTCTGGTTCAGAGTCTGCTTACTCTAACGGTACCATCACTTCTGGTTCTGACTCCGCTGTCTCTAACTCTACTTTGACTGAGTCCGAGTCTGCTTACTCTAATGCCACCATCACTTCTGGTTCCGAGTCTGCTTATTCTAATGCCACCATAACTTCTGGTTCTGAGTCTGCTTACTCTAATGCCACAATCACTTCTGGTTCCGAGTCTTCTTACTCTAACAATACCATCACTTCTGGTTTGGAATCGACTTATCCCAACGCCACCATCACTTCTGGTGTTGAATCTACATACTCTAATGGTACTCTTGTTTCAATCACTGCTGGGTCTGAGTCCTTTTATCCCAACAGTACTGTGTTTTCTGGAGCCTCTTCTGCAGTTGAGACTGGCTCCGTCATTTCCGGCTCTATTTATGCCAATGCCACCGTCACTTCTGGAAGCTCTTCTGGATCTTCAAGCTCCAATGCCACTGTTACTTCTGGTGCCTCTTCTGGCTCTCTTTACTCTAACGGTACGATTGTTTCTGGAAGCTCTTCTGGTTCTTCAAACTCTAATTCTACCATTGTTTCTGGAAGCTCTTCTGGTTTTTCAAACTCTAATTCTACCATTGTTTCCAGTAGCTCTTCTGGCTCTTCAAGCTCTAATGGCACTATTGTTTCTGGAAGCCCTTCTGTTTCTTCCAGCCGTAATAATACCATTGTTTCTGGCAGCTCTTTTCTCTCTTCAGGCCGTAATTCTACTAGCAATTCCAGCTCATCCTCAGGCTCTCTCTCTGTTGGTAACAGCTACTACCCTAACGCAACTATCACCACCGGTTCTTCTGTCTCTTCCGGTGTTGCTTCTCCTTCTTCGTCTTCCTCAGATTCTGGTTTGCCAACCAATACTGATGAATTCTTGCGATTGATTGAAGACGCCATCCTTAGTCTTGTTTCTGGTGATACTGCTACTGCTCTTGCAAAGCTTCTTGCTGCTATTTTTGCTCTCTTCACTACTGCTCTTAGTACTGGATTGGATTCTCTTCTTGGTAATCTTTTCGGTTCTGGAAGCATTTCTAAGCGTTCTGTTGATGTTTCCACTGCCATTTCTATTTTCACTGACTTTACCAATGATCTTGAATCTTGGTTCTCTGATGCTTCTTATGCTGAGTTTTTGCAACACATCAACCAGATTCAAGAATTTGTCTCTGCTTCAGAGGTCGAATCTGCAGTTACCAGCGCTCTAGATCCTGTCTTTTCTGCTGGCCAAACTATTATTGACAATCTTTCCAAGGACAGTACTGAGTTTGCTTCTGTTACTTCTACTTTTGAAACTGCCGTTGGAACTTTTATCTCAGACATTTTATCAGCTCTTTATGGAAGCCTTGAGTCCAGTGTTGATGTTTCTAGTTTGAGTGCCACTGCTACCGTTTACTCTACTGTTACTGACTACAGTACTACTACTCAAGTTTCTGGTGATACCACCAGCACTGTCACTTTGCCTGTATCTACCTATACTAGAACCATTCTGCTTGGGCCTCATACCACCTACACTGTCACCAACACTCGTACCAGCACTCTCTATTCTACAATTACCAAGTATGCTACTTCTACCAGAACTTCTGGCACTGTCACTGAAACCATAACAGAACCTGTTTCAACATATACTGAGACTATTGTCGTTGAACCTACAACTACATATACAATCACCAATACTCGTACTAGCACTCTTTACTCCACCATCACCAAGTATGCTACATCCACCAAGACTTCTGGTACTGTCACTGAAACTATTACTGAACCGGTAACAACATACACTGAAACTATTGTTGTTGAGCCTACTACCACCTACACCATTACCAATACTCGTACCAGTACTCTTTACTCGACAATCACCAAGTATGCCACATCTACTAAAACTTCTGGAACAGTCACTGAAACAGTCACTCTGCCTGTGACCACTTACACTGAGGCTATTGTCATTGAACCTACTACTACTTATACCATCACTGACACTCGTACCAGAACTCTTTACTCGACAATCACCAAGTATGGTACTTCTACCAAGACTTCTGGTACTATCACTGAGACTATCACAGAGCCTCTGACCACCTACACTGAGACTATTATTGTTGAGCCTACAACTACTTATACCATCACCAATACTCGTACCAGTACTCTTTACTCGACCATCACTAAGTATGCTACTTCGACCAGGACCTCTGGAACTGTTACTGAAACCATTACGGAACCAGTCACTACATATACTGAGACCATCATCTGCGAGCCTACCACCACTTATACTATTACTGATACTCGCACCAGCACTCTCTACTCTACCATTACCAAGTATGCTACTTCTACCAAGACCTCTGGAACTGTTACAGAAACCATCACGGAGCCTGTGACCACCTACACTGAGACCATTGTGTGTGAGCCTACTACTACTTATACCATCACCAATACTCGCACAAGTACTCTTTACTCGACCATCACCAAGTATGCTACTTCGACTAGAACTTCTGGAACTGCCACTGAAACAGTCACTCTACCAGTTTCTACCTACACTGAGACCATTGTGTGTGAGCCTACCACTACTTATACCATTACTGCCACTCCTACCAGTACTCTCTATTCCACCATCACTTTGTATGCCACCTCGACTAGAGTTACAGGCACAGTCACCGAGACTTTCACTGAGCCTGTTTCTACTTATACCGAAACAATCATTTGCGAGCCTTCTAGTACTTATACTGTTGTTGGCAGCGAGACTATTGAGGCTACTGAAACAGTCACGGAGTCTTGTAGTCTGTGCAAGACCCATACTACCACTGAGACTGGCTTGACTACTTACACCACGGTTTCTGGCACTGAGACAATTACCGTCACCGAGCCATGCCCTACCACGTATACTGTTGTTGAGACTCCGGTTTCTACTTCTGGAGACAGTACAGTTTACGAAGTAATTACTATTTCTACCACAGTTCCTGGATCCGTAGTAATTGTCACTGAGTCATGCAGTCTTTGCAAGACCCATGTTACTACCGAGACTGGCTTGACCACTTATACTACCACTTCTGGCGAAGAGACTGTTACAGTCACCGAGCCCTGTCCTACCACTTATACTGTTGTTGAGACTCCTGTTTCTACTTCTGGAGACAGTACAGTTTACGAAGTAATCACCATTTCTACCACAGTTCCTGGATCCGTGGTCACCGTCACTGAGTCATGCAGTCTTTGCAAGACTCACGTCACTACCGAGACTGGCTTGACCACTTATACAACCACTTCTGGCGAAGAGACTGTCACAGTCACCGAGCCCTGCCCTACCACGTACACTGTTGTTGAGACACCTGTCACCTCCGGCACTGTTGTGACATACTCAACCAGCACCGTTTCCACATACTCACCTATTATTGTCACTGTCACGCCTACAACTGCTGTTCCTCTGGTCACCACTGTTACCGAATCCTGCAGTGTTTGCAAGACTCATACTTCTGTTGAGACTGGCATCACTACCTTCACTACCACTTCTGGAGAGCAAACTGTGACTGTCACAGAGCCCTGCGAGACCACTCACACTGTTGTTGAGACTCCGGTCACTTCAGGTACTGTGGTCACATTCTCTACAGTCACCAGTACACCTGTTATCGTGACTACCATCACTCCTAGTTCCATTTCTCCAGTCATTTCTACCATCACTCCTTCTATTGTCACAGTCACTGAGAGTTGCAGTCTTTGCAAGACTCACACTACTGTTGAGACTGGAGTTACTACATTTACCACCACATCTGGCGAGGAAACTGTCACAGTTACTGAGCCCTGTCCTACAACTTATACTGTTGTTGAGACTCCAGTCACTTCCTCGGGTTCTGTTGTCACCTTTTCCACTTTTACTGTTTCTTCTACTACCCCAATAGAAACAATTGTCACCGTTTCTAGCAGCTCCAGTGTTCCTGTCGAGTCAGCTACTACGGTGACAGTAGAGTGCACTGAGTGCAAGACCCATACTTCTGTTGAGACTGGCCTGACCACCTACACAGCAACGTCGAGTGACCAGATTGTAACAGTTACTGAGCCCTGCCCCACCACATATACTGTGGTGGAGACTCCTGTTACTTCTGGCTCCGTTGTCACGTACTCCACAGTTTCCTCTACAACTCCTGTCGTCACAGTTCCAGCTTCTTCTTCTTCTTCTTCTTCTGCTCCTGCCACTTCCCCAGTTGAGTCTGCTACCACTGTTACCGAGGTTTGCACTGAATGCAAGACCCAGACTTCAGTTGAGACCGGTGTCACCATTTATACTGCCACCTCTAGTGATCAGATTGTGACTGTGACTGAGCCCTGCCCCACCACCCATACATTTGTCGAGACACCCGTGACCTCTGGGACCATTGTGACATATTCCATGGTTCCAGTACCTTCTTCTTCTTCTTCTTCTTCTTCTTCTTCTTCCAGCGTGCCGGCCACATTGGTTCCTTCTTCTTCTAGCGTGCCGGTCACGTCAATTCCAGGAACAACTCTCACACTCTCCACATCTTGGCCAACTACTACCAAGTCTGTGGAGACTTCAGTTGTTCAAATTCCAAGCGCACCCACCACCACAGGTCTGACACAGGTCAATGCTGGTTCCAGCGTTTCTGTGCAAACCCTGATACTGGGCGTCGCCTTTATGATTCCATTCCTGGTATAAACGTCACAATTGGGTATTAAAATATAGATTTTTCTTTTTTCTTTTTCGTCTTTTGGGTAAATATATATATAAAAAGCTTATGTACTTTTAAAAAATTTGGGTTATAAAATCAAATAAATTGTTATTTTTTTTTTAAAAATTTTTCAAACTATAGTTATTTTACTCCACAATGGCAGTCCCGACAGCCGGCCGCGAAATGATTATGGCTTCGTTCATCTCTTTTTCCGAGATTCCAGGATACTTGACTCGGTAATACTCATCCTTGAAAGCTTGCACAACTGCCGCCACATTTTTCTGCAAAACCAGGTGCACGGTTGCGCCTCCCCAGCCGGCACCAGTCATACGGGCGCCGTACCCGAGTGGTTCTGAGCCGTGAGGACCTCTTGGTTTCCTCACCACCTTGCATAGCGCCTGGGCTTCTGGACAGGAGCACTCGAAATCCTCCCACAACGAAACCTCGGACGCGTCCATAAGACGGCCCAGCTCCGCAACAGTTTCTAGGTATTGCATTGTAGAGAAACGTAGCACGTTCATAAATTTAAATACACGTGCAGCTTCGGAGTACACATGGCGGGCGCGCTTGCGAAGCTGGAGTGCAGAGTAGCGCACGGGGTAAGTGGAGAAAAAGAGACGCGTGAGTTGTGCATTGACAATCTCAGTATCAGAGCTGGTAGATAGCAGAGTAGCAAGATCGGAAAAAGTATAGTCGTCACGAAGATGGGTATCGACGAGAGTGACTAGTTCCTGAAGCAGATCTGAATCAGAGACAGAGGAGGGTCTGGTGGTCTTATAGAGTTCAAACACGTCACGGAGAGTACCGGCGGCAAGGTTACCAGTGGGTGGTAGAACAAGATCGACCAATAAAGGGTGGCCATCAATATCAGAAGAAGAAGAAGAAGAAGAAGTTGTTGCAGAGATTATGGAGTTTGGTGCTGAAAGACCCAAAGCCTTTGCGAGAGCCAAGGCTGCAAGAGTGACCTCGACGACACGCAAGTTATAATTTATAGGCGCGGTTTCGTGTTTGTTTGAAGTGACGAGCGTGTGGGCAATGACAAACGCCATTTTGTTTTCGTCATCAGGGAGCCCGTTTGCTAGCGCTGGTGGTTCCGGGAAAGCCGTAGCCTTTGCGGTAAGCTGGGGGAAAAAGGATACATAGAGAGCGTGATCCCATTCGCCATATACTGAAGCTGCCTGGTCCATACCGCCAGTGTTGACACCAACTAGCTGCTCGCATTTCATGGAGAGCCGGACCATGAGGTTTTTGGAGACATTGTTGTAGCCGTTGGCCAGCAGAGTGACGAGGGTAGAACAGACCACAAAGGCAGCTGAGGACGATAACCCAGACCCTGTGGGGATATTCCCGTCGACAAGGACCTCTAAGCCTGCGAGTTGTTTAGGAGGTTGTTGATGATTATTTGGATGGTCGAGTTCCGGGAGTTCCGAGTTGTAAGATCCTTGTAGGTATTTTTGGGCGACAATAAGTCCGCAGCGGAAATAGTTTGCCCAGTCGTTACGTGTGGGGTCAATGTCGACCAACGTTTGTGTAGATTGCGGTAGAGTAATTGAAGATTCAGGGAAAGTTGTGGAGTCTGTATTTGCAACAATAACAACACCACCACCATTGACGACCGAAGGACCCGGTGGTATTACACGGACAGCCATGACAACATCACGCTCGACAGCCATGGGGAAGACTGAGAAGTTGGAGTAATCTAGGTGCTCGCCAATGATGTTGACACGGCCCGGCGAGCGGACTGTGAATGTGGGGGGTGCACTGAACCGGGCAGCAAATGTATCTTGTAGAGACTGAAGCCGGGTCCGGTCTTGTGGCGATTTGTATATTTCGGAGCTTTTGAGAGTTGGTACCGACATGGAAGTTTTTTTTTTTTATGTTTAAACAAAAAAAAAAAAGGAAGAAAATCTGGGGAATTTTGAAAGGAGAGGCGGGTGGGACCCTTTTATATTTATTTTTTTATTCTTTTTTTTTTAAAAAAAAAAATGCCTTTTGGTCCCCAACTTTCGGCTGACCGTTTTCCATTTTTTTTTCCATTCATTCAAGCCAAATTATTTATTTCTTTATTTCTTTATTTATTTATTTCTTTATTAATATTTTCATTAATATTTTTATTATGCAAGTTTAAGCGATTTTTCATTCCTCGTCAAAGTCATCTTCATCGTCGTCATCGTCATCGGTGTCGACATGCGACTCAGGCTCATTTTCGTAGGATACCCGATGAGAATTGACAGAACGCCACTCGCTGCTGCTGCTGCCGCCGCCGCCGCCGCTACCGCCTCCACGCTTTCTAGATCGTGGATGAGAACGAAGGGCCTTGACACGGCGCATGGAGTAGTTGATGGGCAGCGAGTGCTCTATGCACTGTCGAAAGGTGTCTTCGTCGACCAGCGTGATGACAACCGAGTGCACGGGGAGTGGAGATGACTTGTCTGCACGCATGAGGGGCCGTGGCGTGCATGCTAGAATCACGTCGTTGGCCTCGAGATCATCGCGGATCTGATCCATGGTCAGTGATTTTTCGACCCCATAAACAACGGCTTCGTAGCCAAAGGGTGAAGGGTGGTACTCTGGTGGGGATCGGGTAGTAGAAAATGAGGAAGAACTATATCGGGGTTTTTCATAGCGCGAGGAGTATGCAGGAGAGGAGGTTGAAGAGGAGGTTGAACAAGTTGTTGAATGCAATTGTGACGGAGGTTGCTGGTCCTTTTTCAAAAGTTTTACCTTTTTGCTAGGGTCTATAGGGGGTGATTGAGATTGTGATTGAGATTGAGATGTGTGGGTTGGAAGGTTGTATTGATTTTGTTCTTCATGAATTGGTTGTTTAGGTGTTTGAGTTGGCAAAGACGTTTGCTTGACTGTTGTTGGTTCCGAAACAGGCTTTGATCCAATGGCACCTGGCTGGGTATTTGCTGATGGTGTTGAAGTTGAAGTTGTTAGTGTTGGTGGTGCAACTGGAGTGGCCAGCGTATGAAGGAGATCCTTCTTTAGGGTTTCTTGTAGCTGAGCTAATAAAACAGAAGAAGGTCAGTAGTTAGTAAAAAAAACAAAAAGAAAAGAAGAAGAAGAAGAAAAAAGGAAATCCAACGTACCATCAAAATGAGGAGATGTAGGACATGAAGGCTGTTGCAATGGCTTTTGCTGTTGTAGATGTTGTTGTTCATCTCTACACTTGAGTTGATATCGTAAACGCTCATTTTCTTGGTAAAGTAATCGAAACTCTGACTTAAGTTCAAAGACGGTATCATCTAGACGTTTTAACAGAATGCCTATATTTTGAATCTGCTGAGGTTGTTGTTGTTGTTGGTAAGAATTAGAAGTTGGTTGTTGTATTGGTATCGAAGCCTGCTGATGTTGTTGTTGTTGTTGTTGTTGACCCGGTGGAATTATAGCGGAATCTCTATATTTTGGTAATGACGAAAGAAGCCCTGAAGTAGCAAATGAATTGTTGTTATTACTACTACTACTACTAATATTATTATTATTATTATTACCACCACTATTTAATTGAGCATTGCTAAGATTAGTAACAGGTAGATCGACTAAAGTATTGTTATTGGATGTTGTAGTCCATGTGAATCTACGTTGAGGTTCATGGAAAGCAGTTGGTGGAGGAATGTTAAATGGCGATGACGGGACAATGACGTTATTAGAACCACCACTAACTGTAGGTTTTGTACCAGAATTTCCATTAGTCAACAAACTATTATTGTTATTGTTGTTATTGGTATTGGTATTATTAATGTTGATGCTGTTACTAATTTGTCGATCAATTTGGTTGACTGATGATAATGGAGATGGAGAGGATAAAGCCAACGAAAGGTCAGAATGGTGGTGAGATAGTATAGGTTCTTCATCAATGGCTTGGGATGATAATGAAGGGAAGGTATTCATAGAAGCTGAAAGAGAAACAGATCTTCTGTTAAACTGAGGTTGAATCTGTTGAGGTAAAGCTGGAGGGGTTGTAATTGATGATGATGATGATGATGATGATGTAGTTGATGATGATCCAAGATGGGATGATGATGACTGACGAGTATGTGAAGCCCAAGGGTCTCTTGGTCCATCAGCAGCAGCGGCCGAAGCAGCAGCAGAAGCAGCAGAAGCAGCAGCAGCAGCTTGGACGATGTTAAATATGCTCATAGAAGAAAAAGAAGAAGAAGAAGAAGAAGAAGAAGAAGAAGAAGAAGAAGAAAAAAACAATAAATGAAATAAATTTAGATGAAAATTAATTTTTAATGGACCTTTTTTTTTTTAAAAAAAAATGGGAATTTGGTGGTTGTTGATGAGAAGGAAAAAAAAAAAAAAACTTGCTGTTTAAAAATAGAAAAATAATTAAAATAATTAAAATAATTAAAATAATTAAAATAATTAAAATAATTAAAATAATTAAAATAATTAAAATAATTAAAATAATTAAAATAATTAAAATAATTAAAATAATTAAAATAATTAAAATAATTAAAATAATTAAAATAATTAAAATAGTTAAAATAGTTAAAATAGTTAAAATAGTTAAAATAGTTAAAATAGTTAAAATAGTTAAAAAAGTTAAAATAGTTAAAATAGTTAAAATAGTTAAAATCATAATTAGTAATAATTACATAATTCTTATCTGTAATAATAATAATATCATATCATATCATTTCATTTCATATCGTGGAATTTTCAAACACACACAAACAAATTATTTTAAATAAAAAAAAAAAAAAATTAAAAAAAAATCTCCTTAAAAAAATCTCCTTTTTTTTTTTTTTTTTTTTTAATTTATTAAACAAAAACACACAAATCTTTTATTTAGAAGAAAAAAATAAAAATAAAAAGAATATTTTCATTCATTTAGACTTTGCATTTTATATCATTATTATCAATATCTTAATATATACCCTAATTAAATCTTTAAAAAAATACCTCTGAGATCTTATCCAGAAGCTCTTCTTTTTCTTCTTCTTCTTTTTCCCTTTCTTTCTCATAATGAATACACAAATTTCAATCACTACAGATACTGCTCCACGGCTACTCTCAGCAGCTTTTAACCAAGATCAAGGATGTTTTACCATCTCTTACGAAAATGGTTTCCGTGTCTATAATACAGATCCAATGGAACTTAATGTTAAACGTGAATGGGACTTAAGACCAGCAACAGCAACAGCAACAACAGCCACATCTACTTCTACATCTACATCTATTAACAACAAAACTACTAATACTACTACTACATCTAACAATACAACATCTTCCCCCCCTGAAAATCATTCTCGAGAAGCTGGAGGTGGAATTGGTCTAGCCCAAATGCTCCATCGAACAAATTACTTAGCTTTAGTCGGTGGAGGCCGTAACCCCAAATTCCCCCAAAACAAAGTAGTCATCTGGGACGACCTTAAACGAAGACCTGCTCTCTCTCTTGAATTCTTATCACCAGTCTTAAATGTCCTTCTCTCTCGTACACACATTGTTGTAGTACTTACTGCAAAAGTCCACGTGTTTGCCTTCTCTTCCCCACCAGTCCGTATCGCCTCATATGAAACTGCTGATAACCCCCATGGAGTCGCAGTTCTTGCTAATAATGTCCTCGCATTCCCTTCAAGACTCGACGGCCAAATCCAGATCGTTAACCTTGACTCGCATTCTTCTTCTTCTTCTTCTTCTTCTTCTACTACTACTAATGATCGCTCCCGTTCTCCTTCATCTCGCTCAGTCTCTCCAGGTATATCACCACCACCACCTCCTCCTCCTCCACAATATGGTAGTAACCTCGTAACTATAATACGCGCTCATAAGGGTCCCATACGTTGCTTGGCTCTCAACTCTTCCGGATCAGTCATTGCAAGTGCAAGTGAAATGGGTACAATCATTCGCCTCCATTCAACCCGCAATACCGCTCTTCTTCATGAATACCGCCGTGGTCTTGACAGAGCTATCATCTACTCCATGGCCTTCTCTCCAGGATTAGGTCCTGGAGCCCCACTACGTCTTGCAGTACTCTCAGACAAAAATACCCTCCATGTGTTTGATGCTACAAACGTGGTTGGTGGGGCCGTCGTGGCTTCACAAGCTGCAACAGCAATCATCTCTCAAAATAATAATAATAATAATAATACAATCTCTTCAAGCTCGCTTTCATCGTCTCCATCTTCATCCTCCATTATTTCCAACAGCCCAAGAACTCAACCTGCTGGTCTCATTAACGCTTCTTCTTCTGCATCTAATTCATCATCTCCTCAATCGAATAATAATACCAATACTAATAATCTTGTCGGATCCTTTTTCTCAGCTGCAGCTGCAGCTGCTTCTTCGGCAGTCTCAACTAACCGTCGCCATCTTCTCGGTAAACTTCCCCTAATGCCTCGCTACTTTTACTCAGAATGGAGTTTTGTCTCTGCACGTGTTGAAGGCCAAGCTGGAGTCCTTGGCTGGCCCTCGGACGATGCTGTAGTCATCATTTGGACAGACTCATGTAAATGGGAAAAATACGTTGTTGTTGAAAAAGAACCCCCTGCAAGTTCAAACAACAATAACAACAACAATAATAATAATAATAATAATAATAATAATACAAACGACACCCCCCATGAAAATCAATTTGAGCTTTTACGTGAAGCATGGCGTGGCTTTGAAGGCATTTCTCATGACTAGACATTAGTTCTATAGTTATTAATATTAATATTAATGTTATTATTATTATTATTATTATTCATATATATTTATATACACACATTTACGGATTAATCCAAAACCTCAATCTTTGGAACCATTGTAGTGTTGGGCCAGTACCGGTTGTTGTATGCCCGCACCAACCGCCGCGGCTCATCCTCATTTGTAAACCGGACAAGCCAACTTGACTCACTACAGTGCGCTTCATCTCCAGATAACTTGACAACAGCATCCTGTGCACTCGGCAGCAAGTCATAATCCCATAATATCCGGGCCATAGTATGTGGAGAATATCGTGGTGGTAGCCCAGCCACCAGTGCACACATGCGTCGGGACACACCAGGAATTGCAGAAAGTGCTGGAGGGTGGATGCTGGCCTGAGACGGGTCAACGAACCGGAAATTGACACGGATCCCACATAACTCAGCGCCAAGTGTAGCCCAGTAATAAGCCACAGCAGCCTCGCGCGTTGGGAACTCTAAATAGTAACCAATCCAACGAACAAGTGAGGCCGGGTCGCGCGACCGTACCACTGTAAAGTCTCTTGCTTGAGCAAGTTCCTCAGCAGTCAGTTCCTGTGGACCATTATTTTCGGATATAAACCCAGACCCAGAATCAGACCCAGAGTGAATGGGGCCAGGTAAAATGCGTTTAAAGTCTGAGGGCAAAAACGATAGAGTCCCGCAGGGCCAAAAAAGTGTATTTGACGTTTTCAGCGGAGAGTCCAGTAACGATAATAGTAGTTTATTTTTACTAAATCCAGCCGCCTTAGCAGATCTTGCTTCTTCTTCTTCTTCTTCTTCTTTTTCTTTTACCTTGCTCTCTTCTGTCTCTTCATCTTTAAGTAGGTCCTGGTACAAACTAAACCCTGTTGTCCGTTCGTTCGTCACATAAAGCCCACTATTATTCCCCAATTTCGTACTATCCACCCGATCTGAGCCCCGAGCTTTGGATTCCGCAATCTTCTTGGCATGTAATTCCCGAGCCCGACGGTGATACCGTGCAAGTACCTCGGGCGTGTTTCGAGTTTGTGCAAATATCTCAGACAATAATCCCCACATCTCTTGTTTTGTCGGCGCGTCCATCCCCTTAACCACATCCTTGCTTGCAAGAACAGGCTTCCCAGGCTGCTTCATCCCACACGCAGCAGCAGAACTCGTGAACTTGCGTGCAAAGACCCGGATCTGCTGTTTGGATATCATAATTTATGTGGTCAAATATATATATATATATATATATATATGTGTGTGTGTTAGGGGTGGGTGGTTTTGCAGTTTAAAACGGCCTTTGAGAGAAGAAAAAAAAAAAAAAAAAACACTTTTATTTCACTATATAATCACGTGATGCATTACCTAATCGGACATTTCCATAGACTCTTCAGGATCCGGGTCCTTGTGACGGGATATCAATGGCGCAGACGACCCGAGAATATCTGCAAAATTATCTACTTCATTCTCCTGTTCCTCCTCCTCCACTTCTTCCTCAGTTCTTGTGCGCTCGCCGCTTTCAGCTTCTCCTATCAGCATATCCCATACAGCCAGCGAAGATGAATCTTCAAGAGCCCGGCGCAGCAGGTCGGTCGCAACAGAGTCACTTGGTGTAATTGCCAGTGCTGAATGGAAATTTTCAATTGCTTGTACAATATTCCCGGCCTGCAAATTCGCAAGCCCCATGGCTGAGTAAATGTTGGAATCCTGCGGTGTAATCCGTAATACCTCTTCAAAGTACTCAAGCGCTTGGAAATAGTCGCCCATGCGCCGGTACACATGCCCAAGATTTGCCTTAATGGACAACCACCCGCGCGGATCACTTTCCAGCAGTTCGGCCGCGCGTTGAGCCTTAATAAAATACGCCTCCGCTGTTGCAAGCTCATTCTTATGGTAGTGCACAACGCCGCGCTCATTTAGTAACAGTGGATCTGTACTGCAGATTGATGCAGCAACTTCCAAGTATTCCTCTGCAAGTGTCAAATTGTTGAGTTGTAAATGTTGCATTCCCAAAAATAACGAAGGCAAATGTGTTCCTTGGAATAATCGCGCTGCTGTCGTATATGCAGAAATGGCTTGCTCGTGCTCACCCTCCACTGCAAACGTATGCGCAAAGCCAATCCAAGCTTGTCCGAAAAATGGACTCATCATAGACGACTTGCTAAAATACCGTCTGGCTTCTAATATCTTGCCAATAGTCAGGTAATAAACTCCAACCGCCAGCCACGAAACAGCCTCGTCGGGATGATTGTCGACAAGTTCGTGAGAAATGAGAAATAACTTGTTACGTTTGCCAAGTTCGTGCAAACATGCCAAGTAGTTGGGGATGGCTGAAAACCGAAACTTGTCACGCTCTAAAATGTGTTCACAAACTTCAAGACACTTTTTAAACTTGCATTGAACAAATAATAAATCTGCTCGGCTTAAAAGCACGTCTGGGTTATCTCCAAGATCATACTCTGAAGTTAAAAGTTTATCCGCAGAACGATACACTCCAAGGTTGGCAAATTTACCCAGCCGAGTTGTGTAAAGCGCCTTAATCAAATCGGCTGCATTGGAATCTCCGGCACAACTTTCGTCAAAATCCATTGATGCTAGTAAATCCCATTCTTCTTTGGGTGTCAATAGACATCCACGAATCAATTGATCAAACGCTTCAAAGCATTTTGCATCCACAAGTACGGCTTCCTTATAACACTCTTTTGCTTGATCAAAATTATTTTGATTGGTATAAATCTGACCACGCAAAAAACACATGGAAGCCTCAAGTTTGATTCCACCATCTTGGTTTTTGACTCTATTCCCAGGAATAACTGAATCACCAAATGGGTTCTTTTCTCCCAATACTGCAAGTGCTTCATCCCATTTGCCCATTTTTGTCAAACATAGCGCTGCCAGGTATCTGCATGAAACACTACGGTCAAGCTCTTGACGTATCAATAATTGTCTCGCACGGGTATACTGTCCACTTAGATAAAACACCTGGGCCAGCCAAAAGGCGTCGTTCGGGTCATTAGTCAAAGCAAGAATCTTATCGCCAATGTACTCTGCTGTTTGATAGTGATGCTGCATGATTGCATCGTGTCTCCAAAGTCTCAGTCTTTCAACTTGAGACAATGGTTGATGCAGTAACGAATTAAGAGATGTAGTTGGTGCGCCAGGCTTGGTTCGTGGTGTATCATATGCTGAAAGAGGCTTGTGCACGCTACTATGCACGCTATGTGATGTATGAGCATTGAATGGAGCTCCCAATCCAGGTGATTGCGGATCTTTACCTCCAGAATTTAAAAAATGGGGAGCCACTGGACTAATAGCAAGAGTCGAGGAACTGGGACTTTGGCCGGCCATCAAGTGCTGGTTGTGATGCTGCTGCTGCTGTTGTTGTTGCTGTTGTTGTTGTTGAAGGCTATTATTGCTATGCTGGATTCCGTAGAAATTGGGGCCTATTCGGTCGTTTGGAGTATATGGAGTAGAAGCCACCACAGAGTCTCTTCCTGCTGATCCGGGCACTGTTCCTGACCCGGGCCGCCAAGAAGACTGGCGGCGATTCGAAGAGTTCATCTGGATGGTTAGATTTGGTATTTTTAATTGTTTATTTATTTGTTTGTTAACAAAAGCTGGAGATTTTCAATGAAAGGGCAAAAATCGCAACAAAGTGTGGGAGGTGTTTGTTGTAACAAATTAATGTAACATTTGTATTACATTATGTTGTAATAAGTAAATAAATAAATAAATAAATATTTTAAATTAATAATAATTTTTTAATATATAAAAATTAAATTAAATTAAATTAAATTAAATTAAATTAAAATAAATTAAAATAAATTAAAATAAATTAAAAAATATTTTCCAAAAACCAGTCTTTCTTCTCAAACCACCAAAAAAAAGTCTTTTTCAAACTATCACCAAAACACCCTTTTCGAAACTTTCACGTCGCAACTTTAGTTAATCTTGGAAGAATAAGAAGAACCAAAAAAAAAAAAAAAAAAAGAACTTCCTCTCTTGTCAGCTAGGTTATTTGATTATATTCTAGTTATTAATTTTTCTAAAATTCTTTTTGCTTTATTGTCTATTTTTTTTTTTCATTCCCCCTTCCCCTCTTTTTTTTTCCAACCTCTCTTTAAACCTTTCCTTCATGACCATCACGGCCCCTCTGTTGCACACTTCACGCCACAGCTCGCCGTTTTCTTCGTATGAACAGTAAAAAAACTGAACCCAAGAAACGGACACCAAGCGAAAAGGCCTTGCGCCGACTTGCACAGGAGTCCAAGGATGAAGGTAAAAAGTCACGGAAATTTCATAAAAAGTTCCCTCACCACCGCACTTTTACCGATGTCGTCATTCCAACTGAACCAGCAACACTCTCTAACCCAGCAAGCCCGTCTCTTCCAACGATGATGACTCTTCCGGATTTGACGCGAGCTAGTGGGAAAAGACGCAGACGCTCATCGCCAACTGGATCTTTAGCTAAATCTACAATGCAGGCTCTCTTAAGCCCTGTATCGGAGACATCATCAGCTCCATCTTCTTCGTCCTCTTCGTCATCAGCCTCTATTTCACTCCAGCACAAGTCGAAAAAATCTTCCCATAAGAAATCATCTAAAGAAGTTTTGCCAGAGGCACCTGTTCGCCAGGAATCGCCATCTTTATATCTCGGTTCATTTACTCTTTCGTTAAATGATCCAGTTGAAACTATCGAACAAAAGGAAGAAGAAGAAAAAAAAGAAAAAGAAGAAAAAGAAGCAGTCACAAAACCAAAACGCAAATCAAAGGAAAAATCTGCTATTCTACATGAAAATATTAAGCCACAGTTCATTGTCGAGCCTAACACCAAGATTGCCAGTATGCTGCGCGTGTCAGATCTGCGCGACCTGGTACTCTATTTGCTAGCTGATGGCCGTGCGCCGAGCTGGGTCGGCATCAAGCAGAGCTTTGCCATCCACCGTATAGTCAGCATCTATGTTCCATCTCTTTCGCCTTCCATGTTTAACGGACTCAATATTTCCAGCGCGCAGCCCCAAACATTTGAGTCATCTTTGGGCTTTTTCCACAGTAACTTTGAACATGCTTGGGTTGTTGAATCCCCAGGGAACAAGCACGCCATTTTTTCTCCCACTGAAACATTTCTTTATTTGATGGCCAATTCACATGACCGCAGTGTTATGAAGGTAAACCAAAATAAAAACCCCAAGAGTGTTTCTCCCTTGGATCTGATTTTGACCCTTGAAGAGCTTATGTTTAACCGATATCCTGTCCATCCAGACACAACAGGAGCTGCAATTGCTTCATCACAAAATATTGAGATTTTGGAGCCTCCAGGGGAGGACTGGGTTGACACTAAACCTTTAGATTTTGGAGCACCGCGTGTCTTTGCAATTGATTGCGAAATGTGTGAAACTTGTGAGGGGAAAGAATTAACTCGTGTTACTATTGTTGGGGGGGATGGAGATGTTGTTTTGGATGAACTTGTGAAACCCTTTAACCAGATTTCCAATTACCTTTCTCAGTATTCAGGTATTACAGCTAAAATGCTTGACCCGATAAATACCCGTCTTTCAGAAGTACAAGAACGTATTCTATCTTTGATATCTTCAGATGATATTATCATTGGCCACTCGTTAGAAAATGACTTGATTGCTCTTAAAATGCGTCACCCACGCGTTATTGACACTGCTGTTGCGTACCATAGTGAAACTAGTATCCATCACAAGCCTTCTTTGAAGAACTTGGCCAAATCGTTTTTAAAGCGCGACATTCAAACCAGCCATGAAGGCCACGACTCGAAAGAGGATGCTGAAACTTGTTTGGATCTATTAGACTTGAAGCTCAAGTATGGTGCAACTTTTGGTCACACTCAGGTAAATGGGAAAATCTCGTTGGCCGATCGATTAAGTCACGTTTCTCCTAGGGATCCTAAATTGCGGCCTGTGGCTGTTGTTGATTATGGCGTACCTAATTGGGCATGTTCTTCTGCCCAAACCATTGTTTCATGCACTGATGATGATGAAGTTATTAAACATTCTGGCAAGGCTGTTAATGGGCATAGTTTTACATGGGCTCGGTTACGTGAGCTTGAACTTTTATCTGAAACAGCTCTTTCACCCAGACGATTCCGCAAGGGAGGTCCTGGGGTATCAGGGAATAGCTTGCAAAATCCTATTGATTGCTCTGTGGTTTCACAAAGCTGTGAGAGGCTTGGCGAACGACTTGAAAACCTTTATCAGAGTTTACCTGCAAATACAGCAGTGCTTGTGTGGACAGGCCATGGTGATAAGCGTGCAATGCTGGAACTTAATGCTAAGAGACAGCAATATCAGTACGAGTACCGCACAAAAAATTGGCGGGACATTACTTGTGCTTGGACAGACCATGACGCTCAGGCCTTGGTAGCTGCTACAGATGTGGCTCGCAAAGGTCTTGCATTTTTGACAGTCAAAAGATAATTTATTTTATTTTCATGTATTTAGTTTGTTTTTTTTTTTTTTTTTTCTTCTTTATTTCTTTCTTTATTTATTATTTTTTTTTCATATAATAATGGAAAAAGTACATTACTGGGCCGGAGCATCCTTGACGGGCTCGGCCTCCGTCATTTCGATATCACCATCCTTGTCGCGGATCTCTGTTTCGGCAAGTGATTCACTCTCTGTAAGTTTTTCAGATTCAGGAGCGGTTTCAGGTTCAGTAGGTTTTTCAGAATCAGTAGGTTTTTCAGTTTCAGTAGGGTTTTCAGTCACAGTTGGGTTTTCAGGTTCTTTAGGTTTTTCAGAATCTGTAGGGGTTTCAACCTCTGTAGTTTTTTCTTTATCAGTAGGCTTTTCGGGGGTTTCAGATTTTTCAGATTCAGATTTTTCAGGCTCTACAGATGCAGACTCTTCAGGTTTTGAAGGTTCCGCAGGTTCCACAGGTTCCACAGGTTCCAATGATTCTTTAGGTTCTGCAGATTCCACAGATTCAGCAGATTCTTTAGGTTCTGCAGAGCTTTCCTGCTGTTGAGTTTCCTTTGTTTCTTGTGAAGCAGCAGGCTGTTTCTTCTTCTCTTCGGGTCTTGTGCCAACCGAGTATCCAGCAATATTTGTTCCTCCATCACCACCACCAACAGCACCGCGAATGTCAGCTTCAGTGAGCGATCCAGAAGTATCAACAGCTGCAATTCGTTTTGGAATTTTGTTTGCAGCAGCAGCTTGTAAGTCTAAAATATCATTAACTGGTCCATCATCTACAGGCACGTAATCTCCGTGATTAACAAGTTGAGCCCAAGTCTTGACTAAGCAGTGAGGAGGGCTTTGAGAATCTGTGACATCATTTTGTTGATTTGAAGCAGCTGGAGTATTATTTGAGTGATCACCAGGAGCTGGTGTACCTGTTTGTGAAGATGATTGTTGTTGTTGGGACTGTTGTTGCTGGGTTTGTTGTTGTTGATGTTGTTGTTGTTGATGTTGTTGTTGTTGTTGTTGTTGTTGCTGCTGCTGCTGCTGGCCCACAATTATAGGTGAAACCCATACACGTTGCCAATGGTTGACGTGGTCTTCAATTTCATTTTTATGAGAATTTGATGCCGCATTTCCTCTAGCGGCAGATTGACGATAAAGTGATGGTCGATGTGAGACCATGATAATGTTGAGAGGTATGCAGGAAAAAAAAAAAAAAAAAAAAAAAAAAAAAAAAAAACAAGAATAAACCTGAGTTAAAAAATTAAAAAAATAAAAAAAAATAAAAAAATAAAATAATAATAATAATAATAATAATAATTGAGTTGGGACTTAGGACGCGTTTTTTTTTATTTTTATTTTTTTTTTGTTAAAAGACGCGTTTTTAATTTTTGGTTTTTTGGTTTTTTTTTATAAGTGGTGGTGATGATGAAATTTTTTTTTTTATTTTGAAGGGGAAAGAAAAAAAAAAATTAAAAAATTAAAAAATTTAAATGGGTTAGGGTTAATTTTAATTTTAATTTTTAATTTTAATTTTGATATTGATATTGAAGGACTGGACTTAAAGTAAATTATAAATATATTTAATATAAACTTATAAGTTATAATTATTATATTTCACAATTAATTATATATATTTAAATTAAAAAATTTTTTATAACATTATAATAATGTTATAATAATTGTGAAAATGTTAAAGTCCATCCCAAATAGGCAATTTAAAATATTAAAAAAAAAAAAAAAAAAGTATTTTTTGTGAAAAAATATAAAACTTTGTTGTTGTTGTTGTATTTTATAGAAAGTACAACAATAAAATATTCATATATAAAAATTCTTTTAATATAATTGTTATTATTGTTGTAACTTAGGTAAAAAGGAAAAAAAAAACTAACTATTTATATCAAAAAGCCATCAAAAAAGTTTTTATTTTTTATTTTTGATTTTTTTTTGATTTTTTTATATATAAAAAGAAATAACTTCACTACTAATTATTATTCTTATTATTCAAAAAAAAAAAAAAAAAAAAAAAAAAAACCTAACTTTTCAATAAATTATCTTTTTATAAATTTGTTATAAGTGTTGTTGTTGTTGTTGTTGTTGTTGTTGTTGTGATAGTGGTGGCTTTGAAATAAAAATTTTAAAAATTTTAAAAAATAAAAAGTCCGGGTAACTCTGATGACTCTTTTGAAAAAAAAAAAAAAAAAACTTTTAAAAATTATTTTATTATTATTATTATTATTACAACACCATCAATAATTAATTAATTAAATAAATAAATATAAATCATTCAATCAATCAATCAATCAATAAATCTTTTTTTTTTTTTTTTTTTTTTTTTTTTTTTTTTTCCCTCTTACAACAAAAACCCAACCAACTCAATTATTATCATCAATTATCAAAAAAATGTCGACCCCAGTCACTCTTCACCTCCGTGCTGAAACTAAGCCCCTCGAGCACCGCGCTGCTTTGACTCCTAATACCACCAAGAAACTTCTTGACGCTGGCTTCAATGTTATTGTCGAAAAGTCTTCCCAGAGCACCTTCGACATTAAGGAATACGAGGCTGTTGGTGCTACCATTGCCGAAGAAGGCTCTTGGCCTCAGGCCCCCAAGGACCATATCATCATTGGTCTTAAGGAACTCCCTGAAGAATCTTTCCCTCTGATCCATGAGCACATCCAATTCGCTCATTGCTACAAGGATCAGGGCGGCTGGAAGGACGTTCTTAAGCGCTTCCCTGAAGGTAAGGGAACTCTCTATGACCTTGAATTCCTCGAAGATGATAATGGCCGCCGTGTCGCTGCTTTTGGTTTCCATGCTGGTTTTGCTGGTGCCGCCATTGGCATTAAGGACTGGGCTTTCCGTCAAACTCACTCCGATGAGGAGAGCCTTGGCGCCATTGAACCTTTCCCCTATGAGCACCTCCTTGTTGAAGATGTCAAGAAAAATCTTGCTGCTGCTGGTAAGACCCTCCCTAAGGTTCTTGTCATTGGTGCCTTGGGCCGCTGTGGTTCCGGTGCCGTTGACTTGTGCCGTAAGGCCGGTATCCCTGAAGAAAACATCATCAAGTGGGATATCGCCGAGACCTCCAAGGGTGGTCCCTTCCAGGAGATTGCTGATGCCGATATCTTCATCAACTGTATCTACCTCTCCAAGCCCATTCCTCCCTTTATCAACTTGGATCTCCTCAACAAGGAGTCCCGCAAGCTCCAGGTCATTGTCGACGTCTCTGCCGATACAACCAACCCCCACAACCCTATCCCCGTCTACACTGTCGCCACTGTCTTTAACAAGCCCACTGTTCCTGTCGAAACCACTGTTGGCCCTCGCTTAGATGTTGTTTCCATCGACCACTTGCCCTCTCTGCTGCCACGTGAGGCCTCTGAGGCTTACTCTGAGGCCCTGCTGCCATCTTTGCTTGAGCTCCCCCAACGTGACACTGCTCCTGTCTGGACCCGTGCTAAGGCCCTCTTTGATCACCACGTTGCCCGTCTTGATTAGATTGATGTAAAAGTAAAGTGTATATTTTTGAATGTCAAGTAATTTTTAGTTTGTACGAGGTTTCTTTTTTTTTTTTTTTTTTTTTCAACCTTTTGAAAGGTGGTGATTGAGGGGGATATATTGGAAGAGTTTCATTATTTTTGTCTACCCACCAAGTTTATTTGAATCTTTTTTATTTTTTTATTTTTTTATTATTATTATTATAAAAAACATCATTACCACCAACTATCATGAGCCACAAGGTAGTATTGATTACTGGTGGCCAAGGGTAAGTTTAAACAAAAGATAATTGGGATTAATTAAATACTAAGATTTTTTTTTTTTTTTTTTTTTTTTTAGATATCTTGGTCTATCCATTGCTAAGCGTATCATTGATGATACCCCTAAGGAAACCCGTCTTACCATAATTATTACATCACGAACCTTCCCCAATATTAAAAATGCCATCAAGGAACTCAAAGCCTATGTTCTTAAAAACCACTTAGACCGTCCTGCACTTGTCGAATTTGACTACGTGACGGTCGATCTTGCTGATATGGTTTCAGTATGTGCAGCTTTGCGTGAATTGGAACTCCGGTATGCTCACATCGATACAGTAGTTTTCAATGCTTGTTTAGCACTCTACGATGGAATTGACTGGGTCCAGTCCTGTGTCCAAACTCTCCAGAATCCTGTTGAAGCCTTTACTTATGCACGATACAAAATCCAACGCCCAGTCAAACCAACCCGTGATGGTATGGGGTCTGTTTTCCAAGCAAATGTATTTGCGCCATGGTTTATTCTGCGGCGGCTCACGGGGCCTCGTCAAGTTTCTAAAGATAAATTGGAGGTGGAGAAAATGGAAACTCCTGTTTTGGGATCTGGGTCTAAAGTGTTTTGGATCTCATCACTAACTGCAGACACAATGGCGAAAAGCCCAAGTGAGGGAGGACTTGACTTGGATGATATAGACTTGTTTAATACCCCAGAATCTTATGAAGCCTCGAAACGTGAAATTGACTTGTTGCATCATGCTACAGCTCAGCTATTAAAGGACCGTTATGGCGTCACTTCATTACTTGTACAACCTGGGATTTTTAAAAGCACGTCGTTTGTTCCAACACTTAACGTGTTTGCATATGTTGGCATGTTGCTTGCATTTTACTTGTGTCGGTGGCTTGGTAGTCCCTATCATAACATTGATCCTTGGAAAGCTGCAAATGCTGTGGCAACATTAGATGCAACCCCAAATGATCAGATTAACTTGTTTACCAAGTATGGCTCAGCTACTGACCGACGTGGAAGAGAATATGTAATGAAGCAGGTTGTTCCTGGTCTTGAACAAGGCTTTGACGAAGAAGAAGCACAAAACTCAAGTGCAGAGACTGGGACTGGTGCCGGTGCCGGTGCCGGCCGGCGCAGTGCTGGAGAGGCATACAAGCTGTATTTGTACGTGGAAGCTCTTTACAAGGTATGGGAAGAGCGGCTGGCCAAGCAAGTAGTTGAACGGTATTTGTTTTAAGTCGTAAGTCATAAATCATAAATCATAATATATAAGTTATAAGTTATAAGATTTACTAGATTGCATCATTTCACGTCGAAATCACCACAGCCTAAAGTGACTCTTTTTGTTTGCCCCAAATGAGCGACGAAGGGAAATTATTTATTCATTTATTTTATTTATTAAAATATTTATCAAAAAAAAAAAAAAAAAAAAAAAACCCCAACCAACCACCCAATCTCAGTTCTTACAAATAACCATAAATCCCCAGTCAGCTTTGAAATATATATATATATATATATCTATATAAATTCAATTCATTACATCTTAAATACTTATGTTCCTTAGAAGAACTCCACTCCAATCTCTCCAGCAGCGCTCCTCATTCCGTCTAATGTCCACCTCTACTACTTTTAAACCCTTCCCTACCCCCTCGGCCAAAGTCTCCAACTCTGCCAAAGACGTGTGGAGTCTTATCAACGAGACTGCTGCTTCGGTCGAGCGCGAGTCCGGCCAAAAGGTTGTCAATCTTGGCCAAGGCTTTTTCTCTTACTCTCCTCCTGATTTTGCCATCCAGGCTGCTAAAGAATCTCTTGATGTTGCAGCTCTCAACCAGTACGCCCCCACACGCGGACTGCTCAACTTGCGTAAAGCCATTGCCGATGCTTATACTCCATTCTTTGACCGCAAACTGGACCCGGAAACTGAGATTGTGGTAACTGCAGGTGCCAACGAGGGAATGTTTGCAGCCTTTACTGGGTTTTTAAACCAGGATGACGAAGTGATTGTATTTGAACCCTTTTTCGACCAGTACATTTCAAACATCCAGTTACCTGGAGGTATTGTCAAGTACGTACCTTTGCACCCTCCAGTGGATGGCAGTACTCGCGTGGCCAGCGCATCTGACTGGACAATTGATTTTGAGGAGCTTGAGAAGACTATCACTCCTCGCACCAAAATGATTGTCATTAACTCACCTCAAAACCCCACAGGCAAAGTTTTTTCGCGTGAGGAATTGACCAAGATTGGCGAGCTTGCCGTCAAGTATAACTTTATCATTCTTTCGGATGAAGTTTATGACCGATTGTACTACACGGAGTTTGTACGCATTGCAACCTTGTCACCTGCCATTTCGCGCTTGACACTGACGGTGGGGTCTGCCGGGAAAACTTTTAGTGCCACTGGCTGGCGTGTTGGTTGGTTGATTGGTCATCCGGAACTTATCAAGTACGTTGCAGCAGCACATACACGCATCACATTTACGGTCAATACGCCCTTGTCGAATGCTGTTGCCAAAGCCCTTGAGGCATCTCAAAGCAATGGATATTATGAAGAGCAGGTTGCTTCATTTCGCAGAAAATATTCCATTTTGACTTCTGTTTTTGATGAAATTGGATTACCATACACCGTTGCTGAGGGTGGTTATTTTTTGCTTGTTAACTTTGCCAAGGTCAAACTTCCTGAAGATTATTTTTTCCCCGATGATGTGACTGTTGGCCGAGCAAAGGATTTCCGACTTGCATACTGGTTGATTAAAGAGTTTGGAGTTGTTGCGATTCCACCAACTGAGTTTTACACGGTTGAGAATGCTCATCTTGCAGAGGACTATTTGCGTTTTGCTGTATGTAAGGATGATTGGATGTTGGAGGCAGCCGTTGAGAAACTGCGGGGACTTAAGAAATACATTGAATGATTGATTAAGTGTTATATGATATGATAAAAGAAATATAATATGAATGTAGGTCTTTTTTTTTTTTTTTTTTTTTTTTTTTTTTTGAGAATAATTATATATATAGAGTAAGTATAAACTGAATAAATGAATTCAAAGAATTCAAAGAATTATTTTTAAAATCGGATATTTGATGGCTTTCGGAATGATGGAAGAAACTCCGGCAAAGTGCTTTTTGGTGGGTATTTTTTTTTTCTTTCTTTCTTACGGATGGTTGTTGAATTTGTAAAGCTGGTAATTTGAGTGGGCGGGAAAAAAGCCAATTTTTTTTATTTTTTTTTTTAAATTTATTATTTTTTTAAATTTATTATTTTTTTAAATTTATTATTTTTTTAAATTTATTATTTTTTTAAATTTATTTTTTTTTTTAAATTTTTATCAAATTTTTATTAAATTTATTATTTTTGGCTGACTGGCTGGTTGTAAATCGGAAAGCCTCCGTCAGTGGGGGGCAGCCGTTTGCAAATTGCAAATTGCAAATTACAGATTTCAGATTGCAGATTGCCGGTTAAAGTGCAAATTTGTTTGTTTGAAATGTTTGGGTGGGGGATAAAAAAAAATAAATAAAAAAAAAACAACCCACATAATTTTAATAAAAGTTATAAGTTAATAACTAGTTAAAAGTAATATATAAAATTTTTAAGCAAATACCGTAATAGATATTTGTAAACTTGATAAATCAATCCAAAAGAAATGAAAAAAAAAAACAGTTATCGTAAGTGAGATTCTTCCTCAATATTCTAAACTAAACTAAATAAATAAATAAATAAAAACCACTTGCAATATTCAAACTTGTTTTTTTTTTTTTTTGGCCCCTCTTACTCCCCGGATTTTTGAAAAATCAGGAGATTTTTTATTATAAAAGAAAAGAAAAAAATAATAATAATAATGAAAAAAATAAAAAAAATGAAATCATCGGACCGAGTATTATTATTATTATTATTTTATTTATTTAACTTATATAAAATATGTTTATATAAATATATATTAACATATATGTTAATATATATATGTGAATATAAAATCTTTTTGATTTCCTTTTTGGGACTTTTAAGACGTCATCGGAACTGTGGACTTTAAAACAAAACTTTGGAAAATTCCAAATTTTTTTTTCTTTTTTTCTTTCTTTCCATTCTTTTCTTTTCTTTTTTTTTTTTTTTTTTTTTTTGACATTTGTGGGGAAATAATAATAAAGATTAAAAAAATAAAAAATAAAAAAAATCAGACAATAAAAAATAAAAAAAAAAAAAAGACCCCGCCATTCAAAATCATTCCAGTACTAATACATAACACCATAATGGACAATATTCATAATATAAATCTTGATCTTATCCAAATATAAAAGAAATGAATATTCCTCAGTTTATTTTTTTTTTTTTTTACTTTATTCATTCTATTCTTCATTCTATTCATTAAATAATTAAAAAACAACAACAACAACAACAACTTCTTATCTTAAACAAACCTTCTTCTATTTTCTTATCAATAATCAAAATATTCAAAAATGGACCAACAATTCACTGAAATGGTTATCGCCGCCATGGGCTCTAAAACCACCCCTAAAATGCGCAGAATCTTAGGCTCCCTTATCCAACACATCCATGACTTCTCTCGTGAAAACCAAATCACCGTCGAGGAATGGATGGCCGGTGTTGATTTCATCAACCGCATTGGTCAAATGTCCGACGAACGCAGAAACGAAGGTATTCTTGTGTCGGATGTTTTCGGTCTCGAGTCTCTTGTCGATTCCATCACCTACCACCTTGAAGCCCATGACCACACTTCCACTGCAATCATTGGACCCTTCTACAGACCAAACTCTCCCAAGTACCCCTACGGAGGTTCCATCATCCAAAAGGAACTCGGCGGACAGAAGACTTGGGTCCATGGAAGAGTTACCGACACCCAGGGTAACCCCCTTGAGGGCGCTGAACTTGAGGTCTGGCACACTGCCCCCAATGGTCTCTACGAACAACAGGACCCTGATCAGCCCGACTACAACCTCCGTGGTACCTTCACCGCAGACAAGAACGGTGACTATGCTTACATTGCTCTTCGCCCCACCAACTACCCAATCCCTTACGATGGACCTGCCGGTGACTTGCTCCAGCTTATGGATAGACATCCTTATCGTCCTTCTCACATCCACTGGCGTGTGACCAAGAGTGGGTTCCGTTCTCTTATTACCCAGATTTATGACTCTGACTGCGAGTACGTCAAGAACGATTCCGTCTTTGCGGTCAAGCCTGAACTTGTTGTTCACTTCAAGCCTGCTTCCGAGGAAATCAAGTCCAAGTATGGTGTTGAATTTGATCTTGAGTATAACATTGCCCTTCCTACTGAAGCTCAGGCCCATGCTCAGGTCGAGAAGCGTTTGGCTGAGCAGAAGGCTCTTGAGGAAGAGCTCCACGCCAAGGCCCAAATTAAATAAGCTGTTTTTGACTTGGGTGTTTATAAAAAAATATATAGTTCTTTTATAAAAAAAAAATATAAAAAAAAATTGTCTTTTGATCTTTCGAAATAATTAAAAAAAAAAAACTTGAATATTTTTAAATTGATTATTGGTGGATTTAAGAAAATTTTGTATTTACAAAATTTACCATATATGGTATATATATCTAAATATCTAAAAGATGGGCAGAGTGGATGTTTATATACATAATCAGTTATAATTATGTAATTATTAAAAGTTGTGAAATTTCAAATATTTTAAACGTTTAAAATATTTAACTTAAAAAAAAAAAAAAAAAGTTAAATTTTCAATTGTTACTACCAACACTATATACCACTAAAATACAACAACATCATCTACCGAGAAATTCAAACACTTTTTAACTCACATAAATATTGTAATATTGTGAACATTTTTAAATATAATAATGGCAAATTAATTTTTTTTTTAAAATTTTAAAAGAAAAAAAAAAATTTGAAAAGATTCAAGTAAAAGGATAATGTTTCAACAATATTGCAATATTTGTGTGAATTGAAAAAGTGTTTAGTTGTTTCGGTTGATGATATTTTTTTTGTGGTAATTAATGACTTGAGCGAATTTCCAATGTTCAGCAAAGAAAAAAAAGATACTTTAAAAAATAGTTAATTTTACTTTCCCAAAGATTTTAGCCACATTAATATAAATAAATACATATAAATACATATAAATATATATAAATTATAAAAATAAATAGAAAGTTACATTTGTTAATAATAATAATAATAATAATAATAATAATAATAATAATAATAATAATAATAATAATAATAATAATAATGTGGCTAATGGGGAAATTAACAAAATAATCACATTGCATCCATTAGTCAAAACTAAAAAATTTCTTAAAGTAGTTTAGTAAACTTCCTCTTTAGGAAATTCAAAACTAATAACTGTAATATGTAAAAATCAATAATATTATTGATTTATTATAATAAATAAATTAAAAAAAAAAAACCTTAAGTTAAATATCATTCATTGCCCACAATATATTTTTTTTTTCCCCTCTGCAATTCCCTTTTTTTTTAAAAAAAAATCATTTTAAATCATTTTAAATAATTTTAAACCATTTTAAACCATTTTAAACCATTATTTATCTATATATCCACCAATGAATATTCTGATAAAAAACCTACTTCTGCTCTATATATTCGCTAAATTAACATTTGCTGCAAATAGTGACTGCTACATCCCGGTAACAATAAATGAGTGCCAATCAATTTGCTCTAAATTTGTAAATGATGATCTACCTAGTATTAACCAGGACTATGCTATTTTTGCCAGTACTTGGAATAATGCTATACTATGCAATAACCCAAAATTACACAACTGGGAAGTGGATTCATGTTTTCAATGTACTTATTATTACCAAACTTCCCATAGCTTGACAACAACCCAAAAAGATATACTTTACAATTTATACTCAATTTGTGATGTAAATCCACCTCTAAAAGAGGTGTGTGATTTTGTCCAGGAGTCTTTAGCAAATGAAAATTGTTACATTCCAGTCACAAGCGATAACTGCATATCATTATGTACCACATTTGTAAAAAATGATATACCTAGTATCGAAGCCAGCTTATCTATCTACCAGACAACAAAAAATCTTAATGACATTTGCAATAACCCAAATATATTTAACAAAGAAGTGGCAGCATGCTATCAATGTACTAATCATTACAATGCAGACTACGCTATGACACAAAATCAAATAGCAGAACTCCACAATATCTTCCCATTGTGCAGTATTAATATTCCTCCTATAAATGTGTGTGAGTTCGACGGAGGTGTATTTTCATCCACTGAACTTCCGGATGAATCTTCCACAGAAGGTGAAACTTCCAGTGAATCATCAACCGACTCTTCCACCGACTCTTCCACCGACTCTTCCACCGAGTCTTCCACTGAATCTTCCACTGAATCTTCTACTGAATCTTCCTCTGAATCTTCCACTGAATCTTCCTCTGAATCTTCCACTGAATCTTCCACTGAATCTTCCACTGAAACCTCCACCGAATCATCTCCTCCTTCTTCCAATTCTTGTTTTGCCATTGATACAACTACTTGTCAAACTTCTTGCGACAATGTAAACTCTCTTGTTTCTGACCTCACTTCAAATCTAAATCAATATACCTCTAATACTGATACCTCATTATTGTGTCCCTTTTTAAATTCTAACGAAGATTATACAACTTGCATGCAATGTGTCAATCACTACAACGAAAATTTCGGCCTGACATACCAAAATATATTACAAGTTTTTACTGCTTGGGGAAATTGTGATGTTATATTGGATTTCCCATCAAGTTGTGACAATCCCCAAAATGACTGTGTTGCAGGAGACGAAACGTCTTGTGACAGTTATTGTTATTATTTCTCATGGTACAGTGGATCAATTACATCTAGTATGAGTCTTTATCTTGATTCAAATAACAAAGGAAACTATTGTGACTTTGTAAATAATTATTTGATAAAGGGTTTACATTGTTACAATTGTCTCAAAGCCAATCCAGGAAATATATATGGTCAAAGTGCAATTAGGATATCTAATGCACTTTTTTCATTTGCTTATTGCGGTGTAGACTTAGCCGATTATGAATTGTGTCCAGCAGAATCTTCCACCGAATCTTCCACTGAATCTTCTACTGAATCTTCTACTGAATCTTCTTTCGAATCTTCCACAGAATCTTCCACAGAATCTTCCACAGAATCTTCCACAGAATCTTCCACAGAATCTTCCCTCGAATCTTCCCTCGAATCTTCCACTGAATCTTCCACTGAATCTTCCACTGAATCTTCCACTGAAACCTCCACCGAATCATCTCCTCCTTCTTCCAATTCTTGTTTTGCCATTGATACAACTACTTGTCAAACTTCTTGCGACAATGTAAACTCTCTTGTTTCTGACCTCACTTCAAATCTAAATCAATATACCTCTAGTACTGATACCTCATTATTGTGTCCCTTTTTAAATGCTAACGAAGATTATACAACTTGCATGCAATGTGTCAATCACTACAACGAAAATTTCGGCTTGACATACCAAAATATATTACAAGTTTTTACTGCTTGGGGAAATTGTGATGTTATATTGGATTTCCCATCAAGTTGTGACAATCCCCAAAATGACTGTGTTGCAGGAGACGAAACGTCTTGTGACAGTTATTGTTACTATTTCTCGTGGTATGGTATATCTCTAACAATTTCAATGAATCTATACCTTGATCAAAACAATAAATCGGGATATTGCAATTACATAAATACTTATTTGATAAAAGGTCTACATTGTTATAGTTGTCTCAAAGCTAACTCAGGGAATAACTATGGTAAAACGGCACGTGAAATCTCTAACGCACTTTTCTCATTTGCATATTGTGGTGTTGATCTGGCTGATTATGAATTGTGCCCTACCGAATCTTCCACCGAATCTTCCACCGAATCCTTATCTGAATCAAGCATGGAATCCACCTATGACTCATTGAGGGAATCTTCTATGCAGTCTTCCAATGAATTTTTATCAGAATCTTTGACCGAATCATACACAAATCTTTCTACGGAATTTTTTGAATCTTCTTCTGAATTGTCCATAGACTCATCAACAGAATATTCTACTGAAAACCTTTCTGAATCGTCTTCTGAGTTTTCTTCTAAGTCTTCTTCTGAGTCTTCTTCTGAGTCTTCTTCTGAGTCTTCTTCTGAATCGTCTTCTGAATCTTCTTCTGAGTCTTCTTCTGAGTCTTCTTCTGAGTCTTCTTCTGAGTCTTCTTCTGAGTCTTCTTCTGAATCGTCTTCTGAGTTTTCTTCTGAGTCTTCTTCTGAGTCTTCTTCTGAGTCTTCTTCTGAGTCTTCTTCTGAGTCTTCTTCTGAGTCTTCTTCTGAGTCTTCTTCTGAGTCTTCTTCTGAGTCTTCTTCTGAGTCTTCTTCTGAGTCTTCTTCTGAGTCTTCTTCTGAATCGTCTTCTGAATCTTCTTCTGAGTCTTCTTCTGAGTCTTCTTCTGAGTCTTCTTCTGAGTCTTCTTCTGAGTCTTCTTCTGAATCGTCTTCTGAGTTTTCTTCTGAGTCTTCTTCTGAGTTTTCTTCTGAGTCTTCTTCTGAGTCTTCTTCTGAGTCTTCTTCTGAGTCTTCTTCTGAGTCTTCTTCTGAATCGTCTTCTGAGTTTTCTTCTGAGTCTTCTTCTGAGTCTTCTTCTGAGTCTTCTTCTGAGTCTTCTTCTGAGTCTTCTTCTGAGTCTTCTTCTGAATCGTCTTCTGAATCTTCTTCTGAGTCTTCTTCTGAGTCTTCTTCTGAGTCTTCTTCTGAGTCTTCTTCTGAGTCTTCTTCTGAGTCTTCTTCTGAGTCTTCTTCTGAGTCTTCTTCTGAGTCTTCTTCTGAGTCTTCTTCTGAGTCTTCTTCTGAGTCTTCTTCTGAGTCTTCTTCTGAATCGTCTTCTGAATCTTCTTCTGAGTCTTCTTCTGAGTCTTCTTCTGAGTCTTCTTCTGAGTCTTCTTCTGAGTCTTCTTCTGAATCGTCTTCTGAGTTTTCTTCTGAGTCTTCTTCTGAGTCTTCTTCTGAGTCTTCTTCTGAGTCTTCTTCTGAGTCTTCTTCTGAGTCTTCTTCTGAGTCTTCTTCTGAGTCTTCTTCTGAGTCTTCTTCTGAGTTTTCTTCTGAGTCTTCTTCTGAGTTTTCTTCTGAGTCTTCTTCTGAATCGTCTTCTGAGTCTTCTTCTGAGTTTTCTTCTGAGTCTTCTTCTGAATCGTCTTCTGAGTCTTCTTCTGTGTCTTCTTCTGAGTCTTCTTCTGAATCGTCTTCTGAGTCTTCTTCTGAGTCTTCTTCTGAGTCTTCTTCTGAGTCTTCTTCTGAGTCTTCTTCTGAATTGTCTTCTGAGTCTTCTTCTGAGTCTTCTTCTAAGTATTCTTCTGAGTCTTCTGCTGAGTTTTCTTCTGAGTCTTCTTCTGAGTTTTCTTCTGAGTCTTCTTCTGAATCGTCTTCTGAGTCTTCTTCTGTGTCTTCTTCTGAGTCTTCTTCTGAATCGTCTTCTGAGTCTTCTTCTGAATTGTCTTCTGAGTCTTCTTCTGAGTCTTCTTCTAAGTATTCTTCTGAGTCTTCTTCTGTGTCTTCTTCTGAGTCTTCTACCGAATCATATACTGAATCTTCCATAGAATCATCTACAGAATCTTCTACCGGATCTTCCATTGAATCCCCCACCGAGTCTTCTATTAAATCTTCTACTGAATCTTCTACCGAGTCTTTCACTGAATCTTCTACAGAATATTCCACTAAATCTTCCACCGAATCTTCCACCGAATCTTCTACTGAATCTTCCACAGAATCTTCTACTGAATCTTCCACCGAGTCTTCTTCCGAATCTTCCACTGAATCTTCCACAGAATCTTCCCTCGCATCTTCTACTGAATCTTCCACTGAATCTTCTACCGAGTCTTACACCGAGTCTTCCACTGAATCTTCCACAGAATCTTCCACTGAATCTTCCACTGAATCTTCCACTGAATCTTCCACTGAATCTTCCACTGAATCTTCCACTGAATCTTCCACTGAATCTTCCACTGAATCTTCCACTGAATCTTCTACTGAATCTTCCACTGAATCTTCAACCGAGTCTTCTACTGAATCTTCCACCGAGTCGTCTACTGAATCTTTTACTAAATCTTCTATTGAATCTTCTACTGAATCTTCCACTGAATCTTCTACTGAATCTTCTACTGAATCTTCTACTGAATCTTCCACAGAATCTTCCACAGAATCTTCTACAGAATCTTCTACAGAATCTTCAACAGAATCTTCCACTGAATCTTCCACAGAATCTTCCACTGAATCTTCCACTGAATCTTCCACAGAATCTTCAACCGAGTATTCTACTGAATCTTCCACCGAGTCTTCTACTGAATTGTCTACTAAATTGTCTACTGAATCATCCACCGAAACATCCACCGAAACATCCACCGAAACATCCACAGAAACATCCACAGAAACATCCACCGAAACTTCTACAGAATCTTCTACAAAATCTTCCACAGAATCTTCAACCGAGTCTTCTACTGAATCTTTTACTAAATCTTCTATTGAATCTTTTACTAAATCTTCTATTGAATCTTCTACTGAATCTTCCACTGAGTCTTCTACTGAATCTTCCTCTGAATCTTTCTTCAGATCTTCCTTAAGTTCTGATTTCTCTCTTTCTTATGAATCTACTTTTGAGTCCATTTCTGTCTCTGCCTCTACTTCAGAAATCATTTCTTCAACTTCGACGAATCATACTGCTACTGCTACTGCTACTGCTACTGCTACTGCTACTGCTACTGCTACTGCTACTGCTACCAATATTGTTGTTCAATCTGCAACCACCACTGTTACTGAACCTTGTCCTCTTTGTAAAACACATACCATTACGGAATCAACCATCACCACCGTCACCACCACATCTGGAACTGTTGTTGTAACTATTACAGAACCTTGTGAAACCATTGCAACTGTTGTTGAATCACCTGTGATTACAGGGTCTGAGACTTTTTTCACAAAAATTACTCTTACTCAAACTTCTCCGTCAACCGTTACTGTTACAGGTGAATGTTCTGTATGCAAGACTATCACCACAACAAGTAGTGGACTTACCACTTACACCACAACGTCTAGTGGATCAGTTATAACAGTTACAGAGCCATGTGAAACAACCATCACAGCTGTTGAATCTCCTGTTGTTTTTGGTAGTATTACCAGTTATATTACTATTTCCCAATCACCTCCAAAGGCCTCATCTACTGAAATTTGCACTGAGTGTCAAACAATAACCAAGACTAGTACTGGTGTCACTACTTTTACCAGTTTGTCTGAAGGCTCAATTGTTACTATTACTGAGCCATGCGAGACTACAATTACAGCAATTGAATCCCCCATTATCTTTGGTACTTTGACTAGTTATGTTACTATCTCTAGCTTTTCACCTGAATCAACTGTTATTGAGCAATGTTCTGAATGTCAAACTACCACTCTGACCAGCAGTGGTTATACCACTTATACTACTACCTCTTCTGGTATTATCACCACAGTCACAGAGCCATGTGAAGTAGTCATTACTGCAATTGAATCCCCCATTGTTTTTGGTACCCTCACTAGTTATATTACTATTTCTAGCTTTTCACCTGAATCAACTGTTATTGAGCAATGTTCTGAATGTCAAACTACCACTCTGACCAGCAGTGGTTATACCACTTATACTACTACCTCTTCTGGTATTATCACCACAGTCACAGAGCCATGTGAAGTAGTCATTACTGCAATTGAATCCCCCATTGTTTTTGGTACCCTCACTAGTTATATTACTATTTCTAGCTTTTCACCTGAATCAACTGTTACTGAGCAATGTTCTGAATGTCAAACTACCACTCTGACCAGCAGTGGTTATACCACTTATACTACTACTTCTTCTGGTATTACCACCACAGTCACAGAGCCATTTGACATAGTCATTACTGCCATTGAATCCCCCATTGTTTCGGGTACCCTCACTAGTTATGTTACTATCTCTAGCTTTTCACTTGAATCAGCTGTTACTGAGCAATGTTCTGAATGTCAAACTACCATCAAGACCAGCAGTGGTTTTACCACCTATACTACTACTTCTTCTGGTATTACCACCACAGTCACAGAGCCATATGAAGTAGTCATTACTGCAATTGAATCCTCTATTGTTTCGGGTACTCTCACTAGTTATGTTACAGTTTCTTCAACCTCCCCATTAGTTTCTGAATCAGTTGCTATTTGCACAAACTGTAAGACTGTGTCCACTGTCATCATGGGTCTTTCCACCTACTCTTTAACTTCGGGAACTACTGCTATTGTATTAACTACACCAGTTGAGACTACCGTTATATTAGTTGAGTCACCAGTTATTTCTGGCACGGTTACTGATTACACAGTTTTTTCTTCGTCAACTGTCGGATCATTAAGCAATATTTTGTCTGGAACAACTTACTTACCTCCAGTTTTGTCAACTGAACAACCTGTGGAGCAAGTTAATGGTGGAAATAATCTCTCTATAGGTATTTCAATTCTTTTTGTTTGGTTTATGTTTTTAATTTTTGTTTAGTTTTTTTTTTAAAGACCTTTTATTTAAACAAATTTTATAGTGATTCATTAATTAATGAATACATTATAATGTATTTAATTCCAATTTTTTATATTTTTTTTAGATTCTGTTAATATTTCAAAGTTCAAAATTTTTGTCTATGTCATCGTCTATATATATATAGGGAAATATAGTTTGTAAATTATGTAACATCTTTATAAGCAAGTATTTAGCCACATATTGTATACAATCTACAAAAATAACCCCCCACTCCCTTTTAAGTGGGGGGAGATCTTTAATGTTTTATTTTTAAAGTTTTTTTTATCTTTTTTTTTTTTTCAAATTTAAAATTAACTATATAGTTTCTTTTCAAGATAATAATAATTCTTCTGCCATATCTACTTAACCTTAAACCATTGATATACATATTAATGGTTTGTGATATATCACAAGTCCTAAAGGCATATTGAGACAACTGTCAAATATATTAATTAAAAGATAACTGGTAATTGGTAATTGGACCCTAACCCTATGATTAAAACAACTTGTACCTATTATATATTTAATTATATTTAGCCACATCGTATTGAGAAATTTTCTTTAAAGGAAAAAAAAAAAAAAAAAAAAAACACACACAAACAAACAAACAACACAGGCTACTACCACAAACCCGTCACCAAATAATTGGAAATATTATTTTCCAAAGAAGGTCTTTGTTTATTAGTTGCTATACTAATTATTTGTTTTTCATTATTAGATCAATATTGAGATGATAATACTTGCTTTAATATCTTCTTCTAAGGAAATTATACACTCACATTGACATTTATGTACAATTTTTTTTTTTTTTTTTTTTGTTTAAATAAAAAAATGATTAAGCTTAAAGAGTTATAATGTTCTTTGTTAAAATATTTATATAAGTTTGTATTTGATTATACCCAAATTCTATTGAAAAGCCTTTCCGAATGAGATTAAAAATACCAGTGAATCCACTTTATTTATATATATATCTATGAGTGTCAAGAAGAATTATTATGAAATTCTACTTCTGATTTAAAAGTGTCATTATTTTTTTATTTTCAGTTAACAGTTGGTGATAGTTTAAATTTCATTGCAATATGATTAAACTTTAAAGTTTAAAGTTTAATCATATTGCAATTTTCATTTTGAAACCTTCAGACATTTTGGTATTATTTAACTGTCATTTTGTAAATCTTTTCCATCTTGTCCATCTTGAATATAAATGGCCTCTTTTCTTTGAAAAAAAAAAAAAAAGTTATATTTATACTTCTTTTTACCATTTGATAAATCTCTTTTAATTCATCATAATGCCATATTTCTTTTTGATTAATTCACAATTGATGGGTCCTATTTGACCTACCAATCTTCCTATATGATTTCATTCTGTGTGCTTCTGTATATGTCAAATAGTAATATGTATTTCATTTAATCGAAACATTAGTGTTTTTAGCCACATCAATTGCTGCCCAGTCGTGAAATTAATAAATTACTAAAAGATTTGCTAAACTTTTATTTTCACTTAAAACAGTTGGGCTTATAAAAAATAAAAGTCAAGTCTTTAAGACGATAATAATTTAAGTACGTATGTAAATATAGTATACTACTTATGTGTATAAATAAAGTATGTGTATAAATATATACCCTTCTCTGTCACAATTTTTTTTTTTATTCCTTAACCCCCTTTTATTTTTAATCGTTTTCAATAATATATCTTCTACCAGAATCATGAAAATAAAAATACTCAACAAGAAACTGCTTTTACTTTCAGTATTAACAAAATTATCATTAGCTGCAGATGAAAACTGTTACGATCCAGAATCAACAGAATCTTGTCAAACTTATTGCAATACATTTGTAAATAATGATTTCAGTGAACTTAATGAAGGCTATTCATTCTATTACTCCTATGGGATGTATGACCTTATTTGCGGATATTCAGGATTTAACAACGTAGAGGTGACAGGATGTTATCAATGTATTAATTATTACCCTAATACTTTCGGCCTTACAAACGACCAAGCTAACAAACTTAACCAAATCTATTCAATTTGCGGGTATAGTGCACCTCCCGTAAATTCGTGTATTGTGGAAGAGTCTTCATCATCTATCATGTCATCCTCCGAGTCATCCTCCGAGTTATCCACGGAATCTTCCACCGAATCACTCACTGAATCTTCCACTGAATCTTCCACTGAATCTTCCACTGAATCTTCTACTGAATCTTCCACTGAATCTTCCACTGAATCTTCCACTGAAACCTCCACCGAATCATCTCCTCCTTCTTCCAATTCTTGTTTTGCCATTGATACAACTACTTGTCAAACTTCTTGCGACAATGTAAACTCTCTTGTTTCTGACCTCACTTCAAATCTAAATCAATATACCTCTAATACTGATACCTCATTATTGTGTCCCTTTTTAAATTCTAACGAAGATTATACAACTTGCATGCAATGTGTCAATCACTACAACGAAAATTTCGGCCTGACATACCAAAATATATTACAAGTTTTTACTGCTTGGGGAAATTGTGATGTTATATTGGATTTCCCATCAAGTTGTGACAATCCCCAAAATGACTGTGTTGCAGGAGACGAAACGTCTTGTGACAGTTATTGTTATTATTTCTCATGGTACAGTGGATCAATTACATCTAGTATGAGTCTTTATCTTGATTCAAATAACAAAGGAAACTATTGTGACTTTGTAAATAATTATTTGATAAAGGGTTTACATTGTTACAATTGTCTCAAAGCCAATCCAGGAAATATATATGGTCAAAGTGCAATTAGGATATCTAATGCACTTTTTTCATTTGCTTATTGTGGTGTAGACTTAGCCGATTATGAATTGTGTCCAGCAGAATCTTCCACTGAATCTTCTACTGAATCTTCTACTGAATCTTCAACTGAATCTTCAACTGAATCTTCAACTGAATCTTCAACTGAATCTTCAACTGAATCTTCAACTGAATCTTCTTCCGAATCTTCCACAGAATCTTCCACTGAATCTTCCACAGAATCTTCCACTGAATCTTCCACTGAATCTTCCACTGAATCTTCCACTGAAACTTCCACTGAAACCTCCACAGAATCCTCTCCTCCTTCTTCCAATTCTTGTTTTGCCATTGATACAACTACTTGTCAAACTTCTTGCGACAATGTAAACTCTCTTGTTTCTGACCTCACTTCAAATCTAAATCAATATACCTCTAATACTGATACCTCATTATTGTGTCCCTTTTTAAATGCTAACGAAGATTATACAACTTGCATGCAATGTGTCAATCACTACAACGAAAATTTCGGCCTGACATACCAAAATATATTACAAGTTTTTACTGCTTGGGGAAATTGCGATGTTATATTGGATTTCCCATCAAGTTGTGACAATCCCCAAAATGACTGTGTTGCAGGAGACGAAACGTCTTGTGACAGTTATTGTTATTATTTCTCATGGTACAGTGGATCAATTACATCTAGTATGAGTCTTTATCTTGATTCAAATAACAAAGGAAACTATTGTGACTTTGTAAATAATTATTTGATAAAGGGTTTACATTGTTACAATTGTCTCAAAGCCAATCCAGGAAATATATATGGTCAAAGTGCAATTAGGATATCTAATGCACTTTTTTCATTTGCTTATTGTGGTGTAGACTTAGCCGATTATGAATTGTGTCCAGCAGAATCTTCCACTGAATCTTCTACTGAATCTTCTACTGAATCTTCAACTGAATCTTCAACTGAATCTTCAACTGAATCTTCAACTGAATCTTCAACTGAATCTTCAACTGAATCTTCTTCCGAATCTTCCACAGAATCTTCCACTGAATCTTCCACAGAATCTTCCACTGAATCTTCCACTGAATCTTCCACTGAATCTTCCACTGAAACTTCCACTGAAACCTCCACAGAATCCTCTCCTCCTTCTTCCAATTCTTGTTTTGCCATTGATACAACTACTTGTCAAACTTCTTGCGACAATGTAAACTCTCTTGTTTCTGACCTCACTTCAAATCTAAATCAATATACCTCTAATACTGATACCTCATTATTGTGTCCCTTTTTAAATGCTAACGAAGATTATACAACTTGCATGCAATGTGTCAATCACTACAACGAAAATTTCGGCCTGACATACCAAAATATATTACAAGTTTTTACTGCTTGGGGAAATTGCGATGTTATATTGGATTTCCCATCAAGTTGTGACAATCCCCAAAATGACTGTGTTGCAGGAGACGAAACGTCTTGTGACAGTTATTGTTATTATTTCTCATGGTACAGTGGATCAATTACATCTAGTATGAGTCTTTATCTTGATTCAAATAACAAAGGAAACTATTGTGACTTTGTAAATAATTATTTGATAAAGGGTTTACATTGTTACAATTGTCTCAAAGCCAATCCAGGAAATATCTATGGTCAAAGTGCAATTAGGATATCTAATGCACTTTTTTCATTTGCTTATTGTGGTGTAGACTTAGCCGATTATGAATTGTGTCCAGCAGAATCTTCCACTGAATCTTCTACTGAATCTTCTACTGAATCTTCAACTGAATCTTCTACTGAATCTTCTACTGAATCTTCTTCCGAATCTTCCCTCGAATCTTCCCTCGAATCTTCCACTGAATCTTCAACTGAATCTTCCCTCGAATCTTCCCTCGAATCTTCCCTCGAATCTTCCCTCGAATCTTCCCTCGAATCTTCCCTCGAATCTTCCACTGAATCTTCCACAGAATCTTCCACAGAATCTTCCACAGAATCTTCTACTGAATCTTCCACTGAATCTTCCACTGAATCTTCTTCCGAATCTTCTTCCGAATCTTCCACAGAATCTTTCACCGAGTCTTCTACTGAATTATCCACAGAATCAACTGCAGAATCAACCAATGAATCATCCACACAATCTTCAACGGAGTCTTTAACGGAGTCTTCAACAGAGTCTTCTACTGAATCTTCTACTGAATCTTCTACTGAATCTTCTACTGAATCTTCTACTGAATCTTCTACTGAATCTTCTACTGAATCTTCCCTCGAATCTTCTACCGAGTCTTCCACCAAGTCTTCCACTGAATCTTCTACTGAATCTTCTACTGAATCTTCTACTGAATCTTCTACTGAATCTTCTACTGAATCTTCTACTGAATCTTCTACTGAATCTTCTACTGAATCTTCTACTGAATCTTCTACTGAATCTTCTACTGAATCTTCTACTGAATCTTCTACTGAATCTTCTACTGAATCTTCTACTGAATCTTCTACTGAATCTTCTACTGAATCTTCTACTGAATCTTCTACTGAATCTTCTACTGAATCTTCTACTGAATCTTCTACTGAATCTTCTACTGAATCTTCTACTGAATCTTCTACTGAATCTTCTACTGAATCTTCTACTGAATCTTCTACTGAATCTTCTACTGAATCTTCTACTGAATCTTCAACAGAATCTTCCACTGAATCTTCTACTGAATCTTCCACTGAATCTTCTACTGAATCTTCTACTGAATCTTCTACTGAATCTTCTACTGAATCTTCTACTGAATCTTCTAAAGAATCTTCCACCGAGTCTTCTACTGAATCTTCTATTGAATTTTCTACTGAATCTTCTACTGAATCTTCCACTGAATCTTCCACTGAATCTTTCTTCAGATCTTCCTTAAGTTCTGATTTCTCTCTTTCTTATGAATCTACTTTTGAGTCCGTTTCTGTCTCTGCCTCTACTTCAGAAATCATTTCTTCAACTCCGTCAAATCATACTGCTATTGCTACTGCTACTGCTACTGCTACTGTTACTGCTACTGCTACCAATATTGTTGTTCAATCTTCAACCACCACTGTTACTGAACCTTGTCCTCTTTGTAAAACACATACCATTACGGAATCAACCATCACCACCATCACCACCACATCTGGAACTGTTGTTGTAACTATTACAGAACCTTGTGAAACCACTGTAACTGTTGTTGAATCACCTGTGATTACAGGGTCTGAGACTTTTTTCACAAAAATTACTCTTACTCAAACTTCTCCGTCAACCGTTACTGTTACAGGTGAATGTTCTGTATGCAAGACTATCACCACAACAAGTAGTGGACTTACCACTTACACCACAACGTCTAGTGGATCAGTTATAACAGTTACAGAGCCATGTGAAACAACCATCACAGCTGTTGAATCTCCTGTTGTTTTTGGTAGTATTACCAGTTATATTACTATTTCCCAATCACCTCCAAAGGCCTCATCTACTGAAATGTGCACTGAGTGTCAAACAATAACCAAGACTAGTACTGGTGTCACTACTTTTACCAGTTTGTCTGAAGGCTCAATTGTTACCATTACTGAGCCATGTGAGACTACAATTACAGCAATTGAATCCCCCATTATCTTTGGTACTTTGACTAGTTATGTTACTATCTCTAGCTTTTCACCTGAATCAACTGTTATTGAGCAATGTTCTGAATGTCAAACTACCACTCTGACCAGCAGTGGTTATACCACTTATACTACTACCTCTTCTGGTATTATCACCACAGTCACAGAGCCATGTGAAGTAGTCATTACTGCAATTGAATCCCCCATTGTTTTTGGTACTCTCACTAGTTATATTACCATTTCTAGCTTTTCACCTGAATCAACTGTTACTGAGCAATGTTCTGAATGTCAAACTACCATCAAGACCAGCAGTGGTTATACCACTTATACTACTACTTCTTCTGGTATTACCACCACAGTCACAGAGCCGTATGAAGTAGTCATTACTGCAATTGAATCCTCTATTGTTTCGGGTACTCTCACTAGTTATGTTACAGTTTCTTCAACCTCCCCATTAGTTTCTGAATCAGTTGCTATTTGCACAAACTGTAAGACTGTGTCCACTGTCATCATGGGTCTTTCCACCTACTCTTTAACTTCGGGAACTACTGCTATTGTATTAACTACACCAGTTGAGACTACCGTTATATTAGTTGAGTCACCAGTTATTTCTGGCACGGTTACTGATTACACAGTTTTTTCTTCGTCTACTGTCGGATCATTAAGCAATAGTATGTCTGGAACAACTTACTTACCACAGGTTTTGTCAACTGAACACCCAGTGGAACAAGTTAATGGTGGAAATAATCTCTCTATTGGTATTTCAATACTTTTTGTTTGGTTTATGTTTGTAATTATTGTTTAGTTTTAGAAGTTTTTTTCTATTTAATTTTCCAATTAATTTTCCAATTAATTTTCTAATTTTTTGTATTAATATATATTTGTGTAATTATATCCTAGGATCTTGTTAATGTTTAAAATTGAAATTTTTTAGATGATATATCATCTATTATTTCTAATTTTATTTATGTATGCTTTTTCATGTTTTTTCGGATGGATTGGATGAAATTTGAAAAATCTAACTTCTCCTTTGAAATCTAATTTGGTATTGAATTTGTGTAAAGATTTTATTTTCACATTTTCACATTTTCACATTTTCACATTTTCACATTTTCACATTTTCACATTTTCACATTTTCACATTTTCACATTTTCAAAGTTTTAAATTTTCAAATTTTCATAGCTTTTAAAATATCAAATTTCTCTTTATAAAGAGAATTATAATTATAAAGTAAAAAAAAAAAAAATCAAAAACAAAAACAAAATTGAAATCGAAATTTTCAAGGTCATTCAAAAAAAAAAACAAAATTTTTCCAGGTTTAAAAGAAAATTTTGTTTTTCATTTTTCAATACTCAATGTAAGTTAAAATTTTCCAACTTTTATTTAAAATAAATTTGAGAAACATTCTAAAGCACCTATTATCAAGCCTTTGAAAAAAAAAAATTATGAATTCCACATTTATTTTTGTAGTAAATTTACTCGCAGCATATTTTTTTTCCTTATTTTAAATTTTTTTTTTTAAATTTTTTTTTTTAATTAATGCTTAAGTTTTTTTCCATCTTTTGCTCAATTTTTTTCTGTTTTTCCTTTTAGGCACCAAACAAACAACCTTTTGGGTGGCCATTTTTAATGCCAAAAAATTCATCAACCCTAACCCTGGCGTATCTTAAATATTCCTTTCCCTCCGCTATTTGATCGCGACTTTTTTTTTTTTTTTTCTCCTTCCCTATCATCACCACCCAATACCACCTATGCCAAACGAAGTTGAACCTTTGGATCCGATTAGGATCAAGCCAAATGAGAAGCGACGTAAGTTTTGTTATTTCTGACTTGGTTCATTTGACTAACATACTTTTTTATCTAGGTGTCGCTTACTTTTACGACTGTAAGTACAATCTAGCAATACATTTAGCTCCACTAACATAGAGTAGCCGATGTCGGGAACTATGCTTATGGCACTGGCCATCCCATGAAACCTCACCGGATACGCATGGCTCATAGTCTTATTATGAATTACGGACTTTATAAACATATGGAAATTTATGTAAGTAGCTGCTTTTGTTTTTGTTTTTTTTTTTCTGGCACCCCCCCTAACGTGGTTATAGAGAGCCAAACCCGCGACCAAGCAAGAAATGTGCCAGTTCCACACGGATGAGTATGTGGACTTTTTGTCTCGTGTGACACCTGAAAATGCCGACTTATTTGCCAAAGAACAAGTCAAGTTTAATGTAGGTGACGATTGTCCGGTGTTTGACGGTCTATTTGAGTTTTGCGGAATTAGCGGCGGTGGAAGCATGGAGGGAGCTGCTCGGTTAAACCGCGAAAAGTGCGATATTGCCATCAACTGGGCTGGAGGATTGCACCATGCTAAAAAGTCCGAAGCTTCTGGGTTTTGCTACTTGAACGACATTGTTTTAGGTATCATTGAACTGCTACGGTATCACCCGCGTGTCCTGTATGTGGACATTGACGTGCACCACGGTGATGGCGTGGAAGAAGCATTTTATAGCACAGACAGAGTTATGACATGCAGCTTTCACAAGTATGGTGAGTTTTTCCCCGGTACTGGTGAGCTGCGTGATATTGGTGTGGGCAAAGGCAAACACTATGCGGTGAATTTCCCATTCCGCGACGGAATTGATGATGATAATTACAAGTCTATTTTCGAGCCTGTAATTACGGCCATTATGGAGTGGTACCAGCCCACAGCTGTTGTGCTGCAGTGTGGTGGAGACTCGCTTTCTGGCGATCGGCTGGGATGTTTCAACCTGAGTATGCACGGACATGCCAACTGTGTCAAGTTTGTCAAGAGCTTTGGGCTGCCAACTCTGGTGGTTGGTGGTGGTGGGTACACTATGCGAAACGTGTCACGAACATGGACTTACGAGACTGGTATTCTGAACAATAAGATTGTTGGTCCGGAGATTCCATACAATGACTATTACGAGTACTATGGTCCAGACTACCGGCTGGAGGTACGCCCCTCTAACATGCAGAATGCAAATAGCCGCGAATACCTGAATAAGATTTTAACTCAAGTGCTGCAGAACCTGTCACGGACAAAGTTTGCTCCAAGCGTACAGATGCAAGACGTGCCTCGGGACGCAGAGGATGTTGGCGATGTAGAGGAGGACACTGCTGAGGCCAAGGACACGCGAGGCGGGTCACAGCAGCGACGCGACGAGAATGTGGAGGCCACAGGCGAGTTTTACGATGATGAAGATGCGACTGGTGGTAAGAATGTCATGGAGGTGGACTATAGTCAGGTTTGATTAAATATAAAAACATGTGTATGTGTTTTATTAATATAATTATGAATTATGAATCCTTATTTGGAACAGAAGAAGAAGAAGTAGTAGTAGTAGAATTAGAAGTTGAAGTTGAAGTTGAAGAAGAAGAAGAGTCTTGTTGCTGGTGGATCTGGTGAGCTTCAACGAGTTTATCGACACTTGTGGAGATTGCTCGAGCAATGGATTCACCCACTGCCTGGCCAAAGGAATGACCAAACTCGCGAAACTTTTCCATCTGGTCTTTATGAGACTCCTGCAAAATAGTGCGAAATGTATTTGCAATTGTTTCAGCAAGAGTATCTGATTTGCTTGGGTACTGTGCAAAGTAGTTTGACTCACGCTCTTGTGCTGGAGTCGGGATTCCTGGGTTTGTTGTTGTTCCAGTTGCTGTTGTTGTTGTTGTTGTGTGCGGGACTTGAGTGGTTGTTGCTGAAGTTGTTGATGTTGAAGAAGTATTATGGCCCTGGGGCGTGTCAAATGCATCGAGACCAGAAACCCCAGAAGATGCTGCAGAAACAGACGTACCAGGCTTGTCAACTGAAGCTGTTTCCGATTGACTTGAGGTCTTGGATGATTCTCCAGTTAGAAGATCAGCAATAGCTGCTGCAGAAGGTCCACTTGAAGAATCACCGTCTGTTCTGCGACGTTTACGTGGTGAATCGACTGGATCTTCATTGTCGTCATCATTGTCGTCTTGGATAATATTGAGAATCCCAAGAGAAGCCGGGTATAATCCACGTCCTGAAACTTGGTCTGGAGAATCAGCAGCAGCAGCAGCAGCAGCAGCGGCAGCAGCGGCAGCGGCAGCGGCAGCAGCTTCTTCAAGAGTTGCTGGTGGTGGAGCAGATGGGAGACTATTGTGATGGCCTGATGAAGCAGCAGCAGCAGCAGCAGCAGCAGCAGCAGCTTGGGCAGCAGCCACTTGGGCAGCTTGAGCGGCTTGAGCAGCATGAACGGCATTATTTCCAAAGGAATAATCTGTAAGTCCTGGGGCAGACTTTGCGCGGACTTTCCCAAGTCTTCTTGATGTTGCTTGGTTAAGGGAATCTGAGTACTGCTGGACGACTTTTTCAATCAGATCAATTGTCTCTGCATCATATGGCAGCTCATCAGGCATGTCTCCAGTGTGGATCTCGTTAAGGCTTGCAGCTGAGGGGGTGGAAGAAGATACACCTGCTGTTGAGTTTGGGCCTGGGGTTCCTGAAGATGGAGAAGTTGGGGTATCGTCTGGGCCCGTGTTCCCTGGAGTTGCGGTTGAGGCAGCACCCAACTGAGAAGCTGTGGCAGCTCCCATTGCAGTTTTCTTTTGATGGTAGGTAGACATGATATTTTTGACCTTTTTCCGGAGCCGGTCCTTGGGGACCGTTCTGCGCTCGGGCTTGATATGGTCATAGCACCACCAGCCGTACCGGTTAGTGACGGCGTCCCACATTTCCGGGTTCAGGTACGGTTGCAGCTGGACAACCTCCTTGAGTAGAATCTTTCGTGAGTCCACGGTAAACATATGACGTTGGGCCGTTGCGTGCACTTGCGGCGGTGGTGTGTGTAAGAAATACGGGTCTGAAGCGGCTGCTATGGCTGCTGAGGAGACGCCTGGGGTAGTTGAGGTAGTTGTAGTAGTAGTAGTAGTAGTTGTAGTATTTGCTGGATTTCCACCTTGTAGGGACCCGGTAGGATTGACGGGTTGTTGTTGCTGTTGTTGCACCGGTGGATGTTGCGGGTGTTGTGGATGTTGTGGGTGTTGTAGGTGTTGCGGGTGTTGTTGTGGATGTTGGGCCGAGACAGAAGCAGACGCGGATGCCGACACAGCAGAGCCGGATGAGGCCGAGGAAGAAGAGGAAGCAGATGTGATTGTAGATCCGGGTGTTGTTAGTGGAGTATGACTTGCAGAAGCAGTTGCGGTGACTGTAGTTGCGGGAGAAGAGGGCCCGGGACCCGATTCGGGTTTGTCCATTGTTGAGGTAGTTGTTGTTATTGTTGTTATTGTTGTTATTGTTGTTGTTGTTGTTGTTGTTGGTTGAGGTGGTGGAGGGTTTTTTTTTTTTTTTTTTAAGTGGTGGTGGTGGTGGTAGAAAATGAGATTTAAGAAAGAGCAACCAAATTTTTGAAAAGACATAAGTACAAAGTGTCAAGGCACAAGTGTCAAAACTTTTAGACACTAAGCAATATAACTTAAATCTCTCTTTCTATATATAAATAAATAAATAATGAACAAGTCTCAACTCAAAAAAGTCAAAAGTCAAAAGTCAAAAGTCAAATGTCAAAAGTCAAATGTCAAATGTCAAATGTCACATCTGAACTTCCTCAGTCATCATTCCACAAATGGCACACCGGCGCCGGACCGTCCCAGGAATCTCCGGGTTCTCCACAGCCAACGCCGCACTCCACTCATGAGTGTGCCGACCAACCCCATCCTTCCCATTCTCTCCCTTCCCAGAATATTTTCCTGAAGCTCTTGTGGTCCGACGCATTTGTTGTAGCTTTTCCAGAAACTTCTTTTCCTTACGGGCCTTGAGTGCCGCCACCCGTCGCTCGTACTCTGCATCAAGACCCTCCTCACCACCCCATTTTCGAAATGCAAACTCCTCCACCTGGTACCGCATATATAACATCATGTTGTTGAATGTTGCCTTGTGTGGGTTCGGCCTTTCCAAGTGCGGAAGTAGTTCTTCGTCACGTAGCTCAGGGTCTGTCAACAGGTAATCTGTTCGGCACTCTGTTTTGGTCAGCAACGAGTACTTTTCCGGATGTGATTCACGACACACCTTGCAAACCCGTGTCCGGAAAACCCGGTACAATTTAAAGTCTAATGCAGTGGTACCACACTCAAAACACTTTAGTAAATCTTCCCTTGAAACACCCAGTTGAGCCAGCGGTTGATGCAGCGCGGCTTCCTTTTCTCGTTCAGCTTGTTCACGCGCACGCTTCTCTGCAAGCTCTGCCGCTGTCAGATCCAAGTCAGCGTCAATGAACCCACCCTTGGAGTCCCGCATTGTTGCAAAGTTGTACTCAATGTAGTGGTCCATCTTACGTGAGAATGATGAGGCTGTAGCATCTCGATTTGACGATTTCTTGGGTGCTAAAGAAGAAGAAGAAGAAGAAGTGTCTGTTTTCTGTACTTTATTAGGTCGGTCCTTATACATCTCGCGTGCCTGTGATAGTGAAACACCGCCAGTGTCTTCTGTTAGAGTGCGTTTAGCAGCCAGTGCGGAAACAATCGACTCTTCAGGGCCTGAACCTGCAGAACCCGATGATTGTTGTTGTTGATTTGAAGAAGTAGTTGCTGTTTTCGAAAAGTCAGCGCCTGCACGAAACATACTCTCGACACTACGAGTGACTCCCTGGCGTGCCATCCTCATTCGGGCTGCCCGGAGCCTCTCCATGGCGTTTTGCTTTGTTGAACTTTCAGGTTGTTGTTGCTGTTGTTGCATTTTGGTCTGTGGCTTTAGAAATAACCACTGATTGTATTTTTTAAAAGATAAAAAAAAAAAAAACCACCAAAATTTTTTATTAACAACGACAACAACAACAACAACAACAACAACCAGCACAATGCCCCTGCTATCTTCAGAAGCCCTCAAAGAAACCCGCAAAGAATGTCCCGCTAGAGACACCCAAGTTGCGCTATTGTCGTCGCTGCTGGCAGCTGGCCCATCTGCTGTGTTGATCCATGGGGCCCCAGCAACTGGTAAGACTCGTGTTTTACAAAAGCTTTTAGAAAATGCTGCCCAGCAGCCAATAAGTCAAGACTCATCATCTCAAGACCCAGTAAGCAATCACCTGGGAATGCCTACCGATTATGTATGGGTTGAATGTGATCAATGCAATACAGCCCGTATTATGTTGCAACGTGCACTTCGTGGAATTAAGCGGGTTCTGAAAATAGGAGTTAATGACGAACTTGGAACAGACTCCGTAGCTGCCGACAACGACGCTGACTACGTTCTTCCATCCACAATTGTCCACGGGAATACAAACTTTGATGTTGTCACAGAAAATATTTCAGCATACTTCTTAATGCTTCAAATGTACTTGGCTCGCGCACATTACTCGGGTCGCAGACTCGTGCTGGTTCTTGACAGAATCGACCAGATCCCAGATAACCCCTCCGATATTATTTCCTGTCTTGCACGCACCCGGGAGCTGGCACCTGGAGCCTCCGCAGTAACAACCTTATTTGTAACATCTACATTGGAGCCACGCGCTTTACTCATGTCGCATGTACCGCATGTACGGTTTTCTCAATACTCGCGCGAAGACACAATTCGCATTCTGTGTGCCTGGGGCGACGAGATGCGCGCAACTCATGAGCGCCTGACTGCCATCAAAACTGAACCTGGAGTCGTTACTGTTATGGAGAACCAAAACTCTCCACAACGCGAGCTTGAAAACTTGCTCCGTAACAATCACATTTGCCGGCTCCCAGACCATGTCCTGGACCCTGATAAAAAGGCATACCAGCAGACCATGTTCTGGGACCGTTACGCAAGTCTTGTCGTTAGTGCTCTAGCTTCATACACAGGGTCCGATATTCGTGCACTTAAAGAACTTGCGCGCCGATTATGGCCTGCATTTATTGCACCGCTAGTTGCCGGCCGGTGTTCTGTCACTGAAATTCACGCGCTCTGGCGAGAATCCAAACACCTCTTTGAATCAGAAGCTGCCGTATCAGATACCCTGATCTACCGGTCGCTTATACCAGCCCAACAAACTCCTCAAGATATTGATCCAGCATTGACAGTAACCCAACTATCTACTGATACCATTTCTGCAGCCGTGATGAATGCCACCACAAACACGACTCTTGCAACATCGTCATCAACACTTGAGGAAACCACTCCATCACCTGTCCCTTCCTTCCAGTTTCCCACATCATCATCATCATCATCATCATCACCACCATCGTCGTCATCTCACGTTTCTGCCACCCGTTCAAGTCGGCGGCGCTCAGTTCTTCCGTTGAAACCCGCTGCTAATGACACAAACGATTTACCTTTGCAATCCAAGTACATTCTGTGTGCTGCATATCTGGCTTCATATAACCCGCCACGGTTTGATATTCGTTTTTTTTCACGTGCAAAGGAAGCACGCGCCAAACGCAGAGACACGGGCCGCCGGAAGGCGCTCAAGATTAATCCGAGGCTGCTGGCTGCCCCAGCGTTTGATCTCGAGCGTATGCTGGCGATTCTACATGCTGTTGCTCCCAATGGTGGTGAGGGTGAGGGTGAGGGTGAGGGAACTCTTGATGAATCTGAGAATGAAGGAGAAGGTCCTTATTCAGATCGCCGTGGAGGATTCCCCTCTAATATTGATTTGGGTGTTCAGATTGCTACGTTAACAACATTGCGATTGCTTATTTGTCTCAACCCAGCAGATCCATTGGATTCCAAAACACGCTGGAAAATTAATGCAAACTGGGTTATCATTAAGCGTGCAGCTGATGAGATTGGATTGGCTATAGAACATTATTTGATAGAGTAAAAATTTAGGTGAAAAAAAAAAGAGAATAAATTAATTTCAATAAACAAATAACTAAAAAACAAAAAAAGAAAATTACAAGTCAATCAGAGGTGCTTCTTCTTTGGGCGGTGCAGGAGCTGGAGCCACCACGGGAGCAGTGGCAGGAACAGTGGCAGGTGGAGCCGAGGGTGTAGGAGAAGTGTAGCCGTATGATGGTGCGGTGGCTTGCGCAGAGTATCCTGGGTATGTAGAGTACGATGGTACAGGATGAGTTTGGTAGATTGATGGGGAAGAAGGCTGGAAAGATGATGGTGCCGATGGGGCTGATGGTGCCGATGGGGCTAAGGGGGCCGACGGAGCTGATGGAGCTGATGGAGCCGATGGAGCCGATGGAGCTGATGGAGCTGACGGAGCTGACGGAGCATAAGCACCTGGAGCATATCCTGTTGCAGTTTGTTGTGGCGATATATATCCCTGGTATCCCTGGGTATAAGTTTGACCATATCCTGTCAGTTGAGGTTGTTGTTGCTGTTGTCGAAGTTGTGGTTGAGATTGTGATTGTGACTGTGGTTGTTGCTGAGTCAATCCTGCTCCTATAGAATACCGTCCATATGCATACGACAACCGATCTTCCAATAGTCTATCATAGTACCGCATAGCTGTAGTCAGTTTCGAGTTCATATCAACAAGCCGGTCATATTTGGTCACTGCGTCTGCAAGCGTACGTGCTAGTTTAGGTCGTAGAGCGCCGATACTTTCATTAAGATCCTGAAGCTTCCCTTCACGAAGAATGGCACCGGGAGGTGCGTTTTGAAGTTTTTCGACAAGCGTGGAGTACATGTTGATATTATCAGCTTCGAGTTGGGTCAGTTCCCAGCTGGGCCGTGTGATTGTTGAAGTAGAGTTCAGAGATGCTGGAGCAGCTGTTGTAGCCGTAGATGTTGTTGTTCCTGTTGTTGTCGATGGAGCTTCACCCTTCATTTCTTGTAGAGATGCTGCGATTGCTGCCTTCATATCTTCGTCAAATTCATCGTCATAATTATTGCTGGTACTTTGAGGGACTTGTGCTGGAGTGGGCTGAGTACTTGGTAAAGGTCTGGAGGAACCTTGAGTTTCCTTTAAAGATAGTTCCAAAGCACGCTTCAAGTCAGCGTCTTCTTCCTCATCAATGATAGGAGCCTGTCTATGAGTAGTTGATGTTGGCTCATTGTTCTGGTGATCTCTTGGTTCTTTATGGCCTTTGGAGCCCTTTGTAAGTTTCTCATTACAATCGTCGCACACGCGGACAGGTTGGTTAATGCCAAAGTGTGGCAGTGGGGTATAATTGTTACAGTATTTCTGGATGAAAACGCCACCACAGTTTCTGCAGTGATGTTTGCGATTAACAAACGAAAAAGGAGTACCAGACTTCATACATGTGTCGGAGTCCACCCATTCTGGAGGTGCAGCCGTGTCAATAAAAGTTGAGTTAAGAGTAGTTTTTGCGCGTGGGAATGCAAACCCCTCGTCTTTAAGTTGACGGTAAACTTTCCCAACGTATTCAAGTTGGAGTTGGCCTTCAAAAGTTTTGGCCCAGTTTTGAATACACTCAAGAGCAAGGGCTTTAACGTCTGAGTTGGGTGTACCTGAGATTGGTTTAAGAACAAGCACAACTGTGTCCATAAACTCGCGAGACGCGATTTCCACTAGAAAGTGCATGCCACCATTCATGATACAAACATCGGTAAGGTGAAGAGTAGCAATTTGAACATTAGGATTCTTGTGGAGTAGTCTGCGTTTAAGGGCTCTCATAGCATCTTTAGGCTGGACTGTTTTTGAGCGGATGAGGTCGCAGATTTCCAAATTGAGTGCAAGGTCCTGCTCGCCTGTAGGCAAGGTTTCTGCAGTAGCCTTGAGGACGTATTCGTCAATGCTAGGGGTAGATGACGAAAAGAACCAAGAGGCCATGGTTGGTATAGATGTGGATATTAGATATTATTAAAAAAAAAAGGTATGTTTGTATATATATATATAATGGATTGATTGAAAAGGAGGTGGTGGTGATGATGATGTTGGAGGTTTTGTATTTTTTTTTTTTTTTTTTTTAGGTTTAAAAATAAATTTTAAAAGGTTTTTTAAGATGAGAAAAAAAAAAAAGTCCACAGTGGCGGCTTGTTGGATGGATGGATGGCTGGCTTGCTGGCTGGCCGTCTCGAAAGCTGACGGAAAAAGCCGCCGCCGCCGCGGCCACCGCCACACGTTAGAAAATTAAGAAATTCTGAGGTGGTAACCCTAGCCCTTATCACGTGATTTTACAATTTGTGGTAGTAACAACAGCTGTTAAATAAGCAACAACTTTGTTTTAAGAGTATTCAAATTGAATTTATTTTTTTTTTTTTTATATTCAAATAATTAAAAAAAAAATGAAAACTACAATAAATGAAAAGAAAAATTGTTTTGTATTATTATTATTATTATTATTATTATTATTATTATTATTATTATTATTATTATTATTATTATTATTATTATTATTATTATTATTATTATTATTATTATTATTATTATTATTATTATTATTATTATTATTATTATTATTATTATTATTATTATTATTATTATTATTATTATTATTATTATTATTATTATTATTATTATTAACATATAATTTATTTTAATTTAAAAATAAATTGGGAAAGTTTGAACTTTGACTCACCAAGACTTATTTTCAATTTTGTTTGAGATGCAATGTTAAAATAAAATTGAATTAAAAATTGAATTGTGAAAACAAGATTTTTATATATATAGGTAAAAAATAATAGAATTGAAACTATAGTTTTAAATATATATATAACCTTTAAATAAAAACAAACCAACAATCCTTGAAGTTGAACAAATTCCATCTCATATTACCTATACCAATTAAATTAAATATATATTGACCGTTTTAATACCATAACTACACATAGATTAAAAACTAAATTTAAACCCTAACCCATCTTATCGATCAATCCCCACGTCAATCATTTCAACACACTTTTCCATCTTCATAAAACTAATTAACTAATTAACTAATTAAAAAAATATATTCAACAAAAAAATGGCAATCAACCCTATGAATTCGCGCCTCAAAGCGCAACTTAAAATGGCCATTAACCGCTTGCGTCTTGTCCAGGAAAAGGAAACAGCTCTTGCCAAAGAGTCACGGCGTGGGCTTGCTCAGCTGTTGACTGACAGTAAGGAACAGAGCGCGCGAATTCGTGTGGAGAATGTGATTCGGTCCGATATTTACGTTGAGTTATTAGAAATGCTTGAGCTTTACTGTGAACTATTGTTGGCGCGTATTGGCATGCTTGAGAGCCGTGAGTGTGACCCTGGACTTGAGGAAGCTGTTAAGACAATTATATATGCGGCTCCACGGACGGAAATTAAGGAGCTGACTGTGATTCGGGAAATCTTTGTAGCCAAGTTTGGCAAAGAGTTTGCGTTGGAAGTTATTGAGCATCCTGCTCAATATGTACAAGAGAAAATCTTAAAAAGACTCCGGGTGGATCCACCCTCTGAAGAACTAGTAACTCTCTATCTCAAGGAAATTGCAAAAGCTTACCATGCACCTTTTAGCCAGTTAACTGAGGAAGATTTAAAGGAAGAAGAAAAGGAAGAAGAAGATGATAATGAAGAAGAAGAAGATAATGAAAAAGGAGACAATGAAAAGGAAGGAAAGAAAAAGAAGGAAAAATCTGTATTGCCCTTGGCTGCACGGGCTCCTCCACATAAAAAAGTTGACAAGGACTTGGATGATTTGCAAAAACGGTTCGACGCACTGCGTAAACATTAACTATACACTAATAATACACTGTTGTTATATATATATATATATATATTGATTAATCCTTTTTGGCTGTCCGAGCCTTGGAAAGCTTTTCTAAAGCATACTTTGTACTTCTGTAAACACCTGCAGTCAAGACCCCCTTGACTGATTGCGTAAAGGACGGCCATTGGACCGTGTTTTTGATTGCGCGTGCAACTTGGCCTTGAAGGCCTGCGACGTCTGCGGCAATCTTCTGGTCGAGTTTGGAGCCCATGGGATGATCTTGGACTGGGGAGCTCGAGTATTGTAAGTAAATTTTGTTTCTGAAATCAGTAGGAAGACGGGCAACCATATTACCGCGGGGCTTGGGGTCCATATCCTGGCGAAGGGTTGCAACAGCAATGTCGCGGTTGGACTCGAGAGCAAACTTTGCCGAGGACTGGAGCTCGACATTGGGGAGCACATCGAGGATGGGCGAGTAGAGGCTGCGGAAGTTAACAAACTGGTTGTGAACAATGTTGCGAACCTTGTTAGGGTTTTCACCAAAGGCCATGCGGGGGTCGCCCATGTAAGAAATGCCAGCGAGGGTTGTATAAAGATCGAGTTCTGAGAAGGATTCTGGAAGTAACAGAAGGGCCGTACGCAGAGCAGAAATGAGGTTAGCTTGATTTGCAAAGCGGATACGAGGGTCATCACGAAGAATCTTGACTGGTTTATGTAGGCGGCCAGCGAGGTAAAGAGTGTTCCAAGATGAGAGGTCATGTAGCAGGGTATTAACATTGACGACGCCATACTTGATTTTGACACCATCGATTTCCACATATGGGTTAAAGTAAACTCCTGAGCCAAGTTTATCTTGGACAAAGGAGACGGCACCTGAGCCAAGCCAGCGAAGAGAAGAGTAATGACTTGGGTTTTGGCGCATGTTGAGAGAATGCCAGTGTTCTGTGTAGGAGACGCCAAAGATGAGATCAACTTGAGGTTTTGAAGCATCTGAGGCGGCACCTTGAGTGAAGACGCCAGATCCGTAAGCAAATGCGTATTTTATTGGGGCATTGAAGTTCCAGAGAATAGAGCGCAGACGTTCACGCATATCATTATTGATGGCGATGTGTTGATTATGGCCAAACTCTAGGGGGAGGTCAGCAAAGGAGTTGATCTGGTGGTGTTTGCCGAGGTTTTTTTCGAGATATTCGAGGTTAGTTTGTTTTACTGAGAGCTGTTTATGAGCCTGGACCTGGGACTTAATTGAGAGGAAGAGTCCATCATTGTCTACTTCTGGAGGAGGTTCTGAAAAATGGGCCTTTTTGGTGACTGGGGTGACTCTTGGGATGATGGGTTGGTCTTGGTTCTGGTTGGGTATTGTCTGGGAGGTTTTATTTGTTGGGGGGGTTGGTGATGTTGTTGGTGATGTATTAGTAGTAGTATTAGTACTAGTAATAGTAGAAGCACTACTACTAGAAGACAAGCGACGGCAATAAGCCAAGCGATTTTTCAGAATAATTCTTCTAGCAAGCATTTGGAATTGAAGATATTAAGCAAAATAAATGAATTAATGAATGAATGAATGAATGAATGAATGAATGGATTGAATGAATGAATGGATTGAATGAATGAATGGATTGAATGAATGAATGGATTGAATTCAATTAAAATGAAATTTTTATTTATTTTTTTTTTTTAATTTTTTTTAATTTTTGTAGTAAAAGAAATTTTAAAAAGGGAAGAGAATTTAAGAAAAAAATAATTTGGAGGGGGAAAAAAAAAAAAATTGAAATATTATGTAAGTGCTGAGTCAGTAAAATGCGATATATATATATATATATTTATTTGAATAGTAATAATAATAGTAATAATAGTAATTAGGCCAAACGCCGGTGGGGAGAAAGTAATTAATCAGCCAAAAAAAGAAGTTTTGATTTGAGAGGAAGAAAGGATATAAATCAAAGAAATCAAAGAAATGAAAGATTGAAGATGAAATAGTTATTAAAGAAAGGAAAAGGAAAAGGAAAAGGAAAAGAAAAGAAAGATTAAAAAAAAAGAATGGAAATATTTTGGCCTTTTTATATAAAAATGAATATAGATTTAAATTGAAGATTTAATATATAAATGAATATATATTTATGTCTCTGTCAATTATTATTATTATTATTATTATTATAATAATATTATAATTATAATATTAAAGTCCCAACCTATTTTTTTTTGTCTTTTAAATAAACAACCTGGCTTTTTTTTTTTTATTTATTTAGGACTGAATGAAGATCGGTAATCGATTGTAATTAATACTTTACATTTATTTATTATAATTAATATATCCGAATATGAATTTTTTTTTTTTTTTTTTGATTAAAGAAATAAAGAAATAATGAAAGAAATACCCTCAGTTAATTTGTTTAATAAATATAATCTTTGATTTTTTTTTTTAAAAAATAAAAATAAACAGAACAAAGGTACTATTAAGTCTTTTACTTTTTCAAATGAAATTGTTTCTTTAATAACAGTCTTTATTTAATCTCAAATAAAAAAAAAAATTAAAAAAGAGGCTTATTTAAACAGTAATAATAATAAAAAAAAATAAAAAAAATTAGAATTGAATATAATGCTTCCCAATATATATATAATTGAAAAGTCTTTTTATAAAGTCTTTTTCAAAACTTTCGTCAGTTTTAAATCAAATAATAATAATAATTCTTTCTTCACTTCAATTCCAGTATAAAGAAAAGAATATATATATTTACATGTAGTGCGGCAGTTACTATTATTCAACTCAAAAAGTAAAGCCGTCTATTCTTTTTTTCACTTCACTTCACTTTACTTTACTTTATTTTACTTTTTTTACCCCTCCATAGTTGTGTTTTTAAATATATAATAATAACCAATATACATGCACCGTCATTTTGTTCTCATGACTATCAATTATTAAAGATTTTTTTTCACTATATCGTAAAATAATTAATAATAATACTAGAAATGACAGAAAGAAAGAAAGAAAGAAAGAAAGAATAAGGAAAACGTGTAACCAATATTGAAAGGATAGTTGAGAAATTTCAGTATTGAACAATTGAACAATTGAACAATTAGAGGAAATAAATAATAAATTAAACTACTTAACTACTTGTGATCAATCAATCAGTCAATCAATGAATCAATTATTATCTAAGATATCCTTCCCCCCACTTTCAAATTCACTATATATTCAATATATTGACATATGTATGTTCAATATGTTCAATATGTTCAATATGTTCAATTGATTTTCTTTTGTTTTATTAAATAAATTAAAAAAATATATAGATTTTATACAATCCAGAAACTCTTTTTCCTCGGACTAAAATTCCGTTAAAGGATATTTCATTATTATGAAACCCCATAGACAGAATGCGTTAATTTCTTTACTTTGCTTTCTATCTTTCATTTCTATCTTTCTCGGATATATTGAATTGGGTCTACAATGGATATTTATTATTTATTACCTAACATTTCAAAGTGTAAGTTACAGAATGCAAAGATCACAAACTCATCTATTGTTTTTTTAAGGAAATCCAACGTGGCAATTTACAACTCCTTTTTTTTTTTTGTCATCCTTCTCGGTGCTTACGAATTTTCTCTCTAAATTTAGCTTAGATGGTTGGTTTCTGGGTTTGGTTGTCTTGACTATAAAAAAAAAATGTATGAGAATCTTAAAAAAAAAATAAAAAAATAAAAAAAATTAAATTTTTTTTTTTTAGTTTTGCGCAGTTTTTTTTTTTTTGGCTAACCAGCAACAGAAAAGTTGATGAACGTGTAAAAAACAGTTGATTTTTAATAGATTATGTAAGTGAGAAATGTAATCAGAGTGTAATTAAAATTAAAAATGTAATTAAAAATGATTAATAATAAAAGTGTAATAAACATTAAAATGTAACAATAAATGTAATTAAGGTGTAACAATAAATTAAGTAATTGCTTAACCCATATATTCAACATCAGAAAAATCCTTATATAATCAATCAATATATATATATATTGAAAAATAAATAAATAAATAAACAATTAATTAATCAACAAAAACTACAGTCAAAACCTCTCTCCACAAACTTATTTATTAAAGTTATTAATATATATATATATATCACCATTTTTGACCATTTATTTGTTTCCTTTTTAAATAACCATGAACAATGTCGACGATACTTCTAACTCGCTAAAGACGTCCCCCCTTTCTTCAGGTAAGTTAGTTTGTTTATTTATTAAATTTTTATTTATACATCCCTCCCTCCAACCTAACTAACTCTATAGAGGACCACCCCAGTTTGCTGGCAGTCATCATCGAAACTAACCCCCAAGCTTGGGCCCAAATTCAGGACCAAATTACATTCAAAGAAGCAATCCAAGCTTTGTTAGTTTTTATCAATGGCCATATTGCTGTAAATAATCAAAATCAAGTTTGCGTTATTGCTTCCCATCCAGATTCTGCACAGTTTCTTTACCCAATCAACAAGATAGACCCTCGTGCTGGAACTACAATAACTACTACAGTCTCTGAACATCTCTCGACATCAACTTATTCTATTGCACATGCTCAATCAATGTACAAACAGTTCCGTGATGTTGATGAGGCTGTCAATAAACAACTTAAAAAACTCTTTGAATTAAATAACAATACTTGTCATGACTCTAACACAAATGATAAAAGTTCAGCACTTTCTGGAGCATTTTCTTTGGCTCTCACTTATATGAATAAAGTCTGTGCAATATCCCAGGAATCTCGAATGCGCTCACGGATTCTTGTGCTTTCTGTCGCAAGTGATCTTGACGCTCAATACATCCCCATTATGAACTCCATCTTTGCGGCACAGTCACATCGCATCCCCATTGATGTATGCAAACTCTCTGGATCACCTTCTTTTTTCCAACAAGCTTGTGATTCCACAAACGGAGTATACATGAAAATCAAGCACCCTCATGGTCTTGTCCAATACCTTCTCAGTGCATATGCCATTGATCCAGAACTACGACCTCACATTAACCTAAGTACCCAAAGAGACGTTGATTTCCGTGCAACTTGTTTTATCACCAAACGTGTTGTTGACATTGGCTTTGTGTGTTCTGTTTGTCTGTGTATCATGAGTATCATTCTTCCCACCAATGAATGTCCAATGTGCGGTACCCACTTCCAAAAGGATGCCATCAAAAAGCTCACAGTTAGTCCAGTTGTTCAGCCCCCTAAAAAGAAGAAGAAGAAGAAGAAGGTTGAAGGCCAGTAGTTGTGATTGTAAATAGAAATGTCTTTTTTTTTGTTAGTTTAAATTCTGTTTTATTATTATTATTATTATTATTATCACCTTGGAAAACTCACCTCAGGATACCCGTGAACTTGAATCAAATGGGTCTTGCGCAATTCTTCTGTTTGAAACTTTTCCTCACATGTCTCTACAAAACACCCAAGCATAGCTTCCCCACGGTCTCTACGCAGTGCAGTGATCGGGTCATGCTGCTCACATACATGTAAAATCAGCAAGTGTGCCGACGGGAACGCCTTATCGCATGCCATGCACACGGCTGCGTGAAATTGTCGGTAGTGAGCTTCATATGCTGCAAGTGAGTATAGTGGAGTTGGATTGTCACAGCACGTTGGAGGTTGATCACATACAATATACGGTAACTTTTCAATCTTTGGTGCTTGTGCTGGGTGCTGTTGTTGCTGATGCTCATCGCCTAACTCATCTGTCTCGTTGCGAGTCCGTTTGGGCATTTTATTTTATTTTATTTTATTTTATTTATTTATTTTTATTTATTTTTATTTTTATTTATTTTTATTTATTATTTTTTATTATTTTTTATTAGACAGAACTTTTTTAGTGGTTGTTGTTACTGCTGTTGCTGATATAAAATTTTTTTTTTTTCTTAAATCTTTTTAATAAAATTTCTGTGGGCTTCCAACCGGCTTTTTTTTTTTTTTTTTTTTTTTTGTCTCACCACCAACCTACTTATTAAACTTTTTCAAAAAACCAACCAAAACCTTTTTTTTTTTAAAAAAAAAAAAAAAACAAATAAACAAATAAACCACTTCTTCATCACAATGATCCGTTCAGCCAGAGCCTTTGCTTCTGTTGCGCCACGGGCCACTGCAATCGCTGCAATTGCCCGTCCTGCTATTCTTCGATCTATTGCTGTTCCTCTCATCTCTATTGCCACTAGTACTAGTGGTAGTGCACGTTCCTTTTCGGCAACTCCAACCCCCCACTCATCTAAAACTGTAAAACTCACCAGCGAAACATACCCAGAAATCAAGCGTGCTGATTTCTCTAAAATCTCTGCTGAAGACATTGCATTCTTCAAGTCTGTTCTTCCAGAAACTGCTGTCCTTGAGGCTTCCAAAGATGACCTCGAAAACTATAACCAGGACTGGATGCGCAAATACAAGGGCCAGGCTCAAATTGTCCTCAAACCTTCCAACGCTGAACAAATCTCTAAAATTCTTCAACACTGCAATCAGCGTCACCTGGCAGTCGTCCCACAAGGTGGTAACACTGGTTTGGTCGGTGGCTCTGTTCCTGTGTTTGATGAAATTGTCATTTCTCTCACAAACATGAATAAGGTCCGCTCTTTCGACCCAGTCACCGGTATACTTGTTGCCGACGCTGGTCTCATTCTCGAAAATGCAGACCAATATGTGGCTGAACATGGCTTCATTTTCCCCCTCGACCTTGGTGCTAAAGGATCCTGCCATATTGGTGGTAATGTTGCTACTAACGCTGGTGGTCTAAGACTTCTCCGCTACGGATCTCTTCATGGCTCTGTTCTCGGCATTGAGGCCGTTCTCGCTGACGGTACCATTGTCCACAACCTTAGCAAGCTCCGTAAAGACAATACTGGCTATGATCTGAAACAGCTTTTCATTGGCTCTGAAGGAACCCTCGGTGTCATCACTGGTGTTTCTATTCTGTGCCCCCCACGCCCCACTGCCGTAAATATTGCCTTCCTTGGTCTAGAGTCATTTGAAAAGGTCCAGGAGACTTTTGTCAAGGCCAAGAGAGAGCTTTCAGAAATTCTTTCTGCCTTTGAGTGCATGGACAATACTACCCAAGATCTTGTGGAAATGCACACTGACCTTGTGCGCCCACTTTCTGAAAAGTACCCCTTTTATGTTCTCATTGAGACTAGTGGATCCTCCAAGGAACATGACGACGAAAAACTCGCTGCTTTCCTTGAAAGTGCCATGTCTGGTGAAAATGCTGACGGCTCAACTTCTGAGCCCGTCATTCTTGACGGTGTTCTTGCTCAAGATTCCACCGATGTCCATAATCTGTGGCAATGGCGTGAACTTATCCCAGAAGCTCTCAGCAAGAATGGTGGTGTATATAAGTACGACGTCAGCATTCCACTCAACCGTCTTTATGATCTTGTCATTGATGTTCAAAAACGTCTTGCAGATGGTGGTGTTGTTGATGGTGATGCCCATAACTCGTCCCCTGATGCTCTTCCTGTGATTGCCGCTGCAGGCTACGGCCACATTGGCGACGGCAACTTGCACTTGAACGTTTCTGTTCGCCGCTACGACAAGGCCGTCGAGAAGTTGTTGGAACCCTATGTTTATGAGTGGATTGAAAAGGTCCAAGGTTCTATTTCTGCAGAACATGGTCTTGGTCTTCAGAAAAAGAATTACATTGGGTACTCTAAGAATGAAGGCATGCTTGCACTCATGCGTAGAACCAAGAATGAGTACGATCCCAATGGAATCCTCAACCCATACAAGTACCTTTAAACACACACACATATATATCAAGTAAAAGTAATATCTGTTTTTTATTTTATTTATTTATTTATTCTATTCTATTTTATTCTATTCTATAATATAATATTTTATTATTTCTTTTTGCCTTTGGCTTTGGTGAAAAACCCACCGGCCTCCAGAGCCTGCTGAGCAGCCGCAGTAACGTGTCTGAACCGGTCCCCGCCCAGCTTCACCCCGCCGTACCACCGGGTCACAACAACAACAACCCCAACTAAGCCCATCCCCCTTAGCATGCCCAGCACGCGTTCTCCTGCCGGTGGTTCTCCTCCGTTATCGTAGTGTTCTTCGATAGTCCCGCTCGATGGTGAAGTTCCATGTCCTGCAGGTGCAAACTTTGCTGCTTTATTGTGTTTATTGGAACTATCACTGTTACTATTAAAACTACCACTACCACTACCACTACCACTACCACTACCACTACCACTACCACTACCACTACTGCTACTGCTACTACTACTACTACTCAAAGTACCCCCAGAATTGACCCGCCAGGCAATGATCTGATGAGTCGCCTTGCGCATTCGTTTGTCTCGATCAATTAACCGAAGAACCTTGGCTTGGGCTTCGCTAGCGGACCCAGCAGCTGCTGCTCGACCCACAAACACTGACCGCCGGTCTTCCACTGATGCCGAAGTGCTCCACCCATCTGGATCTGTAGCATCATCCTTAGTACTGTATCCTCGTGCCTGTTGCATCTCGGACTGCTGTAAACTTAATTTTTTTTTTTTTTTTCAAATGGTGGTGATGTAATTTTTTTTTTTTGAAAAGTTTCCAATATCATTTAATTGTAATATATATATTATATATATAGTAACCTATGTATTCTCTCTATTTAAGTTTTTTTTTTTTTTTAATCTAAAACCTGCCGACTTGTAAGCTCACGAATCCGCATTCGCACCACTGGTGTCAACCCCAGATCATCAAGATTCGCATAAAATGCACTCACTACCATTCCAAATGCATCGTCAACAGCCTCCTTGACTCTTACTAAATCACTCAGCGCCTCATCATCCTCACCATTGCTACCATCATTTCCTTCCTTCTTAGATTGAGCCCCCCCTCGTTTATCAGACCAGTGTCGTGGCGGGTTAGCCATGTATTTGGCCAACCCTGTGCTCACTATATCCAGCTCTGAAAGCATTTCAGAAATGCCACTTTGAACTACCCCATATGTATCTTCAACCCTCGAGTGCACCGTCAGATATGCCAAAGCATACACTCCGGCACATGTTTGACTGGGATTGGGCACAATTCGGCGGGCTTTACGTCGTAGCGTGATGCGAAGAGCTGCACCCCATCGTGATCGTGTCACAAACTCAAGTGCTTTAGGTGTGGTCCGTACGTATGCACGTATGCGCGCAGCATACAATTCTACTGCCCCAACAACTCGTTTCGATGAGGTTGCATTTTGGTCCTGAACGCTTTGGATGCCACTGTGGGCTGGTGCACCGGGACGACTAAACACATTGGTATGCTTAATTTCAATCACTCCTGGAAGTGTTTGTGTAGGTATAATGGGCTGAGCCGCAGGTTTATTTGTATCTTGTTTTTTTTTCTTGTCGTTTTTGGGCTTAAGATTTTGTTCAATTTCAGTCAACAGTTGCATGCACTCGACCCGTATGCGTTCCCAAGCGCCTGGTCGTGGATCTATATCTGTGAAAAGTTCGCGGCGTCTTTCTGGGTGTGCGACTGATATTCTGAAAAGTTCCCAGAACGCAAGCATGCTGTTAAGTTGGCGTTCACGTCGGTGTAAGCCGTCAATAAGAGATCCGTTTTTGTCGGGCGATTTTGATGTGAAGAGTTCACCACGGTGGAGCGGTGGCATGCTCAGGTAAACAGAAAAAATAAGGTTACTGAAAAGCCAGCCAAAGTTTAGAAGAAACGAAGCGGCAAATGTATGTAAGAGCAATTCAGGAGAGAGGGGGACTCCGCTGTAAGAATGGCTGCGCACAAGGCCAAGTGAAACAATTGCCGTGATGAGAAGAGGGCGAACAAAAACGTAGATTGTGGGAGTTCCGATTGTGAAACCAATGGCGATAAGAGTTGATTTAATAAGCAGTGCCTTGGAGCCCTTTTTAATCTGGTCTCTGGGTTTAAGTTGCTGTAGATGAATGTTAGATGATTTGGGACTAAACATAATGAAAAAGAAGAAGCAAAAAAAAAAAAAAAAAAGAAAAAAAAAACATACTCGTGCGTCTTTGAGGCAAAAGTCAAGACGGTCTACGTCAAAAATAATGTGTACAACAGCTGCGGAAAAACCAAGAACCACTGGGAAAACTAGATGAAAGTAAAGACTTCGTTCATTAAGTAAAGGAACACCAAAGGCATTGACAGCTGAAGGACTTGTAAGACCAATGTCAGAGACTTGAAAAAGGTATGCAAAGAAGAATAAGATTGATGAAAAGAGATAAGCCAAGAGAGAAGTGATAAAGACGCGTGATCTAAATCTATCAATGTATTCTGCAATGGCTGAAAGATAGGGTAGGTATCGGACTGGTCATGTTAGAAAGAAGGGGGAAAAGAAAAAAAAAATTCACAAGAGTCAAAACATACCATGAGTCTGAGCTTTGCGGAGAAGCGGGATAATTCCAAAAGAAGCTGCAATGAGAGCTGAATAAAAAAACACCGAAAAAACACGACTGATCCATGAGGCTTATTATTGTTGTAATCACATGTTAGAATTGAAACCAAAATTGTATAATACGGGAAAGACTTACTTTCAAGAAACAAGGTAAGTACGACAGCCATAGCGACAGCCAGAACCCCAATCAGGTGATATAGCTGTGAGAATCGAGAAGCCAGTACTGGAGATGCTACTTGACCATAAGACGGCGGTGCACGAGACACCGGGGCCTTTTTCAAGGACATTCTTGTGAGGGCCATGATGGTTATTGACTGTGGGAGTTTCAGGTGGTGATGTGGTAGTGGTGATGGTGATGGTGATGTTTTTGTTTTGATGGATTTTTTTTTTGGTAGTGAAATTTTTGAAAACTTGAAAGGTTTTGTTTGTGTATATTATTCACGTGACTTTGTCAGAAATCTGATATTGTCAGAAATCCCATCCTGTTAAAAATCTCTTCATGCTGTATTCGCTACATGATGAAGGCTGTTTAAAGCTGTTGCTGTTGCTGCTGATATAAAAAGCAGCTAAAATTCTTTTATTTTAATTGAATTTCTGGTTTCAGAGAGACATCAATAAACCCATAGCTGATTGATTTCATATTTTTTTTATTTATTTCCAACATCTTGTACTATCATCTATGAACAATTATAGAAACTCACAGGTTCCTTATATCCCTGATAAACGCTTTTCTCAGCCAAGTTCTGGCACCATTTTTAAAAATTCATTTCAAAACCAGCCATTTAAAAACTCCTCTGAGTCTTCTGCCACCTCCGGGTCCTTCGTCTACACGGACCCGGTGGTACCTTCACGATCCAGTCTAGTTGATAATACATTATCTGCCCAGATCTCCATCATGAGAAAATACTCGTCTCCAAAAACAGAATCAACATTAGCTACACCAACAACAGAATCCAGTCAATACCCAACAATGTCTTCAGGACGATCCTCTAGCTCCTCATTAAACTCTGCATTTTTGACGGACGATTGGGGGCTTGTATATGCTACAAACTTTCAATCAATGTCCAGCGACGATGAAAATGAGGAAGAAAATGAAAATGCATTACCAATTGATCTGGCAGTTCCCACCAAGCCTCAGCCCAACTCTATAAAGTGGCCTGGGATTGTTGCCACAAACCCATTTGGTCCTATTGAGCCGTTCCATCCCGAAAAGTATGCCAATGACGCTAGGATTATTCGTGAGCATGCGCATTGGCAGTCTCGAGATGTATTTGATCAGCTTTTCAGCACGTGCAGGAAAGAGCAGGAAGATAAGAAGGAAGAAACCGAGTATGGTGAGCAAAGAGAGAAGGGAGAGGAAAATGAAAATAAAAATGAAAATGAAAATGAAAATGAAAACGAAAGTGGGTATGAATCAGAAGACCTGGATAGTCTAGGGTTTCGCTTACAGAGAGACATGGTTCTTGCAGCATGCAACAATTATGATAATATGGGTACTCCAACCAAATCCAAGTCTAAACGGTCTATTAAAGCTAAGATTAAAAGTGCAATTTTTTTTCGAAAGTAATTATTAGAGATTGTTGGAGATTGCTGGAGGAAGGAATGAAGAAAGAATGTAAGAAGGAAAGAAAGAAAGAAAGAAAGAAAGAAAAAAGGGAAATCTTATTCTGCTAGTTACGTATAAGATAATGGTGGTAGAACACGAGGAGGTCCGTTTACACTGTGTAATAAAAAAAAAAAATTCTGAAGTTTCCATTTTTTTTTTCTCCTCTTCTTTCTGCCTTTTCTTGCCAACAAACAACTTAAAATCACACCACAAACACACTTCTACAATACCAACTATATACTCCCGTTAATCTCCAATCATTGACAATCATGTCCGACCCAAAGTCAACTCAAATTAACAAACTGCAGGCACTTTTGACTGATATTATCGACTCTGTCGGATACTCGGAACTTTATGGATATGACCTCCTCACCATTGCAGAAATTGAAAAGGGTACAACTATTCGCGACAGATTTTTAGATAAGTTCTTGGTGGCAAACAATTATGACGTCCAACTTGCTTCTCAACAGCTCAAAGACACTCTTGCGTGGCGCAAAAAGTTCAATCCATTGTCTGCTGGGTTTTTGGAAAAACATGATGATAAACTAAGCCAAATTGGTATCATTACTTCAGTTCCTATAACTCCTAAGGCAGCGGAAAAGATTTTCACTCCATCATTCCAAGAAGACGCAATTAGCGAAGAAAGCAGTGTTGTTGATGGTCTTCCTGAAGCAGTTGATGAACCTACGAAAGAATCTGGAGAAGCAGATGAAGAACATGAACAAAATAGGGAGGCAACCACCACCACCACCACCACCACCACTAACAATACGGCTAGTGAGGCTGAAGAATCAGAGGTACCCGCTACTTCTACAGCTTCTACAGCTTCTACAGCTGCCTCTGACAACCTTGTGGTTACTTGGAATCTCTATGGTCGCGTCCCCAACCGCGCTGAGGTCTTTGGGAATTTGGACGCCTTTCTTCGGTACCGCGTGGGGCTCATGGAGCGAGGCCTGGCAGCCCTTGACTTTACCAAACCTGAAACGTCCTACATGGCCCAGGTCCATGACTACAACAATGTTTCATTCTTGCGCCTGGATGCCCCCACCAAGGCTGCTTCCAAGGCTACAATTGATATTTTCACCAAGTACTACCCGGAGCTCTTGAATGTCAAGTACTTTGTCAATGTTCCACGTATCATGTCATGGGTGTTTAGTTTTACGCGTATGTTTTTGCCTAAGGCTACCCTTGACAAGTTCCACGTTGTTTCCGATGGCCATGACTTAGCTTTGCAGACAGGTAATGTCTGGGTACCTCTTGAGTATGGTGGTAATGCTGAGTCTTTTGATGCTATTGTTTTGCCAGATATTGAACCTAGAGATTCTGAATTGGTTACCAAATATGATCCTACGGTTAAACCAGCTGCTGTTCCAACAGAGCCAGTTCCTACTGCTACTGATGCTACAGCTGAGACTGCAACTGAGACTGAGGAGGTTGCAGCTCCAGAGCCAGGAGCTGTTCCAGAGCCCATTAAGAAGGAGGAACAAGAGGAGGAAAAAGAAGAAGAAGAGGCCGGCGATAAGACTGCTACTACTTTTGCTGCTCCTGAACCTGGTGCTGTTCCAGAGGAGCCTCTTGAGACTACCAAAGTTGAGGAAGAAGAGACTAAAGAAGCTAGTGCTCCAGAAGTGACTGAAGCTCCAACAGTGACCAAGGCTGCTGAGATTGCTGAAACTCAGGAGGTTGAGACTGCAGCTATTAAGGAAGTTGAGACTAAGACTGATGCTATTCCTACTGTTACTACTACTGTTTAAACCATTTTTTTTTTCAACCATATGGATATTTTTGCCAAATGTGTGTTTATTTATTTTTTATTTTTTTTATTTTGCTTTACTTACTATATTAATTTTTTTTATATATTAAATTAATTCTTTTTAAATTCTTTAATTTTAATTTTTTTTTTTGAAGTTTTTATATTGACTCCTTACTTAACTATTGTTATTATTTCTTTTCAAGGGATTAATTATCTCTTTGATTGACTCGGTTAAGAATTTTTTACTTGTTTCAAGGTGTTCCGGGTCTTTTATTTATTTATTTATTTATTTTTTTTTACAAGTCAGAAATTAAATAGATTATATAATCTATTTAATTTCTGACTTGTTTCTACTGTACTACAAAATATATTACAAAAAATTAAATGTCTTTAATTTTCCCTAATTTATTATGCCAGCTGTGAAGGCGCGTGGTTACTTGCGTGTGGTTTTGGAGTTGGTTTTCGGTCTGCTAGAACTTTGGCCAAAGTAGAATTATTAAACGTGGAGGAAATCCCAACGGCAACTCGGCGTTTAATAAAATCTATCTTGGGTGTCAAGTTTTGCAGTCTGGACGACTTGTGAGATTTATATGTGGTCGTGTTTGTTATTCTAATCATGTGATTTTATTTCACGCGACAACACTTCAGACACGTAGTCACCTGATTAAAGTCACGTGTAAGCCGTGCGTTCTTTAGAGGAAGCGGACTGAGACGGGCGAGGCGTGTGCAATCACATCGATGTTCGCTACTCATAAAAAAAAAAAAAAAGAAAAAAAAAAAAAGTGAAAAAGGAAAAAAAGTAAAAGAGCAAAAAAAAAAAAGTAAAGAAGGCAAAAAAAAATAAAACAAAAAAACAAAAAGTTTTTGAAAAAAAGTAATGTGGGAAAGTTGAGCAAAAATGTTGCTGTTGTAGTTGACGACGACGATGATGATGATGATGATGGTGATGTACTCAAAGGTATTCAAATCAAAAGTATTTAAAAATATTCAAAATGAATACTAATACTAAAAGATTTCAAAAAGAATGTAAACAGAAACGAAAGGAGAACTATGAGAAACACATACACAAAAAAAAAAATAAGGGGTCAAGAAGAGTTAAATCTTTAAGGGAGAAGGAAGCCCCAATGGTGATATATCAATCTATCTTCAATCTACTGATATAAATAAAGCCTATGGAAAAAATATTTGGAAAAAAAAATATGTCGTCACAGGGTCTTTGTTGAATATTCATAAAGTCTGGATAAAAAAAAGGTCCCATGAAAAAATTTTAAAATGAATATTTATCAATTTCCATATTTCCATATTTTTCTTTTTTTATTTTTACTTTTTTTTTATTTGAGATTTTCCTAATTGTGGGGAAAAATTTAAAAGAAAGAATATTTCATTAAATTTATATTTATTTATTTATTTATAAAATCAATATATATTTATGCTTAGAAAGTATGGTAAAAATTTTAAAATGTGAATAATAATAATAACTAGAAGATTTAAAAGAATCAAAAAAAAAAAAAAAAGAAAGACTAAAATAGGTTTTTTTTTTATTATTTTAGGTCTTATCTTGTCTAATCGTTTTTTAAATTTTTTTTTTCACTATAAAAAACTTTAGCTTTCCATAAAAATAATAACTATCTTGTTTTGAACCAAAAAAAAAAAAGCTTAGCTCAAGTTTAAAAGTTTTCATAATCGGACATAATATAGTTTAGTATCTATATTTATTTATTTATTTATTTATTTATTTATTTATTCATTATTTATTATTATTCACATTGCGCTTAAGCATATTTAAACTCGGCATTCCATTGAAAGCGCGCACGGCTGAGTAGAATGGTCAACAACAACAACAACAACAGGGAATTCCCTGTTTCGAAACAAGAATTAGGGGGTGAGAAGAGGAGGTTGTTGTTATTGTTATTGTTATTGTTTATTTTTATTTTTTTTTGGAAAATAGAAGAAACTGAAAGAAACTGAAAAAATTTAAACTCTCATTATCATCAATATATATATATATTTAGAAACCAGGAACGGGAAGTGGCTATGCAAAGGGTATGTTAATGCCATGTAGTCTCTCATGTTACCAATATTTTGATGCTCTTAAAAACGTGTTTTTTCATTCATTTTTTTATAATTTTTTTATAATTTTATTTCTGTTTTTTTTTTTTCACTTCCATTTAAAATTGTAAAAGTTGAAAATATAAAAAAAAAATCAAAGTATATATAATCGGTTATAGTCAAAAATATATAATATAGTTTGTGTATCTTAATTTTCCCTGACATTCTTTCTTTTTTTTTTTTTTTTTTTTTTTTTTCAACAGTTGCCTAAATAGGATTACGGCAGTTTCCCATATTGGGCTGAGAATATTAATTGACGTAACAGCTAGCCACTTTAAATTTTTTAAAGAATAATCTTGATTGAATCATTGAAAAGCTTGACAATTTGAAATAGGTGTATATATAAATATAAATATGAAAATAACAATAAAAATAAAAATAAAAATAAACAAAAAAATGAATTTTAGAGAAAATATATAATAAATATATATGCATGGTTTACTTTAAATTCAAGCATATCCTAAATTTAAAAAAAAAAAAAAAAATTTCAATTCCAAACTTGGAAAACCATTCATTCATTCATTCATTCATTCATTCATTAGCCCCCTAAACTTTTCCTATTTCATCAATATAAACATTTTTCATGTATACATTTATATTAGTTAATATGGAAGGCTTTATCATATTATGCATGTTTATACTCAAATATCTATTGAACACAATATATATATATATATAAATGGCCATTCTCTTTTTCTTTTTTTTTATAAAAAAATTATATATATATAAATATATTTTTTATTATCACTTTTATTAGCCTTCACTTTAAAGAAATTCACCTTTATTTCCCACCTTATCTTCTTCTATTTTAATTAACAATGACCCTTCTTCAAACACCTCCCCCTAAAAAACTCTCCAGCCTAGGCCCAGCCTTTGAATTCAATCCAACTCGTGCTCGTGCCTTTCAAACTCGTCGTAAACTCAGACACCACAACTCCCCATCTTCTTCTAGCATAACTCCAGCTGCTACTGTGATTGGAACATCACTTTCTTCTCACTCAGCACGTAACGCACATTCACACGCATATACTCGCGCAGCACGCGCTGCTCGTGCCGCTCGTGCTGCATGCATAGCAGCTTCAGTCATGTCTTCTTCTTCTTCTTCTTCTTCTTCTTCTTTTTCTAATACTCCCCAGTACCCAACAAAACAAACAAATACAGACGGTAAGCGCGCTGCAGCTGCGGCACTCCAACATGTGTTTCGATATGACTTGGTCCCGACAAGCTCTGGGGTTCCAAGTTCAAATTCTACAGAGGTCACTCAAAATCGACAAGACCAAGCAAAGTCTGCGCTGGTTGTTGCTGGACCTGGGCTTCGAGTTAGTGTGGTGACATCTCCTCCAGAGGATTTTTTGGTCACTACCGATTCCAGCTCTTCTATTTCTTCTACTTCAAATTCAACAACTAGCTTGTCAAGTTCTTTTTTGTCTAACACAGCTAGCAGTTCAGCAGACAGCCGGCACTACTACGATTATTACTACAGCTATTACTACAACTATTATTATGCAAATATTTACAATATCAGCTACACAAAAACTGCAGAGTACCTTGCACGAGCAGCCGCCAGCGTGCCCACACCAGAGTAAACTAAAGGTGAATTGTAAGACCAAGGAATGTTAGTGGAAAAAAAAAAAATAAAGATTTTAGTCTATTTTTTATGCGTTCCGGTCAGTTTTTTACCTATTTTCTTCCAAAAACTACTATTTTAAACTTTTTATGCTGCTTCTACTTCTACTTTCATGCACCATTCTGGAAATTCACTTGTTTTTGTTGTGACATATCAACCATACGTTACTTGAAGCTCTTTTTTTTTTTTTATCTCTCGCTCTTCTGGATACTTCCCCCTTTAGGAAGAACTTTTAATAGTCCTTTATTATTAGCTTCATAATGACCGATTGTTATAGGAAGGCAGAAGAAGAGCGAGGGAGAGAGAGGGGGTCATCAAAAGGCAAAGATGAATAGGAAAACCGATATGCTGAAATCTGTTTTGTTTTTCTGCACTACCAGACTTGAGACGAGACTATTTGAGTTAGTCTCCATGTTGTCAACCTTTATTTGCAACTGGCGCGCGCGCAAAGGAGAGAGAGAGAGAGAGATAGAAATTAAAGGAGAGGGGGGGCCTTCCACTACAAAATCCTTGTGTAAAGCCCCTCCCCCTCTTCTCAGCCCCAACCTGACACTAGACTTAATATGGGAGAACGATTAATTTGGTCTTTAAAAAAAATTTTTTTTGTCAAGAGTCTGTTTGGCTAGAAACAATAGAATATATTATATATTCTATTATATGAGTTGCAGGAATGACTTTTTTTGGTCTGATTAGCAAGAAAAAAAAAAGGAGGCCAGGAGATGTTCATTTAAGGGTCCTGTACTGTTAGTTTGAGGACTATTGGGATATCGCGTTTATAAAGTTGAATAAAAAGTTGAATACTTTCTATATATACTTTTTTTTATATCATTCATGAAATTAATATTGTGATAACCAGCTTCAACTTTAATTATTTTACTTAATTTTCTTTACTCTGTTTTCTTATTAAAATAGGTCATCTCATTATCCTTTCTAGTATTTTTTTTTAAAAAAATTATATATAAAAAAAACCTTGTTCCAATCTGAGTTATTTTGTTTCCAATTTTAATAAATTTTTTTTGAGGAAATTTTTTTTTCCCATCATGATGGGAATGATATCATTTAAAATAAAATGAATAAATTTATTCATTTATTAAAATGCGATACACATGACTTTCCGCGGCTTATTTCTAAACTTTTCATATTCAACGTCTTTCTACTCTTTTCATCCCTCCCTTTTTTTTTATTTATTTTTCACTCAACCCACCTATTTCTGTTTCCATTCTTAACAAATATATATCTAAACTATATACATACATACATACATACATGCATACCAACCTCCATTTTCTCTTGCTTATTAAAGGAATGTAAACAAATGATAAAAAAAATTCCCTTCTTTTGTCCCTCATTCTTTTTTTTTTCTTTTCAATCTTCTTTCCATCTTTTTTATTTTATTCATTCCCAAGAATTTAGTCTAACGTTTCATTATCAACCCCCCCCCCCCCCCCATCACAATCATTCAATGGCTTCTCCAAACTACTTGCTTCCTCCTAAAGATTACCAAGGACGTAGCAGGTCAACTGATCACGTCACAAGCAATACCTTTTCAAAGAAGCTTCCAACCCACCGTCATAACTATGTCACTGCTACTAAAATGCGTCTGCGGCTTCGGCTAGCTCTTTACAAAATCAAAACTAAACAAACCCGGCTTCCTCTTGCAGATCTTGCTCATACAAACACTGAATCATCCATATCTCCCGTCCCAACTCTTTTTTCTCCAGCATCAAATGTATCTTCCTCTTCCTTCACTTCAATGGACTTTCAGTACTCTTCTCTTTCCTCTTCCTTTTCCTCTTCCTCTTCTTCTTCTCGTTTCATGTACTCTCCTTCACATGCCTATTCGTCTTCTTCTATCCCACAAAACATTCCTCTGGGTCCGCCTCAGTTTCACCTTCAAACTATTCCCAAACATCATAATGTTCCTGTCTACCATATCCAGCAATATCCATACTACAACTACAATCAAATACCAGCATCAGTTCCCACTCTTATTTACCAAGATCATAGTCCTTTTCAACAACAGCAAAACCATTATTTTTTTCAACAAGGCCTTGCGCCTGCGCCACGTCTTCATACAGGCCCTATCGTAAAATTAGGTCCATCCTCTGCAAATATCTCTACACCTTTGGTCTTTCGCAATCACACCCAGGATTCTATACGGTTAACTCTGCGTTAAAATATTAAACCAAATAAATTGACAACCGAGCATTGCATTAATTATTTGCACAATTAATTTTTCCAATCTTTTTTTTTTCTTTAAGGTCGATCAACACATCAATATGGAATGGACTTGAAAAAAAAAGACCCATCAGAAAGAAGGAATTTTTTAATTTCCTGTTTTGGGAAAAAAGACCCCTTTCAATCGCATTCCTCATGCATAAGCCGCGTCAAGTGCGGCTCTTATTTGACGCGTGTAAGTTGCTCTTCAGCCACGCGTTATTCCTAAAGAAAAGTTAATTTGTTTATAAGATTGGTAGGGTAACTGTAAAAAATTTTCCACCACCAAAAATTATCACCACCACCTCTATTTTTCAAAGCCAACTTGAAATAATGATACATATAAATAATAATATATATAGATAGATAGGATTGATCACAAAGCTAGGCAATAGAAACAAGGTTTAAGATCCCCTTCTTTTTTATTTTTATAAATTAAAATACCGCGATCAAAACTTATTATTTTTATGCATTTTAGTAATCTTAATTTTCCAACAGTTTAGGCTTTAAAATATATTTTAAATTTTGTGTATACAAAATTTTGTGTTTTAATTAGACCAAAACACTGCTGCTATTTAATAAAATATAATATATCTGTTGGGATACAGAAATAACAGGTTAGGGTTTGGAAAAGGACACTAAAAATATAGTGAAATTTTTATTTTTGTTTTCTTTCCTCATCCATATTATTGTTATTAAATTGGCTGTGCCCTTTTACTACTGTTTACTTTAATCGACTATAATAGCTAACACAGAATTCCATTTAGAGCCCACGTAAATCCTAACAATATCATAAACTTAATACCTATAACTGATTATACATATTATATATACTCTTACCACTCAAAGAACAACAGCAATTATTGATAATTACTCGATGATATTGTACCGTAATGATTTTGATTTTGCTTATCACTCGCTAATTTATATATTCAATAAAAAATATATAACAGTTAATTTGATAAATATATTATGGATATATCTATAAATATACCAAATTTATTTTGTTTTTTCATTGCATCATTAGTTTAATTTTTTATCATAATAATTTATACCTATTTGCATTCCTTAATTTATAGATACCACTTGGCTCTGAGTTTACTTTTTTATTTACAGTATCGTTCATGTTTTACCTATCAGAATTTACCATTTTTCATTAAGGCATAATTGGTTATAGACTCCAGAGAAATAAGAGCTTATCTATTTTTTTTTATTTCTTTTAAACATAAGATCAAGTTTTTTTTTTGCTGTTCACCGTTAACGTACAACTCATTGATTAAATTTATGTTCAAAATTCTTTGAATTTACGTGGACTTTTAAGTCAACTTCTGCTTTAGCTAATATTAAACAGAATAGACAATAAATTAAAAACCAAAAACTAATATATATATTATATTGTTATTTTTTTCAACAACTGTCTGTTACTGTAGTACTGTTGTACCAGTAATGCTTTTCATACCTTCATCAAAAACTATATATAATATCACATGTACCATTTTGTTCTCTTTTTACCATTACTGGTACGACACCATTTCGTGACAGTTAACAAACTTAAATCACAGGAAGTCACCCTTTTCTAAATAAGTATGTTAAAAGATGGCTGGGCTCTCTATTTTTCAATCAATAAAACCAAAATTAAAATCACAAAGTGACCAAATTTTTTTTGATATAATTTCTTTTTCTTGAAGAACAATTATAAATACAAACGTTTTTTTCCCCCTTGAATTTTAAAGCTGATAAAAAAACTTTAACCAAGAATAAGTTATTTACTGTGATACTAATTATAAATGGTACAACTCATTGACAACCTTCAAAAGATTCATTTGAAAACGAAAAATTAGCAATATTAATTTTGATTATCTTTAATCATTATCTATTTTGGATTTATTTATGGTTACTTTAATCCATTTTTTGTTAAAATTTATTATCAAAAATTTTTCTTCCCCTATCAAAAAAAAAAAAAATAAACCTCACATTGATTATTCCCCTTGAGATCCCTCCAAATCATTGAATCATTGGATTCCAACATTTTTATTACTCAAATATGACTTCACTCATAAAAAATCCCCTATTAACCTTTTATTAACCTTACCATTCACGGTAAATTAAACAAGCCCATGTTAGAGAAGTTTTGTTGATGTTGCGTGGTCCATCAGAGAGATGAGAGCCGAAAGTACGAGTTGTTGACGTTAACAAAACAAATTTGGACGCCACCTCTTCTTTACGTAAAGATGTAGTCGAAATCTCTTTAATCTTATTGCTGAGATGAAAGAGAAAACTTGGGAAAAAATTTAAAGTCACAAAACGTTGAAATCTCTTTTTTAACATTTTTCAAAACAACGACAAATTTCTATTTTGTTGAAAAATTAGGAAAAACAACAACATGAAAAAAATTTCTCAGCTTTCTTAATGTTGAGGAATTTCAGTTTCATTGATAAAATATGTTTTGTTAACATTCACAACAGCAACGAAATTCCATTTTATTATTGTCAACACAACAGCCACACTACCTTTGTTTCACAGAAGCCAAATCAACAAAACGTCAAAAAATACTTTTTTTTTTTTTCAACATTAACAACCACCACGAAATCCCACTTTCTATTTCGTCAACAAAACAACTTCACCACCCTTTTCTGAGCGATTTCAAGGTTATCAGTGATGCCACACCAATATATGGTTTCTCAATTTAAAAAATCTGCTTCCATTTTACGCTTTACCAGTGTTTAGAAAAACCATTTGCAACTCCAAATGAATTTCCCATGTATCTAAAAGGACTTTTATTATCTGATAAAAATTATTATTAAATATATTATATGCCGATCTATTTAAATGTTCATATATGGTTTACACACATTATTATAATCCTCTTCATCATCATACTCTTCAGTCCTTACAACTTTACCGTCTTTTGTCCGGTATTCCTCCACAAATGATGGATCAACAACTATAGAAAGATCGCCATCATTAATCAACCAAACTGGACATATGATGTCCCTTGCAAGTACCAAATGGCTATCAGTCACAAAAAAGCTTTCAGGGTTGGTGATGAATTCTTTCTTGTCAATATAATAGCCAATTGTCGTATATCCGATATTGCTACTGTCATTAAAAAATTGCATCCTGTAATCGCGGGGTACGACAACACCCGGCAGAAACCTTCTCACCAAGACAAATTGTCCCGAAACCCCGCTTCCCAAAAAGTCTATTACAATAATATCGTCAATGATAACATGATAAGATGAATTGTCTTTATCTCTTACACGAGCATATTGTTTAATAAAAGCATTCAAATGCCTCTGAAAAAAATTAATTTTTTCATAAAATTTGATTGTGATGCTGATGCTTCTGTTGCCTGAAGCTCCACCTGATAGCAATTCAAAGATTTTCTCTTCAATGATAAGCTTATTGATATTTTCAACTGTCTTCTCACGTATGATTTTGTCATCCTCAGACTTTGGTTCGCGCAAAATTTTCAGCAACTTTCTCGAACCTACTGACCAAGCATACTTTGATGGACTAAGATTTTGAAGTATTGATTCATAAGCATATCGATAAGAAAGAGTTAAAAAAGGAGCCTTTCCCGTCTTTATTTGCCACCTTAATACAGCGCAAGCTCTTTCAGTAGGGAAGCACCATATTGCCCTAAGTGGACCCACCTCTCGAATGGCTTTAATCATATGACGCAGCGTATGTATTGGTAAAGTCAGGAAAGTTAGATTGTTAGCGTCCTTTAGATATACTTCCTCAAAAACCCTTAAAAAACTTTCTATTCCATCTTCAAGTCTTTTCAATACATTTTCTGAAAATTTAGGCAAAGAGAGCAATCGAAGAAGTTGCACTAGCTCCGTAACAATATATAAATAACTATTATATTTAAAATCTGACTTCATAGCGATACCAAATAAAAATGAAAGGATCTTTTTGGTTTGGTGTGCTGTAAGCCTAACTGGTTTAGAGGTTTTAATCCCATCGGCTATCTCTGCCATGTTGAACTTCCTTTCAACAAAACTGTAGCTAATATTATTGAAACTCTCCAAAAATTTGACAATTGATTCCAGTGCTTCAGACCTGTAAATATCTGGGCCATCTTTACCATAAAATATGGTATTGATAATTTTAGTCGCAATGTTTGGATACAACAAATGCATTAAATCAGGCGGAAACGACATATCAGGCACCATTGAACCCAAACAAAATATGGTCGAAATTCTGCTTAAGCCTCGTTTAGTAAATTGCGAGCGGTTTGAAACTAAGTTGGTTGGATTCTTCAAAATGTCTTTAAATATAGTATTATACCACTCAATGTTGCGAGCTTTTGAGTTTTGATATGTGTGGGGTTTGGAAAGGAGTAAATTATTATGACGGAATGTCGCTAATCCTTTTATTTGTTTATGGACTCTTCCACCATAGGGTCCAGGCCCTCTCCATTTTTTATTTTTTTTTGAACTTTGAGGTAGTGGACATGATGATTCTGGCATATGTGCCATAGATTCCCCTGGTGGAAAAACTATTGCTGTAATCTTCTCGTCTAAACAGTAACGGCAAGGAGAATCTGACGTATGTCCACTTAACCCTGACAACTCACAACTAGCCGGCATATCTGCAACTGATAAAACAAAATGATGCCTTACAGTTTTCATGACCCCTATGTCCTCATCATAAACCGTATATCCTAGTGTGCTGGCTAATGCACTGTCCTTAATAAATGGAAAAAAAAATGAATCCCAATCTTTTACTGCAGATTTTTCTTTTTTAGCAGCTAGATCAATTCCAGAGGGAAATGCCATCAAAGTTATTGTATTTGATGGTTTATTGCGCTCCTCAGGGGGTAGATTTAAGCATCGAGCAACAACTATATCATAAGAAGAGTTGCCAAACGTCACCGGAACAGCATCAAATGATACCAAAAATGCTAAATCCCACGGACTTTCAAAATATTTGAGGGATATTTTTTGTTGATAATCTTCACCTAATTGAGCGTTTTGAATGCATCTCTGTGAAAGAAGCTTATAAAGTTGGCCATCAAAAAAGTCTTCTACTTCTCCTTCATTTTTTTGTCGCTTGTGGGCATCCTTAATGACCCTAGACAAGCCTGTGTTTTCAAAAAAATCTCTGACTTTTTCACGAGGTGAGAAGTAAAAATATCTATACATCGGATCACGAGCCTTCCCACATTGGGCACATTCTGTCAAATCGCTACTAGAACCCGTAAATGCCATGCATCTATTGCTGCAAAAATAAACAACTTCAAATCCTGTAGACCAGTCACCACGGCGTAACATTTTCACACCATCGCTTTCAATAAATTTAGCTTTGGGAAAAAGTTCTTTGAGATTTTCTCTATTATTATGCTCTGGAAATCCTTTCAATGCACTGGCCTTTGTATACCTAATTCCAGCTTCTTTGGCCTTATCTTTATATGTTGTGTACGTAATCATAGGCTCCGAATTGGGATTAACTTTTCCAGATTTAAAAGTAAAATGACATATATTCCTGATCTTGGAAAAAACTGTTTTATAAAAATCAGGATCCAAATTTTGCTGTTCTAAAACTGTTGTAGCAAATTTGATGGCCTGGTTTAATGAAACATTGCTGTGAGACTCAAAATATGTACGAAGCATTTTTAATACTGAAATACCACCTGATAAACTTTCATTAATCTTAACATATGATATAAGTTCTCGACGAAGACCTCTAAGTTTGGGCTCTCTAATCCATTTGTCAGAAGCATAATTCATTTTATTGGAAAGTCTGGGAATGTGTGACAATCTTTCATCTCGAAGAGCAATCATTTCAATGACTGAAGATAAAAGCTCAGAAATTTGACTATCATCTACTTCTACTTTATTAGACTCTGAATTTGGGAAAGTTTCGCTACCAGAGTTAGATTGAATGCTTTCATTAGTTTGTGCATTGTTTTTTCCCGAAGAATCGGCCAGAGTAGTAGCTGAGTCACTTTCGATAAAAACTGTTTGTGGTTTAAAGTATTCATCAACAATGTTGTCATAAAACTCATCATCTTCAATAAAAATTTTGTCAAGATTTAAAAAGTCTGAATCTTGATGTTCAAAATCCGGTATATCATCTTCCAGGATGTTTTCTTCGCTAAGTTTCTCTGTGAAATCTATATTAAAAAGTTAATAAATGGAATTTTTTTAATTTTATTAGATCTTACCTTCTTCTCTTTCTTCTTCTTCTTCTTCTTCATCATCTTCCAAGACATTTTCCTCGCTGTGTTTCTCCGTCAAATCTATATCAAAAATATTAATAAATGGAATTTTTTTAATTTTATTAGATCTTACCTTCTTCTTCTTCATCATCATCATCTTCCAATATATTTTCTTCGCTGAGTTTCTCCGCCGAATCTATATCAAAAATGTTAATAAATAAATGAAAATTTCTTAATTTTGTTAATTTTATATTAAATCTTACCTCCTCCATTTTTCTCAAGTTCATTCAGAAAGTCATATAAATAAATGTTAAGAGGTATATCCAGATCTTTGGGATCAGCTTCAGACAAATGTTGATAAAACAAATCCATTTTTTTTCTGTGAACAAATTGTTCTTCGGTTTTGTTTTCCTTCAATAATATTGTAGCATATTTTTCCAAAGCTTTGAAATCAATACTCAAGGGACGTCCAGAATAATAAAAAATTTTTAGAGCCTCATTCCGCGTTTGTTTTATGAGTTCGGGATCATATTTATTGCTGAATCTATTCTTAAAATTCTCGGCCCATCTCTTTAGTTGATCAATCCTCCATTCATCGGGTGTATTAAAATTATGACGAAATTGACTTTTCCCGTTATCATCATATAACAAGCGTGTGGCAATATTTGCAACTGAATCTTTGTTAATTTTGTATCGCTCATTATAGTATTCAAGTACCTTTCCCGGATCATAAATTCCAAGGTCTTTAAAAACTATTTTTGTAGAAAGTCCATGATATGGTTCACCAATGGCCTTTAAAAGCGCAAACAAAATCTTTGCTTTTTCAATATCACTTAGAGGCCAGTTTCTTTTATCTAGGCCCATTTTTTTTCGGTATTCCGCAGTATGGGTTTTACTGCAAATCCATGTATCAAAGAGATCGAAGATTGACGTGTTGTTTGTCATAAATCCCCGAAGACAATTGTCCATAGCTCGAATTTGTGAAGGACTTGAAAAATCTGGACCACACAGCTCAAGGAGAAGTTTTGGAGTATATATATTCTTCCACTTATCAATACAAAAAGTAGAGCGATCTGGATCTTTGCAAGCATTTGTAAAAATTTCGTGCGGATCGTAATTTTCTTTTGGAGGGTCGATCGAATCAATACATAGCCAAAACTCTTTTCATTTTATGTTAGTTGAATGAAATAAAGCCACACAAAAAAGTTTATACTAACTAATTTCTGAGCTAATGAGCCCCACTTTTCTTTTAAAAATTTTATTCTGTGCCTTTTTCCTCTGCCTATTATCGTAATTCATCTTTCCTAGATATCAACTCGGGGTGTTGGTGGGTATGGAAATACATATTTTTGTTTACAGTAGGGTGGCAATTTATTAGCCGGATACTGAATCCCGTTAATGGCCGTCTTAGCTACTCGGCTATAAAATAAATTGGTATCATAACGCGTTAAAAATTGGCCTGACCATTTCAAAAAAAAAATAATCAACATCCATAAAATTGATTTTTGGCGCTAATATACTTATTTAAATGAAAAAAAAATATTAAATCATTATTAGTTTACTTTTTAAGTTTACAAAAACAAGTCCATATGTTCATCGTTTTATTAAAAAATTTAAAATCCGTAGAATTATATATTTTAAATTGTTGAGTTTTCCTCGGCTGTTCCTTCCTCGATTTCTAATTCTGAATTAAAAGTTGAAGAAAAAGAACTTGAAGTCGCTTCATCATTTGTATTATTAACATTTCTGTTTGAAAAAATGAAACGAACCAGTTTTTTAGAAAAATAGTAAAACTTTTGGTTAAGTCTGGTAGCTATAAATGTGTCCCATGACTGAGCAGATTGTTTAATTTCTCCTTTTTTAGAATAGTCTTGCAAAGTTGATATCATATCAGATGGATTCAGTATCTTAGTATTTGGCTTGCCTTTAGTTTTTTTTTCCAAAGTAAAAAGATACAATAAAGATCCTTTAGGGTTATTAACTTTATTCTTTTCAACATGAACTTGCCTTTTATAGCGCCCTGCTTCACGAGTAATTTTCTTATTCGAAAATGCTCTAGGAAGATAAGCAATCAACTTTTCATAGACACAGGATCAATACTTTTGAAAAATTCAAAAAAAAACTCTCCTCTGGAATAAGTTTGATGCAATGGTTATAAATGGCCAGATATTTATCCTTACTGGAATCCACAATAAATTCAGATATCAACTCCTCAGAAGGAATGTGTAGCTCTTTATTCACAATTTCTCTCCACATATTTTCCTCCTCTACTTTTCCTTCCTGGATGATGTTGGAAAGATTTGGATAAAGATTAAAGAAATCAAAATTAATCAATAGTGTTTCAAATATAAACCTGTCAGACCAATAAGGACAAGAATCATTACTAGCTAAAACCTCATCATGGATATTGTTTTCAGCTTGTCCTAGTTCTTTTTTTTGATGGCTCAATTTATCAAAAAACATTAGCACATTTCTCCTTAAAAACTGAGCTGCCGAAGCTTCTTTATAAGTGGTAATAAAATAATTTTTGAATTCATCAGTTAATTCCAATTCACCCTTATAATCAATGGAAGTATTTCTCTTGTTTTTTTTTTTTTTCTGGCATGGCTTAAGAGAAGGATTTTCGGATACTTCTTTTCCAATAAGAGTTCGAAGTACTAATAAACTTTCACCAAAGTACTGTGGTAATGACTGTTCACTTTGTAGCCAATTTAGAATACCATCAGATGATAAATAAGCCCCACATATGCATGTCGCGTTTAAAGCCAATTGTACTCCGCAGCTTCTATCATCATTTTGAATGTGCAGCGTTTTAAACGTTAGATCCTCAATTGATAAAGGCTTTGAGAGTGGTGTAGTATCAGTAGTAAAACAGCTAGAAGTGTAAAGGTTTTGTCGAAGCAAATTAAGATTAGATAGAAAAACTTCTAAATCAAAATGTTGACTCTTTTGAGAAGCATTTTCAAAAAATGATTCCTTAGATGAATTTAAGGAATCACTGACAAAAACTTGAAAGCTGTCACTAATTGGACGACAATAAACAAAAACAAGAGACCAGTGATTCATGTAATTAATAGGTAGAAATAAACCAAACTCTTGATCAACGTTTCCGGCTTGAAAGGACTGGAACCATGAAGATCGCTCAAACGTAGTTCTAAGATATTTCTCAAAATCATTGTTATTTGTATAAGAAAAAGAAGGGAAAAAGTATAAAAGGGAGTGATTAGCATGAGAGGAGACAGCACAATTTCTATTAAAAAATAGCTCTACATTAGATGGATTTTTCTTTTTCTCAATGGCTATACAAGCTGCAAAAACCCACAAAATGCTGAAATTTGTAAGTTTATCACTAACAACATCTACCATGTCCAATTGGGTAAGCTCAGAAAGGAAAGGGGTACCCGTGGGCATTTCAATCAAAACAGCTTTTTCAAACGGCTGCTGCAAAAAGGGTGACATATTTAGAGTTGACGAAGGAACTTTTTTGACATCCATATCAAGCGTCAAATCGATCACTTTAGGCTCTGTGGTAGACAGTGACTCGGTGCTAGATTTTGCATGTTGTATAATATCTTCATTTGGAAATTTCTTGACATTTTTTTCTTTTTTAATCATAATATTAATATTAGAAGAAATAGAGGTTGGAGTAGCAGGAGTTTGAGTAGAATCAATGGCAGAAGAAATAGAGGCTGGAGTAGCAGGAGTTTGAGTAGAATCAATGGCAGAAGAAATAGAGGCTGGAGTAGCAAGAGTTTGAGTAGAATCAATGGCAAAGGAAATAGAGGCTGGAGTAGCAGGAGTTTGAGTAGAATCAATGGCAAAAGAAATAGAGGCTGGAGTAGCAGGAGTTTGAGTAGAATCAATGGCAGAGGAAATAGAAGCTGGAGTAGCAAGCGTTTGAGTAGAATCAATGACAGAAGAAATAGAAGCTGGAGTAGCAGGAGTTTGAGTAGAATCAATGGCAGAAGAAATAGAGGCTGGAGTAGCAGGAGTTTGAGTAGAATCAATGGCAGAAGAAATAGAACCTGAAGTAGCAAAACATTTAAAAATATTCAAAGAATCAGCAGTAGTAAAAATTCTATTAGGGCCAGAAGAACCGATATTAGAGGAAATAGAGGCTGGAGTAGCAGGAGTTTGAGTAGAATCAATGGCAGAAGAAATAGAGGCTGGAGTAGCAGGAGTTTGAGTAGAATCAATGGCAGAAGAAATAGAGGCTGGAGTAGCAGGAGTTTGAGTAGAATCAATGGCAGAAGAAATAGAGGCTGGAGTAGCAGGAGTTTGAGTAGAATCAATGGCAGAAGAAATAGAGGCTGGAGTAGCAGGAGTTTGAGTAGAATCAATGGCAGAAGAAATAGAGGCTGGAGTAGCAGGAGTTTGAGTAGAATCAATGGCAGAAGAAATAGAGGCTGGAGTAGCAGGAGTTTGAGTAGAATCAATGGCAGAAGAAATAGAGACTGGAGTAGCAGGAGTTTGAGTAGAATCAATGGCAGAAGAAATAGAGGCTGGAGTAGCAGGAGTTTGAGTAGTTGAGGGCTTTATATTTTGTTTTCTTTTTTTTCTTTTAGGGGCTGAAAGAGGTGGGGCCAAGCTGATCTCGGCATCGTTGATGATTTGAGATCTAGTTCTTCGAGACATGATGATGAAATTGACAATTTTAAAGCTTTAACTTTTTATCCTTTAGAAGCTGAAAAGAAACGTAACTCAATAAGTTTTCACAAGTTATGATTTTAAGTTATGATGAAAGTGAAATATTTTCTTTGTGAACGTTAGGAAGAGTACTTTTGCCAGTGAAAAATTTTCTTCCTAGGAAAATTGACTCCCCGAAAATATATTTCAGTGACTTTACAAAACTATTAATGGATTATGTAATATAAACGAATAAATGAAATATTTCGTTTAAGAAAAAAAAAGTATAAATAGACAGAAAATTTCTCATATCCTCTTCTTCTCTTTTCTTCCTACATATCTTTCAACCAATTTTTATTTTAAAAATGACAGACTATATAAAAGTAAGAATGACACAAACAGACTATTGCTGAAGATGATAGTGAATTTTGAATATAATAAAACTGACATAGCAGCTTTCATATTCTACCATTGATGAATATCATTTTGATACCGGTATAGATATGACAAACTTAGCTTCAAAAAGCGACGACCCACTTGAAAATGAAGACATTATTGATGTAAGTAAATGCGTGCCTATATGACTATTCGCCTACTAAATAACTTTTAGAAATTAAGAAACGGGCTTATAGCAGCAACAATAGTTGCAAAGAAATCAGAAATCGCTTATAACAATATCGATGATACCTTGAACACTTGGAACAATTTTACAAAAAATAATTGGTGAACGCGATGACACGATAAAAAACAGTAAGCAAACATTAATATATTTTCACACTAATAATTTAGAAGTCCCGTCGCAACGCAAGCCTTTAAGCCCCGTCCAAATCCCTTCAACGCTACTACGCTAAGAAGCTCCGTTATAAAATTCTAACTAACCCTTTAATAAGAAGCTCGGTTGAAATTTTTTTAACCCTAACCCTATGGAAGCAATACTCGAATCCCAGCCTTATTGGATATTTTTGATTAGTATCAAGAATCTATTCTATTGGATGCTTTTGATTAGCATCATTAATATGTAATATTTATAGGTTTTTATGTAATATGTAATATGTAAATTGTAATAAAAATTTCAAATTCCCTTTTAATTTTGATTTCAATTCAGATTTTTGGCATTATTGTGAAAGTTGCCTTAATTAGTGAATATCAGCTATATTAAAGTTGCGTTGGTTGGTAAAAATCAGCCATGTCAATGTTGTGTTGAGAGAGAAGTGTTAGCCATGTCAATGTTGTGTTGAGAGAGAAGTGTTAGCCATGTCAATGTTGTGTTGAGAGAGAAGTGTTAGCCATGTCAATGTTGTGTCGGCAGCGGTTTCACCTTCTTATCAACATTGTTAACTCTGTCGTCAACCACTTTGTTTATTTATAAAAAATTGCACTTTAATTGGTGTTCTGGTTGTTGAAATGGCTGTCCAAACTCCTTTATACACAACATTCACAAGAAAATTAATTTCATATTGAAAATACACGGTTTCCACTTGGAATGGGTTTTTTTTAATATTAACAAAATCAATAGTCTAGTTGTAATCTATATCATCATATTACTCATATAAATCATTTTCATCTCTAATAATTGGGTTTAAGAGTCTATTTTTGACGGTTGTTGTTGTCGTGACATGGGTGCGACTGACTATTGAATGGAAACTTAATCAATTTTTAAACAAATTTAATAGCCTAGTCTTTGTTTAAATCATCATATCACCCTTGTTTATGATTCACATCCTTGAGAATTGGGCTTAAGGGTCTCATTTTGACGTTTTTTGTCGTCGTGAAATGGGTGCCAAAAGTCAAAAAGTGAATTTTTTCAATTTTTAAGTAAATTAATAGTCTAGTCTTCATTTAAATCATTATATTAATCTTATATATCAATTTCATCATTAATAATTGAGTTTAAGGGTCTATTCTTGACGTTTGTTGTCGTCGTGAATTGGGTGCGATTTTGGTCCAAAGCTGCTTTGTCAGCGATGAAAAGATTGGGTGAAATCAGCCATCTTAACGCTAAGAACAAATTCGCAAAATTACACTTTTAGGTTTTCCGTGTCTCGTTTTAGGTTTTGTAATTTTAAACAAATACATATTTTGGTGGATGACATTAATAATCAGAAAATAATATTAAAGTATATGGCTTTCTGAATTTTTAGAAAACATTCCACACCTTACTGCTTTCTTAACTAAAAGAAAAGAATTTTTTGAATTGCTTTATCATATTATAGAAAACATTCCTCCCTTCACTGCTTTCTTAACTAAAAAAAAAGAATTTTTTGAATTGCTTTATCATATTAAATAAAGCCAAAACAAGGTTAAAGTCCAATTGATAATTTCACTTCTTTCTCAACGTTTAAAAAAACGTCCATTTCAAATATTTCAAATATTTAAGAAAGTACTAAATATCTCTTCAGCTTTTTGATATCAACTAAACAAGTCTCCTTAAAATTTTTTAAAAATTGGGAAAACGTAATTTAATTCTCCACTTCACAAATGCAATGAAACGGTTTCTTAGAAGACTTTCTTTTCCTTTAGAAACCCCCACACAGACATTTCAAAATAGGAAATAAAATTTATAAATAATTCAAGTATAAAATTTATAAATAATTTCAAGTATATATTTAAACCAATTAAATATTCGTGTACTGCTTACAAACATGATTGAAATCCTCCTCATCATCATATTCCTCAATTCTGGCTATTGTACCATCGCTTCTTTTGTATTCTTCCACAAATGATGGATCTACAAATATCGATAACTCTCCATCATTAATGGGCCAAACTGGGCATATAACATCTCTAACTTCGATAACACGAGAGAGTGGTGAAAAAAATTTTGAAGGCTCACGAACAAAGTCTTTATTGTCAATATAATAACCAATAATCGAATAGCCACTATTATTATCACTGTTTCCAAAAAATTGCAGTTTGTAATTGCGAGGCTTCACAACACCAATTTGAAATTCCTTTACCACAGCAAACTTGGTGGGAATTCCTGGACCCAAAGAGTCAATTTCAACAATATCTTCAATCATTACATGACTAGAAGAGTTGTTTTTATTTTTGATCCGTGCATACTTGTTAATGTACGCAGAAAGGTCTCTTTGAAAAAAAGGATCCTTTTGTAAAACTTAGCCTTAATATTATGGGATCCACCACAAGCTTCCAGACTTCGCTCATCATTTTCAAGATATTTCATGATCATTTCAGTAACTTCAATTTGCCTTGTTATTTCTAGCTCAGTTTGTGGCTTATATTTGAGGTTCCTAGGCAACTTGGCACCAATTGAAAATTCGCATACTGATCCGGAAAGACTGTTAAGTATTGATTGATAAATATAATGTTGAACTGTGACACGGGAAGTCATGATAATAATAGAAAATATTATCCAAGAAAAGTATATATTGAAATATATAAGATAAAACAGTTGTATAAGAAGAAAGAAAAAGGAAAAGAAAAATTATAAAAGTTTGGGAAGAAACCTTCCTTAAATATCCAAGGGAAAGAAAAATTTGCAGTGGTGAAAATTTTTCATTTGGGTTTGTCCCAAAGTTGAGTGGGTTTGTATTACACTTCAACTTTGTAACAAATTAAGGAGGGTAACCACAGTCACATAAGGGCTTAAACCTAATGCGGCTAAAACTAAAATAAACATAGGTTATCAACCATAGTTTCCCACCCAAACTCACGTGCATTATCAACTGCACTAGTCTGCGACAACATTGCATGCTCAACACCTCCCCTTGTCGCAGAATCACCTACTGCCTTCATACCAAGTAGTCCCCTTAATGTCTCAAACTTCACACGACCAAGATTCTTAGTGAACATATCTGCCAACATCACTTGAGTATCAAGATACTCCAGATGAATCACTCCACTGCGAATATAGTGACGGACAACATGATAACGAACATCAATATGCTTGGTGCGACGATGAAACACTGGGTTCTGAGCCAAAGCAATACATCCCTGATTGTCCTCAAACATAGTCACTGGCAAAGGAATAGGAATCTTGCAAAGAGACAACAACTGATTAATCCAGAAGCATTCCTTAGACGCATCAGACAATGACATGTACTCAGACTCGACGCTGGACGATGCAGGACTAACTTGCTTTCGACAAGCCCAAGTAATGGGACCACCAGACAGAATGAAAACATACCCAGTAAAGGACTTACGGTCCTGTTTGTCCTGTGCATAGTCGGCATCACTATAACCAACAAGCTTGTAGACTTTCTGAGCTCGATATTCAAGACCAAGTTCAGCAGTACCCTTGAGATAACGAAGAGTATGCTTAGCAGCTTCCATATGAATAGACTTAGGACTCTGCATATATCGACAAAGAAAGCTAACAGCAACAGCAAGATCAGGACGAGCACAATTAGCAGCATAAATCAGCTTGCCAATAATACTGCGATACATGGAGGCATCGGTAGCAGAGTCAGACTCGGAAAAGTCAGAAAGATCACGAGTGGGTAAAGGAGTCTTGACACTTGAACAATTCTGCATACCAAACTCTTCCAACATATCAAAAATATAACGCGAAACATCCACAGTAATATGGTAAGGTGACTGCTTAACTCTCATGCCAAGGAACTGCTCGACTGGACCCAAGTCTTTCATCTTGAACATAGATGACAAAGACGACTTGGTTTTGGCAATGACTTCAGAAGAATTGCCAGAAATAAGTAAATCATCAACATACAGTGCAATAATAACCATGGTAGACCCAGATCCTTTGGTATACACACCGTAGTCACTTTCATTACGAATAAACCCAAGTTTGACAAGAGCACCATGAATCTTCTCATTCCAACACAAAGGAGCTTGCTTTAAACCATACAAAGACTTCTTCAAATGACACACTTTAGATTCCTGACCTTTGACAACAAAGCCTTTAGGTTGTCTCATATAAATATCTTCTTTGAGATCACCATTAAGAAATGCAGTCTCGACATCCATATGATGAACCTGGAACCCAAACTGAGCAGCAATAGCAAGAACAATCCTCACAGTCTCGTAACGAACAACGGGAGCAAAAGTTTCAGTATAATCAATACCTTCAACTTGCGAAAATCCAATACACACGAGACGAGCTTTGTAACGTTCAATTGAACCGTCAGCTTTGCGCTTAACTTTAAATACCCATTTGCTATTGATAGCCTTGCGACCAGGTGGGAGATCAACCAATTCCCAAGTACCATTGCGTTTAAGAGACGACATTTCAATAACACAGGCTTCAAGCCAAAACTCAGCTTCTTCACTAGACATAGCTTCTTCAAAACTACTAGGATCTGTAAAAACAAGTAAAGCCACATCATCATACTCAAAGCGGAGAGATTTGAGACGACGATAAGAAATACACTCTTCTTCAGCTGGACGTTTTGCAGGTGTTGCAGACACTGGAGATTGTTTCAAAGAATTTTCACAAAGATGTTTAGAAGGAGGTGAAACAATATCATCAGAACTCGGGCGTTTGGCAGGAGTTATAGAAGGTAAACGAACAGCAACAACACGAGATCGAGATTTAGGCAAAACAGCTTGAGTATCATCCTTAGTGACAACACTAACACCAGCTTGGTCAAGAGAATTAACAAGATCAGACGAAGGAGATTCTTGACTAAGTGGCACTACTTCCAATTCAACAGAAGGTGGTGGAATGGGAGACGAAGCAATGATAGACGGTTGAAACCCAATATCACCCCCTCGTTGCGAGATCCCAGAATCACCAGAAATATCAGATTCATTAATAGATGGACCAGCTTCAGATAAGTCTAATTGTGAAGGAATATATTCCGAAGGAGAAACAATAGGACTTGAGTCAGGAGAGATAGAGACATCATGATCTGAAGGTGGAAGAATAGGAGAACTAGGAAGAGATGGAACTGAAGCAATAGAAGGAAGAGTAGGAAGAGTAGGAGACTCAAGAGGAGCAGAAGGTGTAGACAAAATGCGACGAACAGAACGAGGCTTATGAACAATAATAGAAGAAGAAGAAGAAGGAGGCGGCGACGGAGAATGAGACGGAGAAGAAGACGGAGACGGAGACGGTAAAGCACAAACAGAACCAGAACCAGAACCAGATGAGGATGCTGGTAAAGATCTATGAGACCCAAAACTAGAACCAGAACTTGAATCAGAACTAGCAATAGAATTAACCCTAACATTAGATCCTAAACCAGTCCCCTTAGAATCAAAACAAGGTCCTGACATGGACCCTGAACCAGAACCAATACTAAACCCAACACCAGTACCATTAATAGACAAGTCCTTATCACTTTTCATAAATGGAAACTTGGACTCATCAAAGTAAACACTCTTTTGAGATGGGGGAGGACTAGCTTTGAAGTTTGAGTTTCTAATGTAAGCTGTCAAGTCTGCTAAGACTTTTAATTCAGCTTCACATCCTTCGGAACAAACTGGTATGTTGGCAATGGTCAATTGTCTAACGGTAAATCCAGAACGGTCAGCGAGATCAATTTGACGATGAACAGGGAGATCGGCGAATGTCTCATAAGAGCTGGCGTTGTTCTTTGAATGGGTCTCAGATGTTGAGTGGGCAACAGAACTTCCAGTGCTGGCTGACTCGAAGGATGAGGGTCCTTCATTGACTCCTGTAGTGTTTCCGTGATTAGACATAGCGGAGAAGACTAAAAGCAAGAGTTAATAAGTAAATACGATTGATAAGCTGAAAGCTGAAAGAGTATTTAATAAAAACAGTTTTCCGTAAATTTAGAGTATATATAAGAATTATATAAATGATAAAAATAATAAAATAATAAAATAATAAAAGTTCGCTATCATACCTAAAAGCAAGAGTTAATAAGTAAATACGATTGATAAGCTGAAAGCTGAAAGAGTATTTAATAAAAACAGTTTTGCGTAAATTTAGAGTAGCGAGAAAAAGAAAAGAAAGAAAACAAGAAAGGTTTCTGTAATGAAGAAAATTTAAAAGAGCATCTTGAAAATTTTCTTTAGCAATAGGGAGTCTTGATTGTAACAATTATTGTAACTCCAATGGTAATGGGCTAGTAGTTGCTAGTGAATAATGTAACAATGTAAAGAGTGTAATTGGGAAAAAAAAATATTATGGGATAATGTTGAAATATACGATAGTACCATGACATATATTCCAACAGCCCCCCTGCAACAATAGCCCGTTATCAAGATTCAATCTCTTGATCTTTGCGTCGTCGAGTCTTCAAAAATGACTGCGGCGTAACGATGGAGGTATTATTTGACGAGACGAGCACTGCATCAAGTCCATTTCCCCCCTCAACTTGAGGACGGGTACTCATACCCAGAAGATTCCTCAAATATAAAAACTGCGGCTTAGCCAGAGCTTTGGTAAAAATGTCTGCCACATTATCTGCTGAAGCAACAGCTTCAAGACGGGTATCGCCGGCTTTGACATGGTCTCTGGTGCGCATGTACTTGGTATCAATATGTTTAGTCCGCTCGTGATGTTTGCTGTCCTTCATGAGATCCAGGACACCTTTGTTGTCCTCCATGATGACAGTCGTTGGTTGAGATTCACCAAGTTCTTCCAAAAGATCTCGGAAGTAAACTGCCTCACACGTGGCAGAAAAAGCGGCAATCAGCTCAGCCTCGGTTGTGGAAGTTGCTGTCAGCTTCTGTTTGGCCGACTTCCAAGAGAAGGTTGAAGGACCGTGGGAGAATGCAAAGCCTGAGATAGACTTCCTGTCAGGATCGTTTGCCCAATCGGCATCTGACCAGCCTCTCAGAAGCCGCGGAGAGGCGCCTGGTACATTTTTGTGATAGACAATTGCCAGGTCCTTAGTGCCTTTGAGGTAGCTCAGAACATGATAAGCTCTATCCATATGAATGGCTCTAGGGTCACTCGAATACTGAGCAAGCTTGCCTGTAGCATAGGCAATGTCTGGACGAGCCGTCTGAGCAGCAAACTGTAGCTTGCCAAGAATGCTGCGATATAGCGATTGGTTAGCTGGACGAGCATCGAGGCCCTGTGGGAAATCAAGGCCATGTTTCTTGGGCAACGGTATCGACTTAGCTGTTTGATCACCCAATTTGAAAACCTCAATCATGTCAGCAATATAGTGTTCCAGATCCAGAGATATCGTCCTGTCGGAGTCTTGGACTCTGATTCCCAAGAATTTGTTAACACCACCTTCATCTTTGATGGCAAAGTAACCAGATAGGCCCTTGAAAAACCGCTCGAATTCTCCCGGTACGTTTGACGCCGTTAAGATGTCGTCAACATAAAGACCTATAATACTGAAGTCTTTGCCATTAATCTTGTAAAAGAGACAGGGTTCTTTCTTGGCAGCTTTGTAACCTAGAGCTTCCAACTTGTCAACAAGCTTCTTGTTCCAACACAGAGGGGCTTGCTTCAGTCCATATAAGCTTTTATTCAGCTTCCAGACCATGCCAGGAGGGGTATTATGGTCAATTCCTGTTGGTGGCTTGACATAGATGTCTTCTTCTAGATCTCCATTCAAGAAAGCATTTTTAACATCGACGTGGTGCATTTCGCAGTTCTTCGCCGCACTCAGGGCGAAAATGAGACGAACAGTGCTGAATCTCATTACCGGTGCAAAGGTGTCAACATAGTCAACACCAAACTTTTGACGAAACCCCTGAACAACAAGACGAGCCTTGTACTTGTCAATTGAACCATCCGTGTTGAGTTTCTTCTTCAGCACCCATTTGGTGCCAAGTGCTTTGCGACCCGCCGGGAGGGGCACAACTTGGTATACATGATTGCCATCAATGGCAGCAAATTCCGAATAGGCCGCATCGAACCAGAAGCGCTTATCTTCTCTGTTGTTGGCTTCCGCAAGTGACCGTGGGTCCCTTTTTAGCTTCTTGCCAGGGTCGAGCAGCGCCACTCCCACATTCGGAAAATCGAATGAAGGCAGGACGGTCCTTAAGATCTGCCCAATCTCTGTCGCTGATAAGAGCTCTAACATTCTCCACATCAGGAGCCGTAAAGCAGAGACCTGGTTTGCTAGATTCTAACACTTTGATGTCATTCCTCAAAATTGGAAGCTTAATGTTAATAGCGCTGAGTGTGTCAAGTCTTCCAGACGCCATGCGGGCTTTCACAGTTGGTTCTTCAGAGTTCGAGTAGATGCAGCCAATGCCAATGACATCGTCGACAGCCCCGGCAGACGGATCTCCTGATGGGCTTGCCGATTCATCAACAAAAATAATTTCATCATCAGCAGGCGAAGAAACAAAAGTTTCATGTAAGAAGTCAATGCCGTCAGCTAAGTGTTCTGATGAGCCCTGAGAGTCAGAATTGTAGGGTGCTGCAATTGAGATTTCATCGCTTGTAGCCTCAACATCAGCTTCGGTTGTGGAGGCGGGAGAGTGGGACTGCGAGTCAGTGCTAACGACTGAGTCCTCATCTACTGATGCTGACGTAGCAGGGACATTGTGTGTTGCCGAGTGAGTGTGAGAAAGAAAGGGAACCGCATCGGGAGTGGGGTTGAATCTAAGATTCGGTGTACCCTGGAGGTGGCCGTGTGGGGCTCTCAGTGTTGAACCCTCACGAGCTGGCAGACCATGCAGCAGTGACCTAGATTCCGAGTCCAAAGCTGACTCAGAGTTCGAGAGTTTCAGTTTGTCACTGTGCCGGTCGGAAGAGCGAGAGCCCCAAAGTAAGCCCGATGCTGTAGTGGTTGGGCTTGTAGAGCGATTTCTTTTTCGCATATTTCTTAAAGCTCCCAAGTCGATTCTTGAGATGGCCTCAGCTGCACTGCGTAAGATATTGCGTTGTGCTATCGACAGCATGCGATTCGATGACGAGGGAGGAGTGGTTTGGTGATCACGACGAGAAGAAGAACTTTCTAATGTGGGAGACGTCACAGCAGAGGAGGTTGGTGATGTAACCACTGGCTCCGAATGTGCAGATGATTCCGAGGACAAAGAAGCAGAGGTAGAGGGTGTTGTGGGAGAACCATTTGAGGCTTCATTTTCCAATCTTGGTGAGGAGTTTGAAGTCGAATTTTCTGAGACTACTTTCTGTGATAAATTAGTAGCCGAAGAAAAATTTTTAGATTTCGTGGTGGTGGAGAAAATTTTATTTTGCAAAGCCGCGCCACTTACTAGTGGAAGGTTATCAGTAGGCCGGGTAATTAGATTTGTGCGATTTAGAATTAATGAAGAATTTTCTTTTCGCGCCAGCCGCTGAAGTGCACTGTTAGGAACATAATAGCCATTTTGCTCAATCAAATCAGCTAATCTTTTGTTAACAACAACTGTGTCCCGAGAGGCTTCTCGATGACGGTGTCTGGACGACGGAGCAGGCACTCTCGCAGCACCCGCAGCACCCGCAGCACCCGCAGTACCCGCAGCAGACCTAGTAATTCTTCCAGTATTAGCAAGAGGCTGTTGGGCTTCTGCCGGAGCTGAGTGTTGGCTTGTTTGTCGAACAACTACTTGCCCAGCAGTTTGCGAATCATGTTCAGAAGAAGACGGAGGAGGAGCTGCCAACAACAACCGTCTCGAAGGTGGAGCCGGAAGTGGCATATGTCGATTTTGTTGCACGGAGCTGTGCCGCACGTCGCTTGTATTGTCCCCAAAGCTTGTAGCATCCCCTGCTCGCCCATACTCTAGCAGGAGCCTCTGAGTAGATGGTGCAGGCGGTAAGCGTGGGCGATCATTCTCAGCAGTGTCTCTCAGTTCACTGCCACTTCCAGATGCAGCAGTAGTAACAGTATCAGAACCACCAGCTCCCAGCAACAGCCTCTCAGAGGAGGGCGCTGGGGTAGCTCCGGTAGCTCCTGCCGTATACCTGAGGAGCCAGCCACTTGGCTCCGCCTACCGGCATGTAAACGACGATTTTCTGGCTGACCAGCACGTTCCAGCGCAGATTTTAATCTCGCTAAATTTAGATGCCTCTTCCTACTACCGCCCGCCTCAGCCATTCTGGCAGACCGATTTGCAGACGTCGTAGTTTCTACTAGCTCGGTGGTGGCCCGTACAAGTTCCGCCGCCGCCAAAACCAGTTGATTGCTGGCAGGATTATTTGTGCTTGTAGCAGTACCTTGAGTGTCACCTAAATCTTGCGGCACCCCGACATCTCTCGCAGGAGCTTCCTCCAACTTAGTAGAGGAATCCATGACAACGTCGCTAGACGAAAATTCAGAATCTGATGAGTCTTCCAATTCGTCGAAACCCAGTATATGTTCCACAGACCCATCCATGTCTTCATCATTGGTTTCTGAGTCAACCGCATCCTGATTGTCATCACCAGATTGGCTAGCGGTTTCAACAGCTGAAGCCTCGCGGGTAAGTTCAGCAGTTCCAGACAGCGCAAGATCCACACTGTCATCCTCATCCAAAATGTGTAGTTGTTTGGGAAGAGTCACCGGACTTGTTTGATGAGCCACCACTGAGGGCGACTGAGTTCCTGGAGCAAAGGCTTTCTGGAGCTTTACCATATGTTCAGAAAATGAATTTTCGTGAGAAAAATCTTCGTTAGTATCTTCGGAACCAGGGCGACCAGCTACGTTGGAGTTCACCGATCTCAAATCAGCATCATCAACAGCAGAATCTTCGAGCAATATATGGTCCTCAGACTGAAGTGTATCTTTGTCGTCACCAACACTAATTGATTCATCTGCAACCAGCTCCACATCATCATCTTCCAACGGTTGAAAAGAGTTTTCAGTTATAGGTGTCGGTGGTGTAGAAGTAGAATCCTGGTCCTCCAATCTGCTGGATCTGTGGCTCCTTCCCTCAGAGCCCACATAAGTCCAGCCAAAGTTACCACCACCACCACCACCAGAGAGTGAAGTGGGAGAGTAGTCGTCAGAGTCAGATTCATCTTCACTTTCTGATTCATCAGTGGAAGAGTCACTGTAGTCAGGGTCACGATTTCCAACCTCACTGTAGTCAATGAGAATGTCACCCTCGTAAATTGGCTTTTCGCCAAAAAATTTAACGCCAGGCAAGACATGGTCACGAAAGTTGCCGTGTACACAGCGCCGAATGCGCTTGTTCCTCGTAATGCATAGAAAATTCTTAGGATTTAACGGGTCGGGACCCAAATACAGAGCAGGCTCGCCCCGAGGCTGAAGGGTCCCTTTGAGTTTCTGAGACTCAGATTTAATGACAAAAACTAGGCAGCCAAATGTGTGCACTAGTGCTATAGGTGGTTTTCTGCCCGTAAAGGCTTCATAAGGTGATATACCGGCTTTATTAACTATGGAGAAATTATATACCTGCACAGCGTAGAGCCAGGCAGAGTCCCAGTAGATATTGGCCCAGAGTGTCGACTGCATCAAGGCTCTAGTAGATATCTCACGCAGTGTGCGGTGGGCACGCTCAATTTTCCCATTTTGTTGGTGTTCATCAGGAGCAGTTAAAATATGAATGACGCCCCAGTCTGCTAAAAATTTTCCAAGTGTCCCAGAGATAAATTCACCACCATTGTCAGTAATAAGCTTGGTGGCCTTGCCGTCAACAGCACGGCGAGCAGCTTTGGGCACAAACTGCTTAAAGAACTGGATAAGTTTCCCAGGAGCTTCATCCTTAGATTCCAGAGCAAAAGCATAGATGTAACCAGAAAATGCATCAATGATATTCAGCATGTACCTGGCCCCTGAAGAGGCAGGACCTATGGGACCGACGAGATCAGCATGAATCTGGGCTAACGGAGCCGTGGATTCAGAAGCTATATGCTTATCCGGAGAAGTGAACCTCTTAATGCTTCTTGACGTGCCACATATGACACAGTCCTTGATCAATTCTTCGTCACGCTTGGTCACCTCAAAGGGAGGATCAGCAAGCTTGGCTAAATGTTTCACCGAAGTCAAAGAGCAATGAGCAAAACGAACATGACAGTCAAGTGCCTGCGAATTCAACACGGCCTCCTTTGCAATAAATTTGAGAGACTGTGAAAGGACAGGTAGTCCCTTTCCAACCGCGAAGGCTGATTTATCAACCTTCCTCATAGCTTCTGGTCCTTGTCTGCAAATCTGATCCCAGTCAATTGAATTTCCTGAGAACTTGAAAGATCCAGTTGGAGGTACGATATTCCTAGTAAACTTTACCGGAACAATGTTGGCACAAATGTGAGACTTGGCATCTCTGGCACCGCCAACCCTACCAACCTTTTCCTCACCAAAATAGGCCAGACAATCCCCACTTGGGACCGTATGAAAAGAAACATCGTGCGTGCGCCAGACAGAATCAGAAAACAAATTGCTAGACCCAGCAGGAAAATAAAGTGCGTCAGCAATATGGCAAATATTGGTGCCACCGTCACCTTTTAATACAACAGCAATTTTACCTTCCCCTTCTAACACGATGTCGGAACCACCATAGGAGCTGATAGTTTTGGGGCTGCTGTATTTCTCATACGACACAAAGTAGCTGTTGTCTGAGATAAGGTGACCAGTAGCATTTCCAGAATCGAGAACATTTGGAAGATTTGTTTCACCCACAGAGGCGATTTGGTTGGCAGGTGGAAGAAAAGCAACTGGCGAATAATCACTGCTTCCGCCGTCATTATCAAATATGTCTTGGATAGCCCGAGCAACAGAGCAAAGAGTTTCAACATCGTCGCGAGCCACCTCAAGGTATTCGGTAGCTTTCAAGGCAGCAACTCTGTTTTGACCATCAGAGTTCGACTTTCTAGCTTGCTTGTCTTCATTGTTGCGCCTCTTGTTGCCACCGGACCCCTTGGACCACTGCTTCCCTTTTCCATGCTTGGTATCAGAGTGGCCAGCTTTCTTCGAAGTTTCCTGCTTGGATTCCTGCTTGGGTTCTTGCTTGGGTTCCTGCTTTGGCACCACTTTTGTCGAACCGTCAATAATTCTTCGACCTTTTACGAAGGCTGCAGAAGTTGCTTCAACTAGCGCTGGGATTTCAACTGAATCACAGGGGCTCCATCCTCCAGATCTTGACTTGAAAATGTCGACAAACTTGGTAATCCCCCAGAGATGACTCTGAGGATCTTCGCGAGCAGCTGCTGAAACCTTGTTGTTATTCAGCACTGCTAATATAAGGTCACGGTGAAAGGTGCCATCCGGGTTGTTAAAGAAATATTGCTCCACTACAGAGGCCCACTTGGAAGCTTCAGTAACAGTAGCTTGTATTTTGGTTTCAATTTCACTGCTGGTAAGCCCGGCGAAATAACTAGGACCCGGAACTCCTACTGAGATAGCTTGCGTCATCGCAAATACAATGTTAAGCTCAGGGCTTGGGGATATGCGCAAACCAATATGATTAAGACGTTGGTAAAATGAGAGCACTCGCCCCAGGTCAGCGGGCTCTAGAATTTCAGGATCTATACGAGCCATTCTTTTTCCAGGTTCAAATAGGACCCCCATGGCTTCTTCCCGCACAGACGCCGAATCCATAGGTGGAGTTTTAGAAACTCGGGCGACGTGTCCCACCGGGCCTGTTCAGCTGCAGCCAGGTTAGCTGCAGGCGTGGTTTTTAAAATGTAAACCTTGAGTAGTTCATCAAGGGCCCTCTCAAACCTGATACCGTAACCAAGCTGAAGGGCAGTATGGCCAACAATTGGCTTATAGATATAGTTGTTCCAAAAACTCCGGCCGCAGCTGTTAATTTGCCCAATAAGACCGTATATCCAAAAATCCAATTCACTTTTGTAGAGAAATTGTTTGAAATTTGGCGCTTGAGGAGCGTCAAAGGAGCTCATAACCTTTTGAGATGGGGGAGGACTAGCTTTGAAGTTTGAGTTTCTAATGTAAGCTGTCAAGTCTGCTAAGACTTTTAATTCAGCTTCACATCCTTCGGAACAAACTGGTATGTTGGCAATGGTCAATTGTCTAACGGTAAATCCAGAACGGTCAGCGAGATCAATTTGACGATGAACAGGGAGATCGGCGAATGTCTCATAAGAGCTGGCGTTGTTCTTTGAATGGGTCTCAGATGTTGAGTGGGCAACAGAACTTCCAGTGCTGGCTGACTCGAAGGATGAGGGTCCTTCATTGACTCCTGTAGTGTTTCCGTGATTAGACATAGCGGAGAAGACTAAAAGCAAGAGTTAATAAGTAAATACGATTGATAAGCTGAAAGCTGAAAGAGTATTTAATAAAAACAGTTTTCCGTAAATTTAGAGTATATATAAGAATTATATAAATGATAAAAATAATAAAATAATAAAATAATAAAAGTTCGCTATCATACCTAAAAGCAAGAGTTAATAAGTAAATACGATTGATAAGCTGAAAGCTGAAAGAGTATTTAATAAAAACAGTTTTGCGTAAATTTAGAGTAGCGAGAAAAAGAAAAGAAAGAAAACAAGAAAGGTTTCTGTAATGAAGAAAATTTAAAAGAGCATCTTGAAAATTTTCTTTAGCAATAGGGAGTCTTGATTGTAACAATTATTGTAACTCCAATGGTAATGGGCTAGTAGTTGCTAGTGAATAATGTAACAATGTAAAGAGTGTAATTGGGAAAAAAAAATATTATGGGATAATGTTGAAATATACGATAGTACCATGACATATATTCCAACACACTCCTGGCTTCAACAATGCTTGAATCAAGAAGAACTCGATAAGCTGTACGATCCAAAGAATACCCAACAAAAACACCAGTTTCAGTATTTGAACTTAACTTAGATTCTCTTTTAGCACCAGGAAGAACAACTGTAGCTTGACAACCAAATACTTTCATATGGTGATAACTAGGAGGTTTACCCGTCCAAAGTTGAAGAGGTGCAACACCACCAGTGGTACGACTAGGAAGACGGTTCCTAATATAATTAGCAGACTTGACAGCTTCACCCCATAAATACTCAGGAGCATGAGCATATAAAAGCATAGACTTGGCTTTTTCAAATAATGTGCGATTCAATCGCTCAGCAACACCATTTTGCTGAGGAGTATGAGGAACTGTATAAGTATGCTTGATACCCTTAGACACAAAGAACTGCTCCAGGTCTTTGGAAATGTATTCGCCGCCATTATCAGAATGAAAATATGCAACTCGATCACCAGCAGAATCACCAGAAAAATAAGATTCACACCTAGCAATAAAGTTACGAATGGCAAGACTTGCATCACTTTTCCTAACCAACAACTCCACATAAGAGTACCTGGAATAATAATCCATAATGGTTAAGACATAACGATGACCCACAGGGGTAGCGACATGAGGACCGCTCAAATCAGAAACAAATAATTCCAAAGGACGACTAGCTTTTTCTGTGGTACCATTAAATGGCAATGCTGTGGCTTTGCCACCCAAGCAAGCGTCACACTTATGACTATCCACAACCTCAAAATGAGTAGGCTTGACAGAAAGTGACTTAGATAATTTCTTGAGAACGTCCACACTGGCGTGACCAAGTCGCTTGTGCCAAAGATTGGCAGACGACTCAACAGCAAACACCTCATGGACTGGCTTGGAAGGCAAAACAACTCGGAAACGACAAAAGTACAAGTCACCCATGGCAATGGCGTGGACTCGAGTTTTGCCATTTTCGACAGCAGAAATATGGTTAAGGTCTTGAATGAACCGACAACCACCAGCAGTAGCTCGACGAGCAGCAAATAAATTGCGAGGAATCTTAGGAACATATAAAACATCTCGAAGAACAACGCGGTCACAAGGCTGGTCATCTTTACCAAGAAGATCGACGACAATGTCGCCAACCCCCTCAGCAGTAGCAGAACCAAGACCACGAATGGTAGCCGAAGTGGGACGAAGAGAAGAAAAATATGAGATGTTATTGCAAATGTGACTGGTAGCACCGGTATCATGGATAAAGTCAAAAGAATCAGACCCAACAACTAAGTTGGCCTCAGCAGAAGTAGTGTTGAGCATGCAATGTTGTCGCAGACTAGTGCAGTTGATAATGCACGTGAGTTTGGGTGGGAAACTATGGTTGACAATCTATGTTTATTTTAGTTTTAGCCGCATTAGGTTTAAGCCCTTATGTGACTGTGGTTACCCTCCTTAATTTGTTACAAAGTTGAAGTGTAATACAAACCCACTCAACTTTGGGACAAACCCAAATGAAAAATTTTCACCACTGCAAATTTTTCTTTCCCTCAGATATTTAAGGAAGGTTTCTTCCCCAACTTTTATAATTTTTCTTTTCCTTTTTCTTTCTTCTTATATAACTGTTTTATCTTATATATTTCAATATATACTTTTCTTGGATAATATTTTCTATTATTATCATGACTTCCCGTGTCACAGTTCAACAGGTTATGGGCCGCACTTCGGCTTATATTAATCTTACTTCCTCTGAAAAACTCACTCCTCTCAACTATCATGTCTGGGCTACTAAGATCCTTTTGGGTCTTCGTGCAATGAATAATGGTGTCCATCTTTATGTCGAAGCTGGTACTGTCAATCCAGCTGCTAATGAATCCCTCGAAGACCTCACCGCCTCGCTTGACACCGTCGTCCATGATGTTATCCTCAATAATATTTCTCCTGAGTTGATCGAACATGTTAATGATGTGGCCATTAGAGGCCGTGACCTCTGGCTTTATCTTCATCAGGAGTATAGTCAACTTCAACCCGCCGATGTCATCTCACTTATGAAATCCCTCTATGCTGGCAATATTGATGTTGGTCCAAAGTTTGTTTCTTCTGTTCGTTCTTATGTTGCTACCTGGCGTTCCATCTACCAATCATTGTCGCCTGATTCGGTTGTGGCCTTCAACGCTTTGGCCTCAATGGGTCCCAATTGTGAGCGCTTCATCCAGTACGCCTTGGAGCACCGCTTTGATAGTAACAATGCTGACAACCTTGATATCAACAACTTCATCCGGAACACTGATAAATGGGCCAAGTTGTTGAAGATTACTGGACCCCCTGCTACTCTTTCGACTGAAGCGTTCGTTGCTTCATCAAAGAAGTACAATAACAAATCTAAGGGTGATGGTATCAAATGTTTTCGTTGTAAGAGGCGTGGTCATACTTCCAACAATTGTCATGTCTCTTGGGAAGAGGTTCAGGCTGCTCGCCAAGATAATAAGGATGACAAGGAATCTAAGGAGGCTAAAACCTCAAGAGGTTGGTTTGCTGAGACTATTGATGAATTTTCTGAGATAGTTGATGATGATCCATTTGTGAGTTCCGCTTTTGTGTCCGAGACATCTGTTGTTTCTGAAAAGTTTGGTAACAGTTGCTCCGAGTCGTTTGATGATTTGGAATCCGAACTTTTTGATTCTTCTGAGCCGTGTGTCGGCGATGAAGATTGTTTTGTTGGTCAAGTTTCTGAGTATTGTTCAAACTCAGGACTTGATATTGATTCAGTTGGTAAACCGTTTGTTGGTTCCACTGATGATTCTTGTTTTATTTCTGAACCGTATGTCGGTTCTACTATTGTTTGTTTGGAGTCTGAACCGTGTGTCAGTTCAGCTCCTATTTGTTTTGATTCTGAATCGTTGGTCGATTCGGATATTGTTCCTTTTGATTCTGAACCGTTGGTCGGTTCTTCTTTTATTTCTTGTTCTGATTCTAAACCGTTGGTCGGTTCTGATGATGATATTGTCTTACCTTCTTTTGATTTTTTGGTGGATTCAATTACTGAACCTTCTCCACCTAATGTTAAACCTATTGTTACACCAAAATCCCGTTTTTCTCCATTCTTTTACTTATCTTTTGTTACCATCATGTTGTTTTCCTTGATTTTAATTGTCGTCTGGCATCCTTCTTCAATCTTGGATTTAAGTCATTCAGTACATCACGTTTTTGTTGCTGAATCTACTACTTCTGCTGAGGCCAACTTAGTTGTTGGGTCTGATTCTTTTGACTTTATCCATGATACTGGTGCTACCAGTCACATTTGCAATAACATCTCATATTTTTCTTCTCTTCGTCCCACTTCGGCTACCATTCGTGGTCTTGGTTCTGCTACTGCTGAGGGGGTTGGCGACATTGTCGTTGATCTTCTTGGTAAAGATGACCAGCCTTGTGACCGCGTTGTTCTTCGAGATGTTTTATATGTTCCTAAGATTCCTCGCAATTTATTTGCTGCTCGTCGAGCTACTGCTGGTGGTTGTAGGTTCATTCAAGACCTTAACCATATTTCTGTTGAACAGCTAAAATAGGAAGCTAAGCTGGACAACCATAAAAGAACGGCACTACGGGGGATCGAACCCCAGTCTCACTCATATGGCCTGAGTGCGTGTTACCACTACACCACAGAGCCTACTTATTGTTAAGTAGTAACTCTTTCATGATGTTACTGGGAAAATCTCGTGATACACAAACGGTGGATAGTGTTGGAACTGGACCCTACACTCAACAGGTCTCAACACGACACACGTATATTCCAACAATTTCTGCTGTTGAAAATGGCAAAACTCGAGTCCACGCCATTGCCATGGGTGACTTGTACTTTTGTCGTTTCCGAGTTGTTTTGCCTTCCAAGCCAGTCCATGAGGTGTTTGCTGTTGAGTCGTCTGCCAATCTTTGGCACAAGCGACTTGGTCACGCCAGTGTGGACGTTCTCAAGAAATTATCTAAGTCACTTTCTGTCAAGCCTACTCATTTTGAGGTTGTGGATAGTCATAAGTGTGACGCTTGCTTGGGTGGCAAAGCCACAGCATTGCCATTTAATGGTACCACAGAAAAAGCTAGTCGTCCTTTGGAATTATTTGTTTCTGATTTAAGCGGTCCTCATGTCGCTACCCCTGTGGGTCATCGTTATGTCTTAACCATTATGGATTATTATTCCAGGTACTCTTATGTGGAGTTGTTGGTTAGGAAAAGTGATGCAAGTCTTGCCATTCGTAACTTTATTGCTAGGTGTGAATCTTATTTTTCTGGTGATTCTGCTGGTGATCGAGTTGCATATTTTCATTCTGATAATGGCGGCGAATACATTTCCAAAGACCTGGAGCAGTTCTTTGTGTCTAAGGGTATCAAGCATACTTATACAGTTCCTCATACTCCTCAGCAAAATGGTGTTGCTGAGCGATTGAATCGCACATTATTTGAAAAAGCCAAGTCTATGCTTTTATATGCTCATGCTCCTGAGTATTTATGGGGTGAAGCTGTCAAGTCTGCTAATTATATTAGGAACCGTCTTCCTAGTCGTACCACTGGTGGTGTTGCACCTCTTCAACTTTGGACTGGTAAACCTCCTAGTTATCACCATATGAAAGTATTTGGTTGTCAAGCTACAGTTGTTCTTCCTGGTGCTAAAAGAGAATCTAAGTTAAGTTCAAATACTGAAGCTGGTGTTTTTGTTGGGTATTCTTTGGATCGTACAGCTTATCGAGTTCTTCTTGATTCAAGCATTGTTGAAGCCAGGAGTGTTTACTTTGATGAGTCCAAGTTTCCATTTATGAAAAGTGATAAAGACTTGTCTATTAATGTTACTGGTGTTGGGTTTAGTGTTGGGTCTAGTATTGGTTCTGGTTCAGGGTCCATGTCAGGGCCTTGTTTTGATTCTAAGGGGTCTGGTTTAGGATCTAATGTTAGGGTTAATTCTATTGCTAGTTCTGATTCAAGTTCTGGTTCTAGTTTTGGGTCTCATAGATCTTTACCAGCATCCTCATCTGGTTCTGGTTCTGGTTCTATTTGTGCTTTACCGTCTCCGTCTCTGTCTTCTTCTCCGTCTCATTCTCCGTCGGCGCCTCCTTCTTCTTCTTCTTCTTCTATTATTGTTCATAAGCCTCGTTCTGTTCGTCGCATTTTGTCTACACCTTCTGCTCCTCTTGAGTCTCCTACTCTTCCTACTCTTCCTTCTATTTCTTTAGTTCCATCTCTTCCTAGTTCTCCTATTCTTCCACCTTCAGATCATGATGTCTCTATATCTTCTGACTCTAGTCCTATTGTTTCTTCTTCGGAATATATTCCTTCACAATTAGACTTATCTGAAGCTGGTCCATCTATTAATGAATCTGATATTTCTGGTGATTCTGGGATCTCGCAACGAGGGGGTGATATTGGGTTTCAACCGTCTATCATTGCTTCGTCTCCCATTCCACCACCTTCTGTTGAATTGGAAGTAGTGCCACTTAGTCAAGAATCTCCTTCGTCTGATCTTGTTAATTCTCTTGACCAAGCTGGTGTTAGTGTTGTCACTAAGGATGATACTCAAGCTGTTTTGCCTAAATCTCGATCTCGTGTTGTTGCTGTTCGTTTACCTTCTATAACTCCTGCCAAACGCCCGAGTTCTGATGACATTGTTTCACCTCCTTCTAAACATCTTTGTGAAAATTCTTTGAAACAATCTCCAGTGTCTGCAACACCTGCAAAACGTCCAGCTGAAGAAGAATGTATTTCTTATCGTCGTCTCAAATCTCTCCGCTTTGAGTATGATGATGTGGCTTTACTTGTTTTTACAGATCCTAGTAGTTTTGAAGAAGCTATGTCTAGTGAAGAAGCTGAGTTTTGGCTTGAAGCCTGTGTTATTGAAATGTCGTCTCTTAAACGCAATGGTACTTGGGAATTGGTTGATCTCCCACCTGGTCGCAAGGCTATCAATAGCAAATGGGTGTTTAAAGTTAAGCGCAAAGCTGACGGTTCAATTGAACGTTACAAAGCTCGTCTCGTGTGTATTGGATTTTCGCAAGTTGAAGGTATTGATTATACTGAAACTTTTGCTCCCGTTGTTCGTTACGAGACTGTGAGGATTGTTCTTGCTATTGCTGCTCAGTTTGGGTTCCAGGTTCATCATATGGATGTCGAGACTGCATTTCTTAATGGTGATCTCAAAGAAGATATTTATATGAGACAACCTAAAGGCTTTGTTGTCAAAGGTCAGGAATCTAAAGTGTGTCATTTGAAGAAGTCTTTATATGGTTTAAAGCAAGCTCCTTTGTGTTGGAATGAGAAGATTCATGGTGCTCTTGTCAAACTTGGGTTTATTCGTAATGAAAGTGACTACGGCGTGTATACCAAAGGATCTGGGTCTACCATGGTCATTATTGCACTGTATGTTGATGATTTACTTATTTCTGGCAATTCTTCTGAAGTCATTGCCAAAACCTGTTGAGCATGCAATGTTGTCGCAGACTAGTGCAGTTGATAATGCACGTGAGTTTGGGTGGGAAACTATGGTTGATAACCTATGTTTATTTTAGTTACAGCCGCATGAGGTTTAAGCCCTTATGTGACTGTGGTTACCCTCCTTAATTTGTTACAAAGTTGAAGTGTAATACAAACCCACTCAACTTTGGGACAAACCCAAATGAAAAATTTTCACCACTGCAAATTTTTCTTTCCCTTGGATATTTAAGGAAGGTTTCTTCCCCAACTTTTATAATTTTTCTTTTCCTTTTTCTTTCTTCTTATATAACTGTTTTATCTTATATATTTCAATATATACTTTTCTAGGATAATATTTTCTATTATTATCATGACTTCCCGTGTCACAGTTCAACAGGTTATGGGCCGCACTTCGGCTTATATTAATCTTACTTCCTCTGAAAAACTCACTCCTCTCAACTATCATGTCTGGGCTACCAAAATTCTTTTGGGTCTTCGTGCTATGAATAATGGTGTCCACCTTTATGTCGAAGCTGGTACTGTCAATCCAGCTGCCAATGAATCCCTTGAAGACCTCACCGCCTCGCTTGATACCGTCGTCCATGATGTCATCCTCAACAATATTTCTCCTGAGTTGATCGAACATGTTAATGATGTGGCCATTAGAGGCCGTGACCTCTGGCTTTACCTTCATCAGGAGTATAGTCAACTCCAACCCGCCGATGTCATCTCACTTATGAAATCCTCTATGCTGGCAATATTGATGTTGGTCCAAAGTTTGTTTCTTCTGTTCGTTCATATGTTGCTACCTGGCGTTCCATCTACCAATCATTGTCGCCTGATTCGGTCATGGCCTTCAACGCTTTGGCTTCAATGGGTCCCAATTGTGAGCGCTTCATCCAGTATGCCTTGGAGCACCGCTTTGATAGTAACAACAATACTGACAACCTTGATATTAACAACTTCATCCGGAACACTGATAAATGGGCCAAGTTGTTGAAGATTACTGGACCCCCTGCTACTCTTTCGACTGAAGCGTTCGTTGCTTCATCAAAGAAGTACAATAACAAATCTAAGGGTGATGGTATCAAATGTTTCCGTTGTAAGAGGCGTGGTCATACTTCCAACAATTGTCATGTCTCTTGGGAAGAGGTTCAGGCTGCTCGCCAAGATAATAAGGATGACAAGGAATCTAAGGAGGCTAAAACCTCAAGAGGTTGGTTTGCTGAGACTATTGATGAATTTTCTGAGATAGTTGATGATTGTTGAGCATGCAATGTTGTCGCAGACTAGTGCAGTTGATAATGCACGTGAGTTTGGGTGGGAAACTATGGTTGATAACCTATGTTTATTTTAGTTTTAGCCGCATTAGGTTTAAGCCCTTATGTGACTGTGGTTACCCTCCTTAATTTGTTACAAAGTTGAAGTGTAATACAAACCCACTCAACTTTGGGACAAACCCAAATGAAAAATTTTCACCACTGCAAATTTTTCTTTTCCTTGGGTATATAAGGAAGGTTTCTTTCCCAACTTTTATAATTTTTCTTTTCCTTTTTCTTTCTTCTTATACAACTGTTTTATCTTATATATTTCAATATATACTTTTCTTGGATAATATTTTCTATTATTATCATGACTTCCCGTGTCACAGTTCAACAGGTTATGGGCCGCACTTCGGCTTATATTAATCTTACTTCCTCTGAAAAACTCACTCCTCTCAACTATCATGTCTGGGCTACCAAAATTCTTTTGGGTCTTCGTGCTATGAATAATGGTGTCCACCTTTATGTCGAAGCTGGTACTGTCAATCCAGCTGCCAATGAATCCCTCGAAGACCTCACCGCCTCGCTTGATACCGTCGTCCATGATGTCATCCTCAACAATATTTCTCCTGAGTTGATCGAACATGTTAATGATGTGGCCATTAGAGGCCGTGACCTCTGGCTTTACCTTCATCAGGAGTATAGTCAACTTCAACCCGCCGATGTCATCTCACTTATGAAATCCCTTTATGCTGGCAATATTGATGTTGGTCCAAAGTTTGTTTCTTCTGTTCGCTCTTATGTTGCTACCTGGCGTTCCATCTACCAATCATTGTCGCCTGATTCGGTCGTGGCCTTCAACGCTTTGGCTTCAATGGGTCCCAATTGTGAGCGCTTCATCCAGTATGCCTTGGAGCACCGCTTTGATAGTAACAACAATACTGACAACCTTGATATTAACAACTTCATCCGGAACACTGATAAATGGGCCAAGTTGTTGAAGATTACTGGACCCCCTGCTACTCTTTCGACTGAAGCGTTCGTTGCTTCATCAAAGAAGTACAATAACAAATCTAAGGGTGATGGTATCAAATGTTTCCGTTGTAAGAGGCGTGGTCATACTTCCAACAATTGTCATGTCTCTTGGGAAGAGGTTCAGGCTGCTCGCCAAGATAATAAGGATGACAAGGAATCTAAGGAGGCTAAAACCTCAAGAGGTTGGTTTGCTGAGACTATTGATGAATTTTCTGAGATAGTTGATGATGATCCATTTGTGAGTTCCGCTTTTGTGTCCGAGACATCTATTGTTTCTGAAAAGTTTGGTAACAGTTGCTCCGAGTCGTTTGATGATTTGGAATCCGAACTTTTTGATTCTTCTGAGCCGTGTGTCGGCGATGAAGATTGTTTTGTTGGTCAAGTTTCTGAGTATTGTTCAAACTCAGGACTTGATATTGATTCAGTTGGTAAACCGTTTGTTGGTTCCACTGATGATTCTTGTTTTATTTCTGAACCGTATGTCGGTTCTACTGTTGTTTGTTTGGAGTCTGAACCGTGTGTCAGTTCAGCTCCTATTTGTTTTGATTCTGAATCGTTGGTCGATTCGGATATTGTTCCTTTTGATTCTGAACCGTTGGTCGGTTCTTCTTTTATTTTTTGTTCTGATTCTAAACCGTTGGTCGGTTCTGATGATGATATTGTCTTACCTTCTTTTGATTTTTTGGTGGATTCAATTACTGAACCTTCTCCGCCTATTGTTAAACCTATTGTTACACCAAAATCCCGTTTTTCTCCATTCTTTTACTTATCTTTTGTTACCATCATGTTGTTTTCCTTGATTTTAATTGTCGTCTGGCATCCTTCTTCAATCTGGGATTTAAGTCATTCAGTCCATCACGTTTTTGTTGCTGAATCTACTACTTCTGCTGAGGCCAACTTAGTTGTTGGGTCTGATTCTTTTGACTTTATCCATGATACCGGTGCTACCAGTCACATTTGCAATAACATCTCATATTTTTCTTCTCTTCGTCCCACTTCGGCTACCATTCGTGGTCTTGGTTCTGCTACTGCTGAGGGGGTTGGCGACATTGTCGTTGATCTTCTTGGTAAAGATGACCAGCCTTGTGACCGCGTTGTTCTTCGAGATGTTTTATATGTTCCTAAGATTCCTCGCAATCTATTTGCTGCTCGTCGAGCTACTGCTGGTGGTTGTCGGTTCATTCAAGACCTTAACCATATTTCTGCTGTTGAAAATGGCAAAACTCGAGTCCATGCCATTGCCATGGGTGACTTGTACTTTTGTCGTTTCCGAGTTGTTTTGCCTTCCAAGCCAGTCCATGAGGTGTTTGCTGTTGAGTCGTCTGCCAATCTTTGGCACAAGCGACTTGGTCACGCCAGTGTGGACGTTCTCAAGAAATTATCTAAGTCACTTTCTGTCAAGCCTACTCATTTTGAGGTTGTGGATAGTCATAAGTGTGACGCTTGCTTGGGTGGCAAAGCCACAGCATTGCCATTTAATGGTACCACAGAAAAAGCTAGTCGTCCTTTGGAATTATTTGTTTCTGATTTGAGCGGTCCTCATGTCGCTACCCCTGTGGGTCATCGTTATGTCTTAACCATTATGGATTATTATTCCAGGTACTCTTATGTGGAGTTGTTGGTTAGGAAAAGTGATGCAAGTCTTGCCATTCGTAACTTTATTGCTAGGTGTGAATCTTATTTTTCTGGTGATTCTGCTGGTGATCGAGTTGCATATTTTCATTCTGATAATGGCGGCGAATACATTTCCAAAGACCTGGAGCAGTTCTTTGTGTCTAAGGGTATCAAGCATACTTATACAGTTCCTCATACTCCTCAGCAAAATGGTGTTGCTGAGCGATTGAATCGCACATTATTTGAAAAAAGCCAAGTCTATGCTTTTATATGCTCATGCTCCTGAGTATTTATGGGGTGAAGCTGTCAAGTCTGCTAATTATATTAGGAACCGTCTTCCTAGTCGTACCACTGGTGGTGTTGCACCTCTCCAACTTTGGACGGGTAAACCTCCTAGTTATCACCATATGAAAGTATTTGGTTGTCAAGCTACAGTTGTTCTTCCTGGTGCTAAAAGAGAATCTAAGTTAAGTTCAAATACTGAAGCTGGTGTTTTTGTTGGGTATTCTTTGGATCGTACAGCTTATCGAGTTCTTCTTGATTCAAGCATTGTTGAAGCCAGGAGTGTTTACTTTGATGAGTCCAAGTTTCCATTTATGAAAAGTGATAAGGACTTGTCTATTAATGGTACTGGTGTTGGGTTTAGTGTTGGTTCTGGTTCAGGGTCCATGTCAGGGCCTTGTTTTGATTCTAAGGGGTCTGGTTTAGGATCTAATGTTAGGGTTAATTCTATTGCTAGTTCTGATTCAAGTTCTGGTTCTAGTTTTGGGTCTCATAGATCTTTACCAGCATCCTCATCTGGTTCTGGTTCTGGTTCTATTTGTGCTTTACCGTCTCCGTCTCCGTCTTCTTCTCCGTCTCATTCTCCGTCGCCGCCTCCTCCTTCTTCTTCTTCTATTATTGTTCATAAGCCTCGTTCTGTTCGTCGCATTTTGTCTACACCTTCTGCTCCTCTTGAGTCTCCTACTCTTCCTACTCTTCCTTCTATTCCTTCTGTTCCATCTCTTCCTAGTTCTCCTATTCTTCCACCTTCAGATCATGATGTCTCTATCTCTCCTGACTCAAGTCCTATTGTTTCTTCTTCGGAATATATTCCTTCACAATTAGACTTATCTGAAGCTGGTCCATCTATTAATGAATCTGATATTTCAGGTGATTCTGGGATCTCGCAACGAGAGGGTGATATTGGGTTTCAACCGTCTATCATTGCTTCGTCTCCCACTCCACCACCTTCTGTTGAATTGGAAGTAGTGCCACTTAGTCAAGAATCTCCTTCGTCTGATCTTGTTAATTCTCTTGACCAAGCTGGTGTTAGTGTTGTCACTAAGGACGATACTCAAGCTGTTTTGCCTAAATCTCGATCTCGTGTTGTTGCTGTTCGTTTACCTTCTATAACTCCTGCCAAACGCCCGAGTTCTGATGACATTGTTTCACCTCCTTCTAAACATCTTTGTGAAAATTCTTTGAAACAATCTCCAGTGTCTGCAACACCTGCAAAACGTCCAGCTGAAGAAGAATGTATTTCTTATCGTCGTCTCAAATCTCTCCGCTTTGAGTATGATGATGTGGCTTTACTTGTTTTTACAGATCCTAGTAGTTTTGAAGAAGCTATGTCTAGTGAAGAAGCTGAGTTTTGGCTTGAAGCCTGTGTTATTGAAATGTCGTCTCTTAAACGCAATGGTACTTGGGAATTGGTTGATCTCCCACCTGGTCGCAAGGCTATCAATAGCAAATGGGTATTTAAAGTTAAGCGCAAAGCTGACGGTTCAATTGAACGTTACAAAGCTCGTCTCGTGTGTATTGGATTTTCGCAAGTTGAAGGTATTGATTATACTGAAACTTTTGCTCCCGTTGTTCGTTACGAGACTGTGAGGATTGTTCTTGCTATTGCTGCTCAGTTTGGGTTCCAGGTTCATCATATGGATGTCGAGACTGCATTTCTTAATGGTGATCTCAAAGAAGATATTTATATGAGACAACCTAAAGGCTTTGTTGTCAAAGGTCAGGAATCTAAAGTGTGTCATTTGAAGAAGTCTTTATATGGTTTAAAGCAAGCTCCTTTGTGTTGGAATGAGAAGATTCATGGTGCTCTTGTCAAACTTGGGTTTATTCGTAATGAAAGTGACTACGGCGTGTATACCAAAGGATCTGGGTCTACCATGGTCATTATTGCACTGTATGTTGATGATTTACTTATTTCTGGCAATTCTTCTGAAGTCATTGCCAAAACCAAGTCTTCTTTGTCATCTATGTTTAAGATGAAAGACTTGGGCCCAGTCGAGCAGTTCCTTGGCATGAGAGTTAAGCAGTCACCTTACCATATTACTGTGGATGTTTCACGTTATATTTTTGACATGTTGGAGGAGTTTGGTATGCAGAATTGTTCAAGTGTCAAGACTCCTTTACCCACTCGTGATCTTTCTGATTTTTCCGAGTCTGACTCTGCTACCGATGCCTCCATGTATCGCAGTATTATTGGCAAACTGATTTATGCTGCTAATTGTGCTCGTCCTGATCTTGCTGTTGCTGTTAGTTTTCTTTGTCGATATATGCAGAGTCCTAAGTCTATTCATATGGAAGCTGCTAAGCATACTCTTCGTTATCTTAAGGGTACTGCTGAACTTGGTCTTGAATATCGAGCTCAGAAAGTCTACAAGCTTGTTGGCTATAGTGATGCCGACTATGCTCAGGACAAGCAGGACCGTAAGTCCTTTACTGGGTATGTTTTCATTCTGTCTGGTGGTCCCATTACTTGGGCCTGTCGAAAGCAAGTTAGTCCTGCATCGTCCAGCGTCGAGTCTGAGTATATGTCATTGTCTGATGCGTCTAAGGAATGCTTCTGGATTAATCAGTTGTTGTCTCTTTGCAAGATTCCTGTTCCGTTGCCAGTGACTATGTTTGAGGACAATCAGGGATGTATTGCATTGGCTCAGAACCCAGTGTTTCATCGTCGCACCAAGCATATTGATGTTCGTTATCATGTTGTGCGTCACTATATTCGCAGTGGAGTAATTCATCTGGAGTATCTTGATACTCAAGTGATGTTGGCAGATATGTTCACTAAGAATCTTGGTCGTGTGAAGTTTGAGACATTGAGGGGACTACTTGGTATGAAGGCAGTAGGTGATTCTGCGACAAGGGGAGGTGTTGAGCATGCAATGTTGTCGCAGACTAGTGCAGTTGATAATGCACGTGAGTTTGGGTGGGAAACTATGGTTGATAACCTATGTTTATTTTAGTTTTAGCCGCATTAGGTTTAAGCCCTTATGTGACTGTGGTTACCCTCCTTAATTTGTTACAAAGTTGAAGTGTAATACAAACCCACTCAACTTTGGGACAAACCCAAATGAAAAATTTTCACCACTGCAAATTTTTCTTTTCCTTGGGTATATAAGGAAGGTTTCTTTCCCAACTTTTATAATTTTTCTTTTCCTTTTTCTTTCTTCTTATACAACTGTTTTATCTTATATATTTCAATATATACTTTTCTTGGATAATATTTTCTATTATTATCATGACTTCCCGTGTCACAGTTCAACAATGATGATCCATTTGTGAGTTCCGCTTTTGTGTCCGAGACATCTGTTGTTTCTGAAAAGTTTCGTAACAGTTGCTCCGAGTCGTTTGATGATTTGGAATCCGAACTTTTTGATTCTTCTGAGCCGTGTGTCGGCGATGAAGATTGTTTTGTTGGTCAAGTTTCTGAGTATTGTTCAAACTCAGGACTTGATATTGATTCTGTTGAGCATGCAATGTTGTCGCAGACTAGTGCAGTTGATAATGCACGTGAGTTTGGGTGGGAAACTATGGTTGACAATCTATGTTTATTTTAGTTTTAGCCGCATTAGGTTTAAGCCCTTATGTGACTGTGGTTACCCTCCTTAATTTGTTACAAAGTTGAAGTGTAATACAAACCCACTCAACTTTGGGACGAACCCAAATGAAAAATTTTCACCACTGCAAATTTTTCTTTCCCTTGGATATTTAAGGAAGGTTTCTTCCCCAACTTTTATAATTTTTCTTTTCCTTTTTCTTTCTTCTTATACAACTGTTTTATCTTATATATTTCAATATATACTTTTCTTGGATAATATTTTCTATTATTATCATGACTTCCCGTGTCACAGTTCAACATTACACTCTCTACATTGTTACATTATTCACTAGCAACTACTAACCCATTACCATTGGAGTTACAATAATTGTTACAATCAAGACTCCCTATTGCTAAAGAAAATTTTCAAGATGCTCTTTTAAATTTTCTTCATTACAGAAACCTTTCTTGTTTTCTTTCTCTTCTTTTTCTCGCTACTCTAAATTTACGCAAAACTGTTTTTATTAAATACTCTTTCAGCTTTCAGCTTATCAATCGTATTTACTTATTAACTCTTGCTTTTAGGTATGATAGCGAACTTTTATTATTTTATTATTTTATTATTTTTATCATTTTATATAATTCTTATGCTACTCTAAATTTACGCAAAACTGTTTTTATTAAATACTCTTTCAGCTTTCAGCTTATCAATTGTATTTACTTATTAACTCTTGCTTTTAGTCTTCTCCGCTATGTCTAATCACGGAAACACTACAGGAGTCAATGAAGGACCCTCATCCTTCGAGTCAGCCAGCACTGGAAGTTCTGTTGCCCACTCAACATCTGAGACCCACTCAAAGAACAACGCCAGCTCTTATGAGACATTCGCCGATCTCCCTGTTCTGTTGAACTGTGACACGGGAAGTCATGATAATAATAGAAAATATTATCCAAGAAAAGTATATATTGAAATATATAAGATAAAACAGTTATATAAGAAGAAAGAAAAAGGAAAAGAAAAATTATAAAAGTTTGGGAAGAAACCTTCCTTAAATATCTGAGGGAAAGAAAAATTTGCAGTGGTGAAAATTTTTCATTTGGGTTTGTCCCAAAGTTGAGTGGGTTTGTATTACACTTCAACTTTGTAACAAATTAAGGAGGGTAACCACAGTCACATAAGGGCTTAAACCTAATGCGGCTAAAACTAAAATAAACATAGATTGTCAACCATAGTTTCCCACCCAAACTCACGTGCATTATCAACTGCACTAGTCTGCGACAACATTGCATGCTCAACAGAATCAATATCAAGTCCTGAGTTTGAACAATACTCAGAAACTTGACCAACAAAACAATCTTCATCGCCGACACACGGCTCAGAAGAATCAAAAAGTTCGGATTCCAAATCATCAAACGACTCGGAGCAACTGTTACGAAACTTTTCAGAAACAACAGATGTCTCGGACACAAAAGCGGAACTCACAAATGGATCATCATCAACTATCTCAGAAAATTCATCAATAGTCTCAGCAAACCAACCTCTTGAGGTTTTAGCCTCCTTAGATTCCTTGTCATCCTTATTATCTTGGCGAGCAGCCTGAACCTCTTCCCAAGAGACATGACAATTGTTGGAAGTATGACCACGCCTCTTACAACGGAAACATTTAATACCATCACCCTTAGATTTGTTATTGTACTTCTTTGATGAAGCAACGAACGCTTCAGTCGAAAGAGTAGCTGGAGGTCCAGTAATCTTCAACAACTTGGCCCATTTATCAGTGTTCCGGATGAAGTTGTTGATATCAAGGTTGTCAGTATTGTTGTTACTATCAAAGCGGTGCTCCAAGGCGTACTGGATGAAGCGCTCACAATTGGGACCCATTGAGGCCAAAGCGTTGAAGGCCACAACCGAATCAGGCGACAATGATTGGTAGATGGAACGCCATGTAGCAACATAAGAACGAACAGAAGAAACAAACTTTGGACCAACATCAATATTGCCAGCATAGAGGGATTTCATAAGTGAGATGACATCGGCGGGTTGAAGTTGACTATACTCCTGATGAAGATAAAGCCAGAGGTCACGGCCTCTAATGGCCACATCATTAACATGTTCGATCAACTCAGGAGAAATGTTGTTGAGGATGACATCATGGACGACGGTATCAAGCGAGGCGGTGAGGTCTTCGAGGGATTCATTAGCAGCTGGATTGACAGTACCAGCTTCGACATAAAGGTGGACACCATTATTCATAGCACGAAGACCCAAAAGGATCTTAGTAGCCCAGACATGATAGTTGAGAGGAGTGAGTTTTTCAGAGGAAGTAAGATTAATATAAGCCGAAGTGCGGCCCATAACCTGTTGAACTGTGACACGGGAAGTCATGATAATAATAGAAAATATTATCCAAGAAAAGTATATATTGAAATATATAAGATAAAACAGTTATATAAGAAGAAAGAAAAAGGAAAAGAAAAATTATAAAAGTTGGGGAAGAAACTTTCCTTATATACCCAAGGGAAAGAAAAATTTGCAGTGGTGAAAATTTTTCATTTGGGTTTGTCCCAAAGTTGAGTGGGTTTGTATTACACTTCAACTTTGTAACAAATTAAGGAGGGTAACCACAGTCATATAAGGGCTTAAACCTAATGCGGCTAAAACTAAAATAAACATAGATTGTCAACCATAGTTTCCCACCCAAACTCACGTGCATTATCAACTGCACTAGTCTGCGACAACATTGCATGCTCAACAAGAATGAGGTCAACAATTAATCACGAAGGCAATGTCAAGGCCTATGAAGAAGAGAGAGAAGTTATCGTGGTTCCAAGTAAAAATCTGCACTTGGATAAAGGAAGAGAGAGAGAGAAGAGAAGGCAGTTTGAGTTAAACACCGAGTCGTTAAATAAAGGTGTCCATGTCAAACAACCCGAGGTTGCTAAAGCTGAGCATGCAGTTCCAATAATCAAAGAAGCCTCCCGGGTGCCTGTGCAAACCCATAGCTCAGTTGGGTCTACCGGTATTAGTGATGAAGCTACCTGCGCGCCGCGTGAGAAGAGTCTCCGCCAGTATATCGATATTGAGGATAACAGTTCCTCCAGTGAAGAATCGTCCTTGTCGTCCGACGATTACAACAACATTGACAACAACATTGACAACAACATCGACAACAACATTGACAACAACATCGACAACAACATCGACAACAACATTGACAACAACAATAACAACAAAGATATGTCAATGCCCACTTTTGATCAAAACATTGAAGACGCTTCTGAAATTGATTTAGCCGAGCAGATGCGCAAACTAGATGTCCAAACCACACCAATCATGGGACATTCTACACCCCGCAATGAGCTCTCGTTTGATCATTCAGTAGGGATCGGCCGCCCTATGCGTCAAATCAACACTATCGAACCAATGGAAATTTTACAACGTATTCCAACAAATTTTCATAAACAACCTGTTCTTTCAGATCTCAACTCTGTTAGTCCACAACAACACCCTGAAGATTACAATCTTGATTCCGTCAGCATGAGTGTTGACGATGAGCTGTCCACATCAGCTAAACCCCCTGAAGCTAATATTCTTGATGCTTCTATTACTCGTGACCCTAATGAGATGGATATAAGTATGAAGTCCACCACCCTGGACTCTGATGAGATGGAAATAAGTATCAACGCTATTCACATTAACACCACCGATGATTACATTGCAACAACACCTCCACACAACAACTTTACTGGTAAATCATTTATTGCTGCTACCCAGGAAGACATCAACACTAAAGATCCTTTAGTGCTCAACAAAATTATTCTGCCCGCTTATCTTCAATTCCCAGATCAACAAATTTTTACCCCTGCCCTAGTGGATTCTGGCGCTCCCGCACTTTTTGTCAAACTGGAAACAATCCAAAAAGCCAATCTGGATCACCTCTGTCAACCTTGCATCAAGCAACGGTTAGCCAACACTGCAATTGGTCCTGAAACTTCACGTCTTACTCACAAAATTTTGCTTACTATTGTTATTGGTGACATTTCTGTTACTGATATGTTCTTTGTTGCTAGCGAACTTTATCATGATGTTGTACTTGGTGTTCCTTTTATCAAAATTTTTTGGCAATTCATAGATTGGGAGTCTAATACTTTTAACAACATTGAGTCTATCACACCATCCGAGCTTTATGCCAACAAAGTTCAATTCGGTCGTCTTGCAAAATCTAGGGATAATTCCTTAGGTGTTTGTGTCATCAGAATGGAAAACGAACCTGGAGGGGAGGAAGGAGTATTACCAAAACAATTTTCGGAATTTAGTGATGTCGTAACAAACGACCCACCGGATAAACTACCACCACAAAAAGATATCTCACATCGAATTGATACCGTTCCCACAGCAAAAATCCCAGCAAAGCCACCATATCGTCTTTCACAACAAGAAAATAAAATTCTTACAACAGAAATCGAAAAACTCATCAAAACTGAATTTATTCGCCCATCGTCATCACCTTACAGTGCTCCTGTTCTTTTTGTCAAAAAGAAAGATGGTTCCATGCGTATGTGTATCGACTACCGTATGCTCAACAACATTACCATCAAGAACCGTTACCCATTACCCAACATTGATGACATTCTCAATCAACTACATGGTGCAAAGTTTTTCAGCAAACTTGATCTTCGCTCTGGTTATCATCAAATTCGTGTTTTTGATGACCACATTCATAAGACCGCTTTTTCAACAAACAATGGTCATTGGGAATTTTTAGTCATGCCTTTTGGACTAACCAATGCTCCTGCTACTTTTCAAAATTACATGAACGACATTTTTCGTCCTTATCTCAACCAATTTGTCGTTGTTTACCTGGATGATATTCTCATTTATTCTGAGTCTAGTGAAGAACATGAGAAACATGTCAGAATTGTCCTAGAACTACTTCGATCTAATCAATTAGTTGCTAGTTTAAAGAAGTGTGCCTTCTTTCGTGAATCACTTGAGTTTCTTGGTTTTCAATGTTGAGCATGCAATGTTGTCGCAGACTAGTGCAGTTGATAATGCACGTGAGTTTGGGTGGGAAACTATGGTTGACAATCTATGTTTATTTTAGTTTTAGCCGCATTAGGTTTAAGCCCTTATGTGACTGTGGTTACCCTCCTTAATTTGTTACAAAGTTGAAGTGTAATACAAACCCACTCAACTTTGGGACAAACCCAAATGAAAAATTTTCACCACTGCAAATTTTTCTTTCCCTCAGATATTTAAGGAAGGTTTCTTCCCCAACTTTTATAATTTTTCTTTTCCTTTTTCTTTCTTCTTATATAACTGTTTTATCTTATATATTTCAATATATACTTTTCTTGGATAATATTTTCTATTATTATCATGACTTCCCGTGTCACAGTTCAACAGGTTATGGGCCGCACTTCGGCTTATATTAATCTTACTTCCTCTGAAAAACTCACTCCTCTCAACTATCATGTCTGGGCTACCAAGATCCTTTTGGGTCTTCGTGCAATGAATAATGGTGTCCACCTTTATGTCGAAGCTGGTACTGTCAATCCAGCTGCTAATGAATCCCTCGAAGACCTCACCGCCTCGCTTGACACCGTCGTCCATGATGTTATCCTCAACAATATTTCTCCTGAGTTGATCGAACATGTTAATGATGTGGCCATTAGAGGCCGTGACCTCTGGCTTTATCTTCATCAGGAGTATAGTCAACTTCAACCCGCCGATGTCATCTCACTTATGAAATCCCTCTATGCTGGCAATATTGATGTTGGTCCAAAGTTTGTTTCTTCTGTTCGTTCTTATGTTGCTACATGGCGTTCCATCTACCAATCATTGTCGCCTGATTCGGTTGTGGCCTTCAACGCTTTGGCCTCAATGGGTCCCAATTGTGAGCGCTTCATCCAGTACGCCTTGGAGCACCGCTTTGATAGTAACAACAATACTGACAACCTTGATATCAACAACTTCATCCGGAACACTGATAAATGGGCCAAGTTGTTGAAGATTACTGACCCTCCAGCTACTCTTTCGACTGAAGCGTTCGTTGCTTCATCAAAGAAGTACAATAACAAATCTAAGGGTGATGGTATTAAATGTTTCCGTTGTAAGAGGCGTGGTCATACTTCCAACAATTGTCATGTCTCTTGGGAAGAGGTTCAGGCTGCTCGCCAAGATAATAAGGATGACAAGGAATCTAAGGAGGCTAAAACCTCAAGAGGTTGGTTTGCTGAGACTATTGATGAATTTTCTGAGATAGTTGATGATGATCCATTTGTGAGTTCCGCTTTTGTGTCCGAGACATCTGTTGTTTCTGAAAAGTTTCGTAACAGTTGCTCCGAGTCGTTTGATGATTTGGAATCCGAACTTTTGATTCTTCTGAGCCGTGTGTCGGCGATGAAGATTGTTTTGTTGGTCAAGTTTCTGAGTATTGTTCAAACTCAGGACTTGATATTGATTCAGTTGGTAAACCGTTTGTTGGTTCCACTGATGATTCTTGTTTTATTTCTGAACCGTATGTCGGTTCTACTGTTGTTTGTTTGGAGTCTGAACCGTGTGTCAGTTCAGCTCCTATTTGTTTTGATTCTGAATCGTTGGTCGATTCGGATATTGTTCCTTTTGATTCTGAACCGTTGGTCGGTTCTTCTTTTTATTTCTTGTTCTGATTCTAAACCGTTGGTCGGTTCTGATGATGATATTGTCTTACCTTGTTTTGATTTTTGGTGGATTCAATTACTGAACCTTCTCCGCCTATTGTTAAACCTATTGTTACACCAAAATCCCGTTTTTCTCCATTCTTTTACTTATCTTTTGTTACCATCATGTTGTTTTCCTTGATTTTAATTGTCGTCTGGCATCCTTCTTCAATCTTGGATTTAAGTCATTCAGTCCATCACGTTTTTGTTGCTGAATCTACTACTTCTGCTGAGGCCAACTTAGTTGTTGGGTCTGATTCTTTTGACTTTATCCATGATACTGGTGCTACCAGTCACATTTGCAATAACATCTCATATTTTTTCTCTTCGTCCCACTTCGGCTACCATTCGTGGTCTTGGTTCTGCTACTGCTGAGGGGGTTGGCGACATTGTCGTTGATCTTCTTGGTAAAGATGACCAGCCTTGTGACCGCGTTGTTCTTCGAGATGTTTTATATGTTCCTAAGATTCCTCGCAATTTATTTGCTGCTCGTCGAGCTACTGCTGGTGGTTGTCGGTTCATTCAAGACCTTAACCATATTTCTGCTGTCGAAAATGGCAAAACTCGAGTCCACGCCATTGCCATGGGTGACTTGTACTTTTGTCGTTTCCGAGTTGTTTTGCCTTCCAAGCCAGTCCATGAGGTGTTTGCTGTTGAGTCGTCTGCCAATCTTTGGCACAAGCGACTTGGTCACGCCAGTGTGGACGTTCTCAAGAAATTATCTAAGTCACTTTCTGTCAAGCCTACTCATTTTGAGGTTGTGGATAGTCATAAGTGTGACGCTTGCTTGGGTGGCAAAGCCACAGCATTGCCATTTAATGGTACCACAGAAAAAGCTAGTCGTCCTTTGGAATTATTTGTTTCTGATTTGAGCGGTCCTCATGTCGCTACCCCTGTGGGTCATCGTTATGTCTTAACCATTATGGATTATTATTCCAGGTACTCTTATGTGGAGTTGTTGGTTAGGAAAAGTGATGCAAGTCTTGCCATTCGTAATTTTATTGCTAGGTGTGAATCTTATTTTTCTGGTGATTCTGCTGGTGATCGAGTTGCATATTTTCATTCTGATAATGGCGGCGAATACATTTCCAAAGACCTGGAGCAGTTCTTTGTGTCTAAGGGTATCAAGCATACTTATACAGTTCCTCATACTCCTCAGCAAAATGGTGTTGCTGAGCGATTGAATCGCACATTATTTGAAAAAGCCAAGTCTATGCTTTTATATGCTCATGCTCCTGAGTATTTATGGGGTGAAGCTGTCAAGTCTGCTAATTATATTAGGAACCGTCTTCCTAGTCGTACCACTGGTGGTGTTGCACCTCTTCAACTTTGGACGGGTAAACCTCCTAGTTATCACCATATGAAAGTATTTGGTTGTCAAGCTATGTTGAGCATGCAATGTTGTCGCAAACTAGTGCAGTTGATAATGCACGTGAGTTTGGGTGGGAAACTATGGTTGACAATCTATGTTTATTTTAGTTACAGCCGCATTAGGTTTAAGCCCTTATGTGACTGTGGTTACCCTCCTTAATTTGTTACAAAGTTGAAGTGTAATACAAACCCACTCAACTTTGGGACAAACCCAAATGAAAAATTTTCACCACTGCAAATTTTTCTTTCCCTTGGGTATATAAGGAAAGTTTCTTCCCCAACTTTTATAATTTTTCTTTTCCTTTTTCTTTCTTCTTATATAACTGTTTTATCTTATATATTTCAATATATACTTTTCTTGGATAATATTTTCTATTATTATCATGACTTCCCGTGTCACAGTTCAACAAGCTACAGTTGTTCTTCCTGGTGCTAAAAGAGAATCTAAGTTAAGTTCAAATACTGAAGCTGGTGTTTTTGTTGGGTATTCTTTGGATCGTACAGCTTATCGAGTTCTTCTTGATTCAAGCATTGTTGAAGCCAGGAGTGTTTACTTTGATGAGTCCAAGTTTCCATTTATGAAAAGTGATAAAGACTTGTCTATTAATGGTACTGGTGTTGGGTTTAGTGTTGGTTCTGGTTCAGGGTCCATGTCAGGGTCTTGTTTTGATTCTAAGGGGTCTGGTTTAGGATCTAATGTTAGGGTTAATTCTATTGCTAGTTCTGATTCAAGTTCTGGTTCTAGTTTTGGGTCTCATAGATCTTTACCAGCATCCTCATCTGGTTCTGGTTCTGGTTCTATTTGTGCTTTACCGTCTCCGTCTCCGTCTTCTTCTCCGTCTCATTCTCCGTCGCCACCTCCTCCTTCTTCTTCTTCTATTATTGTTCATAAGCCTCGTTCTGTTCGTCGCATTTTGTCTACACCTTCTGCTCCTCTTGAGTCTCCTACTCTTCCTACTCTTCCTTCTATTCCTTCTGTTCCATCTCTTCCTAGTTCTCCTATTCTTCCACCTTCAGATCATGATGTCTCTATCTCTCCTGACTCTAGTCCTATTGTTTCTTCTTCGGAATATATTCCTTCACAATTAGACTTATCTGAAGCTGGTCCATCTATTAATGAATCTGATATTTCAGGTGATTCTGGGATCTCGCAACGAGGGGGTGATATTGGGTTTCAACCGTCTATCATTGCTTCGTCTCCCACTCCACCACCTTCTGTTGAATTGGAAGTAGTGCCACTTAGTCAAGAATCTCCTTCGTCTGATCTTGTTAATTCTCTTGACCAAGCTGGTGTTAGTGTTGTCACTAAGGATGATACTCAAGCTGTTTTGCCTAAATCTCGATCTCGTGTTGTTGCTGTTCGTTTACCTTCTATAACTCCTGCCAAACGCCCGAGTTCAGATGACATTGTTTCACCTCCTTCTAAACACCTTTGTGAAAATTCTTTGAAACAATCTCCAGTGTCTGCAACACCTGCAAAACGTCCAGCTGAAGAAGAGTGTATTTCTTATCGTCGTCTCAAATCTCCCGCTTTGAGTATGATGATGTGGCTTTACTTGTTTTACAGATCCTAGTAGTTTTGAAGAAGCTATGTCTAGTGAAGAAGCTGAGTTTTGGCTTGAAGCCTGTGTTATTGAAATGTCGTCTCTTAAACGCAATGGTACTTGGGAATTGGTTGATCTCCCACCTGGTCGCAAGGCTATCAATAGCAAATGGGTGTTTAAAGTTAAGCGCAAAGCTGACGGTTCAATTGAACGTTACAAAGCTCGTCTCGTGTGTATTGGATTTTCGCAAGTTGAAGGTATTGATTATACTGAAACTTTTGCTCCCGTTGTTCGTTACGAGACTGTGAGGATTGTTCTTGCTATTGCTGCTCAGTTTGGGTTCCAGGTTCATCATATGGATGTCGAGACTGCATTTCTTAATGGTGATCTCAAAGAAGATATTTATATGAGACAACCTAAAGGCTTTGTTGTCAAAGGTCAGGAATCTAAAGTGTGTCATTTGAAGAAGTCTTTGTATGGTTTAAAGCAAGCTCCTTTGTGTTGGAATGAGAAGATTCATGGTGCTCTTGTCAAACTTGGGTTTATTCGTAATGAAAGTGACTACGGTGTGTATACCAAAGGATCTGGGTCTACCATGGTTATTATTGCACTGTATGTTGATGATTTACTTATTTCTGGCAATTCTTCTGAAGTCATTGCCAAAACCAAGTCTTCTTTGTCATCTATGTTTAAGATGAAAGACTTGGGCCCAGTCGAGCAGTTCCTTGGCATGAGAGTTAAGCAGTCACCTTACCATATTACTGTGGATGTTTCACGTTATATTTTTGACGTGTTGGAGGAGTTTGGTATGCAGAATTGTTCAAGTGTCAAGACTCCTTTACCCACTCGTGATCTTTCTGATTTTTCCGAGTCTGACTCTGCTACCGATGCCTCCATGTATCGCAGTATTATTGGTAAGCTGATTTATGCTGCTAATTGTGCTCGTCCTGATCTTGCTGTTGCTGTTAGCTTTCTTTGTCGATATATGCAGAGTCCTAAGTCTATTCATATGGAAGCTGCTAAGCATACTCTTCGTTATCTTAAGGGTACTGCTGAACTTGGTCTTGAATATCGAGCTCAGAAAGTCTACAAGCTTGTTGGCTATAGTGATGCCGATTATGCACAGGACAAGCAGGACCGTAAGTCCTTTACTGGGTATGTTTTATTCTGTCTGGTGGTCCCATTACTTGGGCTTGTCGAAAGCAAGTTAGTCCTGCATCGTCCAGCGTCGAGTCTGAGTACATGTCATTGTCTGATGCGTCTAAGGAATGCTTCTGGATTAATCAGTTGTTGTCTCTTTGCAAGATTCCTGTTCCGTTGCCAGTGACTATGTTTGAGGACAATCAGGGATGTATTGCTTTGGCTCAGAACCCAGTGTTTCATCGTCGCACCAAGCATATTGATGTTCGGTATCATGTTGTCCGTCACTATATTCGCAGTGGAGTGATTCATCTGGAGTATCTTGATACTCAAGTGATGTTGGCAGATATGTTTACTAAGAATCTTGGTCGTGTGAAGTTTGAGACATTGAGGGGACTACTTGGTATGAAGGCAGTAGGTGATTCTGCGACAAGGGGAGGTGTTGAGCATGCAATGTTGTCGCAGACTAGTGCAGTTGATAATGCACGTGAGTTTGGGTGGGAAACTATGGTTGACAATCTATGTTTATTTTAGTTTTAGCCGCATTAGGTTTAAGCCCTTATGTGACTGTGGTTACCCTCCTTAATTTGTTACAAAGTTGAAGTGTAATACAAACCCACTCAACTTTGGGACAAACCCAAATGAAAAATTTTCACCACTGCAAATTTTTCTTTCCCTCAGATATTTAAGGAAGGTTTCTTCCCCAACTTTTATAATTTTTCTTTTCCTTTTTCTTTCTTCTTATATAACTGTTTTATCTTATATATTTCAATATATACTTTTCTTGGATAATATTTTCTATTATTATCATGACTTCCCGTGTCACAGTTCAACATTCAAGTATCTACTAAAGGTATCTTGCCTACGGATGATAAAGTCAAAGCTATAAGAGATTTTCCTGTTCCTATAACACCTCACGATTGTATGCGTTTTATGGGTCTTGCTAATTTTTATCGACGTTTTGTTCCGCATTTTTCACAAATTGCTGCACCATTGACTACTTTTATGTCTCAACCCAAAGATACTAAGTGGACCCCCGTTGAACAAAAAGCCTTTGACAAGCTTAAGGATAAGCTTACCACTAGTCCTGTTCTTATCATACCCAATCCAGATGATCTCTTTGTCCTTACTACTGACGCTAGTAAAATTGGTATTGGTGCCACCTTAGAACAATTCGGAGTTCAAGGTAAAAAGCTTGGTGTCGTCGCTTATTTCTCCCGCAAGCTCGACAAAGCTCAACAAAACTATGCTGTCCAAGATTTGGAATTCTTGGCTATCGTCGAAGCTTTGAAGCATTTCCGCACTCTGTTATATGGCGTTCATTTCATTTTACGCACTGACCACATTTCCTTGACTCACTTACAGTCTCAAACTAAACAACCCACTGGTCGTATTGCACGATGGTTTGGTTTACTTGCCGAGTATGATTTTAGTATTCAGTACATCAAAGGAAAAACTAATGTCGCTGCGGATGCACTTAGCCGCATGTTCATTGAAGCTATTGAGCTTGATAACGATTTTGAGGAACTTTTACAACAAGTTCGTGATTCTTTAAAGTCTGATCCTTTCTTCGCTGATATCATTAGTCATTTGGAAGATTCGGATTCACCACTTCACGATCGTCTCAAAAAGCAATTTGAGTATGATGACGGTGTTCTTTATTTTATAAAGTTTACTACCATGGACGATCACCATCGTCGTCTTTGCATTCCTGCATCCCAACTTAGACAGTTGCTTATATCTAAAGCACACAACCTGTCTCACTCTGGCCCTTATGCCACTTATCTTACATTAGCTGCTGACTATTACTGGCCCCATATGTTCCGCAACATCAAGCGTTTTATTCAAAGTTGTGATAACTGTCTACACAACAAACCTGAGCAACGCAAAACACAAGGTCTGCTACAACCACTGGAAGTTCCTGAGAACCGCTGGTCTTCAGTTTCTATGGATTTCATTACTGGCATCCCTATGTCCGAGGATTTTGATATGATTTTAGTAGTCGTTGACCGCCTTACCAAACGCGCTCATTTTATCGCAACTACTACTACCTTAGATGGCCCTAAGCTAGCACAGCTTTTTATGCGCGAAGTTACTCGCTTACATGGATATCCCACAGAAATTGTTTCGGATAGAGATGTTCGTTTCTCTACATTCTGGACTGCTTTTACCAAGTCCTGGGGTACGAAGCTATGCAAGTCTACTGCTTATCACCCACAGTCTGATGGTCAAACAGAACGTATTAATCGGATTCTAAGACAACTTTTACGCTCTTACTGTTATGACAATGGACTTGATTGGTTTTATTATCTTGACCAAGTAGAATTTGCTTATAATTCCGCACCACAGTCTACTATTAAGACATCCCCATTTGTCGCTGATCTTGGCTTTCTACCTCGCCAGCCTGCAATGATCCGTCCACCATTGGATGCTCGTATACCCTCAAACGTGGAAAGTCTACAAGTCAAACTGAAAGCTATTCTGTTACGTACTCAAGAGTACATGAGTTTCTCACAGTTGAGTCAACAACGACAAGCTGACAAGCATCGTCGTCCTGTGGAAATTAAAGTTGGTGATTCTGTTCTTATCCACCACACTAGTTTTCAGAGCCCTAGCAACAGGATGCTGCCACTTTTCGTCGGTCCATACACCGCCGTTAAAGCAATTGGGGGAGGAAATGCGTTTGAATTGGACTTACCCACTACTGTGAAGAACAACCGTGTTTTTAATGTTTCGAAATTACGCAAATATGTCAAATCTGATGAATACCCTGCTGATATTAGACCTACTGAGGATTATGTTAAGAAGAACTCGAATCGCATTGCTAGCGTAGCCGCTATGCAAAATGGTCTTGTCTATCTACAGTTCACAGATAGCCTACCTGGGCATTGCGTCGCTATTTCGACAAGTTTTTGGAATTCTATGCCTGCAGAAAAAAGGATACCATTATTCAAAGCTTACATGGCTAGAATCAAAGCTCGGGACGAGCTTTTATGAAGGAAGGGAAAGTTGTAAAAGATCAACATGCGATCGATCGACCGGATAAACTAACATACAAGCGATCAACCGGATAAAAGAAACAAGCAATCAAGCGATCGAGATAAATAACTATAAACACTTTAAAGAACAAATATGCAATCGATCGAGATAATAATTATCGATAAATATTTGAGGATAAATACATTAATTTAGATTAAAGATTAAGAAGCGATTAAGAAGGAATTATTAAAGAGAATCGCTTGAATATATATAGTCATATATTTCCATAAGTTTTATCGGTATCTAAAAAGATATTTACATCAATACAATAAGTTTTATATTATGTTTGTTTGTTTGTTTTTATTCAAGGGTTATAGAATTATATAACATCAGCATCTGCGCTATCCTTCTTGTCCATACTATATATTTTTTCATTTTAATAATAAACTTTTAATTTTGGCTTCAACATTGCATCTCCAACAGCCCGAAAATAAGTCCTGATGCCAGCTTACGAGGAACAGGGGGTTAAAATAACCAAACCTTCCCAACCTATCTCCACTTGTCTTCATCAACGCTGTAATTGTATTTCTTAATCCCTCCAAGCAGAGATAAAGCTTACAATCTCTTGTAAGCCAGTTAAACTGTTTAAGAGAGTCGACATGTCCATCTCTGGAGATATCCGTTTCAGTCCTTTTCTTTCCTCTTCAAGCAAAGGACACTCAACTAAAATGTGATGAACTGTTTCCAGCTCTCCACATTTGCAGTTGTAACTATCCTTTTCAATTCCAAACTTTTTAAACCATGCGCCAAAGTTTCCATGGCCTGTGCGAAATTGAGTAATATTACTCAAGATCCTTCGACTATCTTTCTTCATGATCACTCCCGTAACCATTTTGGAAAGATTATCAGTACATTTCGACTCCACTGTGATATTATGATACCACAGATCCTTACTGCTGTTCCAATACATTTCTTGCCATTCTTCCATTGCTTGTTTCTTCAAAATTCCAATCGTCTGATTTTGTTGTTGTTTCAGTGTAAGAGGTTCAACCCTCTTGCATTTTCGTTTTTCATCCTTTTTAATCATATAGTCTCTATCATCTTTCGCCAACATGTAAAGCGTGGTTAGCTTTGCAATTGGAGATTTCTCAATCAATGTTAACAAATGACCATTAATAGGATTAGTTTTGCTAATATTTAGGTGTAAACGAATAGCTTTTCGTGCCACCATAAATTTTAGCCTAATACTATATGGCATAATACCAGCTTCCTTTTGTAGTACCGCAATAGGAGTTGTGCGATAAGCACCAACAATTCTTCTTAAAGCCATGTTCTGCATTACTCCAACTTGTGGATTTCTCCTTTCAAGATTTTATGATGCCAAATTTCTAAGCCATATTCAACAATTGGTCTCACGCAAGCAATATACAGTGATCTGACTGCAGACCCTCGCATACCTTTTGCACGCCTCCAAGATGCCAAATAGCGCCAACAGCTTTTCTTGCTTTATTGATTTTATTCAAAATATGAGATTTAAAATCAAGCAGATTGTTCAAAGTAATTCCAAGCAATTTAACTTCCTTCTGGGGTTCACGAAGTTCTCCATTAGGTAAAGTAAGTTGCACTTTCTCATCTTTAGGTTTCACATTTTTGTAAAATGAATAAAACCAATTTATCACCCAAATCAATTTTGGTCATTCTTGATTTAGCCCAATTACAACATTTTTCTAATATGTTGCTTAAGCTTTTGGTATTTTCTTCAATTTTACCTTCAACGGTAATAGTCACATCATCAATGAAGCCAAAAGGAGTTCCACCCCATTCTTTAATGGCATGATACATTGGTGTGGAATATATCAAAAAAGTAGTGGTGAAATAGGTGAGCCTTGCGGAATTCCAGTACTAATTTTTGCACTGATCCTTTTCTTCGGTCCATGAGCATACTAGCTTCTCTTTCACTTACAAATTGGTACGTCCAGTTTATAAGTGTTTTGGGTAGTTTCATATCCTCCATTGTGTGTGCCAATATATTTCTGTTAACATTATCAAAAGCTCCTTGAATATCAATGAGCATAGCTGAAATTTTTCTTTACTAGTTTCAATTCTTTGGACAAGTTCCAAAACAGCATCAGTAGCACAATAACCTTGTCTTCCCCATATTGCTCTGGTGGAAGTAAGTGTGTTGTAAGCTTGGTCATTCTTTTTGTATAATTTTTCCAGTACTTTAGATGGAATCTTAAGTAAGGAAATTGGTCGGTATGCTCTTGGCTTTGAATAGTCAGGTTTCTTAGGTTTAGGTATAACAACAATAATGCCATGTCTCCAGACTTTTGGGTGGTATCCAAACTTTACACAAGCTTGGAGAAGCTTGAAAAACCTTTCCTTAAAGTCTTTATTTAGCCATGCCATCTTTAAAACTTTGCCAGTAATTCCATCGTCTCCTGGAGCTTTATCATTTGGGGTATCAGCCAATGCAGAGTCAACTTCATCAAACTCTAATTTTGGCCATCGAGAATCGTCATCAATTTCAAACTCTCTATCAAGACCATGATCAATTTCAGGTAGAAGTGCCTTCCATATTTCATGTCTTTTTTCGTCAACAGTAGTAGTGAGAGTTCCATCTTCTTTCTAATTTGTGGTATAATGGTATCATTGCTTTTTGGATTAATATACTTCAAAATCTTCCAAATGTCATTTCCTTCTAAACTAGACAAATATTTATTCCATTGCTCAGTACTTGCCTCACGCAAACTGTGGTCAAAAATTTTTCTAGCTTTTTTGCCTCTTCAATTTTTTGTCGTTTCAAAGCCAAAGAAGGTTGTCTTTGACGGGCTTCCCTTTTAGCTTCTAGCGCTTTTTCTAACTTCTCCTTAATTCTTGATTCCAATAGCGTTTGGACTTTTTCATCACCTTAACTTCCTTCATCGACTTTGCCATTGCTCTTTTTACAACCTCCTCAAGAACTTTAGCTTGGTCATCAATTTGGTCAGTTGATTTTAGAGTTTTGTTATGCACATTAAAATCTTTAATGGCAGAAGAAAGCTCCTTGTCAAACTTTTCCCAATCTGCATTCTTAATATTCAATCTCTTCACCGAAGTAAAACTTCATCCCTGTTTTTACTCTGAGACATATAGATGTCCCACTCCACAATTGAGTGATCACTTAGTGTATTTTCATCCACTCCACTAAATGAAATTCTATGAAGTAAGTCCACTGAGCCATAAACCAAATCAATATTGGTTCTATTGTTGTATGTTTTTTGATTTCTTGGAGTAATTAACATCATATCATTTTCATGTAGCCACTCAACAACTTCATCTGCTTCCGTATTCGGACCTGCCCTTGACTCCCATTCCTTGTGATGTAAGTTATAATCACCTGCAATGACAATCTTTGAGTATTGTTCCTTGATCTCCCGTTTGAGAAACTCAAAACCGGTGGCTCAGGGTATTTCTTGATGGTTTCGGTTGATTATAGACATTGACAATTGTAATGTCTTTAACCAAAATGGTAACCATATCTCGATTTGTAAACTTTTCAATTTTAGTAGTTAATGCTCGTAAGTCAGAGTTAGACCTAATGTAAGTAATTGCTCTGCATTTTTTTTTTCTTTTCCAGTTTCTGTAAAGATTGGGATCCAATCTTTATGTTTAATGGGCCCATAGTTGTTAAAGTAAGGTTCTTGTAATAACAAGATATCAGGTTCTTTTTATCTAAGATAGTTTCAGTAATAGATTTCGATTTATGACAATTGAGTTGGAATACTTTATAATTCATTGGATGTAATAGAATTGTTTTCGTTTTCTTCCTCATTGGATTCATCTAGTTCTTCAATATTTGTTTCTTTCATCGGTTCATCTTGTGAGTCGTCAGTGGAAACAGGATGGGCCTCATTATCCTTTTGTCTGATTCATTTTTCAATAATCGTATCTTATTACGCATAGCTTGGAGTTCTTCAGGAGTTTTTTTTTCTGCTAATAAAAGGTCTAACTTTAACTTTTGTGTACTGGATAATAAGATTATCAGCACACTTTGCATAGTCTTGGGCATTTCTGAATGAAACCAATGCTGTTTGGGTAAATTGGTTTCTGCTAATGATTTTGGGTTCGGTATTCAAAACAATATGGTAATCATTAAAATTGTAGAGAGTTTCTTTCAAGTCTTCAATCGATGCCGTATTAGGTATTTCCTGAAGTACAGCCTTGTACCAAGAATCTGTGTCAAGCACTGAATAAGTAGGGTCAACTTTGGGGATCCATTCTGCAGCTTTATCAGCAAAATCTTTGTCATTAAGTTGAACATATAAATGCCCTTTGACAGTATAGCCTATTTCCTGAGCCACCGGCTTTTGTGCAACCGCATCAATTTTCTTTCCAATCGCAGGGATATTAACTCTTTCATGGTATCTGGAATTCTTATGCACACTCTAAAAGTGGGTTTGTCTTCATCAACTTTAGTTTCACGGTGTTGTTTTGAGCCTTCATAATGTCTTTCAACTTTGGAGTTGCTCCATTTGGAGTTTTAGGGGTCAAAGCAAAAGGCAAAGTGTCGACTTTTCTTACCGCACTCTTGATTTCCTTTTTGCGTAGCTAAGTTCTTTGGTAGTTAAATCAGCCTTAGTTGAAATAGTTCCAACTTTGTATTCCATATTATCAACTCTTTTCTCAAGATTGTTGGTCATTTCTTTGAATTCCTTGATTTCAGTGTCAATAATTCTTTTGTTTCTTGCTTTTTCTTGAGACAAATCTTGAAGAGTCATCTTAGCTATTTCATCAGCTTTATGTTTCACTTTATCGCAATGATCCTTATTATCCTTAACTTCCTTTTTAAGTTTTTCAAACATTACATGTTTAACTTCTGTGTGAACCTGATTGTTTCTCAAAACATCAAGTTCTGAGCGAAGAGAATTCACTTGTCCTTCTGAAGCTTTAAGCTTTTCGGTCAAAGCAATGAGTTGTTTAGCTAACTCATTGTTTTTAAGTTCAAGATTTTGAAATTTTATTTCCCAATCTTCAATTGTAATACTCAAGTCTTCTTTAACAATAGACAATTCAACCAGAAATACATCCTTAAGTTTTAAGATGTATTCCCAGGCTTCAGAATTATCACCAAATGGATTTGCATCCGGCATGAGAACATCCATGTCACGTGATGGTGTTGCGTCAATTTCCACATCACCACCATCTGGTGAAGAGTCAAAGGTAGGGTTCAAGGTTGGACCAACATTCACAATAGGGGTTTCAACGGGGGTTTCGTGGTTTGAAGAAGCATTATGCTTATCATTCGATTCAAGCTTTTTGTGGATAGTTTCAATTTTTTTATGGGAGTCTGGTTTTTTATTATTTTTTTGGATTTTTGTCGAGGGTTTGATGTGATGAGCTTCATGAGAATGAGGTCCTCTGGAATGAGAACTTTCTTTCTCCTTCAGTTCAACAGCAATAATTTTTTGCATATCATTAATATTAGTCTGTTCATTATTATTGTCGGTATAATTATTGTCGGCAGGAGGGTCGCCGCCACTAAACGTGGTTTGGGTGTTGTTGGGGGGGTCTGACATGGTTTTTCTTTTATCCGGTTGATCGCTTGTATGTTAGTTTATCCGGTCGATCGATCGCATGTTGATCTTTTACATTACAAGAGTAACTATTGTGACAATTTGGCCGAGTTGGTCTAAGGCGTCCGACTCAAGTGTTTACTTCACTGAAAGCGGTGTTTTCGGATCTCGTTAGAGGCGTGGGTTCAAATCCCACAGTTGTCATTATTTTTCTTTGTTTTTCTCAAATTTCATTCACCATATTAATCTATTATTGACTAGAAGTTTTTGGCCCATTTCAATTTTTTTTGCAATAATTTTACAAAGAGGGGAGCTGTTGGAATATATGGAATGGTATCATCACGTATTTCTTTTTGTTGGAATATATCCTATGGTACTATGGGCTATTTCAGCATTATCTCATAATAATCTTTTTCCATTACAATCTTTACAATGTTACATTATTTACTAGCAACTACGAGCTCTTCTTGATTACAAAGGTAATAATTGTGTCAATTAAGATTTTCTACTGCTAAAGAAAATTTGCCTCGATGCTCCTTTAAATTTTCTTCGTTACTGAAACCTTTCTTCCTCCTTTTTTCTCGCTTCTCTAAATTTAAGCTAAACTGTTTTTATTAAATAATCTCTCAGCTTTCAGCTTATCAATCGTATTTATTCATTAACTTTGGTTTTTTAACGTATTGTTAGTCTTTCCCTCACTATGTCAACCTATGGAAACACTGATGGTGTCTATGAAGGAGCCTAGTCAGTCAGCACTAAGAGTTTGGTCGCTAGTACAACTCCCTATATTGTGGTGATTTTTTTAGCGGTAGAAATTCTTAATTGATACAATTATTACCTTTGTAATCAAAAAAAAAAAGCTCGTAGTTGCTAGTAAATAATGTAACAATGTAAAGAGTGTAATGGAAAAATATTATTACGAGATAATGTTGAAATTGCCCATAGTATCATGGAATATAACATATCACCACTCAACATTCTCGTTTGTCTGGTAGCTTATAAAATTGAACGGAAAGTAATTAAAGAGTTGACCGCCCAGGTCCTTAAATCAAATTACAATTCAACAATTATTAGTACTGAGATTTAGATATTGGGTATTTCTGGACTTGACCTGTTGATAGAGAAAAGTAAAACATACAGAAGTGTTTCAAAAATTTAAAAAAATTAAAAGGGCCGAGCAGGGAATTGAACCCTGGACCACTCGCAATTTTAACCCAAAGCGAGTATCATACTACTAGACCACACGGCCTCTTATTAATGTAATGTAATGAAGTTATCGTATGAGAGTAAAGTCGGATTGTCCAAAGAAAGAACCAAGCTAATAGTTTAATATAAAACTTATGTCATAAACCATGTCAGACCCCCCCAACAACACCCAAACCACGTTTAGTGGCGGCGACCCTCCTGCCGACAATAATTATACCGACAATAATAATGAACAGACTAATATTAATGATATGCAAAAAATTATTGCTGTTGAACTGAAGGAGAAAGAAAGTTCTCATTCCAGAGGACCTCATTCTCATGAAGCTCATCACATCAAACCCTCGACAAAAATCCAAAAAAATAATGAAAAACCAGACTCCCATAAAAAAATTGAAACTATCCACAAAAAGCTTGAATCGAATGATAAGCATAATGCTTCTTCAAACCACGAAACCCCCGTTGAAACCCCTATTGTGAATGTTGGTCCAACCTTGAACCCTACCTTTGACTCTTCACCAGATGGTGGTGATGTGGAAATTGACGCAACACCATCACGTGACATGGATGTTCTCATGCCGGATGCAAATCCATTTGGTGATAATTCTGAAGCCTGGGAATACATCTTAAAACTTAAGGATGTATTTCTGGTTGAATTGTCTATTGTTAAAGAAGACTTGAGTATTACAATTGAAGATTGGGAAATAAAATTTCAAAATCTTGAACTTAAAAACAATGAGTTAGCTAAACAACTCATTGCTTTGACCGAAAAGCTTAAAGCTTCAGAAGGACAAGTGAATTCTCTTCGCTCAGAACTTGATGTTTTGAGAAACAATCAGGTTCACACAGAAGTTAAACATGTAATGTTTGAAAAACTTAAAAAGGAAGTTAAGGATAATAAGGATCATTGCGATAAAGTGAAACATAAAGCTGATGAAATAGCTAAGATGACTCTTCAAGATTTGTCTCAAGAAAAAGCAAGAAACAAAAGAATTATTGACACTGAAATCAAGGAATTCAAAGAAATGACCAACAATCTTGAGAAAAGAGTTGATAATATGGAATACAAAGTTGGAACTATTTCAACTAAGGCTGATTTAACTACCAAAGAACTTAGCTACGCAAAAAAGGAAATCAAGAGTGCGGTAAGAAAAGTCGACACTTTGCCTTTTGCTTTGACCCCTAAAACTCCAAATGGAGCAACTCCAAAGTTGAAAGACATTATGAAGGCTCAAAAACAACACCGTGAAACTAAAGTTGATGAAGACAAACCCACTTTTAGAGTGTGCATAAGAATTCCAGATACCATGAAAAGAGTTAATATCCCTGCGATTGGAAAGAAAATTGATGCGGTTGCACAAAAGCCGGTGGCTCAGGAAATAGGCTATACTGTCAAAGGGCATTTATATGTTCAACTTAATGACAAAGATTTTGCTGATAAAGCTGCAGAATGGATCCCCAAAGTTGACCCTACTTATTCAGTGCTTGACACAGATTCTTGGTACAAGGCTGTACTTCAGGAAATACCTAATACGGCATCGATTGAAGACTTGAAAGAAACTCTCTACAATTTTAATGATTACCATATTGTTTTGAATACCGAACCCAAAATCATTAGCAGAAACCAATTTACCCAAACAGCATTGGTTTCATTCAGAAATGCCCAAGACTATGCAAAGTGTGCTGATAATCTTATTATCCAGTACACAAAAGTTAAAGTTAGACCTTTTATTAGCAGGAAAAAAAAAACTCCTGAAGAACTCCAAGCTATGCGTAATAAGATACGATTATTGAAAAATGAATCAGACAAAAAGGATAATGAGGCCCATCCTGTTTCCACTGACGACTCACAAGATGAACCGATGAAAGAAACAAATATTGAAGAACTAGATGAATCCAATGAGGAAGAAAACGAAAACAATTCTATTACATCCAATGAATTATAAAGTATTCCAACTCAATTGTCATAAATCGAAATCTATTACTGAAACTATCTTAGATAAAAAGAACCTGATATCTTGTTATTACAAGAACCTTACTTTAACAACTATGGGCCCATTAAACATAAAGATTGATCCCAATCTTTACAGAAACTGAAAAGAAAAAAATAAATGCAGAGCAATTACTTACATTAGGTCTAACTCTGACTTACGAGCATTAACTACTAAAATTGAAAAGTTTACAAATCGAGATATGGTTACCATTTTGGTTAAAGACATTACAATTGTCAATGTCTATAATCAACCGAAACCATCCAAGAAATACCCTGAGCCACCGGTTTTTGAGTTTCTCAAACGGGAGATCAAGGAACAATACTCAAAGATTGTCATTGCAGGTGATTATAACTTACATCACAAGGAATGGGAGTCAAGGGCAGGTCCGAATACGGAAGCAGATGAAGTTGTTGAGTGGCTACATGAAAATGATATGATGTTAATTACTCCAAGAAATCAAAAACATACAACAATAGAACCAATATTGATTTGGTTTATGGCTCAGTGGACTTACTTCATAGAATTTCATTTAGTGGAGTGGATGAAAATACACTAAGTGATCACTCAATTGTGGAGGGGACATCTATATGTCTCAGAGTAAAAACGGGGATGAAGTTTTTACTTCGGTGAAGAGATTGAATATTAAGAATGCAGATTGGGAAAAGTTTGACAAGGAGCTTTCTTCTGCCATTAAAGATTTTAATGTGCATAACAAAACTCTAAAATCAACTGACCAAATTGATGACCAAGCTAAAGTTCTTGAGGAGGTTGTAAAAAGAGCAATGGCAAAGTCGATGAAGGAAGTTAAGGTGATGAAAAGTCCAAACGCTATTGGAATCAAGAATTAAGGGAGAAGTTAGAAAAAGCGCTAGAAGCTAAAAGGGAAGCCCGTCAAAGACAACCTTCTTTGGCTTTGAAACGACAAAAAATTGAAGAGGCAAAAAAAGCTAGAAAAATTTTTGACCACAGTTTGCGTGAGGCAAGTACTGAGCAATGGAATAAATATTTGTCTAGTTTAGAAGGAAATGACATTTGGAAGATTTTGAAGTATATTAATCCAAAAAGCAATGATACCATTATACCACAAATTAGAAAAGAAGATGGAACTCTCACTACTACTGTTGACGAAAAAAGACATGAAATATGGAAGGCACTTCTACCTGAAATTGATCATGGTCTTGATAGAGAGTTTGAAATTGATGATGATTCTCGATGGCCAAAATTAGAGTTTGATGAAGTTGACTCTGCATTGGCTGATACCCCAAATGATAAAGCTCCAGGAGACGATGGAATTACTGGCAAAGTTTTAAAGATGGCATGGCTAAATAAAGACTTTAAGGAAAGGTTTTTCAAGCTTCTCCAAGCTTGTGTAAAGTTTGGATACCACCCAAAAGTCTGGAGACATGGCATTATTGTTGTTATACCTAAACCTAAGAAACCTGACTATTCAAAGCCAAGAGCATACCGACCAATTTCCTTACTTAAGATTCCATCTAAAGTACTGGAAAAATTATACAAAAAGAATGACCAAGCTTACAACACACTTACTTCCACCAGAGCAATATGGGGAAGACAAGGTTATTGTGCTACTGATGCTGTTTTGGAACTTGTCCAAAGAATTGAAACTAGTAAGGAAAAATTTCAGCTATGCTCATTGATATTCAAGGAGCTTTTGATAATGTTAACAGAAATATATTGGCACACACAATGGAGGATATGAAACTACCCAAAGCACTTATAAACTGGACGTACCAATTTGTAAGTGAAAGAGAAGCTAGTATGCTCATGGACCGAAGAAAAGGATCAGTGCAAAAAATTAGTACTGGAATTCCGCAAGGCTCACCTATTTCACCACTACTTTTTTGATATATTCCACACCAATGTATCATGCCATTAAAGAATGGGGTGGAACTCCTTTGGCTTTATTGATGATGTGACTATTACCGTTGAAGGTAAAATTGAAGAAAATACCAAAAGCTTAAGCAACATATTAGAAAAATGTTGTAATTGGGCTAAATCAAGAATGACCAAAATTGATTTGGGTGATAAATTGGGTTTTATTCATTTTACAAAAAATGTGAAACCTAAAGATGAGAAAGTGCAACTTACTTTACCTAATGGAGAACTTCGTGAACCCCAGAAGGAAGTTAAATTGCTTGGAATTACTTTGAACAATCTGCTCGATTTTAAATCTCATATTTTGAATAAAATCAATAAAGCAAGAAAAGCTGTTGGTGCTATTTGGCATCTTGGTGGCGTGCAAAAAGGTATGCGAGGGTCTGCAGTCAGATCACTGTATATTGCTTGCGTGAGACCAATTGTCGAATATGGCTTAGAAATTTGGCATCACAAAATTTTGAAAGGAGAAATCCACAAGTTGGAAGTAATGCAGAATATGGCTTTAAGAAGAATTGTTGGTGCTTATCGCACAACTCCTATTGCGGTACTACAAAAGGAAGTTGGTATTATGCCATATAGTATTAGGCTAAAATTTATGGTGGCACGAAAAGCTATTCGTTTACACCTAAATATTAGCAAAACTAATCCTATTAATGGTCATTTGTTAACATTGATTGAGAAATCTCCAATTGCAAAGCTAACCACGCTTTACATGTTGGCGAAAGATGATAGAGACTATATGATTAAAAAGGATGAAAACGAAAATGCAAGAGGGTTGAACCTCTTACACTGAAACAACAACAAAATCAGACGATTGGAATTTTGAAGAAACAAGCAATGGAAGAATGGCAAGAAATGTATTGAACAGCAGTAAGGATCTGTGGTATCATAATATCACAGTGGAGTCGAAATGTACTGATAATCTTTCCAAAATGGTTACGGGAGTGATCATGAAGAAAGATAGTCGAAGGATCTTGAGTAATATTACTCAGTTTCGCACAGGCCATGGAAACTTTGGCGCATGGTTTAAAAAGTTTGAATTGAAAAGGATAGTTACAACTGCAAATGTGGAGAGCTGGAAACAGTTCATCACATTTTAGTTGAGTGTCCTTTGCTTGAAGAGGAAAGAAAAGGACTGAAACGGATATCTCCAGAGATGGACATGTCGACTCTCTTAAACAGTTTAACTGGCTTACAAGAGATTGTAAGCTTTATCTCTGCTTGGAGGGATTAAGAAATACAATTACAGCGTTGATGAAGACAAGTGGAGATAGGTTGGGAAGGTTTGGTTATTTTAACCCCCTGTTCCTCGTAAGCTGGCATCAGGACTTATTTTCGGGCTGTTGGAGATGCAATGTTGAAGCCAAAATTAAAAGTTTATTATTAAAATGAAAAAATATATAGTATGGACAAGAAGGATAGCGCAGATGCTGATGTTATATAATTCTATAACCCTTGAATAAAAACAAAGAAACAAACAAACAACCGGATAAAAGAAACAAGCAATCAAGCGATCGAGATAAATAACTATAAACACTTTAAAGAACAAATATGCAATCGATCGAGATAATAATTATCGATAAATATTTGAGGATAAATACATTAATTTAGATTAAAGATTAAGAAGCGATTAAGAAGGAATTATTAAAGAGAATCGCTTGAATATATATAGTCATATATTTCCATAAGTTTTATCGGTATCTAAAAAGATATTTACATCAATACAATAAGTTTTATATTAAACTATTAGCTTGGTTCTTTCTTTGGACAATCCGACTTTACTCTCATACGATAACTCCATTACATGTAAAAGATTAACAAGCAACAACCAAGACAAATAATTATAAATGTCTTAAAGATCAAACTTGCAATCAACCAAGGGGAAAAGGGCTGAATGTGTTGAGCATGCAATGTTGTCGCAGACTAGTGCAGTTGATAATGCACGTGAGTTTGGGTGGGAAACTATGGTTGACAATCTATGTTTATTTTAGTTTTAGCCGCATTAGGTTTAAGCCCTTATGTGACTGTGGTTACCCTCCTTAATTTGTTACAAAGTTGAAGTGTAATACAAACCCACTCAACTTTGGGACAAACCCAAATGAAAAATTTTCACCACTGCAAATTTTTCTTTTCCTTGGGTATATAAGGAAGGTTTCTTCCCCAACTTTTATAATTTTTCTTTTCCTTTTTCTTTCTTCTTATATAACTGTTTTATCTTATATATTTCAATATATACTTTTCTTGGATAATATTTTCTATTATTATCATGACTTCCCGTGTCACAGTTCAACAGGTTATGGGCCGCACTTCGGCTTATATTAATCTTACTTCCTCTGAAAAACTCACTCCTCTCAACTATCATGTCTGGGCTACTAAGATCCTTTTGGGTCTTCGTGCAATGAATAATGGTGTCCATCTTTATGTCGAAGCTGGTACTGTCAATCCAGCTGCTAATGAATCCCTCGAAGACCTCACCGCCTCGCTTGACACCGTCGTCCATGATGTTATCCTCAACAATATTTCTCCTGAGTTGATCGAACATGTTAATGATGTGGCCATTAGAGGCCGTGACCTCTGGCTTTATCTTCATCAGGAGTATAGTCAACTTCAACCCGCCGATGTCATCTCACTTATGAAATCCCTCTATGCTGGCAATATTGATGTTGGTCCAAAGTTTGTTTCTTCTGTTCGTTCTTATGTTGCTACATGGCGTTCCATCTACCAATCATTGTCGCCTGATTCGGTTGTGGCCTTCAACGCTTTGGCCTCAATGGGTCCCAATTGTGAGCGCTTCATCCAGTACGCCTTGGAGCACCGCTTTGATAGTAACAATGCTGACAACCTTGATATCAACAACTTCATCCGGAACACTGATAAATGGGCCAAGTTGTTGAAGATTACTGGACCCCCTGCTACTCTTTCGACTGAAGCGTTCGTTGCTTCATCAAAGAAGTACAATAACAAATCGAAGGGTGATGGTATTAAATGTTTCCGTTGTAAGAGGCGTGGTCATACTTCCAACAATTGTCATGTCTCTTGGGAAGAGGTTCAGGCTGCTCGCCAAGATAATAAGGATGACAAGGAATCTAAGGAGGCTAAAACCTCAAGAGGTTGGTTTGCTGAGACTATTGATGAATTTTCTGAGATAGTTGATGATGATCCATTTGTGAGTTCCGCTTTTGTGTCCGAGACATCTGTTGTTTCTGAAAAGTTTGGTAACAGTTGCTCCGAGTCGTTTGATGATTTGGAATCCGAACTTTTTGATTCTTCTGAGCCGTGTGTCGGCGATGAAGATTGTTTTGTTGGTCAAGTTTCTGAGTATTGTTCAAACTCAGAACTTGATATTGATTCAGTTGGTAAACCGTTTGTTGGTTCCACTGATGATTCTTGTTTTATTTCTGAACCGTATGTCGGTTCTACTGTTGTTTGTTTGGAGTCTGAACCGTGTGTCAGTTCAGCTCCTATTTGCTTTGATTCTGAATCGTTGGTCGATTCGGATATTGTTCCTTTTGATTCTGAACCGTTGGTCGGTTCTTCTTTTATTTCTTGTTCTGATTCTAAACCGTTGGTCGGTTCTGATGATGATATTGTCTTACCTTCTTTTGATTTTTTGGTGGATTCAATTACTGAACCTTCTCCACTTATTGTTAAACCAATTGTTACACCAAAATCCCGTTTTTCTCCATTCTTTTACTTATCTTTTGTTACCATCATGTTGTTTTCCTTGATTTTAATTGTCGTCTGGCATCCTTCTTCAATCTTGGATTTAAGTCATTCAGTACATCACGTTTTTGTTGCTGAATCTACTACTTCTGCTGAGGCCAACTTAGTTGTTGGGTCTGATTCTTTTGACTTTATCCATGATACCGGTGCTACCAGTCACATTTGCAATAACATCTCATATTTTTCTTCTCTTCGTCCCACTTCGGCTACCATTCGTGGTCTTGGTTCTGCTACTGCTGAGGGGGTTGGCGACATTGTCGTTGATCTTCTTGGTAAAGATGACCAGCCTTGTGACCGCGTTGTTCTTCGAGATGTTTTATATGTTCCTAAGATTCCTCGCAATTTATTTGCTGCTCGTCGAGCTACTGCTGGTGGTTGTAGGTTCATTCAAGACCTTAACCATATTTCTGCTGTTGAAAATGGCAAAACTCGAGTCCACGCCATTGCCATGGGTGACTTGTACTTTTGTCGTTTCCGAGTTGTTTTGCCTTCCAAGCCAGTCCATGAGGTGTTTGCTGTTGAGTCGTCTGCCAATCTTTGGCACAAGCGACTTGGTCACGCCAGTGTGGACGTTCTCAAGAAATTATCTAAGTCACTTTCTGTCAAGCCTACTCATTTTGAGGTTGTGGATAGTCATAAGTGTGACGCTTGCTTGGGTGGCAAAGCCACAGCATTGCCATTTAATGGTACCACAGAAAAAGCTAGTCGTCCTTTGGAATTATTTGTTTCTGATTTGAGCGGTCCTCATGTCGCTACCCCTGTGGGTCATCGTTATGTCTTAACCATTATGGATTATTATTCCAGGTACTCTTATGTGGAGTTGTTGGTTAGGAAAAGTGATGCAAGTCTTGCCATTCGTAACTTTATTGCTAGGTGTGAATCTTATTTTTCTGGTGATTCTGCTGGTGATCGAGTTGCATATTTTCATTCTGATAATGGCGGCGAATACATTTCCAAAGACCTGGAGCAGTTCTTTGTGTCTAAGGGTATCAAGCATACTTATACAGTTCCTCATACTCCTCAACAAAATGGTGTTGCTGAGCGATTGAATCGCACATTATTTGAGAAAGCCAAGTCTATGCTTTTATATGCTCATGCTCCTGAATACTTATGGGGTGAAGCTGTCAAGTCTGCTAATTATATTAGGAACCGTCTTCCTAGTCGTACCACTGGTGGTGTTGCACCTCTTCAACTTTGGACTGGTAAACCTCCTAGTTATCACCATATGAAAGTATTTGGTTGTCAAGCTACAGTTGTTCTTCCTGGTGCTAAAAGAGAATCTAAGTTAAGTTCAAATACTGAAGCTGGTGTTTTGTTGGGTATTCTTTGGATCGTACAGCTTATCGAGTTCTTCTTGATTCAAGCATTGTTGAAGCCAGGAGTGTTTACTTTGATGAGTCCAAGTTTCCATTTATGAAAAGTGATAAGGACTTGTCTATTAATGGTACTGGTGTTGGGTTTAGTGTTGGTTCTGGTTCAGGGTCCATGTCAGGACCTTGTTTTGATTCTAAGGGGACTGGTTTAGGATCTAATGTTAGGGTTAATTCTATTGCTAGTTCTGATTTAAGTTCTGGTTCTAGTTTTGGGTCTCATAGATCTTTACCAGCATCCTCATCTGGTTCTGGTTCTGGTTCTGGTTCTGGTTCTGGTTCTATTTGTGCTTTACCGTCTCCGTCTCCGTCTTCTTCTCCGTCTCATTCTCCGTCGCCGCCTCCTTCTTCTTCTTCTTCTATTATTGTTCATAAGCCTCGTTCTGTTCGTCGCATTTTGTCTACACCTTCTGCTCCTCTTGAGTCTCCTACTCTTCCTTCTATTGCTTCAGTTCCATCTCTTCCTAGTTCTCCTATTCTTCCACCTTCAGATCATGATGTCTCTATCTCTCCTGACTCTAGTCCTATTATTTCTTCTTCGGAATATATTCCTTCACAATTAGACTTATCTGAAACTGGTCCATCTATTAATGAATCTGATATTTCAGGTGATTCTGGGATCTCGCAACGAGGGGGTGATATTGGGTTTCAACCGTCTATCATTGCTTCGTCTCCCACTCCACCACCTTCTGTTGAATTGGAAGTAGTGCCACTTAGTCAAGAATCTCCTTCGTCTGATCTTGTTAATTCTCTTGACCAAGCTGGTGTTAGTGTTGTCACTAAGGATGATACTCAAGCTGTTTTGCCTAAATCTCGATCTCGTGTTGTTGCTGTTCGTTTACCTTCTATAACTCCTGCCAAACGCCCGAGTTCTGATGACATTGTTTCACCTCCTTCTAAACACCTTTGTGAAAATTCTTTGAAACAATCTCCAGTGTCTGCAACACCTGCAAAACGTCCAGCTGAAGAAGAGTGTATTTCTTATCGTCGTCTCAAATCTCTCCGCTTTGAGTATGATGATGTGGCTTTACTTGTTTTACAGATCCTAGTAGTTTTGAAGAAGCTATGTCTAGTGAAGAAGCTGAGTTTTGGCTTGAAGCCTGTGTTATTGAAATGTCGTCTCTTAAACGCAATGGTACTTGGGAATTGGTTGATCTCCCACCTGGTCACAAGGCTATCAATAGCAAATGGGTGTTTAAAGTTAAGCGCAAAGCTGACGGTTCAATTGAACGTTACAAAGCTCGTCTCGTGTGTATTGGATTTTCGCAAGTTGAAGGTATTGATTATACTGAAACTTTTGCTCCTGTTGTTCGTTACGAGACTGTGAGGATTGTTCTTGCTATTGCTGCTCAGTTTGGGTTCCAGGTTCATCATATGGATGTCGAGACTGCATTTCTTAATGGTGATCTCAAAGAAGATATTTATATGAGACAACCTAAAGGCTTTGTTGTCAAAGGTCAGGAATCTAAAGTGTGTCATTTGAAGAAGTCTTTGTATGGTTTAAAGCAAGCTCCTTTGTGTTGGAATGAGAAGATTCATGGTGCTCTTGTCAAACTTGGGTTTATTCGTAATGAAAGTGACTACGGCGTGTATACCAAAGGATCTGGGTCTACCATGGTCATTATTGCACTGTATGTTGATGATTTACTTATTTCTGGCAATTCTTCTGAAGTCATTGCCAAAACCAAGTCTTCTTTGTCATCTATGTTTAAGATGAAAGACTTGGGCCCAGTCGAGCAGTTCCTTGGCATGAGAGTTAAGCAGTCACCTTACCATATTACTGTGGATGTTTCGCGTTATATTTTTGATATGTTGGAAGAGTTTGGTATGCAGAACTGTTCAAGTGTCAAGACTCCTTTACCCACTCGTGATCTTTCTGATTTTTCCGAGTCTGACTCTGCTACCGATGCCTCCATGTATCGCAGTATTATTGGTAAGCTGATTTATGCTGCTAATTGTGCTCGTCCTGATCTTGCTGTTGCTGTTAGCTTTCTTTGTCGATATATGCAGAGTCCTAAGTCTATTCATATGGAAGCTGCTAAGCATACTCTTCGTTATCTTAAGGGTACTGCTGAACTTGGTCTTGAATATCGAGCTCAGAAAGTCTACAAGCTTGTTGGTTATAGTGATGCCGACTATGCACAGGACAAGCAGGACCGTAAGTCATTTACTGGGTATGTTTTCATTCTGTCTGGTGGTCCCATTACTTGGGCTTGTCGAAAGCAAGTTAGTCCTGCATCGTCCAGCGTCGAGTCTGAGTACATGTCATTGTCTGATGCGTCTAAGGAATGCTTCTGGATTAATCAGTTGTTGTCCCTTTGCAAGATTCCTGTTCCGTTGCCAGTGACTATGTTTGAGGACAATCAGGGATGTATTGCTTTGGCTCAGAACCCAGTGTTTCATCGTCGCACCAAGCATATTGATGTTCGGTATCATGTTGTGCGTCACTATATTCGCAGTGGAGTGATTCATCTGGAGTATCTTGATACTCAAGTGATGTTGGCAGATATGTTTACTAAGAATCTTGGTCGTGTGAAGTTTGAGACATTGAGGGACTACTTGGTATGAAGGCAGTAGGTGATTCTGCGACAAGGGGAGGTGTTGAGCATGCAATGTTGTCGCAGACTAGTGCAGTTGATAATGGACGTGAGTTTGGGTGGGAAACTATGGTTGACAATCTATGTTTATTTTAGTTTTAGCCGCATTAGGTTTAAGCCCTTATGTGACTGTGGTTACCCTCCTTAATTTGTTACAAAGTTGAAGTGTAATACAAACCCACTCAACTTTGGGACAAACCCAAATGAAAAATTTTCACCACTGCAAATTTTTCTTTCCCTTGGATATTTAAGGAAGGTTTCTTCCCAAAATTTTATAATTTTTCTTTTCCTTTTTCTTTCTTCTTATATAACTGTTTTATCTTATATATTTCAATATATACTTTTCTAGGATAATATTTTCTATTATTATCATGACTTCCCGTGTCACAGTTCAACACTCCCCCATCTCAAAATACTCCCGTACACATCCTCAGGAAAAAGGGGGTATTCTGGGAATCGAACCCAGTATCTTCCGCTTTCGAGCGAACGTGTTATCCTTTACACCATTCTGTTGAACTGTGACACGGGAAGTCATGATAATAATAGAAAATATTATCCAAGAAAAGTATATATTGAAATATATAAGATAAAACAGTTATATAAGAAGAAAGAAAAAGGAAAAGAAAAATTATAAAATTTTGGGAAGAAACCTTCCTTAAATATCCAAGGGAAAGAAAAATTTGCAGTGGTGAAAATTTTTCATTTGGGTTTGTCCCAAAGTTGAGTGGGTTTGTATTACACTTCAACTTTGTAACAAATTAAGGAGGGTAACCACAGTCACATAAGGGCTTAAACCTAATGCGGCTAAAACTAAAATAAACATAGATTGTCAACCATAGTTTCCCACCCAAACTCACGTCCATTATCAACTGCACTAGTCTGCGACAACATTGCATGCTCAACACCTCCCCTTGTCGCAGAATCACCTACTGCCTTCATACCAAGTAGTCCCCTCAATGTCTCAAACTTCACACGACCAAGATTCTTAGTAAACATATCTGCCAACATCACTTGAGTATCAAGATACTCCAGATGAATCACTCCACTGCGAATATAGTGACGGACAACATGATACCGAACATCAATATGCTTGGTGCGACGATGAAACACTGGGTTCTGAGCCAAAGCAATACATCCCTGATTGTCCTCAAACATAGTCACTGGCAACGGAACAGGAATCTTGCAAAGGGACAACAACTGATTAATCCAGAAGCATTCCTTAGACGCATCAGACAATGACATATACTCAGACTCGACGCTGGACGATGCAGGACTAACTTGCTTTCGACAAGCCCAAGTAATGGGACCACCAGACAGAATAAAACATAACCAGTAAAGGACTTACGGTCCTGCTTTGTCCTGTGCATAATCGGCATCACTATAGCCAACAAGCTTGTAGACTTTCTGAGCTCGATATTCAAGACCAAGTTCAGCAGTACCCTTTAAGATAACGAAGAGTATGCTTAGCAGCTTCCATATGAATAGACTTAGGACTCTGCATATATCGACAAAGAAAGCTAACAGCAACAGCAAGATCAGGACGAGCACAATTAGCAGCATAAATCAGCTTACCAATAATACTGCGATACATGGAGGCATCGGTAGCAGAGTCAGACTCGGAAAAATCAGAAAGATCACGAGTGGGTAAAGGAGTCTTGACACTTGAACAATTCTGCATACCAAACTCTTCCAACATATCAAAAATATAACGTGAAACATCCACAGTAATATGGTAAGGTGACTGCTTAACTCTCATGCCAAGGAACTGCTCGACTGGGCCCAAGTCTTTCATCTTAAACATAGATGACAAAGAAGACTTGGTTTTGGCAATGACTTCAGAAGAATTGCCAGAAATAAGTAAATCATCAACATACAGTGCAATAATAACCATGGTAGACCCAGATCCTTTGGTATACACACCGTAGTCACTTTCATTACGAATAAACCCAAGTTTGACAAGAGCACCATGAATCTTCTCATTCCAACACAAAGGAGCTTGCTTTAAACCATACAAAGACTTCTTCAAATGACACACTTTAGATTCCTGACCTTTGACAACAAAGCCTTTAGGTTGTCTCATATAAATATCTTCTTTGAGATCACCATTAAGAAATGCAGTCTCGACATCCATATGATGAACCTGGAACCCAAACTGAGCAGCAATAGCAAGAACAATCCTCACAGTCTCGTAACGAACAACGGGAGCAAAAGTTTCAGTATAATCAATACCTTCAACTTGCGAAAATCCAATACACACGAGACGAGCTTTGTAACGTTCAATTGAACCGTCAGCTTTGCGCTTAACTTTAAACACCCATTTGCTATTGATAGCCTTGCGACCAGGTGGGAGATCAACCAATTCCCAAGTACCATTGCGTTTAAGAGACGACATTTCAATAACACAGGCTTCAAGCCAAAACTCAGCTTCTTCACTAGACATAGCTTCTTCAAAACTACTAGGATCTGTAAAAACAAGTAAAGCCACATCATCATACTCAAAGCGGAGAGATTTGAGACGACGATAAGAAATACACTCTTCTTCAGCTGGACGTTTTGCAGGTGTTGCAGACACTGGAGATTGTTTCAAAGAATTTTCACAAAGGTGTTTAGAAGGAGGTGAAACAATGTCATCTGAACTCGGGCGTTTGGCAGGAGTTATAGAAGGTAAACGAACAGCAACAACACGAGATCGAGATTTAGGCAAAACAGCTTGAGTATCATCCTTAGTGACAACACTAACACCAGCTTGGTCAAGAGAATTAACTAGATCAGGCGAAGGAGATTCTTGACTAAGTGGCACTACTTCCAACTCAACAAAAGGTGGTGGAGTGGGAGACGAAGCAATGATAGACGGTTGAAACCCAATATCACCCCCTCGTTGCGAGATCCCAGAATCACCTGAAATATCAGATTCATTAATAGATGGACCAGCTTCAGATAAGTCTAATTGTGAAGGAATATATTCCGAAGAAGAAACAATAGGACTTGAGTCAGGAGAGATAGAGACTTCATGATCTGAAGGTGGAAGAATAGGAGAACTAGGAAGAGATGGAACAGAAGGAATAGAAGGAAGAGTAGGAAGAGTAGGAGACTCAAGAGGAGCAGAAGGTGTAGACAAAATGCGACGAACAGAACGAGGCTTATGAACAATAATAGAAGAAGAAGAAGGAGGAGGCGGCGACGGAGAATGAGACGGAGAAGAAGACGGAGACGGAGACGGTAAAGCACAAATAGAACCAGAACCAGAACCAGATGAGGATGCTGGTAAAGATCTATGAGACCCAAAACTAGAACCAGAACTTGAATCAGAACTAGCAATAGAATTAACCCTAACATTAGATCCTAAACCAGTCCCCTTAGAATCAAAACAAGGTCCTGACATGGACCCTGAACCAGAACCAACACTAAACCCAACACCAGTACCATTAATAGACAAGTCCTTATCACTTTTCATAAATGGAAACTTGGACTCATCAAAGTAAACACTCCTGGCTTCAACAATGCTTGAATCAAGAAGAACTCGATAAGCTGTACGATCCAAAGAATACCCAACAAAAACACCAGCTTCAGTATTTGAACTTAACTTAGATTCTCTTTTAGCACCAGGAAGAACAACTGTAGCTTGACAACCAAATACTTTCATATGATGATAACTAGGAGGTTTACCAGTCCAAAGTTGAAGAGGTGCAACACCACCAGTGGTACGACTAGGAAGACGGTTCCTAATATAATTAGCAGACTTGACAGCTTCACCCCATAAATACTCAGGAACATGAGCATATAAAAGCATAGACTTGGCTTTCTCAAATAATGTGCGATTCAATCGCTCAGCAACACCATTTTGTTGAGGAGTATGAGGAACTGTATAAGTATGCTTGATACCCTTAGACACAAAGAACTGCTCCAGATCTTTGGAAATGTATTCGCCGCCATTATCAGAATGAAAATATGCAACTCGATCACCAGCAGAATCACCAGAAAAATAAGATTCACACCTAGCAATAAAGTTACGAATGGCAAGACTTGCATCACTTTTCCTAACCAACAACTCCACATAAGAGTACCTGGAATAATAATCCATAATGGTTAAGACATAACGATGACCCACAGGGGTAGTGACATGAGGACCGCTCAAATCAGAAACAAATAATTCCAAAGGACGACTAGCTTTTTCTGTGGTACCATTAAATGGCAATGCTGTGGCTTTGCCACCCAAGCAAGCGTCACACTTATGACTATCCACAACCTCAAAATGAGTAGGCTTGACAGAAAGTGACTTAGATAATTTCTTGAGAACGTCCACACTGGCGTGACCAAGTCGCTTGTGCCAAAGATTGGCAGACGACTCAACAGCAAACACCTCATGGACAGGCTTGGAAGGCAAAACAACTCGGAAACGACAAAAGTACAAGTCACCCATGGCAATGGCGTGGACTCGAGTTTTGCCATTTTCAACAGCAGAAATATGGTTAAGGTCTTGAATGAACCGACAACCACCAGCAGTAGCTCGACGAGCAGCAAATAAATTGCGAGGAATCTTAGGAACATATAAAACATCTCGAAGAACAACGCGGTCACAAGGCTGGTCATCTTTACCAAGAAGATCAACGACAATGTCGCCAACCCCCTCAGCAGTAGCAGAACCAAGACCACGAATGGTAGCCGAAGTGGGACGAAGAGAAGAAAAATATGAGATGTTATTGCAAATGTGACTGGTAGCACCGGTATCATGGATAAAGTCAAAAGAATCAGACCCAACAACTAAGTTGGCCTCAGCAGAAGTAGTAGATTCAGCAACAAAAACGTGATGGACTGAATGACTTAAATCCAAGATTGAAGAAGGATGCCAGACGACAATTAAAATCAAGGACAACAACATGATGGTAACAAAAGATAAGTAAAAGAATGGAGAAAAACGGGATTTTGGTGTAACAATTGGTTTAACAATAGGTGGAGAAGGTTCAGTAATTGAATCCACCAAAAAATCAAAAGAAGGTAAGACAATATCATCATCAGAACCGACCAACGGTTTAGAATCAGAACAAGAAATAAAAGAAGAACCGACCAACGGTTCAGAATCAAAAGGAACAATATCCGAATCGACCAACGATTCAGAATCAAAACAAATAGGAGCTGAACTGACACACGGTTCAGACTCCAAACAAACAACAGTAGAACCGACATACGGTTCAGAATTAAAACAAGAATCATCAGTGGAACCAACAAACGGTTTACCAACTGAATCAATATCAAGTCCTGAGTTTGAACAATACTCAGAAACTTGACCAACAAAACAATCTTCATCGCCGACACACGGCTCAGAAGAATCAAAAGTTCGGATTCCAAATCATCAAACGACTCGGAGCAACTGTTACCAAACTTTTCAGAAACAACAGATGTCTCGGACACAAAAAGCGGAACTCACAAATGGATCATCATCAACTATCTCAGAAAATTCATCAATAGTCTCAGCAAACCAACCTCTTGAGGTTTTAGCCTCCTTAGATTCCTTTGTCATCCTTATTATCTTGGCGAGCAGCCTGAACCTCTTCCCAAGAGACATGACAATTGTTGGAAGTATGACCACGCCTCTTACAACGGAAACATTTAATACCATCACCCTTAGATTTGTTATTGTACTTCTTTGATGAAGCAACGAACGCTTCAGTCGAAAGAGTAGCTGGAGGTCCAGTAATCTTCAACAACTTGGCCCATTTATCAGTGTTCCGGATGAAGTTGTTGATATCAAGGTTGTCAGTATTGTTGTTACTATCAAAGCGGTGCTCCAAGGCGTACTGGATGAAGCGCTCACAATTGGGACCCATTGAAGCCAAAGCGTTGAAGGCCACGACCGAATCAGGCGACAATGATTGGTAGATGGAACGCCAGGTAGCAACATAAGAGCGAACAGAAGAAACAAACTTTGGACCAACATCAATATTGCCAGCATAGAGGGATTTCATAAGTGAGATGACATCGGCGGGTTGAAGTTGACTATACTCCTGATGAAGATAAAGCCAGAGGTCACGGCCTCTAATGGCCACATCATTAACATGTTCGATCAACTCAGGAGAAATATTGTTGAGGATGACATCATGGACGACGGTGTCAAGCGAGGCGGTGAGGTCTTCGAGGGATTCATTAGCAGCTGGATTGACAGTACCAGCTTCGACATAAAGATGGACACCATTATTCATAGCACGAAGACCCAAAAGAATTTTGGTAGCCCAGACATGATAGTTGAGAGGAGTGAGTTTTTCAGAGGAAGTAAGATTAATATAAGCCGAAGTGCGGCCCATAACCTGTTGAACTGTGACACGGGAAGTCATGATAATAATAGAAAATATTATCCTAGAAAAGTATATATTGAAATATATAAGATAAAACAGTTATATAAGAAGAAAGAAAAAGGAAAAGAAAAATTATAAAATTTTGGGAAGAAACCTTCCTTAAATATCCAAGGGAAAGAAAAATTTGCAGTGGTGAAAATTTTTCATTTGGGTTTGTCCCAAAGTTGAGTGGGTTTGTATTACACTTCAACTTTGTAACAAATTAAGGAGGGTAACCACAGTCACATAAGGGCTTAAACCTAATGCGGCTAAAACTAAAATAAACATAGATTGTCAACCATAGTTTCCCACCCAAACTCACGTGCATTATCAACTGCACTAGTCTGCGACAACATTGCATGCTCAACATGTTCATCGTCAAATTGATCTCGCTGACCGTTCTGGATTTACCGTTAGACAATTAACCATTGCCAACGTGCCAGTTTGTTCCGAAGGATGTGAAGCTGAATTAAAAGTCTTAGCAGACTTGACAGCTTACATTAGAAACTCAAACTTCAAAGCTAGTCCTCCCCCATCTCAAAAGGTTATGAGCTCCTTTGACGCTTCTCAAGCGCCAAATTTCAAACAATTTCTCTACAAAAGTGAATTGGATTTTTGGATATTCGGTCTTATTGGACAAATTAACAGCTGCGGCCGGAGTTTTTGGAACAACTATATCTATAAGCCAATTGTTGGCCATACTGCCCTTCAGCTTGGTTACGGTATCAGGTTTGAGAGGGCCCTTGATGAACTACTCAAGGCTTACATTTTAAAAACCACGCCTGCAGCTAACCTGGCTGCAGCTGAACAGGCCCGGTGGGACACGTCGCCCGAGTTTCTAAAAACTCCACCTATGGATTCGGCGTCTGTACGGGAAGAAGCCATGGGGGTCCTATTTGAACCAGGAAAAAGAATGGCTCGTATAGATCCTGAAATCCTAGAGCCCGCTGACCTGGGGCGAGTGCTCTCATTCTACCAACGTCTTAATCATGTTGGTTTGCGCATATCCCCAAGCCCTGAGCTTAACATTGTATTTGCGATGACGCAAGCTATCTCAGTAGGAGTTCCAGGTCCTAGTTATTTCGCCGGGCTTACCAGCAGTGAAATTGAAACCAAAATACAAGCTACTGTTACTGAAGCTTCCAAGTGGGCCTCTGTAGTGGAGCAATATTTCTTTAACAACCCGGATGGCACCTTTCACCGTGACCTTATCTTAGCAGTGCTGAATAACAACAAGGTTTCAGCAGCTGCTCGCGAAGATCCTCAGAGTCATGTTGAACTGTGACACGGGAAGTCATGATAATAATAGAAAATATTATCCAAGAAAAGTATATATTGAAATATATAAGATAAAACAGTTATATAAGAAGAAAGAAAAAGGAAAAGAAAAATTATAAAAGTTGGGGAAGAAACTTTCCTTATATACCCAAGGGAAAGAAAAATTTGCAGTGGTGAAAATTTTTCATTTGGGTTTGTCCCAAAGTTGAGTGGGTTTGTATTACACTTCAACTTTGTAACAAATTAAGGAGGGTAACCACAGTCATATAAGGGCTTAAACCTAATGCGGCTGTAACTAAAATAAACATAGATTGTCAACCATAGTTTCCCACCCAAACTCACGTGCATTATCAACTGCACTAGTCTGCGACAACATTGCATGCTCAACACCTCCCCTTGTCGCAGAATCACCTACTGCCTTCATACCAAGTAGTCCTCTCAATGTCTCAAACTTCACACGACCAAGATTCTTAGTGAACATATCTGCCAACATCACTTGAGTATCAAGATACTCCAGATGAATCACTCCACTGCGAATATAGTGACGCACAACATGATAACGAACATCAATATGCTTGGTGCGACGATGAAACACTGGGTTCTGAGCCAATGCAATACATCCCTGATTGTCCTCAAACATAGTCACTGGCAACGGAACAGGAATCTTGCAAAGAGACAACAACTGATTAATCCAGAAGCATTCCTTAGACGCATCAGACAATGACATATACTCAGACTCGACGCTGGACGATGCAGGACTAACTTGCTTTCGACAAGCCCAAGTAATGGGACCACCAGACAGAATAAAAACATACCCAGTAAAGGACTTACGGTCCTGCTTGTCCTGTGCATAGTCGGCATCACTATAGCCAACAAGCTTGTAGACTTTCTGAGCTCGATATTCAAGACCAAGTTCAGCAGTACCCTTAAGATAACGAAGAGTATGCTTAGCAGCTTCCATATGAATAGACTTCGGACTCTGCATATATCGACAAAGAAAGCTAACAGCAACAGCAAGATCAGGACGAGCACAATTAGCAGCATAAATCAGCTTACCAATAATACTGCGATACATGGAGGCATCGGTAGCAGAGTCAGACTCGGAAAAATCAGAAAGATCACGAGTGGGTAAAGGAGTCTTGACACTTGAACAATTCTGCATACCAAACTCCTCCAACATGTCAAAAATATAACGTGAAACATCCACAGTAATATGGTAAGGTGACTGCTTAACTCTCATGCCAAGGAACTGCTCGACTGGGCCCAAGTCTTTCATCTTAAACATAGATGACAAAGAAGACTTGGTTTTGGCAATGACTTCAGGAGAATTGCCAGAAATAAGTAAATCATCAACATACAGTGCAATAATAACCATGGTAGACCCAGATCCTTTGGTATACACACCGTAGTCACTTTCATTACGAATAAACCCAAGTTTGACAAGAGCACCATGAATCTTCTCATTCCAACACAAAGGAGCTTGCTTTAAACCATATAAAGACTTCTTCAAATGACACACTTTAGATTCCTGGCCTTTGACAACAAAGCCTTTAGGTTGTCTCATATAAATATCTTCTTTGAGATCACCATTAAGAAATGCAGTCTCGACATCCATATGATGAACCTGGAACCCAAACTGAGCAGCAATAGCAAGAACAATCCTCACAGTCTCGTAACGAACAACGGGAGCAAAAGTTTCAGTATAATCAATACCTTCAACTTGCGAAAATCCAATACACACGAGACGAGATTTGTAACGTTCAATTGAACCGTCAGCTTTGCGCTTAACTTTAAATACCCATTTGCTATTGATAGCCTTGCGACCAGGTGGGAGATCAACCAATTCCCAAGTACCATTGCGTTTAAGAGACGACATTTCAATAACACAGGCTTCAAGCCAAAACTCAGCTTCTTCACTAGACATAGCTTCTTCAAAACTACTAGGATCTGTAAAAACAAGTAAAGCCACATCATCATACTCAAAGCGGAGAGATTTGAGACGACGATAAGAAATACACTCTTCTTCAGCTGGACGTTTTGCAGGTGTTGCAGACACTGGAGATTGTTTCAAAGAATTTTCACAAAGGTGTTTAGAAGGAGGTGAAACAATGTCATCAGAACTCGGGCGTTTGGCAGGAGTTATAGAAGGTAAACGAACAGCAACAACACGAGATCGAGATTTAGGCAAAACAGCTTGAGTATCATCCTTAGTGACAACACTAACACCAGCTTGGTCAAGAGAATTAACTAGATCAGGCGAAGGAGATTCTTGACTAAGTGGCACTACTTCCAACTCAACAGAAGGTGGTAGAGTGGGAGACGAAGCAATGATAGACGGTTGAAACCCAATATCACCCCCTCGTTGCGAGATCCCAGAATCACCTGAAATATCAGATTCATTAATAGATGGACCAGCTTCAGATAAGTCTAATTGTGAAGGAATATATTCCGAAGAAGAAACAATAGGACTTGAATTAGTAGAGATAGAGACTTCATGATCTGAAGGTGGAAGAATAGGAGAACTAGGAAGAGATGGAACAGAAGGAATAGAAGGAAGAGTAGGAAGAGTAGGAGACTCAAGAGGAGCAGAAGGTGTAGACAAAATGCGACGAACAGAACGAGGCTTATGAACAATAATAGAAGAAGAAGAAGGAGGAGGTGGCGACGGAGAATGAGACGGAGAAGAAGACGGAGACGGAGACGGTAAAGCACAAATAGAACCAGAACCAGAACCAGATGAGGATGCTGGTAAAGATCTATGAGACCCAAAACTAGAACCAGAACTTGAATCAGAACTAGCAATAGAATTAACCCTAACATTAGATCCTAAACCAGACCCCTTAGAATCAAAACAAGGCCCTGACATGGACCCTGAACCAGAACCAACACTAAACCCAACACCAGTACCATTAATAGACAAGTCTTTATCACTTTTCATAAATGGAAACTTGGACTCATCAAAGTAAACACTCCTGGCTTCAACAATGCTTGAATCAAGAAGAACTCGATAAGCTGTACGATCCAAAGAATACCCAACAAAAACACCAGCTTCAGTATTTGAACTTAACTTGGATTCTCTTTTAGCACCAGGAAGAACAACTGTAGCTTGACAACCAAATACTTTCATATGATGATAACTAGGAGGTTTACCAGTCCAAAGTTGAAGAGGTGCAACACCACCCAGTGGTACGACTAGGAAGACGGTTCCTAATTAGCAGACTTGACAGCTTCACCCCACAAGTATTCAGGAGCATGAGCATATAAAAGCACAGACTTGGCTTTTCAAATAATGTGCGATTCAATGCTCAGCAACACCATTTTGTTGAGGAGTATGAGGAACTGTATAAGCATGCTTGATACCCTTTAGACACAAAAAGAACTGCTCCAGGTCTTTGAAATGTATTCGCCGCCATTATCAGAATGAAAAATATGCAACTCGATCACCAGCAGAATCACCAGAAAAATAAGATTCCACACCTAGCAATAAAGTTACGAATGGCAAGACTTGCATCACTTTTCCTAACCAACAACTCCACATAAGAGTACCTGGAATAATAATCCATAATGGTTAAGACATAACGATGACCCACAGGGGTAGCGACATGAGGACCGCTTAAATCAGAAACAAATAACTCAAAGGACGACTAGCTTTTTCTGTGGTACCATTAAATGGCAATGCTGTGGCTTTGCCACCCAAGCAAGCGTCACACACTTATGACTATCCACAACCTCAAAATGAGTAGGCTTGACAGAAAGTGACTTAGATAATTTCTTGAGAACGTCCACACTGGCGTGACCAAGTCGCTTGTGCCAAAGATTGGCAGACGACTCAACAGCAAACACCTCATGAACTGGCTTGGAAGGCAAAACAACTCGGGAAGGAAACGACAAAAGTACAAGTCACCCATGGCAATGGCGTGGACTCGAGTTTGCCATTTTCAACAGCAGAAATATGGTTAAAGGTCTTGAATGAACCGACAACCACCAGCAGTAGCTCGACGAGCAGCAAATAAATTGCGAGGAATCTTAGGAACATATAAAACATCTCGAAGAACAACGCGGTCACAAGGCTGGTCATCTTTACCAAGAAGATCGACGACAATGTCGCCAACCCCTCAGCAGTAGCAGAACCAAGACCACGAATGGTAGCCGAAGTGGGACGAAGAGAAGAAAAATATGAGATGTTATTGCAAATGTGACTGGTAGCACCAGTGTCATGGATAAAGTCAAAGAATCAGACCCAACAACTAAAAGTTGGCCTCAGCAGAAGTAGTAGATTCAGCAACAAAAACATGATGTACTGAATGACTTAAATCCAAGATTGAAGAAGGATGCCAGACGACAATTAAGGTCAAGGAAAACAACATGATGGTAACAAAGATAAGAAAAGAATGGAGAAAAAACGGATTTTGGTGTAACAATAGGTTTAACAATAGGCGGAGAAGGTTCAGTATTGAATCCACCAAAAATCAAAAGAAGGTAAGGCAATATCATCATCAGAACCGACCAACGGTTTAGAATCAGAACAAAAAAAATAAAAGAAGAACCGACCAACGGTTCAGAATCAAAGGAACAACATCCGAATCGACCAACGATTCAGAATCAAAACAAATAGGAGCTGAACTGACACACGGTTCAGACTCCAAACAAACAACAGTAGAACCGACATACGGTTCAGAATTAAAACAAGAATCATCAGTGGAACCAACTGAATCAATATCAAGTCCTGAGTTTGAACAATACTCAGAAACTTGACTAACAAAACAATCTTCATCGCCGACACACGGCTCAGAAGAATCAAAAGTTCGGATTCCAAATCATCAAACGACTCGGAGCAACTGTTACCAAACTTTTCAGAAACAACAGATGTCTCGGACACAAAAGCGGAACTCACAAATGGATCATCATCAACTATCTCAGAAAATTCATCAATAGTCTCAGCAAACCAACCTCTTGAGGTTTTAGCCTCTTTAGATTCCTTGTCATCCTTATTATCTTGGCGAGCAGCCTGAACCTCTTCCCAAGAGACATGACAATTGTTGGAAGTATGACCACGCCTCTTACAACGAAAACATTTAATACCATCACCCTTAGATTTGTTATTGTACTTCTTTGATGAAGCAACGAACGCTTCAGTCGAAAAAGTAGCAGGGTCCAGTAATCTTCAACAACTTGGCCCATTTATCAGTGTTCCGGATGAAGTTGTTGATATCAAGGTTGTCAGCATTGTTACTATCAAAGCGGTGCTCCAAGGCGTACTGGATGAAGCGCTCACAATTGGGACCCATTGAGGCCAAAGCGTTGAAGGCCACAACCGAATCAGGCGACAATGATTGGTAGATGGAACGCCAGGTAGCAACATAAGAGCGAACAGAAGAAACAAACTTTGGACCAACATCAATATTGCCAGCATAGAGGGATTTCATAAGTGAGATGACATCGGCGGGTTGAAGTTGACTATACTCCTGATGAAGATAAAGCCAGAGGTCACGGCCTCTAATGGCCACATCATTAACATGTTCGATCAACTCAGGAGAAATATTGTTGAGGATAACATCATGGACGACGGTGTCAAGCGAGGCGGTGAGGTCTTCGAGGGATTCATTAGCAGCTGGATTGACAGTACCAGCTTCGACATAAAGATGGACACCATTATTCATTGCACGAAGACCCAAAAGGATCTTAGTAGCCCAGACATGATAGTTGAGAGGAGTGAGTTTTTCAGAGGAAGTAAGATTAATATAAGCCGAAGTGCGGCCCATAACCTGTTGAACTGTGATGTTGAACAGCTAAAATAGGAAGCTAAGCTGGACAACCATAAAAGAACGGCACTACGGGGGATCGAACCCCAGTCTCACTCATATGGCCTGAGTGCGTGTTACCACTACACCACAGAGCCTACTTATTGTTAAGTAGTAACTCTTTCATGATGTTACTGGGAAAATCTCGTGATACACAAACGGTGGATAGTGTTGGAACTGGACCCTACACTCAACAGGTCTCAACACGACACACGTATATTCCAACATGTGACACGGGAAGTCATGATAATAATAGAAAATATTATCCAAGAAAAGTATATATTGAAATATATAAGATAAAACAGTTATATAAGAAGAAAGAAAAAGGAAAAGAAAAATTATAAAAGTTGGGGAAGAAACTTTCCTTATATACCCAAGGGAAAGAAAAATTTGCAGTGGTGAAAATTTTTCATTTGGGTTTGTCCCAAAGTTGAGTGGGTTTGTATTACACTTCAACTTTGTAACAAATTAAGGAGGGTAACCACAGTCATATAAGGGCTTAAACCTAATGCGGCTGTAACTAAAATAAACATAGATTGTCAACCATAGTTTCCCACCCAAACTCACGTGCATTATCAACTGCACTAGTCTGCGACAACATTGCATGCTCAACAAGTCATCTCTGGGGGATTACCAAGTTTGTCGACATTTTCAAGTCAAGATCTGGAGGATGGAGCCCCTGTGATTCAGTTGAAATCCCAGCGCTAGTTGAAGCAACTTCTGCAGCCTTCGTAAAAGGTCGAAGAATTATTGACGGTTCATCAAAAGTCGTGTCAAAGCAGGAACCCAAGCAAGAACCCAAGCAGGAATCCAAGCAGGAAACCTCGAAGAAAGCTGGTCACTCTGATACCAAGCAAGGAAAGGGGAAACAGTGGTCCAAGGGGTCTGGTGGCAACAAGAGGCGTAACAATGAAGACAAGCAAGCTAGAAAGTCGAACTCTGATGGTCAAAACAAAGTTGCTGCCTTGAAAGCTACCGAATATCTTGAGGTGGCTCGCGACGATGTTGAAACTCTTTGCTCTGTTGCTCGGGCTATCCAAGACGTATTTGATAATGACGGCGGAAGCAGTGATTATTCACCAGTTGCTTTTCTTCCACCTGCTAACCAAATCGCCTCTGTGGGTGAAACAAATCTTCCAAATGTTCTTGATTCTGGAAATGCTACTGGTCATCTTATCTCAGACAACAGCTACTTTGTGTCGTATGAGAAATACAGCAGCCCCAAAACTATCAGCTCCTATGGTGGTTCTGACATCGTGTTAGAAGGGGAAGGTAAAATTGCCGTTGTATTAAAAGGTGACGGTGGCACCAATATTTGCCATATTGCTGACGCACTTTATTTTCCTACTGGGTCTAGCAATTTGTTTTCTGATTCTGTCTGGCGCACGCACAATGTTTCTTTTCATACGGTCCCAAGTGGGGATTGTCTGGCCTATTTTGGTGAGGAAAAGGTTGGTAGGGTTGGCGGTGCCAGAGATGCCAAGTCTCACATTTGTGCCAACATTGTTCCGGTAAAGTTTACTAGGAATATCGTACCTCCAACTGGCTCCTTCAAGTTCTCAGGAAATTCAATTGACTGGGATCAGATTTGCAGACAAGGACCAGAAGCTATGAGGAAGGTTGATAAATCAGCTCTCGCTGTTGGAAAGGGACTTCCTGTCCTTTCACCGTCTCTCAAATTTATTGCAAAGGAGGCCGTGTTGAATTCGCAGGCCCTTGACTGTCATGTTCGGTTTGCTCATTGCTCTTTGACTTCGGTGAAGCATTTAGCCAAGCTTGCTGATACTCCCTTTGAGGTGACCAAGCGTGACGAAGAGTTGATCAAGGACTGTGTCATATGTGGCACGTCAAGAAGCATTAAGCGGTTCACTTCTCCGGATAAGCATATAGCTTCTGAATCCACGGCTCCGTTAGCCCAGATTCATGCTGATCTCGTCGGTCCCATAGGTCCTGCCTCTTCAGGGGCCAGGTACATGCTGAATATCATTGATGCATTTTCTGGTTACATCTATGCTTTTGCTCTGGAATCTAAGGATGAAGCTCCTGGGTGTTGAACTGTGACACGGGAAGTCATGATAATAATAGAAAATATTATCCAAGAAAAGTATATATTGAAATATATAAGATAAAACAGTTGTATAAGAAGAAAGAAAAAGGAAAAGAAAAATTATAAAAGTTGGGGAAGAAACCTTCCTTAAATATCCAAGGGAAAGAAAAATTTGCAGTGGTGAAAATTTTTCATTTGGGTTTGTCCCAAAGTTGAGTGGGTTTGTATTACACTTCAACTTTGTAACAAATTAAGGAGGGTAACCACAGTCACATAAGGGCTTAAACCTCATGCGGCTGTAACTAAAATAAACATAGGTTATCAACCATAGTTTCCCACCCAAACTCACGTGCATTATCAACTGCACTAGTCTGCGACAACATTGCATGCTCAACACCTCCCCTTGTCGCAGAATCACCTACTGCCTTCATACCAAGTAGTCCCCTTAATGTCTCAAACTTCACACGACCAAGATTCTTAGTAAACATATCTGCCAACATCACTTGAGTATCAAGATACTCCAGATGAATCACTCCACTGCGAATATAGTGACGGACAACATGATAACGAACATCAATATGCTTGGTGCGACGATGAAACACTGGGTTCTGAGCCAAAGCAATACATCCCTGATTGTCCTCAAACATAGTCACTGGCAACGGAACAGGAATCTTGCAAAGGGACAACAACTGATTAATCCAGAAGCATTCCTTAGACGCATCAGACAATGACATGTACTCAGACTCGACGCTGGACGATGCAGGACTAACTTGCTTTCGGCAAGCCCAAGTAATGGGACCACCAGACAGAATAAAAACATACCCAGTAAAGGACTTACGGTCCTGCTTGTCCTGTGCATAGTCGGCATCACTATAGCCAACAAGCTTGTAGACTTTCTGAGCTCGATATTCAAGACCAAGTTCAGCAGTACCCTTAAGATAACGAAGAGTATGCTTAGCAGCTTCCATATGAATAGACTTAGGATTCTGCATATATCGACAAAGAAAGCTAACAGCAACAGCAAGATCAGGACGAGCACAATTAGCAGCATAAATCAGCTTACCAATAATACTGCGATACATGGAGGCATCGGTAGCAGAGTCAGACTCGGAAAAATCAGAAAGATCACGAGTGGGTAAAGTGTTGAACTGTGACACGGGAAGTCATGATAATAATAGAAAATATTATCCAAGAAAAGTATATATTGAAATATATAAGATAAAACAGTTATATAAGAAGAAAGAAAAAGGAAAAGAAAAATTATAAAAGTTGGGGAAGAAACTTTCCTTATATACCCAAGGGAAAGAAAAATTTGCAGTGGTGAAAATTTTCATTTATTTGTCCCAAAGTTGAGTGGGTTTGTATTACACTTCAACTTTGTAACAAATTAAGGAGGGTAACCACAGTCATATAAGGGCTTAAACCTAATGCGGCTAAAACTAAAATAAACATAGATTGTCAACCATAGTTTCCCACCCAAACTCACGTGCATTATCAACTGCACTAGTCTGCGACAACATTGCATGCTCAACACCTCCCCTTGTCGCAGAATCACCTACTGCCTTCATACCAAGTAGTCCCTCAATGTCTCAAACTTCACACGACCAAGATTCTTAGTGAACATATCTGCCAACATCACTTGAGTATCAAGATACTCCAGATGAATCACTCCACTGCGAATATAGTGACGCACAACATGATAACGAACATCAATATGCTTGGTGCGACGATGAAACACTGGGTTCTGAGCCAATGCAATACATCCCTGATTGTCCTCAAACATAGTCACTGGCAACGGAACAGGAATCTTGCAAAGGGACAACAACTGATTAATCCAGAAGCATTCCTTAGACGCATCAGACAATGACATATACTCAGACTCGACGCTGGACGATGCAGGACTAACTTGCTTTCGACAAGCCCAAGTAATGGGACCACCAGACAGAATAAAAACATACCCAGTAAAGGACTTACGGTCCTGTTTGTCCTGTGCATAATCGGCATCACTATAGCCAACAAGCTTGTAGACTTTCTGAGCTCGATATTCAAGACCAAGTTCAGCAGTACCCTTAAGATAACGAAGAGTATGCTTAGCAGCTTCCATATGAATAGACTTCGGACTCTGCATATATCGACAAAGAAAGCTAACAGCAACAGCAAGATCAGGACGAGCACAATTAGCAGCATAAATCAGCTTACCAATAATACTGCGATACATGGAGGCATCGGTAGCAGAGTCAGACTCGGAAAAATCAGAAAGATCACGAGTGGGTAAAGGAGTCTTGACACTTGAACAGTTCTGCATACCAAACTCTTCCAACATATCAAAAATATAACGTGAAACATCCACAGTAATATGGTACGGTGACTGCTTAACTCTCATGCCAAGGAACTGCTCGACTGGGCCCAAGTCTTTCATCTTAAACATAGATGACAAAGAAGACTTGGTTTTGGCAATGACCTCAGAAGAATTGCCAGAAATAAGTAAATCATCAACATACAGTGCAATAATAACCATGGTAGACCCAGATCCTTTGGTATACACACCGTAGTCACTTTCATTACGAATAAACCCAAGTTTGACAAGAGCACCATGAATCTTCTCATTCCAACACAAAGGAGCTTGCTTTAAACCATATAAAGACTTCTTCAAATGACACACTTTAGATTCCTGACCTTTGACAACAAAGCCTTTAGGTTGTCTCATATAAATATCTTCTTTGAGATCACCATTAAGAAATGCAGTCTCGACATCCATATGATGAACCTGGAACCCAAACTGAGCAGCAATAGCAAGAACAATCCTCACAGTCTCGTAACGAACAACGGGAGCAAAAGTTTCAGTATAATCAATACCTTCAACTTGCGAAAATCCAATACACACGAGACGAGCTTTGTAACGTTCAATTGAACCGTCGGCTTTGCGCTTAACTTTAAACACCCATTTGCTATTGATAGCCTTGCGACCAGGTGGGAGATCAACCAATTCCCAAGTACCATTGCGTTTAAGAGACGACATTTCAATAACACAGGCTTCAAGCCAAAACTCAGCTTCTTCACTAGACATAGCTTCTTCAAAACTACTAGGATCTGTAAAACAAGTAAAGCCACATCATCATACTCAAAGCGGAGAGATTTGAGACGACGATAAGAAATACACTCTTCTTCAGCTGGACGTTTTGCAGGTGTTGCAGACACTGGAGATTGTTTCAAAGAATTTTCACAAAGGTGTTTAGAAGGAGGTGAAACAATGTCATCAGAACTCGGGCGTTTGGCAGGAGTTATAGAAGGTAAACGAACAGCAACAACACGAGATCGAGATTTAGGCAAAACAGCTTGAGTATCATCCTTAGTGACAACACTAACACCAGCTTGGTCAAGAGAATTAACAAGATCAGGCGAAGGAGATTCTTGACTAAGTGGCACTACTTCCAATTCAACAGAAGGTGGTGGAATGGGAGACGAAGCAATGATAGACGGTTGAAACCCAATATCACCCCCTCGTTGCGAGATCCCAGAATCACCAGAAATATCAGATTCATTAATAGATGGACCAGCTTCAGATAAGTCTAATTGTGAAGGAATATATTCCGAAGGAGAAACAATAGGACTTGAGTCAGGAGAGATAGAGACATCATGATCTGAAGGTGGAAGAATAGGAGAACTAGGAAGAGATGGAACAGAAGGAATAGAAGGAAGAGTAGGAGACTCAAGAGGAGCAGAAGGTGTAGACAAAATGCGACGAACAGAACGAGGCTTATGAACGATAATAGAAGAAGAAGAAGAAGAAAGCGACGGAGAATGAGACGGAGAAGAAGACGGAGACGGTAAAGCACAAATAGAACCAGAACCAGAACCAGATGAGGATGCTGGTAAAGATCTATGAGACCCAAAACTAGAACCAGAACTTGAATCAGAACTAGCAATAGAATTAACCTAACATTAGATCCTAAACCAGTCCCCTTAGAATCAAAACAAGGTCCTGACATGGACCCTGAACCAGAACCAATACTAGACCCAACACTAAACCCAACACCAGTACCATTAATAGACAAGTCCTTATCACTTTTCATAAATGGAAACTTGGACTCATCAAAGTAAACACTCCTGGCTTCAACAATGCTTGAATCAAGAAGAACTCGATAAGCTGTACGATCCAAAGAATACCCAACAAAACACCAGCTTCAGTATTTGAACTTAACTTAGATTCTCTTTTAGCACCAGGAAGAACAACTGTAGCTTGACAACCAAATACTTTCATATGGTGATAACTAGGAGGTTTACCCGTCCAAAGTTGAAGAGGTGCAACACCACCAGTGGTACGACTAGGAAGACGGTTCCTAATATAATTAGCAGACTTGACAGCTTCACCCCATAAATACTCAGGAGCATGAGCATATAAAAGCATAGACTTGGCTTTTTCAAATAATGTGCGATTCAATCGCTCAGCAACACCATTTTGCTGAGGAGTATGAGGAACTGTATAAGTATGCTTGATACCCTTAGACACAAAGAACTGCTCCAGGTCTTTGGAAATGTATTCGCCGCCATTATCAGAATGAAAATATGCAACTCGATCACCAGCAGAATCACCAGAAAAATAAGATTCACACCTAGCAATAAAGTTACGAATGGCAAGACTTGCATCACTTTTCCTAACCAACAACTCCACATAAGAGTACCTGGAATAATAATCCATAATGGTTAAGACATAACGATGACCCACAGGGGTAGCGACATGAGGACCGCTTAAATCAGAAACAAATAACTCCAAAGGACGACTAGCTTTTTCTGTGGTACCATTAAATGGCAATGCTGTGGCTTTGCCACCCAAGCAAGCGTCACACTTATGACTATCCACAACCTCAAAATGAGTAGGCTTGACAGAAAGTGACTTAGATAATTTCTTGAGAACGTCCACACTGGCGTGACCAAGTCGCTTGTGCCAAAGATTGGCAGACGACTCAACAGCAAACACCTCATGGACAGGCTTGGAAGGCAAAACAACTCGGAAACGACAAAAGTACAAGTCACCCATGGCAATGGCGTGGACTCGAGTTTTGCCATTTTCAACAGCAGAAATATGGTTAAGGTCTTGAATGAACCGACAACCACCAGCAGTAGCTCGACGAGCAGCAAATAAATTGCGAGGAATCTTAGGAACATATAAAACATCTCGAAGAACAACGCGGTCACAAGGCTGGTCATCTTTACCAAGAAGATCAACGACAATGTCGCCAACCCCCTCAGCAGTAGCAGAACCAAGACCACGAATGGTAGCCGAAGTGGGACGAAGAGAAGAAAAATATGAGATGTTATTGCAAATGTGACTGGTAGCACCGGTATCATGGATAAAGTCAAAAGAATCAGACCCAACAACTAAGTTGGCCTCAGCAGAAGTAGTAGATTCAGCAACAAAAACGTGATGGACTGAATGACTTAAATCCAAGATTGAAGAAGGATGCCAGACGACAATTAAAATCAAGGAAAACAACATGATGGTAACAAAAGATAAGTAAAAGAATGGAGAAAAACGGGATTTTGGTGTAACAATAGGTTTAACATTAGGTGGAGAAGGTTCAGTAATTGAATCCACCAAAAAATCAAAAGAAGGTAAGACAATATCATCATCAGAACCGACCAACGGTTTAGAATCAGAACAAGAAATAAAAGAAGAACCGACCAACGGTTCAGAATCAAAAGGAACAATATCCGAATCGACCAACGATTCAGAATCAAAACAAATAGGAGCTGAACTGACACACGGTTCAGACTCCAAACAAACAACAGTAGAACCGACATACGGTTCAGAATTAAAACAAGAATCATCAGTGGAACCAACTGAATCAATATCAAGTCCTGAGTTTGAACAATACTCAGAAACTTGACCAACAATGTTGAACTGTGACACGGGAAGTCATGATAATAATAGAAAATATTATCCAAGAAAAGTATATATTGAAATATATAAGATAAAACAGTTGTATAAGAAGAAAGAAAAAGGAAAAGAAAAATTATAAAAGTTGGGGAAGAAACCTTCCTTATATACCCAAGGAAAAGAAAAATTTGCAGTGGTGAAAATTTTTCATTTGGGTTTGTCCCAAAGTTGAGTGGGTTTGTATTACACTTCAACTTTGTAACAAATTAAGGAGGGTAACCACAGTCACATAAGGGCTTAAACCTAATGCGGCTAAAACTAAAATAAACATAGATTGTCAACCATAGTTTCCCACCCAAACTCACGTCCATTATCAACTGCACTAGTCTGCGACAACATTGCATGCTCAACACCTCCCCTTGTCGCAGAATCACCTACTGCCTTCATACCAAGTAGTCCCCTCAATGTCTCAAACTTCACACGACCAAGATTCTTAGTAAACATATCTGCCAACATCACTTGAGTATCAAGATACTCCAGATGAATCACTCCACTGCGAATATAGTGACGGACAACATGATACCGAACATCAATATGCTTGGTGCGACGATGAAACACTGGGTTCTGAGCCAAAGCAATACATCCCTGATTGTCCTCAAACATAGTCACTGGCAACGGAACAGGAATCTTGCAAAGGGACAACAACTGATTAATCCAGAAACATTCCTTAGACGCATCAGACAATGACATGTACTCAGACTCGACGCTGGACGATGCAGGACTAACTTGCTTTCGACAAGCCCAAGTAATGGGACCACCAGACAGAATGAAAACATACCCAGTAAAGGACTTACGGTCCTGCTTGTCCTGTGCATAATCGGCATCACTATAGCCAACAAGCTTGTAGACTTTCTGAGCTCGATATTCAAGACCAAGTTCAGCAGTACCCTTAAGATAACGAAGAGTATGCTTAGCAGCTTCCATATGAATAGACTTAGGATTCTGCATATATCGACAAAGAAAGCTAACAGCAACAGCAAGATCAGGACGAGCACAATTAGCAGCATAAATCAGCTTACCAATAATACTGCGATACATGGAGGCATCGGTAGCAGAGTCAGACTCGGAAAAATCAGAAAGATCGCGAGTGGGTAAAGGAGTCTTGACACTTGAACAGTTCTGCATACCAAACTCCTCTAACATGTCAAAAATATAACGTGAAACATCCACAGTAATATGGTAAGGTGACTGCTTAACTCTCAGGCCAAGGAACTGCTCGACTGGGCCCAAGTCTTTCATCTTAAACATAGATGACAAAGAAGACTTGGTTTTGGCAATGACCTCAGAAGAATTGCCAGAAATAAGTAAATCATCAACATACAGTGCAATAATGACCATGGTAGACCCAGATCCTTTGGTATACACACCGTAGTCACTTTCATTACGAATAAACCCAAGTTTGACAAGAGCACCATGAATCTTCTCATTCCAACACAAAGGAGCTTGCTTTAAACCATATAAAGACTTCTTCAAATGACACACTTTAGATTCCTGACCTTTGACAACAAAGCCTTTAGGTTGTCTCATATAAATATCTTCTTTGAGATCACCATTAAGAAATGCAGTCTCGACATCCATATGATGAACCTGGAACCCAAACTGAGCAGCAATAGCAAGAACAATCCTCACAGTCTCGTAACGAACAACAGGAGCAAAAGTTTCAGTATAATCAATACCTTCAACTTGCGAAAATCCAATACACACGAGACGAGCTTTGTAACGTTCAATTGAACCGTCAGCTTTGCGCTTAACTTTAAACACCCATTTGCTATTGATAGCCTTGCGACCAGGTGGGAGATCAACCAATTCCCAAGTACCATTGCGTTTAAGAGACGACATTTCAATAACACAGGCTTCAAGCCAAAACTCAGCTTCTTCACTAGACATAGCTTCTTCAAAACTACTAGGATCTGTAAAACAAGTAAAGCCACATCATCATACTCAAAGCGGAGAGATTTGAGACGACGATAAGAAATACACTCTTCTTCAGCTGGACGTTTTGCAGGTGTTGCAGACACTGGAGATTGTTTCAAAGAATTTTCACAAAGGTGTTTAGAAGGAGGTGAAACAATGTCATCAGAACTCGGGCGTTTGGCAGGAGTTATAGAAGGTAAACGAACAGCAACAACACGAGATCGAGATTTAGGCAAAACAGCTTGAGTATCATCCTTAGTGACAACACTAACACCAGCTTGGTCAAGAGAATTAACAAGATCAGACGAAGGAGATTCTTGACTAAGTGGCACTACTTCCAATTCAACAGAAGGTGGTGGAGTGGGAGACGAAGCAATGATAGACGGTTGAAACCCAATATCACCCCCTCGTTGCGAGATCCCAGAATCACCTGAAATATCAGATTCATTAATAGATGGACCAGCTTCAGATAAGTCTAATTGTGAAGGAATATATTCCGAAGAAGAAATAATAGGACTAGAGTCAGGAGAGATAGAGACATCATGATCTGAAGGTGGAAGAATAGGAGAACTAGGAAGAGATGGAACTGAAGCAATAGAAGGAAGAGTAGGAGACTCAAGAGGAGCAGAAGGTGTAGACAAAATGCGACGAACAGAACGAGGCTTATGAACAATAATAGAAGAAGAAGAAGAAGGAGGCGGCGACGGAGAATGAAACGGAGAAGAAGACGGAGACGGAGACGGTAACGCACAAATAGAACCAGAACCAGATGAGGATGCTGGTAAAGATCTATGAGACCCAAAACTAGAACCAGAACTTGAATCAGAACTAGCAATAGAATTAACCCTAACATTAGATCCTAAACCAGTCCCCTTAGAATCAAAACAAGGTCCTGACATGGACCCTGAACCAGAACCAACACTAAACCCAACACCAGTACCATTAATAGACAAGTCTTTATCACTTTTCATGAATGGAAATTTGGACTCATCAAAGTAAACACTCCTGGCTTCAACAATGCTTGAATCAAGAAGAACTCGATAAGCTGTACGATCCAAAGAATACCCAACAAAAACACCAGCTTCAGCATTTGAACTTAACTTAGATTCTCTTTTAGCACCAGGAAGAACAACTGTAGCTTGACAACCAAATACTTTCATATGGTGATAACTAGGAGGTTTACCAGTCCAAAGTTGAAGAGGTGCAACACCACCAGTGGTACGACTAGGAAGACGGTTCCTAATATAATTAGCAGACTTGACAGCTTCACCCCATAAGTATTCAGGAGCATGAGCATATAAAAGCATAGACTTGGCTTTCTCAAATAATGTGCGATTCAATCGCTCAGCAACACCATTTTGTTGAGGAGTATGAGGAACTGTATAAGTATGCTTGATACCCTTAGACACAAAGAACTGCTCCAGGTCTTTGGAAATGTATTCGCCGCCATTATCAGAATGAAAATATGCAACTCGATCACCAGCAGAATCACCAGAAAAATAAGATTCACACCTAGCAATAAAGTTACGAATGGCAAGACTTGCATCACTTTTCCTAACCAACAACTCAACATAAGAGTACCTGGAATAATAATCCATAATGGTTAAGACATAACGATGACCCACAGGGGTAGCGACATGAGGACCGCTCAAATCAGAAACAAATAATTCCAAAGGACGACTAGCTTTTTCTGTGGTACCATTAAATGGCAATGCTGTGGCTTTGCCACCCAAAGCAAGCGTCACACTTATGACTATCCACAACCTCAAAATGAGTAGGCTTGACAGAAAGTGACTTAGATAATTTCTTGAGAACGTCCACACTGGCGTGACCAAGTCGCTTGTGCCAAAGATTGGCAGACGACTCAACAGCAAACACCTCATGAACTGGCTTGGAAGGCAAAACAACTCGAAAACGACAAAAGTACAAGTCACCCATGGCAATGGCGTGGACTCGAGTTTTGCCATTTTCAACAGCAGAAATATGGTTAAGGTCTTGAATGAACCGACAACCACCAGCAGTAGCTCGACGAGCAGCAAATAAATTGCGAGGAATCTTAGGAACATATAAAACATCTCGAAGAACAACGCGGTCACAAGGCTGGTCATCTTTACCAAGAAGATCAACGACAATGTCGCCAACCCCCTCAGCAGTAGCAGAACCAAGACCACGAATGGTAGCCGAAGTGGGACGAAGAGAAGAAAAATATGAGATGTTATTGCAAATGTGACTGGTAGCACCGGTATCATGGATAAAGTCAAAAGAATCAGACCCAACAACTAAGTTGGCCTCAGCAGAAGTAGTAGATTCAGCAACAAAAACGTGATGGACTGAATGACTTAAATCCAAGATTGAAGAAGGATGCCAGACGACAATTAAAATCAAGGAAAACAACATGATGGTAACAAAAGATAAGTAAAAGAATGGAGAAAAACGGGATTTTGGTGTAACAATAGGTTTAACAATAGGCGGAGAAGGTTCAGTAATTGAATCCACCAAAAATCAAAAGAAGGTAAGACAATATCATCATCAGAACCGACCAACGGTTTAGAATCAGAACAAGAATAAAAGAAGAACCGACCAACGGTTCAGAATCAAAAGGAACAATATCCGAATCGACCAACGATTCAGAATCAAAACAAATAGGAGCTGAACTGACACACGGTTCAGACTCCAAACAAACAACAGTAGAACCGACATACGGTTCAGAATTAAAACAAGAATCATCAGTGGAACCAACAAACGGTTTACCAACTGAATCAATATCAAGTCCTGAGTTTGAACAATACTCAGAAACTTGACCAACAAAACAATCTTCATCGCCGACACACGGCTCAGAGGAATCAAAAGTTCGGATTCCAAATCATCAAACGACTCGGAGCAACTGTTACCAAACTTTTTCAGAAACAACAGATGTCTCGGACACAAAAAGCGGAACTCACAAATGGATCATCATCAACTATCTCAGAAAATTCATCAATAGTCTCAGCAAACCAACCTCTTGAGGTTTTAGCCTCCTTAGATTCCTTGTCATCCTTATTATCTTGGCGAGCAGCCTGAACCTCTTCCCAAGAGACATGACAATTGTTGGAAGTATGACCACGCCTCTTACAACGGAAACATTTAATACCATCACCCTTAGATTTGTTATTGTACTTCTTTGATGAAGCAACGAACGCTTCAGTCGAAAGAGTAGCTGGAGGTCCAGTAATCTTCAACAACTTGGCCCATTTATCAGTGTTCCGGATGAAGTTGTTGATATCAAGGTTGTCAGTATTGTTGTTACTATCAAAGCGGTGCTCCAAGGCGTACTGGATGAAGCGCTCACAATTGGGACCCATTGAGGCCAAAGCGTTGAAGGCCACAACCGAATCAGGCGACAATGATTGGTAGATGGAACGCCATGTAGCAACATAAGAACGAACAGAAGAAACAAACTTTGGACCAACATCAATATTGCCAGCATAGAGGGATTTCATAAGTGAGATGACATCGGCGGGTTGAAGTTGACTATACTCCTGATGAAGATAAAGCCAGAGGTCACGGCCTCTAATGGCCACATCATTAACATGTTCGATCAACTCAGGAGAAATGTTGTTGAGGATGACATCATGGACGACGGTATCAAGCGAGGCGGTGAGGTCTTCGAGGGATTCATTAGCAGCTGGATTGACAGTACCAGCTTCGACATAAAGATGGACACCATTATTCATAGCACGAAGACCCAAAAGAATTTTGGTAGCCCAGACATGATAGTTGAGAGGAGTGAGTTTTTCAGAGGAAGTAAGATTAATATAAGCCGAAGTGCGGCCCATAACCTGTTGAACTGTGACACGGGAAGTCATGATAATAATAGAAAATATTATCCAAGAAAAGTATATATTGAAATATATAAGATAAAACAGTTGTATAAGAAGAAAGAAAAAGGAAAAGAAAAATTATAAAAGTTGGGGAAGAAACCTTCCTTATATACCCAAGGAAAAGAAAAATTTGCAGTGGTGAAAATTTTTCATTTGGGTTTGTCCCAAAGTTGAGTGGGTTTGTATTACACTTCAACTTTGTAACAAATTAAGGAGGGTAACCACAGTCACATAAGGGCTTAAACCTAATGCGGCTAAAACTAAAATAAACATAGATTGTCAACCATAGTTTCCCACCCAAACTCACGTCCATTATCAACTGCACTAGTCTGCGACAACATTGCATGCTCAACAAACAAAACAATCTTCATCGCCGACACACGGCTCAGAAGAATCAAAAAGTTCGGATTCCAAATCATCAAACGACTCGGAGCAACTGTTACCAAACTTTTCAGAAACAACAGATGTCTCGGACACAAAAGCGGAACTCACAAATGGATCATCATCAACTAACTATCTCAGAAAATTCATCAATAGTCTCAGCAAACCAACCTCTTGAGGTTTTAGCCTCCTTAGATTCCTTGTCATCCTTATTATCTTGGCGAGCAGCCTGAACCTCTTCCCAAGAGACATGACAATTGTTGGAAGTATGACCACGCCTCTTACAACGGAAACATTTAATACCATCACCCTTAGATTTGTTATTGTACTTCTTTGATGAAGCAACGAACGCTTCAGTCGAAAGAGTAGCTGGAGGTCCAGTAATCTTCAACAACTTGGCCCATTTATCAGTGTTCCGGATGAAGTTGTTGATATCAAGGTTGTCAGTATTGTTGTTACTATCAAAGCGGTGCTCCAAGGCGTACTGGATGAAGCGCTCACAATTGGGACCCATTGAGGCCAAAGCGTTGAAGGCCACAACCGAATCAGGCGACAATGATTGGTAGATGGAACGCCATGTAGCAACATAAGAACGAACAGAAGAAACAAACTTTGGACCAACATCAATATTGCCAGCATAGAGGGATTTCATAAGTGAGATGACATCGGCGGGTTGAAGTTGACTATACTCCTGATGAAGATAAAGCCAGAGGTCACGGCCTCTAATGGCCACATCATTAACATGTTCGATCAACTCAGGAGAAATGTTGTTGAGGATGACATCATGGACGACGGTATCAAGCGAGGCGGTGAGGTCTTCGAGGGATTCATTAGCAGCTGGATTGACAGTACCAGCTTCGACATAAAGGTGGACACCATTATTCATAGCACGAAGACCCAAAAGGATCTTAGTAGCCCAGACATGATAGTTGAGAGGAGTGAGTTTTTCAGAGGAAGTAAGATTAATATAAGCCGAAGTGCGGCCCATAACCTGTTGAACTGTGACACGGGAAGTCATGATAATAATAGAAAATATTATCCAAGAAAAGTATATATTGAAATATATAAGATAAAACAGTTATATAAGAAGAAAGAAAAAGGAAAAGAAAAATTATAAAAGTTGGGGAAGAAACCTTCCTTAAATATCTGAGGGAAAGAAAAATTTGCAGTGGTGAAAATTTTTCATTTGGGTTTGTCCCAAAGTTGAGTGGGTTTGTATTACACTTCAACTTTGTAACAAATTAAGGAGGGTAACCACAGTCACATAAGGGCTTAAACCTAATGCGGCTAAAACTAAAATAAACATAGATTGTCAACCATAGTTTCCCACCCAAACTCACGTGCATTATCAACTGCACTAGTCTGCGACAACATTGCATGCTCAACACACAGTAATATGATAAGGTGACTGCTTAACTCTCATGCCAAGGAACTGCTCGACTGGGCCCAAGTCTTTCATCTTAAACATAGATGACAAAGAAGACTTGGTTTTGGCAATGACTTCAGAAGAATTGCCAGAAATAAGTAAATCATCAACATACAGTGCGATAATAACCATGGTGTTGGAATATATGTCATGGTACTATCGTGTATTTCAACATTATCCCATAACATTTTTTTTTTCCCAATTACACTCTCTACATTGTTACATTATTCACTAGCAACTACTAGCCCATTACCATTGGAGTTACAATAATTGTTACAATCAAGACTCCCTATTGCTAAAGAAAATTTTCAAGATGCTCTTTTAAATTTTCTTCATTACAGAAACCTTTCTTGTTTTCTTTCTCTTCTTTTTCTCGCTACTCTAAATTTACGCAAAACTGTTTTTATTAAATACTCTTTCAGCTTTCAGCTTATCAATCGTATTTACTTATTAACTCTTGCTTTTAGGTATGATAGCGAACTTTTATTATTTTATTATTTTATTATTTTTATCATTTATATAATTCTTATATATACTCTAAATTTACGGAAAACTGTTTTTATTAAATACTCTTTCAGCTTTCAGCTTATCAATCGTATTTACTTATTAACTCTTGCTTTTAGTCTTCTCCGCTATGTCTAATCACGGAAACACTACAGGAGTCAATGAAGGACCCTCATCCTTCGAGTCAGCCAGCACTGGAAGTTCTGTTGCCCACTCAACATCTGAGACCCATTCAAAGAACAACGCCAGCTCTTATGAGACATTCGCCGATCTCCCTGTTCATCGTCAAATTGATCTCGCTGACCGTTCTGGATTTACCTGTTGGAATATACGTGTGTCGTGTTGAGACCTGTTGAGTGTAGGGTCCAGTTCCAACACTATCCACCGTTTGTGTATCACGAGATTTTCCCAGTAACATCATGAAAGAGTTACTACTTAACAATAAGTAGGCTCTGTGGTGTAGTGGTAACACGCACTCAGGCCATATGAGTGAGACTGGGGTTCGATCCCCCGTAGTGCCGTTCTTTTATGGTTGTCCAGCTTAGCTTCCTATTTTAGCTGTTCAACATTACCGTTAGACAATTAACCATTGCCAACATACCAGTTTGTTCCGAAGGATGTGAAGCTGAATTAAAAGTCTTAGCAGACTTGACAGCTTACATTAGAAACTCAAACTTCAAAGCTAGTCCTCCCCCATCTCAAAACATGGTAGATCCAGATCCTTTAGTATACACACCGTAGTCACTTTCATTACGAATAAACCCAAGTTTGACAAGAGCACCATGAATCTTCTCATTCCAACACAAAGGAGCTTGCTTTAAACCATATATGTTGAGCATGCAATGTTGTCGCAGACTAGTGCAGTTGATAATGCACGTGAGTTTGGGTGGGAAACTATGGTTGACAATCTATGTTTATTTTAGTTTTAGCCGCATTAGGTTTAAGCCCTTATGTGACTGTGGTTACCCTCCTTAATTTGTTACAAAGTTGAAGTGTAATACAAACCCACTCAACTTTGGGACAAACCCAAATGAAAAATTTTCACCACTGCAAATTTTTCTTTCCCTTGGGTATATAAGGAAAGTTTCTTCCCCAACTTTTATAATTTTTCTTTTCCTTTTTCTTTCTTCTTATATAACTGTTTTATCTTATATATTTCAATATATACTTTTCTTGGATAATATTTTCTATTATTATCATGACTTCCCGTGTCACAGTTCAACAGGTTATGGGCCGCACTTCGGCTTATATTAATCTTACTTCCTCTGAAAAACTCACTCCTCTCAACTATCATGTCTGGGCTACTAAGATCCTTTTGGGTCTTCGTGCTATGAATAATGGTGTCCACCTTTATGTCGAAGCTGGTACTGTCAATCCAGCTGCTAATGAATCCCTCGAAGACCTCACCGCCTCGCTTGATACCGTCGTCCATGATGTCATCCTCAACAACATTTCTCCTGAATTGATCGAACATGTTAATGATGTGGCCATTAGAGGCCGTGACCTCTGGCTTTATCTTCATCAGGAGTATAGTCAACTTCAACCCGCCGATGTCATCTCACTTATGAAATCCCTCTATGCTGGCAATATTGATGTTGGTCCAAAGTTTGTTTCTTCTGTTCGTTCTTATGTTGCTACATGGCGTTCCATCTACCAATCATTGTCGCCTGATTCGGTTGTGGCCTTCAATGTTGAGCATGCAATGTTGTCGCAGACTAGTGCAGTTGATAATGTACGTGAGTTTGGGTGGGAAACTATGGTTGACAATCTATGTTTATTTTAGTTTTAGCCGCATTAGGTTTAAGCCCTTATATGACTGTGGTTACCCTCCTTAATTTGTTACAAAGTTGAAGTGTAATACAAACCCACTCAACTTTGGGACAAACCCAAATGAAAAATTTTCACCACTGCAAATTTTTCTTTCCCTTGGGTATATAAGGAAAGTTTCTTCCCCAACTTTTATAATTTTTCTTTTCCTTTTTCTTTCTTCTTATATAACTGTTTTATCTTATATATTTCAATATATACTTTTCTTGGATAATATTTTCTATTATTATCATGACTTCCCGTGTCACAGTTCAACAGGTTATGGGCCGCACTTCGGCTTATATTAATCTTACTTCCTCTGAAAAACTCACTCCTCTCAACTATCATGTCTGGGCTACTAAGATCCTTTTGGGTCTTCGTGCTATGAATAATGGTGTCCACCTTTATGTCGAAGCTGGTACTGTCAATCCAGCTGCTAATGAATCCCTCGAAGACCTCACCGCCTCGCTTGATACCGTCGTCCATGATGTCATCCTCAACAACATTTCTCCTGAGTTGATCGAACATGTTAATGATGTGGCCATTAGAGGCCGTGACCTCTGGCTTTATCTTCATCAGGAGTATAGTCAACTTCAACCCGCCGATGTCATCTCACTTATGAAATCCCTCTATGCTGGCAATATTGATGTTGGTCCAAAGTTTGTTTCTTCTGTTCGTTCTTATGTTGCTACATGGCGTTCCATCTACCAATCATTGTCGCCTGATTCGGTTGTGGCCTTCAACGCTTTGGCCTCAATGGGTCCCAATTGTGAGCGCTTCATCCAGTACGCCTTGGAGCACCGCTTTGATAGTAACAACAATACTGACAACCTTGATATCAACAACTTCATCCGGAACACTGATAAATGGGCCAAGTTGTTGAAGATTACTGGACCTCCAGCTACTCTTTCGACTGAAGCGTTCGTTGCTTCATCAAAGAAGTACAATAACAAATCTAAGGGTGATGGTATTAAATGTTTCCGTTGTAAGAGGCGTGGTCATACTTCCAACAATTGTCATGTCTCTTGGGAAGAGGTTCAGGCTGCTCGCCAAGATAATAAGGATGACAAGGAATCTAAGGAGGCTAAAACCTCAAGAGGTTGGTTTGCTGAGACTATTGATGAATTTTCTGAGATAGTTGATGATGATCCATTTGTGAGTTCCGCTTTTGTGTCCGAGACATCTGTTGTTTCTGAAAAGTTTGGTAACAGTTGCTCCGAGTCGTTTGATGATTTGGAATCCGAACTTTTTGATTCTTCTGAGCCGTGTGTCGGCGATGAAGATTGTTTTGTTGGTCAAGTTTCTGAGTATTGTGTTGAACTGTGACACGGGAAGTCATGATAATAATAGAAAATATTATCCAAGAAAAGTATATATTGAAATATATAAGATAAAACAGTTATATAAGAAGAAAGAAAAAGGAAAAGAATGTTGAGCATGCAATGTTGTCGCAGACTAGTGCAGTTGATAATGCACGTGAGTTTGGGTGGGAAACTATGGTTGACAATCTATGTTTATTTTAGTTTTAGCCGCATTAGGTTTAAGCCCTTATGTGACTGTGGTTACCCTCCTTAATTTGTTACAAAGTTGAAGTGTAATACAAACCCACTCAACTTTGGGACAAACCCAAATGAAAAATTTTCACCACTGCAAATTTTTCTTTCCCTTGGATATTTAAGGAAGGTTTCTTCCCCAACTTTTATAATTTTTCTTTTCCTTTTTCTTTCTTCTTATATAACTGTTTTATCTTATATATTTCAATATATACTTTTCTTGGATAATATTTTCTATTATTATCATGACTTCCCGTGTCACAGTTCAACAGGTTATGGGCCGCACTTCGGCTTATATTAATCTTACTTCCTCTGAAAAACTCACTCCTCTCAACTATCATGTCTGGGCTACCAAAATTCTTTTGGGTCTTCGTGCTATGAATAATGGTGTCCACCTTTATGTCGAAGCTGGTACTGTCAATCCAGCTGCCAATGAATCCCTCGAAGACCTCACCGCCTCGCTTGATACCGTCGTCCATGATGTCATCCTCAACAATATTTCTCCTGAGTTGATCGAACATGTTAATGATGTGGCCATTAGAGGCCGTGACCTCTGGCTTTATCTTCATCAGGAGTATAGTCAACTTCAACCCGCCGATGTCATCTCTTATGAAATCCCTCTATGCTGGCAATATTGATGTTGGTCCAAAGTTTGTTTCTTCTGTTCGCTCTTATGTTGCTACCTGGCGTTCCATCTACCAATCATTGTCGCCTGATTCGGTTGTGGCCTTCAACGCTTTGGCCTCAATGGGTCCCAACTGTGAGCGCTTCATCCAGTATGCCTTGGAGCACCGCTTTGATAGTAACAACAATACTGACAACCTTGATATCAATAACTTTATCCGGAACACTGATAAATGGGCCAAGTTGTTGAAGATTACTGGACCCCCTGCTACTCTTTCGACTGAAGCGTTCGTTGCTTCATCAAAGAAGTACAATAACAAATCTAAGGGTGATGGTATCAAATGTTTTCGTTGTAAGAGGCGTGGTCATACTTCCAACAATTGTCATGTCTCTTGGGAAGAGGTTCAGGCTGCTCGCCAAGATAATAAGGATGACAAGGAATCTAAAGAGGCTAAAACCTCAAGAGGTTGGTTTGCTGAGACTATTGATGAATTTTCTGAGATAGTTGATGATGATCCATTTGTGAGTTCCGCTTTTGTGTCCGAGACATCTGTTGTTTCTGAAAAGTTTGGTAACAGTTGCTCCGAGTCGTTTGATGATTTGGAATCCGAACTTTTTGATTCTTCTGAGCCGTGTGTCGGCGATGAAGATTGTTTTGTTGGTCAAGTTTCTGAGTATTGTTCAAACTCAGGACTTGATATTGATTCAGTTGGTTCCACTGATGATTCTTGTTTTAATTCTGAACCGTATGTCGGTTCTACTGTTGTTTGTTTGGAGTCTGAACCGTGTGTCAGTTCAGCTCCTATTTGTTTTGATTCTGAATCGTTGGTCGATTCGGATATTGTTCCTTTTGATTCTGAACCGTTGGTCGGTTCTTCTTTTATTTCTTGTTCTGATTCTAAACCGTTGGTCGGTTCTGATGATGATATTGTCTTACCTTCTTTTGATTTTTTGGTGGATTCAATTACTGAACCTTCTCCACCTAATGTTAAACCTATTGTTACACCAAAATCCGTTTTTCTCCATTCTTTTACTTATCTTTTTGTTACCATCATGTTGTTTTCCTTGATTTTAATTGTCGTCTGGCATCCTTCTTCAATCTTGGATTTAAGTCATTCAGTCCATCACGTTTTTGTTGCTGAATCTACTACTTCTGCTGAGGCCAACTTAGTTGTTGGGTCTGATTCTTTTGACTTTATCCATGATACCGGTGCTACCAGTCACATTTGCAATAACATCTCATATTTTTCTTCTCTCTTCGTCCCACTTCGGCTACCATTCGTGGTCTTGGTTCTGCTACTGCTGAGGGGGTTGGCGACATTGTCGTTGATCTTCTTGGTAAAGATGACCAGCCTTGTGACCGCGTTGTTCTTCGAGATGTTTTATATGTTCCTAAGATTCCTCGCAATTTATTTGCTGCTCGTCGAGCTACTGCTGGTGGTTGTCGGTTCATTCAAGACCTTAACCATATTTCTGCTGTTGAAAATGGCAAAACTCGAGTCCACGCCATTGCCATGGGTGACTTGTACTTTTGTCGTTTCCGAGTTGTTTTGCCTTCAAGCCTGTCCATGAGGTGTTTGCTGTTGAGTCGTCTGCCAATCTTTGGCACAAGCGACTTGGTCACGCCAGTGTGGACGTTCTCAAGAAATTATCTAAGTCACTTTCTGTCAAGCCTACTCATTTTGAGGTTGTGGATAGTCATAAGTGTGACGCTTGCTTGGGTGGCAAAGCCACAGCATTGCCATTTAATGGTACCACAGAAAAAGCTAGTCGTCCTTTGGAGTTATTTGTTTCTGATTTAAGCGGTCCTCATGTCGCTACCCTGTGGGTCATCGTTATGTCTTAACCATTATGGATTATTATTCCAGGTACTCTTATGTGGAGTTGTTGGTTAGGAAAAGTGATGCAAGTCTTGCCATTCGTAACTTTATTGCTAGGTGTGAATCTTATTTTTCTGGTGATTCTGCTGGTGATCGAGTTGCATATTTTCATTCTGATAATGGCGGCGAATACATTTCCAAAGACCTGGAGCAGTTCTTTGTGTCTAAGGGTATCAAGCATACTTATACAGTTCCTCATACTCCTCAGCAAAATGGTGTTGCTGAGCGATTGAATCGCACATTATTTGAAAAAGCCAAGTCTATGCTTTTATATGCTCATGCTCCTGAGTATTTATGGGGTGAAGCTGTCAAGTCTGCTAATTATATTAGGAACCGTCTTCCTAGTCGTACCACTGGTGGTGTTGCACCTCTTCAACTTTGGACGGGTAAACCTCCTAGTTATCACCATATGAAAGTATTTGGTTGTCAAGCTACAGTTGTTCTTCCTGGTGCTAAAAGAGAATCTAAGTTAAGTTCAAATACTGAAGCTGGTGTTTTTGTTGGGTATTCTTTGGATCATTACAGCTTATCGAGTTCTTCTTGATTCAAGCATTGTTGAAGCCAGGAGTGTTTACTTTGATGAGTCCAAGTTTCCATTTATGAAAAGTGATAAGGACTTGTCTATTAATGGTACTGGTGTTGGGTTTAGTGTTGGGTCTAGTATTGGTTCTGGTTCAGGGTCCATGTCAGGACCTTGTTTTGATTCTAAGGGACTGGTTTAGGATCTAATGTTAGGGTTAATTCTATTGCTAGTTCTGATTCAAGTTCTGGTTCTAGTTTTGGGTCTCATAGATCTTTACCAGCATCCTCATCTGGTTCTGGTTCTGGTTCTATTTGTGCTTTACCGTCTCCGTCTTCTTCTCCGTCTCATTCTCCGTCGCTTTCTTCTTCTTCTTCTTCTATTATCGTTCATAAGCCTCGTTCTGTTCGTCGCATTTTGTCTACACCTTCTGCTCCTCTTGAGTCTCCTACTCTTCCTTCTATTCCTTCTGTTCCATCTCTTCCTAGTTCTCCTATTCTTCCACCTTCAGATCATGATGTCTCTATCTCTCCTGACTCAAGTCCTATTGTTTCTCCTTCGGAATATATTCCTTCACAATTAGACTTATCTGAAGCTGGTCCATCTATTAATGAATCTGATATTTCTGGTGATTCTGGGATCTCGCAACGAGGGGGTGATATTGTTGAACTGTGACACGGGAAGTCATGATAATAATAGAAAATATTATCCAAGAAAAGTATATATTGAAATATATAAGATAAAACAGTTATATAAGAAGAAAGAAAAAGGAAAAGAAAAATTATAAAAGTTGGGGAAGAAACCTTCCTTATATACCCAAGGGAAAGAAAAATTTGCAGTGGTGAAAATTTTTCATTTGGGTTTGTCCCAAAGTTGAGTGGGTTTGTATTACACTTCAACTTTGTAACAAATTAAGGAGGGTAACCACAGTCACATAAGGGCTTAAACCTAATGCGGCTATAACTAAAATAAACATAGGTTATCAACCATAGTTTCCCACCCAAACTCACGTGCATTATCAACTGCACTAGTCTGCGACAACATTGCATGCTCAACACCTCCCCTTGTCGCAGAATCACCTACTGCCTTCATACCAAGTAGTCCCCTCAATGTCTCAAACTTCACACGACCAAGATTCTTAGTGAACATATCTGCCAACATCACTTGAGTATCAAGATACTCCAGATGAATTACTCCACTGCGAATATAGTGACGCACAACATGATAACGAACATCAATATGCTTGGTACGACGATGAAACACTGGGTTCTGAGCCAAAGCAATACATCCCTGATTGTCCTCAAACATAGTCACTGGCAACGGAATAGGAATCTTGCAAAGAGACAACAACTGATTAATCCAGAAGCATTCCTTAGACGCATCAGACAATGACATATACTCAGACTCGACGCTGGACGATGCAGGACTAACTTGCTTTCGACAAGCCCAAGTAATGGGACCACCAGACAGAATGAAAACATACCCAGTAAATGACTTACGGTCCTGCTTGTCCTGTGCATAGTCGGCATCACTATAACCAACAAGCTTGTAGACTTTCTGAGCTCGATATTCAAGACCAAGTTCAGCAGTACCCTTAAGATAACGAAGAGTATGCTTAGCAGCTTCCATATGAATAGACTTAGGATTCTGCATATATCGACAAAGAAAGCTAACAGCAACAGCAAGATCAGGACGAGCACAATTAGCAGCATAAATCAGCTTACCAATAATACTGCGATACATGGAGGCATCGGTAGCAGAATCAGACTCGGAAAAATCAGAAAGATCACGAGTGGGTAAAGGAGTCTTGACACTTGAACAATTCTGCATACCAAACTCCTCCAACATGTCAAAAATATAACGTGAAACATCCACAGTAATATGGTAAGGTGACTGCTTAACTCTCATGCCAAGGAACTGCTCGACTGGGCCCAAGTCTTTCATCTTAAACATAGATGACAAAGAAGACTTGGTTTTGGCAATGACTTCAGAAGAATTGCCAGAAATAAGTAAATCATCAACATACAGTGCGATAATAACCATCGTAGACCCAGATCCTTTGGTATACACGCCGTAGTCACTTTCATTACGAATAAACCCAAGTTTGACAAGAGCACCATGAATCTTCTCATTCCAACACAAAGGAGCTTGCTTTAAACCATATAAAGACTTCTTCAAATGACACACTTTAGATTCCTGGCCTTTGACAACAAAGCCTTTAGGTTGTCTCATATAAATATCTTCTTTGAGATCACCATTAAGAAATGCAGTCTCGACATCCATATGATGAACCTGGAACCCAAACTGAGCAGCAATAGCAAGAACAATCCTTACAGTCTCGTAACGAACAACAGGAGCAAAAGTTTCAGTATAATCAATACCTTCAACTTGCGAAAATCCAATACACACGAGACGAGCTTTGTAACGTTCAATTGAACCGTCAGCTTTGCGCTTAACTTTAAACACCCATTTGCTATTGATAGCCTTGCGACCAGGTGGGAGATCAACCAATTCCCAAGTACCATTGCGTTTAAGAGACGACATTTCAATAACACAGGCTTCAAGCCAAAACTCAGCTTCTTCACTAGACATAGCTTCTTCAAAACTACTAGGATCTGTAAAAACAAGTAAAGCCACATCATCATACTCAAAGCGGAGAGATTTGAGACGACGATAAGAAATACACTCTTCTTCAGCTGGACGTTTTGCAGGTGTTGCAGACACTGGAGATTGTTTCAAAGAATTTTCACAAAGGTGTTTAGAAGGAGGTGAAACAATGTCATCAGAACTCGGGCGTTTGGCAGGAGTTATAGAAGGTAAACGAACAGCAACAACACGAGATCGAGATTTAGGCAAAACAGCTTGAGTATCATCCTTAGTGACAACACTAACACCAGCTTGGTCAAGAGAGTTAACAAGATCAGACGAAGGAGATTCTTGACTAAGTGGCACTACTTCCAACTCAACAGAAGGTGGTGGAGTGGGAGACGAAGCAATGATAGACGGTTGAAACCCAATATCACCCCCTCGTTGCGAGATCCCAGAATCACCTGAAATATCAGATTCATTAATACCAGCTTCAGATAAGTCTAATTGTGAAGGAATATATTCCGAAGAAGAAACAATTGGACTTGAGTCAGGAGAGATAGAGACATCATGATCTGAAGGTGGAAGAATAGGAGAACTAGGAAGAGATGGAACAGAAGGAATAGAAGGAAGAGTAGGAAGAGTAGGAGACTCAAGAGGAGCAGAAGGTGTAGACAAAATGCGACGAACAGAACGAGGCTTATGAACAATAATAGAAGAAGAAGAAGAAGGAGGCGGCGACGGAGAATGAGACGGAGAAGAAGACGGAGACGGAGACGGTAAAGCACAAATAGAACCAGAACCAGATGAGGATGCTGGTAAAGATCTATGAGACCCAAAACTAGAACCAGAACTTGAATCAGAACTAGCAATAGAATTAACCCTAACATTAGATCCTAAACCAGTCCCCTTAGAATCAAAACAAGGTCCTGACATGGACCCTGAACCAGAACCAATACTAGACCCAACACTAAACCCAACACCAGTACCATTAATAGACAAGTCTTTATCACTTTTCATAAATGGAAACTTGGACTCATCAAAGTAAACACTCCTGGCTTCAACAATGCTTGAATCAAGAAGAACTCGATAAGCTGTACGATCCAAAGAATACCCAACAAAAACACCAGCTTCAGTATTTGAACTTAACTTAGATTCTCTTTTAGCACCAGGAAGAACAACTGTAGCTTGACAACCAAATACTTTCATATGATGATAACTAGGAGGTTTACCAGTCCAAAGTTGAAGAGGTGCAACACCACCAGTGGTACGACTAGGAAGACGGTTCCTAATATAGTTAGCAGACTTGACAGCTTCACCCCATAAGTATTCAGGAGCATGAGCATATAAAAGCATAGACTTGGCTTTCTCAAATAATGTGCGATTCAATCGCTCAGCAACACCATTTTGTTGAGGAGTATGAGGAACTGTATAAGTATGCTTGATACCCTTAGACACAAAGAACTGCTCCAGGTCTTTGGAAATGTATTCGCCGCCATTATCAGAATGAAAATATGCAACAACTCGATCACCAGCAGAATCACCAGAAAAATAAGATTCACACCTAGCAATAAAGTTACGAATGGCAAGACTTGCATCACTTTTCCTAACCAACAACTCCACATAAGAGTACCTGGAATAATAATCCATAATGGTTAAGACATAACGATGACCCACAGGGGTAGCGACATGAGGACCGCTCAAATCAGAAACAAATAATTCCAAAGGACGACTAGCTTTTTCTGTGGTACCATTAAATGGCAATGCTGTGGCTTTGCCACCCCAAGCAAGCGTCACACTTATGACTATCCACAACCTCAAAATGAGTAGGCTTGACAGAAAGTGACTTAGATAATTTCTTGAGAACGTCCACACTGGCGTGACCAAGTCGCTTGTGCCAAAGATTGGCAGACGACTCAACAGCAAACACCTCATGGACAGGCTTGGAAGGCAAAACAACTCGGAAACGACAAAAGTACAAGTCACCCATGGCAATGGCGTGGACTCGAGTTTTGCCATTTTCAACAGCAGAAATATGGTTAAGGTCTTGAATGAACCGACAACCACCAGCAGTAGCTCGACGAGCAGCAAATAAATTGCGAGGAATCTTAGGAACATATAAAACATCTCGAAGAACAACGCGGTCACAAGGCTGGTCATCTTTACCAAGAAGATCGACGACAATGTCGCCAACCCCCTCAGCAGTAGCAGAACCAAGACCACGAATGGTAGCCGAAGTGGGACGAAGAGAAGAAAAATATGAGATGTTATTGCAAATGTGACTGGTAGCACCAGTATCATGGATAAAGTCAAAAGAATCAGACCCAACAACTAAGTTGGCCTCAGCAGAAGTAGTAGATTCAGCAACAAAAACGTGATGGACTGAATGACTTAAATCCAAGATTGAAAAAGGATGCCAGACGACAATTAAAATCAAGGAAAACAACATGATGGTAACAAAAGATAAGTAAAAGAATGGAGAAAAACGGGATTTTGGTGTAACAATTGGTTTAACAATAGGTGGAGAAGGTTCAGTAATTGAATCCACCAAAAAATCAAAAGAAGGTAAGGCAATATCATCATCAGAACCGACCAACGGTTTAGAATCAGAACAAAAAATAAAAGAAGAACCGACCAACGGTTCAGAATCAAAAGGAACAATATCCGAATCGACCAACGATTCAGAATCAAAACAAATAGGAGCTGAACTGACACACGGTTCAGACTCCAAACAAACAACAGTAGAACCGACATACGGTTCAGAATTAAAACAAGAGTCATCAGTGGAACCAACAAACGGTTTACCAACTGAATCAATATCAAGTCCTGAGTTTGAACAATACTCAGAAACTTGACCAACAAAACAATCTTCATCGCCGACACACGGCTCAGAAGAATCAAAAAGTTCGGATTCCAAATCATCAAACGACTCGGAGCAACTGTTACCAAACTTTTCAGAAACAACAGATGTCTCGGACACAAAAGCGGAACTCACAAATGGATCATCATCAACTATCTCAGAAAATTCATCAATAGTCTCAGCAAACCAACCTCTTGAGGTTTTAGCCTCCTTAGATTCCTTGTCATCCTTATTATCTTGGCGAGCAGCCTGAACCTCTTCCCAAGAGACATGACAATTGTTGGAAGTATGACCACGCCTCTTACAACGGAAACATTTGATACCATCACCCTTAGATTTGTTATTGTACTTCTTTGATGAAGCAACGAACGCTTCAGTCGAAAGAGTAGCTGGAGGTCCAGTAATCTTCAACAACTTGGCCCATTTATCAGTGTTCCGGATGAAGTTGTTGATATCAAGGTTGTCAGCATTGTTACTATCAAAGCGGTGCTCCAAGGCGTACTGGATGAAGCGCTCACAATTGGGACCCATTGAGGCCAAAGCGTTGAAGGCCACAACCGAATCAGGCGACAATGATTGGTAGATGGAACGCCACGTAGCAACATAAGAACGAACAGAAGAAACAAACTTTGGACCAACATCAATATTGCCAGCATAGAGGGATTTCATAAGTGAGATGACATCGGCGGGTTGAAGTTGACTATACTCCTGATGAAGATAAAGCCAGAGGTCACGGCCTCTAATGGCCACATCATTAACATGTTCGATCAACTCAGGAGAAATGTTGTTGAGGATGACATCATGGACGACGGTATCAAGCGAGGCGGTGAGGTCTTCGAGGGATTCATTAGCAGCTGGATTGACAGTACCAGCTTCGACATAAAGATGGATACCATTATTCATAGCACGAAGACCCAAAAGAATTTTGGTAGCCCAGACATGATAGTTGAGAGGAGTGAGTTTTTCGGAGGAAGTAAGATTAATATAAGCCGAAGTGCGGCCCATAACCTGTTGAACTGTGACACGGGAAGTCATGATAATAATAGAAAATATTATCCAAGAAAAGTATATATTGAAATATATAAGATAAAACAGTTATATAAGAAGAAAGAAAAAGGAAAAGAAAAATTATAAAAGTTGGGGAAGAAACCTTCCTTATATACCCAAGGGAAAGAAAAATTTGCAGTGGTGAAAATTTTTCATTTGGGTTTGTCCCAAAGTTGAGTGGGTTTGTATTACACTTCAACTTTGTAACAAATTAAGGAGGGTAACCACAGTCACATAAGGGCTTAAACCTAATGCGGCTATAACTAAAATAAACATAGGTTATCAACCATAGTTTCCCACCCAAACTCACGTGCATTATCAACTGCACTAGTCTGCGACAACATTGCATGCTCAACAGATATTGGGTTTCAACCGTCTATCATTGCTTCGTCTCCCATTCCACCACCTTCTGTTGAATTGGAAGTAGTGCCACTTAGTCAAGAATCTCCTTCGCCTGATCTTGTTAATTCTCTTGACCAAGCTGGTGTTAGTGTTGTCACTAAGGATGATACTCAAGCTGTTTTGCCTAAATCTCGATCTCGTGTTGTTGCTGTTCGTTTACCTTCTATAACTCCTGCCAAACGCCCGAGTTCTGATGACATTGTTTCACCTCCTTCTAAACACCTTTGTGAAAATTCTTTGAAACAATCTCCAGTGTCTGCAACACCTGCAAAACGTCCAGCTGAAGAAGAGTGTATTTCTTATCGTCGTCTCAAATCTCTCCGCTTTGAGTATGATGATGTGGCTTTACTTGTTTTTACAGATCCTAGTAGTTTTGAAGAAGCTATGTCTAGTGAAGAAGCTGAGTTTTGGCTTGAAGCCTGTGTTATTGAAATGTCGTCTCTTAAACGCAATGGTACTTGGGAATTGGTTGATCTCCCACCTGGTCGCAAGGCTATCAATAGCAAATGGGTGTTTTAAAGTTAAGCGCAAAGCTGACGGTTCAATTGAACGTTACAAAGCTCGTCTCGTGTGTATTGGATTTTCGCAAGTTGAAGGTATTGATTATACTGAAACTTTTGCTCCCGTTGTTCGTTACGAGACTGTGAGGATTGTTCTTGCTATTGCTGCTCAGTTTGGGTTCCAGGTTCATCATATGGATGTCGAGACTGCATTTCTTAATGGTGATCTCAAAGAAGATATTTATATGAGACAACCTAAAGGCTTTGTTGTCAAAGGTCAGGAATCTAAAGTGTGTCATTTGAAGAAGTCTTTATATGGTTTAAAGCAAGCTCCTTTGTGTTGGAATGAGAAGATTCATGGTGCTCTTGTCAAACTTGGGTTTATTCGTAATGAAAGTGACTACGGTGTGTATACCAAAGGATCTGGGTCTACCATGGTTATTATTGCACTGTATGTTGATGATTTACTTATTTCTGGCAATTCTTCTGAGGTCATTGCCAAAACCAAGTCTTCTTTGTCATCTATGTTTAAGATGAAAGACTTGGGCCCAGTCGAGCAGTTCCTTGGCATGAGAGTTAAGCAGTCACCGTACCATATTACTGTGGATGTTTCACGTTATATTTTTGATATGTTGGAAGAGTTTGGTATGCAGAACTGTTCAAGTGTCAAGACTCCTTTACCCACTCGTGATCTTTCTGATTTTTCCGAGTCTGACTCTGCTACCGATGCCTCCATGTATCGCAGTATTATTGGTAAGCTGATTTATGCTGCTAATTGTGCTCGTCCTGATCTTGCTGTTGCTGTTAGTTTTCTTTGTCGATATATGCAGAGTCCTAAGTCTATTCATATGGAAGCTGCTAAGCATACTCTTCGTTATCTTAAGGGTACTGCTGAACTTGGTCTTGAATATCGAGCTCAGAAAGTCTACAAGCTTGTTGGCTATAGTGATGCCGATTATGCACAGGACAAGCAGGACCGTAAGTCCTTTACTGGTTATGTTTTTATTCTGTCTGGTGGTCCCATTACTTGGGCTTGTCGAAAGCAAGTTAGTCCTGCATCGTCCAGCGTCGAGTCTGAGTACATGTCATTGTCTGATGCGTCTAAGGAATGCTTCTGGATTAATCAGTTGTTGTCTCTTTGCAAGATTCCTGTTCCGTTGCCAGTGACTATGTTTGAGGACAATCAGGGATGTATTGCTTTGGCTCAGAACCCAGTGTTTCATCGTCGCACCAAGCATATTGATGTTCGGTATCATGTTGTCCGTCACTATATTCGCAGTGGAGTGATTCATCTGGAGTATCTTGATACTCAAGTGATGTTGGCAGATATGTTTACTAAGAATCTTGGTCGTGTGAAGTTTGAGACATTGAGGGGACTACTTGGTATGAAGGCAGTAGGTGATTCTGCGACAAGGGGAGGTGTTGAGCATGCAATGTTGTCGCAGACTAGTGCAGTTGATAATGCACGTGAGTTTGGGTGGGAAACTATGGTTGACAATCTATGTTTATTTTAGTTTTAGCCGCATTAGGTTTAAGCCCTTATGTGACTGTGGTTACCCTCCTTAATTTGTTACAAAGTTGAAGTGTAATACAAACCCACTCAACTTTGGGACAAACCCAAATGAAAAATTTTCACCACTGCAAATTTTTCTTTCCCTCAGATATTTAAGGAAGGTTTCTTCCCCAACTTTTATAATTTTTCTTTTCCTTTTTCTTTCTTCTTATATAACTGTTTTATCTTATATATTTCAATATATACTTTTCTTGGATAATATTTTCTATTATTATCATGACTTCCCGTGTCACAGTTCAACACTGTGGATGTTTCGCGTTATATTTTTGATATGTTGGAAGAGTTTGGTATGCAGAATTGTTCAAGTGTCAAGACTCCTTTACCAACTCGTGATCTTTCTGATTTTTCCGAGTCTGACTCTGCTACCGATGCCTCCATGTATCGCAGTATTATTGGTAACACCTTTGGGATTTTTCGCACTTTTTCCCCTAGTAAAGTGGTGGTTTACTAAACAAATAGACGTGGTAAATTTATTTTTTCCCCCACTATAAAAATTGCTTAATAAACATTTTTTTTTTTTTATTTAACACACACACCTGGTAAATTTAATATTTTCAGTGGTTAAATAAGCACACACACCTGGTTAAATAAGCACAACCACCTGGTTAAATAAGCAAATTTAAATGTTTAATTCACCGCATATAATAAATTTAGAATTTTTGAAATTTTTGAAATTTTTTTAAAAAAATCCTTAAATTAAATTATAAATTACAGAATTATATATTTATATATATATAGCTTGGTAACAATGCCTCAAGCTTGTTCGTCAAGTGAGCATCATCATTAGTTCTTCTCTGTAGTAACGCGTCAAGCTTGTTCGTCAAGCGAGCATCATCATTAGTTCTTCTCTGTAGTAACGCGTCAAGCTTGTTCGTCAAGCGAGCATCATCATTAGTTCTTCCAAGTTACAACGCTTCAAGCTTGTTCGTCAAGCGAGCATCATCATTAGTTCCTCTTAGTATTAATGCCTCAAGCTTGTCCTTCAAGCGAGCATCATTGTTCGTTCTTCTCAGTATCAACGCGTCAACTTGTTTAAGTGAGCATCATCGGTTATTCTTCTAAGTATCAACGCGTCAACTTGGTTAAGTGAGCATCATCTTTCTTTTTTCTAAGTATCAATGCATCAAACTTATTCGTCAAGTGAGCATCATCGTTCTTTCCTCCAAGTATAAACGCGTCAAAATCGTTTGTCGCCAGCAAGTGAGCCATCTTCATAGTTGTAAAACTATTTTAAGTTGTTAATATTATGACCTTTTCTGAAAAAAAAAAAAAAAAAAAAAAAAGATTTATAGTACTTTAAACTTCTGAAATTTCCATATCTTATAAGGCGAATTGTATTAGAAAAAAAAAAAAGTGATGTGTTGAAAGAAAAGAAAAGGTGAAGAGCAGCTTTTTTATACTTTTTTAAAGATTTAATCTAAAGAGAATTCTTATTGGCTGAGGAAAGAAATATGCACTGTGGTAAAAATGTACTTTAAGTCTAATTGGCTCTATCATAATTTTGTTATATTAGTAATCATTGTTCTTATGGAAATATCTTATTGTTATGTTTGATAAATAGTTTAAATATGTCTATTTTGTTGTAAGAAACTAGAAATTAAAATATTATTTCATCTATTATTTCCAACTTAACAATCAATTTATTTTTTATATATATATATATATATATATATTCATCATATTAACAATAAATAAAAGATAAAAGATCTACCCTATAACACACTCCAATCAACATATAAACTTATGGTTACATAATGATTGATTAAGGCTCAACAAAACTTAGTCCTGCTGAAGCTGTTGACAAAACCAATTATCCGTATTATATATTTTATATATATACTTATCTATTTTCTAGTAATAATGCCCCGGAATTTATTTAGTACTTGGACACGGACTTAAAGGAGCAGTCAACGTATGGAAATTCAGATTCTATATTTGGGCCATCTTTGTCAGATGTAAATTACATCATGATGTATTTTATTTATGTGGTATGTGCTTGTGAATTGGAGGAAAATGATTAAGAAAGAACTTGTGGTTTGGGTATGGGATATTATCTTTTAAAAAAGATAGAGGGCGTATTACTAGTAAGACATAATAAAAAATAGATATAAAATAGATAAAAAAAATAAAAAATAGATAAAAAATAGATAAAAAATAGATAAAAAATAGATAAAAAATAGATAAAAAATAGATATAAAATAGATATAAAATAGATAAAAAATAGATAAAAAATAGATATAAAATATATAAAAAATTAAATAAAAAATAGATAAAAAAATAGATAAAAAAATAAATAAAAGATAAAAAATAAATATAAAATAAATATAAAATTAATATAAAATTAATATAAAATAAATATAAAATAAATATAAAATTAATATAAAATAAATATAAAATAAATATAAAATAAATATAAAATAAATATTGAGTTTTAAAAAAGAATATATATTTTTACTACAGTTTCAGTCAGAGCATTTTTATTTTTATATTTATATTTGAAATTTTATTATTATTGTTAGATAAAAAAAAATAATAATAAATAGAAAAATAAATGTCAGTGTGCTGGGAAATAATTTTTTTGTGTTGGGAAAAACAAAAAATAAATAAATAAATAAATAAATTTATTTTAAATAAACTTTAATAAAAAAATAAATTTAAATAAAAAAAATAGAAAAATAAAAAACCAAAATTCATTTGTGTGGGAAAAAATAAATATTTTTGTTGATTTTTAATAAAAAATATTAAAAAATAATAATAAAAAAAAGATGCTTATTTAACCACGTCAAATGTTTATTTCACCAGATGAAAATAAATAATGTGCTTATTTAACCAGGTGGGTTGGGTTATATAACCAGGACTCCAAAAGCTCCAGAGTAAAAATTTCATTTTGTGTGGTGGGAGTCACTTTTTGTTAGTGAAATATTCCAAAGGTGTAAGCTGATTTATGCTGCTAATTGTGCTCGTCCTGATCTTGCTGTTGCTGTTAGCTTTCTTTGTCGATATATGCAGAATCCTAAGTCTATTCATATGGAAGCTGCTAAGCATACTCTTCGTTATCTTAAGGGTACTGCTGAACTTGGTCTTGAATATCGAGCTCAGAAAGTCTACAAACTTGTTGGTTATAGTGATGCCGACTATGCACAGGACAAGCAGGACCGTAAGTCATTTACTGGGTATGTTTTTATTCTGTCTGGTGGTCCCATTACTTGGGCTTGTCGAAAGCAAGTTAGTCCTGCATCGTCCAGCGTCGAGTCTGAGTATATGTCATTGTCTGATGCGTCTAAGGAATGCTTCTGGATTAATCAGTTGTTTTGAGATGGGGGAGGACTTGCTTTGAAGTTTGAGTTTCTAATGTAAGCTGTCAAGTCTGCTAAGACTTTTAATTCAGCTTCACATCCTTCGGAACAAACTGGCACGTTGGCAATGGTTAATTGTCTAACGGTAAATCCAGAACGGTCAGCGAGATCAATTTGACGATGAACAGGGAGATTGGCGAATGTCTCATAAGAGCTGGCGTTGTTCTTTGAATGGGTCTCAGATGTTGAGTGGGCAACAGAACTTCCAGTGCTGGCTGACTCGAAGAATGAGGGTCCTTCATTGACTCCTGTAGTGTTTCCGTGATTAGACATAGCGGAGAAGACTAAAAGCAAGAGTTAATAAGTAAATACGATTGATAAGCTGAAAGCTGAAAGAGTATTTAATAAAAACAGTTTTGCGTAAATTTAGAGTAGCGAGAAAAAGAAGAGAAAGAAAACAAGAAAGGTTTCTGTAATGAAGAAAATTTAAAAGAGCATCTTGAAAAATTTTCTTTAGCAATAGGGAGTCTTGATTGTGACAATTATTGTAACTCCAATGGTAATGGGCTAGTAGTTGCTAGTGAATAATGTAACAATGTAAAGAGTGTAATTGGGAAAAAAAAAAAAAATATTATGGGATAATGTTGAAATACACGATAGTACCATGACATATATTCCAACAGCCCCCCTGCAACAATAGCCCGTTATCAAGATTCAATCTCTTGATCTTTGCGTCGTCGAGTCTTCGAAAATGACTGCGGCGTAACGATGGAGGTATTATTTGACGAGACGAGCACTGCATCAAGTCCATTTCCCCCCTCAACTTGAGGACGGGTACTCATACCCAGAAGATTCCTCAAATATAAAAACTGCGGCTTAGCCAGAGCTTTGGTAAAAATGTCTGCCACATTATCTGCTGAAGCAACAGCTTCAAGACGGGTATCGCCGGCTTTGACATGGTCTCTGGTGCGCATGTACTTGGTATCAATATGTTTAGTCCGCTCGTGATGTTTGCTGTCCTTCATGAGATCCAGGACACCTTTGTTGTCCTCCATGATGACAGTCGTTGGTTGAGATTCACCAAGTTCTTTCAAAAGATCTCGGAAGTAAACTGCCTCACACGTGGCAGAGAAAGCAGCAATCAGCTCAGCCTCAGTTGTGGAAGTTGCTGTCAACTTCTGTTTGGCCGACTTCCAAGAGAAGGTTGAAGGACCGTGAGAGAATGCAAAGCCTGAGATAGACTTCCTGTCGGGATCGTTTGCCCAATCGGCATCTGACCAGCCTCTCAGAAGCCGCGGAGAGGCCCCTGGTACATTTTTGTGATAGACAATTGCCAGGTCCTTGGTGCCTTTGAGGTAGCTCAGAACATGATATGCTCTATCCATATGAATAGCTCTAGGGTCACTCGCATACTGAGCAAGCTTGCCTGTAGCGTAGGCAATGTCCGGACGGGCCGTCTGTGCAGCAAACTGTAGCTTGCCAAGAATGCTGCGATACAGCGATTGGTTAGCTGGACGAGCATCGAGGCCCTGTGGGAAATCAAGGCCATGTTTCTTGGGCAACGGTATCGACTTAGCTGTTTGATTACTCAATTTGAAAACCTCAATCATGTCAGCAATATAATGTTCCAGATCCAGAGATATTGTCCTGTCGGAGTCCTGGACTCTGATTCCCAAGAATTTGTTAACACCACCTTCATCTTTGATGGCAAAGTAACCAGATAGGCCCTTGAAAAACCGCTCGAATTCTCCCGGTACGTTTGACGCCGTTAAGATGTCGTCAACATAAAGACCTATAATACTGAAGTCTTTGCCATTAATCTTGTAAAAGAGACAGGGTTCTTTCTTGGCAGCTTTGTAACCTAGTGCTTCCAACTTGTCAACAAGCTTCTTGTTCCAACACAGAGGGGCTTGCTTCAGTCCATATAAGCTTTTATTCAGCTTCCAGACCATGCCAGGAGGGGTATTATGGTCAATTCCTGTTGGTGGCTTGACATAGATGTCTTCTTCTAGATCTCCATTCAAGAAAGCATTTTTAACATCGACGTGGTGCATCTCGCAGTTCTTCGCCGCACTTAGGGCGAAAATGAGACGAACAGTGCTGAATCTCATCACTGGCGCAAAGGTGTCAACATAGTCAACACCAAACTTCTGACGAAACCCCTGAACAACAAGACGAGCCTTGTACTTGTCAATTGAACCATCCTGTTGGAATATATGTCATGGTACTATCGTGTATTTCAACATTATCCCATAATATTTTTTTTTCCCAATTACACTCTCTACATTGTTACATTATTCACTAGCAACTACTAGCCCATTACCATTGGAGTTACAATAATTGTTACAATCAAGACTCCCTATTGCTAAAGAAAATTTTCAAGATGTTCTTTTAAATTTTCTTCATTACAGAAACCTTTCTTGTTTTCTTTCTCTTCTTTTTCTCGCTACTCTAAATTTACGCAAAACTGTTTTTATTAAATACTCTTTCAGCTTTCAGCTTATCAATCGTATTTACTTATTAACTCTTGCTTTTAGGTATGATAGCGAACTTTTTATTATTTTATTATTTTATTATTTTTATCATTTATATAATTCTTATATATACTCTAAATTTACGCAAAACTGTTTTTATTAAATACTCTTTCAGCTTTCAGCTTATCAATCGTATTTACTTATTAACTCTTGCTTTTAGTCTTCTCCGCTATGTCTAATCACGGAAACACTACAGGAGTCAATGAAGGACCCTCATCCTTCGAGTCAGCCAGCACTGGAAGTTCTGTTGCCCACTCAACATCTGAGACCCATTCAAAGAACAACGCCAGCTCTTATGAGACATTCGCCGATCTCCCTGTTCATCGTCAAATTGATCTCGCTGACCGTTCTGGATTTACCGTTAGACAATTAACCATTGCCAACGTGCCAGTTTGTTCCGAAGGATGTGAAGCTGAATTAAAAGTCTTAGCAGACTTGACAGCTTACATTAGAAACTCAAACTTCAAAGCTAGTCCTCCCCCATCTCAAAACCTAATGCGGCTAAAACTAAAATAAACATAGATTGTCAACCATAGTTTCCCACCCAAACTCACGTGCATTATCAACTGCACTAGTCTGCGACAACATTGCATGCTCAACAAATACAATAAGTTTTATATTAAACTATTAGCTTGGTTCTTTCTTTGGACAATCCGACTTTACTCTCATACGATAACTCCATTACAATTACATTAATAAGAGGCCGTGTGGTCTAGTAGTATGATACTCGCTTTGGGTTAAAATTGCGAGTGGTCCAGGGTTCAATTCCCTGCTCGGCCCTTTTAATTTTTTTAAATTTTTGAAACACTTCTGTATGTTTTACTTTTCTCTATCAACAGGTCAAGTCCAGAAATACCCAATATCTAAATCTCAGTACTAATAATTGTTGAATTGTAATTTGATTTAAGGACCTGGGCGGTCAACTCTTTAATTACTTTCCGTTCAATTTTATAAGCTACCAGACAAACGAGAATGTTGAGTGGTGATATGTTATATTCCATGATACTATGGGCAATTTCAACATTATCTCGTAATAATATTTTTCCATTACACTCTTTACATTGTTACATTATTTACTAGCAACTACGAGCTTTTTTTTTTGATTACAAAGGTAATAATTGTATCAATTAAGAATTTCTACCGCTAAAAAAATCACCACAATATAGGGAGTTGTACTAGCGACCAAACTCTTAGTGCTGACTGACTAGGCTCCTTCATAGACACCATCAGTGTTTCCATAGGTTGACATAGTGAGGGAAAGACTAACAATACGTTAAAAAACCAAAGTTAATGAATAAATACGATTGATAAGCTGAAAGCTGAGAGATTATTTAATAAAAACAGTTTAGTTTAAATTTAGAGAAGCGAGAAAAAAAGGAGGAAGAAAGGTTTCAGTAACGAAGAAAATTTAAAGGAGCATCGAGGCAAATTTTCTTTAGCAGTAGAAAATCTTAATTGACACAATTATTACCTTTGTAATCAAGAAGAGCTCGTAGTTGCTAGTAAATAATGTAACATTGTAAAGATTGTAATGGAAAAAGATTATTATGAGATAATGCTGAAATAGCCCATAGTACCATAGGATATATTCCAACAAAAAGAAATACGTGATGATACCATTCCATATATTCCAACAGCTCCCCTCTTTGTAAAATTATTGCAAAAAAAATTGAAATGGGCCAAAAACTTCTAGTCAATAATAGATTAATATGGTGAATGAAATTTGAGAAAAACAAAGAAAAATAATGACAACTGTGGGATTTGAACCCACGCCTCTAACGAGATCCGAAAACACCGCTTTCAGTGAAGTAAACACTTGAGTCGGACGCCTTAGACCAACTCGGCCAAATTGTCACAATAGTTACTCTTGTAAAATGTTTGTTTGTTTGTTTTTATTCAAGGGTTATAGAATTATATAACATCAGCATCTGCGCTATCCTTCTTGTCCATACTATATATTTTTTCATTTTGATAATAAACTTTTAATTTTGGCTTCAACATTGCATCTCCAACAGCCCGAAAATAAGTCCTGATGCCAGCTTACGAGGAACAGGGGGTTAAAATAACCAAACCTTCCCAACCTATCTCCACTTGTCTTCATCAACGCTGTAATTGTATTTCTTAATCCCTCCAAGCAGAGATAAAGCTTACAATCTCTTGTAAGCCAGTTAAACTGTTTAAGAGAGTCGACATGTCCATCTCTGGAGATATCCGTTTCAGTCCTTTTCTTTCCTCTTCAAGCAAAGGACACTCAACTAAAATGTGATGAACTGTTTCCAGCTCTCCACATTTGCAGTTGTAACTATCCTTTTCAATTCCAAACTTTTTAAACCATGCGCCAAAGTTGCCATGGCCTGTGCGAAACTGAGTAATATTACTCAAGATCCTTCGACTATCTTTCTTCATGATCACTCCCGTAACCATTTTGGAAAGATTATCAGTACATTTCGACTCCACTGTGATATTATGATACCACAGATCCTTACTGCTGTTCCAATACATTTCTTGCCATTCTTCCATTGCTTGTTTTTTCAAAATTCCAATCGTCTGATTTTGTTGTTGTTTCAGTGTAAGAGGTTCAACCCTCTTGCATTTTCGTTTTTCATCCTTTTTAATCATATAGTCTCTATCATCTTTCGCCAACATGTAAAGCGTGGTTAGCTTTGCAATTGGAGATTTCTCAATCAATGTTAACAAATGACCATTAATAGGATTAGTTTTGCTAATATTTAGGTGTAAACGAATAGCTTTTCGTGCCACCATAAATTTTAGCCTAATACTATATGGCATAATACCAGCTTCCTTTTGTAGTATACTCTTGTAAAAGATTAACAAGCAACAACCAAGACAAATAATTATAAATGTCTTAAAGATCAAACTTGCAATCAACCAAGGGGAAAAGGGCTGGATGGTGTAAAGGATAACACGTTCGCTCGAAAGCGGAAGATACTGGGTTCGATTCCCAGAATACCCCCTTTTTCCTGAGGATGTGTACGGGAGTATACATCTGTTGAACAGCTAAAATAGGAAGCTAAGCTGGACAACCATAAAAGAACGGCACTACGGGGGATCGAACCCCAGTCTCACTCATATGGCCTGAGTGCGTGTTACCACTACACCACAGAGCCTACTTATTGTTAAGTAGTAACTCTTTCATGATGTTACTGGGAAAATCTCGTGATACACAAACGGTGGATAGTGTTGGAACTGGACCCTACACTCAACAGGTCTCAACACGACACACGTATATTCCAACAACATCTAGACTGAAAACCATAGGCTACCCTGGTTACAGGAATGCCGACTCTTCCGTACAGTCTAAATAGCCTGCAGGTGATTGCGGGCCGTATCTCTGGCGAAAGAGATTAAGAAATACATGGGCGTCCGTGAAGATAAGTGGAAATGGGTTGGGAAGGTTTTGGGACCGACAGACTGGTTCTCCCTGTTCCTCGTAAGCTGGCATCAGGGCCCATCTTCCGGGCTACCGGAGACGCACAGAACAGAAACCACCAGTACTAAAAAGGTACAAATGAAAACCGGCAAGTAACATAGTCAGACAATAAAAGGACAGCGCAGATGCTGATGTTATATAGTTCTATAACCCTTGAATAAAAACAAACAAACAAACAATGCAATCAACCAAGATCAGCATCTGCAAAAAAAAATGTCAGGCCCCCCCAACAACAACCAAACCACGTTTAGTGGCGGCGACCCTCCTGCCGACAATAATTATACCGACAATAATAATGAACAGACTAATATTAATGATATGCAAAAAATTATTGCTGTTGAACTGAAGGAGAAAGAAAGTTCTCATTCCAGAGGACCTCATTCTCATGAAGCTCATCACATCAAACCCTCGACAAAAATCCAAAAAAATAATGAAAAACCAGACTCCCATAAAAAAATTGAAACTATCCACAAAAAGCTTGAATCGAATGATAAGCATAACGCTTCTTCAAACCACGAAACCCCCGTTGAAACCCCTATTGTGAATGTTGGTCCAACCTTGAACCCTACCTTTGACTCTTCACCAGATGGTGGTGATGTTGAAATTGACGCAACACCATCACGTGACATGGATGTTCTCATGCCGGATGCAAATCCATTTGGTGATAATTCTGAAGCCTGGGAATACATCTTAAAACTTAAGGATGTATTTCTGGTTGAATTGTCTATTGTTAAAGAAGACTTGAGTATTACAATTGAAGATTGGGAAATAAAATTTCAAAATCTTGAACTTAAAAACAATGAGTTAGCTAAACAACTCATTGCTTTGACCGAAAAGCTTAAAGCTTCAGAAGGACAAGTGAATTCTCTTCGCTCAGAACTTGATGTTTTGAGAAACAATCAGGTTCACACAGAAGTTAAACATGTGATGTTTGAAAAAACTCAAAAAGGAAGTTAAGGATAATAAGGATCATTGCGATAAAGTGAAACATAAAGCTGATGAAATAGCTAAGATGACTCTTCAAGATTTGTCTCAAGAAAAAGCAAGAAACAAAAGAATTATCGACACTGAAATCAAGGAATTCAAAGAAATGACCAACAATCTTGAAAAAAAGAGTTGATAATATGGAATACAAAGTTGGAACTATTTCAACTAAGGCTGATTTAACTACCAAAGAACTTAGCTACGCAAAAAAAGAAATCAAGAGCGCGGTAAGAAAAGTCGACACTTTGCCTTTTGCTTTGACCCCTAAAACGCCAAATGGAGCAACTCCAAAGTTGAAAGACATTATGAAGGCTCAAAAACAACACCGTGAAACTAAAGTTGATGACGATAAACCCACTTTTAGAGTGTGCATAAGAATTCCAGATACCATGAAAAGAGTTAATATCCCTGCGATTGGAAAGAAAATTGATGCGGTTGCACAAAAGTCGGTGGCTCAGGAAATAGGCTATACTGTCAAAGGGCATTTATATGTTCAACTTAATGACAAAGATTTTGCTGATAAAGCTGCACAATGGATCCCCAAAGTTGACCCTACTTATTCAGTGCTTGACACAGATTCTTGGTACAAGGCTGTACTTCAGGAAATACCTAATACGGCATCGATTGAAGACTTGAAAGAAACTCTCTACAATTTTAATGATTACCATATTGTTTTGAATACCGAACCCAAAATCATTAGCAGAAACCAATTTACCCAAACAGCATTGGTTTCATTCAGAAATGCCCAAGACTATGCAAAGTTGTTGGAATATATGTCATGGTACTATCGTGTATTTCAACATTATCCCATAATATTTTTTTTTTCCCAATTACACTCTTTACATTGTTACATTATTCACTAGCAACTACTAGCCCATTACCATTGGAGTTACAATAATTGTCACAATCAAGACTCCCTATTGCTAAAGAAAATTTTTCAAGATGCTCTTTTAAATTTTCTTCATTACAGAAACCTTTCTTGTTTTCTTTCTCTTCTTTTTCTCGCTACTCTAAATTTACGCAAAACTGTTTTTATTAAATACTCTTTCAGCTTTCAGCTTATCAATCGTATTTACTTATTAACTCTTGCTTTTAGGTATGATAGCGAACTTTTATTATTTTATTATTTTATTATTTTATTATTTTATTATTTTTATCATTTTATATAATTCTTATATATACTCTAAATTTACGCAAAACTGTTTTTATTAAATAGTCTTTCAGCTTTCAGCTTATCAATCGTATTTACTTATTAACTCTTGCTTTTAGGTATGATAGCGAACTTTTATTATTTTATTATTTTATTATTTTATTATTTTATTATTTTTATCATTTTATATAATTTTTATATATACTCTAAATTTACATAAAACTGTTTTTATTAAATACTCTTTCAGCTTTCAGCTTATCAATCGTATTTACTTATTAACTCTTGCTTTTAGGTATGATAGCGAACTTTTATTATTTTATTATTTTATTATTTTTATCATTTTATATAATTCTTATGCTACTCTAAATTTACGCAAAACTGTTTTTATTAAATACTCTTTCAGCTTTCAGCTTATCAATCGTATTTACTTATTAACTCTTGCTTTTAGGTATGATAGCGAACTTTTATTATTTTATTATTTTATTATTTTTATCATTTTATATAATTCTTATATATACTCTAAATTTACGCAAAACTGTTTTTTATTAAATACTCTTTCAGCTTTCAGCTTATCAATCGTATTTACTTATTAACTCTTGCTTTTAGTCTTCTCCGCTATGTCTAATCACGGAAACACTACAGGAGTCAATGAAGGACCCTCATCCTTCGAGTCAGCCAGCACTGGAAGTTCTGTTGCCCACTCAACATCTGAGACCCATTCAAAGAACAACGCCAGCTCTTATGAGACATTCGCCGATCTCCCTGTTCATCGTCAAATTGATCTCGCTGACCGTTCTGGATTTACCGTTAGACAATTAACCATTGCCAACGTGCCAGTTTGTTCCGAAGGATGTGAAGCTGAATTAAAAGTCTTAGCAGACTTGACAGCTTACATTAGAAACTCAAACTTCAAAGCTAGTCCTCCCCCATCTCAAAAGGTTATGAGCTCCTTTGACGCTTCTCATGTTGAACTGTGACACGGGAAGTCATGATAATAATAGAAAATATTATCCAAGAAAAGTATATATTGAAATATATAAGATAAAACAGTTATATAAGAAGAAAGAAAAAGGAAAAGAAAAATTATAAAAGTTGGGAAAGAAACCTTCCTTATATACCCAAGGAAAAGAAAAATTTGCAGTGGTGAAAATTTTTCATTTGGGTTTGTCCCAAAGTTGAGTGGGTTTGTATTACACTTCAACTTTGTAACAAATTAAGGAGGGTAACCACAGTCACATAAGGGCTTAAACCTAATGCGGCTATAACTAAAATAAACATAGGTTATCGACCATAGTTTCCCACCCAAACTCACGTGCATTATCAACTGCACTAGTCTGCGACAACATTGCATGCTCAACATTACTGAAGCTTCCAAGTGGGCCTCTGTAGTGGAGCAATATTTCTTTAACAACCCGGATGGCACCTTTCACCGTGACCTTATCTTAGCAGTGCTGAATAACAACAAGGTTTCAGCAGCTGCTCGCGAAGATCCTCAGAGTCATCTCTGGGGGATTACCAAGTTTGTCGACATTTTCAAGTCAAGATCTGGAGGATGGAGCCCCTGTGATTCAGTTGAAATCCCAGCGCTAGTTGAAGCAACTTCTGCAGCCTTCGTAAAAGGTCGAAGAATTATTGACGGTTCATCAAAAGTCGTGTCAAAGCAGGAACCCAAGCAAGAACCCAAGCAGGAATCCAAGCAGGAAACCTCGAAGAAAGCTGGTCACTCTGATACCAAGCAAGGAAAGGGGAAACAGTGGTCCAAGGGGTCTGGTGGCAACAAGAGGCGTAACAATGAAGACAAGCAAGCTAGAAAGTCGAACTCTGATGGTCAAAACAAAGTTGCTGCCTTGAAAGCTACCGAATATCTTGAGGTGGCTCGCGACGATGTTGAAACTCTTTGCTCTGTTGCTCGTTTTGAGATGGGGGAGGACTAGCTTTGAAGTTTGAGTTTCTAATGTAAGCTGTCAAGTCTGCTAAGACTTTTAATTCAGCTTCACATCCTTCGGAACAAACTGGCACGTTGGCAATGGTTAATTGTCTAACGGTAAATCCAGAACGGTCAGCGAGATCAATTTGACGATGAACAGGGAGATCGGCGAATGTCTCATAAGAGCTGGCGTTGTTCTTTGAATGGGTCTCAGATGTTGAGTGGGCAACAGAACTTCCAGTGCTGGCTGACTCGAAGGATGAGGGTCCTTCATTGACTCCTGTAGTGTTTCCGTGATTAGACATAGCGGAGAAGACTAAAAGCAAGAGTTAATAAGTAAATACGATTGATAAGCTGAAAGCTGAAAGAGTATTTAATAAAAACAGTTTTGCGTAAATTTAGAGTAGCGAGAAAAAGAAGAGAAAGAAAACAAGAAAGGTTTCTGTAATGAAGAAAATTTAAAAGAGCATCTTGAAAAATTTTCTTTAGCAATAGGGAGTCTTGATTGTGACAATTATTGTAACTCCAATGGTAATGGGCTAGTAGTTGCTAGTGAATAATGTAACAATGTAAAGAGTGTAATTGGGAAAAAAAATATTATGGGATAATGTTGAAATACACGATAGTACCATGACATATATTCCAACAGCCCCCCTGCAACAATAGCCCGTTATCAAGATTCAATCTCTTGATCTTTGCGTCGTCGAGTCTTCGAAAATGACTGCGGCGTAACGATGGAGGTATTATTTGACGAGACGAGCACTGCATCAAGTCCATTTCCCCCCTCAACTTGAGGACGGGTACTCATACCCAGAAGATTCCTCAAATATAAAAACTGCGGCTTAGCCAGAGCTTTGGTAAAAATGTCTGCCACATTATCTGCTGAAGCAACAGCTTCAAGACGGGTATCGCCGGCTTTGACATGGTCTCTGGTGCGCATGTACTTGGTATCAATATGTTTAGTCCGCTCGTGATGTTTGCTGTCCTTCATGAGATCCAGGACACCTTTGTTGTCCTCCATGATGACAGTCGTTGGTTGAGATTCACCAAGTTCTTTCAAAAGATCTCGGAAGTAAACTGCCTCACACGTGGCAGAGAAAGCAGCAATCAGCTCAGCCTCAGTTGTGGAAGTTGCTGTCAACTTCTGTTTGGCCGACTTCCAAGAGAAGGTTGAAGGACCGTGAGAGAATGCAAAGCCTGAGATAGACTTCCTGTCGGGATCGTTTGCCCAATCGGCATCTGACCAGCCTCTCAGAAGCCGCGGAGAGGCCCCTGGTACATTTTGTGATAGACAATTGCCAGGTCCTTGGTGCCTTTGAGGTAGCTCAGAACATGATATGCTCTATCCATATGAATAGCTCTAGGGTCACTCGCATACTGAGCAAGCTTGCCTGTAGCGTAGGCAATGTCCGGACGGGCCGTCTGTGCAGCAAACTGTAGCTTGCCAAGAATGCTGCGATACAGCGATTGGTTAGCTGGACGAGCATCGAGGCCCTGTGGGAAATCAAGGCCATGTTTCTTGGGCAACGGTATCGACTTAGCTGTTTGATTACTCAATTTGAAAACCTCAATCATGTCAGCAATATAATGTTCCAGATCCAGAGATATTGTCCTGTCGGAGTCCTGGACTCTGATTCCCAAGAATTTGTTAACACCACCTTCATCTTTGATGGCAAAGTAACCAGATAGGCCCTTGAAAAAACGCTCGAATTCTCCCGGTACATTTGACGCCGTTAAGATGTCGTCAACATAAAGACCTATAATACTGAAGTCTTTGCCATTAATCTTGTAAAAGAGACAGGGTTCTTTCTTGGCAGCTTTGTAACCTAGTGCTTCCAACTTGTCAACAAGCTTCTTGTTCCAACACAGAGGGGCTTGCTTCAGTCCATATAAGCTTTTATTCAGCTTCCAGACCATGCCAGGAGGGGTATTATGGTCAATTCCTGTTGGTGGCTTGACATAGATGTCTTCTTCTAGATCTCCATTCAAGAAAGCATTTTTAACATCGACGTGGTGCATCTCGCAGTTCTTCGCCGCACTTAGGGCGAAAATGAGACGAACAGTGCTGAATCTCATCACTGGCGCAAAGGTGTCAACATAGTCAACACCAAACTTCTGACGAAACCCCTGAACAACAAGACGAGCCTTGTACTTGTCAATTGAACCATCCTGTTGGAATATATGTCATGGTACTATCGTGTATTTCAACATTATCCCATAATATTTTTTTTTCCCAATTACACTCTCTACATTGTTACATTATTCACTAGCAACTACTAGCCCATTACCATTGGAGTTACAATAATTGTTACAATCAAGACTCCCTATTGCTAAAGAAAATTTTCAAGATGTTCTTTTAAATTTTCTTCATTACAGAAACCTTTCTTGTTTTCTTTCTCTTCTTTTCTCGCTACTCTAAATTTACGCAAAACTGTTTTTATTAAATACTCTTTCAGCTTTCAGCTTATCAATCGTATTTACTTATTAACTCTTGCTTTTAGGTATGATAGCGAACTTTTATTATTTTATTATTTTATTATTTTATTATTTTATTATTTTATTATTTTTATCATTTTATATAATTCTTATATATACTCTAAATTTACGCAAAACTGTTTTTATTAAATACTCTTTCAGCTTTCAGCTTATCAATCGTATTTACTTATTAACTCTTGCTTTTAGTCTTCTCCGCTATGTCTAATCACGGAAACACTACAGGAGTCAATGAAGGACCCTCATCCTTCGAGTCAGCCAGCACTGGAAGTTCTGTTGCCCACTCAACATCTGAGACCCATTCAAAGAACAACGCCAGCTCTTATGAGACATTCGCCGATCTCCCTGTTCATCGTCAAATTGATCTCGCTGACCGTTCTGGATTTACCGTTAGACAATTAACCATTGCCAACATACCAGTTTGTTCCGAAGGATGTGAAGCTGAATTAAAAGTCTTAGCAGACTTGACAGCTTACATTAGAAACTCAAACTTCAAAGCTAGTCCTCCCCCATCTCAAAACATCCGTGTTGAGTTTCTTCTTCAGCACCCATTTGGTGCCAAGGGCTTTGCGACCCGCCGGGAGGGGCACAACTTGGTAGACATGATTTCCATCAATGGCAGCAAATTCCGAATAGGCCGCATCAAACCAGAAGCGCTTATCTTCTCTGTTGTTGGCTTCCGCAAGTGACCGTGGGTCCCTTTTTAGCTTCTTGCCAGGGTCGAGCAGTGCCACTCCCACATTCGGAAATCGAATGAAGGCAGGGCGATCCTTAAGATCGGCCCAATCTCTGTCGCTGATAAGAGCTCTAACATTTTCCACATCAGGAGCCGTAAAGTAGAGACCTGGTTTGCTAGATTCTGACACTTTGATGTCATTTCTCAAAATTGGAAGCTTAATGTTAATAGCGTTGAGTGTGTCAAGTCTTCCAGACGCCATGCGGGCTTTCACAGTTGGTTCTTCAGAGTTCGAGTAGATGCAGCCAATGCCAATGACATCGTCGGCAGCCCCGGCAGACGGATCTCCTGATGGGCTTGCCGATTCATCAACAAAAATAATTTCATCATCAGCAGGCGAAGAAACAAAAGTTTCATGTAAGAAATCAATGCCGTCAGCTAAGTGTTCTGATGAGCCCTGGGAGTCAGAATTGTAGGGTGCTGCGGTTAAGATTTCATCGCTTGTAGCCTCAACTTCAATTTCGGGTGTGGAGGCGGGAGAGTGGGACGGCGAGTCAGTGCTAACGACTGAGTCTTCATCCACTGATGTTGAAGTAGTAGGGACATTGTGTGTTGCCGAGTGAGTGTGAGAAAGAAAGGGAACTGCATCGGGAGTGGGGTTGAATCTAAGATCCGGTGTACCCTGGAGGTGGCCGTGTGGGGCTCTCAGTGTTGAACGCTCACGAGGTGGCAAGCCATGTAGCAGTGACCTAGGTTCCGAGTCCAAAGCTGACTCAGAGTTCGAGAGTTTCAGTTTATCACTGTGCCGATCAGAGGAGCGAGAGCCCCAAAGTAAGCCCGATGCTGTAGTGGTTGGGCTTGCAGAACGATTTCTTTTCGCAGATTTCTTAAAGCTCCTAAGTCGATTCTTGAGATGGCTTCAGCCGCGCTGCGTAAGATATTGCGTTGTGCTATTGACAGCATGCGATTCGAAGACGAGGGAGGAGTGGTTTGATGATCACGACGAGAAGAAGAGCTGTCTAATGTGGGAGACGTCACAGCAGAGGAGGTTGGCGAAGTAACCACTGGCACCGAATGTGCAGATGATTCCGAGGACAAAGAAGCAGGAGTAGAAGGTGTTGTAGGAGAATCATTCGTGGCTTCATTTTCCAATCTTGGTGAAGAGCTTGAAGTCGAATTTTCTGAGGATACTTTCTGTAATAAATTAGTAGCCGAAGAAAAATTTTTAGATTGTGTGGTGGTGGAGAAAATTTTATTTTTCAAAGCCGCGCCACTTACTAGTGGAAGGTTATCAGTAGGCCGGGTAATTAAATTTGTGCGATTTAAAATTAATGAAGAATTTTCTTTTCGCGCCAGCCGCTGAAGTGCACTGTTAGGAACATAATAGCCATTTTGCTCAATCAAATCAGCCAATCTTTTGTTAACAACAACTGTGTCCCGAGAAGCTTCTCGATGACGGTGTCTGGACGACGGAGCAGGCACTTTCGCAGCACCCGCAGCACCCGCAGCAGACCTAGTAATTCTTTCAGTATCAGCAAGAGGCTGTTGGGCTTCTGCCGGAGCAGAGTGTTGGCTTGCTTGTCGAACAGCTACTTGCCCAGCAGTTTGCGAATCATGTTCAGAAGAAGAAGGAGGAGCTGCCAACAACAACCGTCTCGAAGGTGGAGCCGGAAGTAGCATATGTCGATTTTGTTGCACGGAGCTGTGCTGCACGTCGCTTGCATTGTCCCCAAAGCTTGTAGCGTCCCCTGCTCGCCCATACTCTAGCAGGAGCCTCTGAGTAGATGGTGCAGGCGGTAAGCGTGGGCGATCATTCACAGCAGAGTCTCTCAGTTCACTGCCACTTCCAGATGCAGCAGTAGTAACAGTATCAGAACCACCAGCTCCCAGCAACAGCCTCTCAGAGGAGGGCGCTGGGGGTAGCTCCGGTAGCTCCTGCCGTATTCCTGAGGAGCCAGCCACTTGGCTCCGCCTACCGGCATGTAAACGACGATTTTCTGGCTGACCAGCACGTTCCAGCGCAGATTTTAATCTCGCTAAATTTAGATGCCTCTTCCTACTACTGCCCACCTCAGCCATTCTGGCAGACCGATTTGCTGACGTCGTATTTTGTACTAGCTCGGTGGTGGCCCGTACAAGTTCCGCCGCCGCCAAAACCAGTTGATTGCTGGCAGGATTATTTGTGCTTGTAGCAGTACCTTGAGTGTCACCTAAAACTTGCGGCACCCCGACATCTCTCGCAGGAGCTTCCTCCAACTTAGTAGAGGAATCCATGACAACGTCGCTAGACGAAGATTCAGAATCTGATGAGTCTTCCAATTCGTCGAAACCCAGTATATGTTCCACAGACCCATCCATGTCTTCATCATTGGTTTCTGAGTCAACCGCATCCTGATTGTCATCACCAGATTGGCTAGCGGTTTCAACAGCTGAAGCCTTGCGGATAAGTTCAGCAGTTCCAGACAGCGCAAGATCCACACTGTCATCCTCATCCAAAATGTGTAGCTGTTTGGGAAGAGTCACCGGACTTGTTTGATGAGCCATCACTGAGGGCGACTGAGTTCCTGGAGCAAAGGCTTTCTGGAGCTTTACCATATGTTCAGAAAATGAATTTTCGTGAGAAAAATCTTCGTTAGTATCTTCGGAGCCAGGGCGACCAGCTACGTTGGAGTTCACCGATCTCAAATCAGCATCATCAACAGCAGAATCTTCGAGCAATATATGGTCCTCAGACTGAAGTGTATCTTTGTCGTCAACAACACTAATTGATTCATCTGCAACCAGCTCCACATCATCATCTTCCAACGGTTGAAAAGAGTTTTCAGTTATAGGTGTCGGTGGTGTAGAAGTAGAATCCTGGTCCTCCAATCTGCTGGATCTGTGGCTCCTTCCCTCAGAGCCCACATAGGTCCAGCCAAAGTTACCACCACCACCACCACCAGAGAGTGAAGTGGGAGAGTAGTCGTCAGAGTCAGATTCATCTTCACTTTCTGATTCATCAGTGGAAGAGTCACTGTAGTCAGGGTCACGATTTCCAACCTCACTGTAGTCAATGAGAATGTCACCCTCGTAAATTGGCTTTTCGCCAAAAAATTTAACGCCAGGCAAGACATGGTCACGAAAGTTGCCGTGTACACAGCGCCGAATGCGCTTGTTCCTCGTAATGCATAGAAAATTCTTAGGATTTAACGGGTCGGGACCCAAATACAGAGCAGGCTCGCCCCGAGGCTGAAGGGTCCCTTTGAGTTTCTGAGACTCAGATTTAATGACAAAAACTAGGCAGCCAAATGTGTGCACTAGTGCTATAGGTGGTTTTCTGCCCGTAAAGGCTTCATAAGGTGATATACCGGCTTTATTAACTATGGAGAAATTATATACCTGCACAGCGTAGAGCCAGGCAGAGTCCCAGTAGATATTGGCCCAGAGTGTCGACTGCATCAAGGCTCTAGTAGATATCTCACGAAGTGTGCGGTGGGCACGCTCAATTTTTCCATTTTGTTGGTGTTCATCAGGAGCAGTTAAAATATGAATGACGCCCCAGTCTGCTAAAAATTTTCCAAGTGTGCCAGAGATAAATTCACCACCATTGTCAGTAATAAGCTTGGTGGCCTTGCCGTCAGCAGCACGGCGAGCAGCTTTGGGCACAAACTGCTTAAAGAACTGGATAAGTTTCCCAGGAGCTTCATCCTTAGATTCCAGAGCAAAAGCATAGATGTAACTAGAAAATGCATCAATGATATTCAGCATGTACCTGGCCCCTGAAGAGGCAGGACCTATGGGACCGACGAGATCAGCATGAATCTGGGCTAACGGAGCCGTGGATTCAGAAGCTATATGCTTATCCGGAGAAGTGAACCGCTTAATGCTTCTTGACGTGCCACATATGACACAGTCCTTGATCAACTCTTCGTCACGCTTGGTCACCTCAAAGGGAGGATCAGCAAGCTTGGCTAAATGCTTCACCGAAGTCAAAGAGCAATGAGCAAACCGAACATGACAGTCAAGTGCCTGCGAATTCAACACGGCCTCCTTTGCAATAAATTTGAGAGACGGTGAGAGGACAGGAAGTCCCTTTCCAACAGCGAGCTGATTTATCAACCTTCCTCATAGCTTCTGGTCCTTGTCTGCAAATCTGATCCCAGTCAATTGAATTTCCTGAGAACTTGAAGGAGCCAGTTGGAGGTACGATATTCCTAGTAAACTTTACCGGAACAATGTTGGCACAAATGTGAGACTTGGCATCTCTGGCACCACCAACCCTACCAACCTTTTCCTCACCAAAATAGGCCAGACAGTCCCCACTTGGGACCGTATGAAAAGAAACATCGTGCGTGCGCCAGACAGAATCAGAAAACAAATTGCTAGACCCAGCAGGAAAATAAAGTGCGTCAGCAATATGGCAAATATTGGTGCCACCGTCACCTTTTAATACAACAGCAATTTTACCTTCCCCTTCTAACACGATGTCGGAACCACCATAGGAGCTGATGGTTTTGGGGCTGCTGTATTTCTCATACGACACAAAGTAGCTGTTGTCTGAGATAAGATGACCAGTAGCATTTCCAGAATCAAGAACATTTGGAAGATTTGTTTCACCCACAGAGGCGATTTGGTTGGCAGGTGGAAGAAAAGCAACTGGCGAATAATCACTGCTTCCGCCGTCATTATCAAATACGTCTTGGATAGCCCGAGCAACAGAGCAAAGAGTTTCAACATCGTCGCGAGCCACCTCAAGATATTCGGTAGCTTTCAAGGCAGCAACTCTGTTTTGACCATCAGAGTTCGACTTTCTAGCTTGCTTGTCTTCATTGTTGCGCCTCTTGTTGCTACCGGACCCCTTGGACCACTGCTTCCCTTTTTTTCCTTGCTTGGTATCAGAGTGGCCAGCTTTCTTCGAGGTTTCCTGCTTGGATTCCTGCTTGGGTTCTTGCTTGGGTTCCTGCTTTGGCACCACTTTGTTGAACCGTCAATAATTCTTCGACCTTTTACGAAGGCTGCTGAAGTTGCTTCAACTAGCGCTGGGATTTCAACTGAATCACAGGGGCTCCATCCTCCAGATCTTGACTTGAAAATGTCGACAAACTTGGTAATCCCCCAGAGATGACTCTGAGGATCTTCGCGAGCAGCTGCTGAAACCTTGTTGTTATTCAGTACTGCTAAGATAAGGTCACGGTGAAAGGTGCCATCCGGGTTGTTAAAGAAATATTGCTCCACTACAGAGGCCCACTTGGAAGCTTCAGTAACAGTAGCTTGTATTTTGGTTTCAATTTCACTGCTGGTGAGCCCGGAGAAATAACTAGGACCTGGAACTCCTACTGAGATAGCTTGCGTCATCGCAAATACAATGTTAAGCTCAGGGCTTGGGGATATGCGCAAACCAATATGATTAAGACGTTGGTAAAATGAGAGCACTCGCCCCAGGTCGGCGGGCTCTAGGATTTCGGGATCTATACGGGCCATTCTTTTTCCTGGTTCAAATAGGACCCCCATGGCTTCTTCCCGCACAGACGCCGAATCCATAGGTGGAGTTTTTAGAAACTCGGGCGACGTGTCCCACCGGGCCTGTTCAGCTGCAGCCAGGTTAGCTGCAGGCGTGGTTTTTAAAATGTAAACCTTGAGTAGTTCATCAAGGGCCCTCTCAAACCTGATACCGTAACCAAGCTGAAGGGCAGTATGGCCAACAATTGGCTTATAGATATAGTTGTTCCAAAAACTCCGGCCGCAGCTGTTAATTTGCCCAATAAGACCGTATATCCAAAAATCCAATTCACTTTTGTAGAGAAATTGTTTGAAATTTGGCGCTTGAGAAGCGTCAAAGGAGCTCATAACCTTTTGAGATGGGGGAGGACTAGCTTTGAAGTTTGAGTTTCTAATGTAAGCTGTCAAGTCTGCTAAGACTTTTAATTCAGCTTCACATCCTTCGGAACAAACTGGCACGTTGGCAATGGTTAATTGTCTAACGGTAAATCCAGAACGGTCAGCGAGATCAATTTGACGATGAACAGGGAGATCGGCGAATGTCTCATAAGAGCTGGCGTTGTTCTTTGAATGGGTCTCAGATGTTGAGTGGGCAACAGAACTTCCAGTGCTGGCTGACTCGAAGGATGAGGGTCCTTCATTGACTCCTGTAGTGTTTCCGTGATTAGACATAGCGGAGAAGACTAAAAGCAAGAGTTAATAAGTAAATACGATTGATAAGCTGAAAGCTGAAAGAGTATTTAATAAAAACAGTTTTGCGTAAATTTAGAGTATATATAAGAATTATATAAAATGATAAAAATAATAAAATAATAAAATAATAAAAGTTCGCTATCATACCTAAAAGCAAGAGTTAATAAGTAAATACGATTGATAAGCTGAAAGCTGAAAGAGTATTTAATAAAAACAGTTTTGCGTAAATTTAGAGTAGCATAAGAATTATATAAAATGATAAAAATAATAAAATAATAAAATAATAAAAGTTCGCTATCATACCTAAAAGCAAGAGTTAATAAGTAAATACGATTGATAAGCTGAAAGCTGAAAGAGTATTTAATAAAAACAGTTTTGCGTAAATTTAGAGTATATATAAGAATTATATAAAATGATAAAAATAATAAAATAATAAAATAATAAAATAATAAAATAATAAAAGTTCGCTATCATACCTAAAAGCAAGAGTTAATAAGTAAATACGATTGATAAGCTGAAAGCTGAAAGACTATTTAATAAAAACAGTTTTGCGTAAATTTAGAGTATATATAAGAATTATATAAAATGATAAAAATAATAAAATAATAAAATAATAAAATAATAAAATAATAAAAGTTCGCTATCATACCTAAAAGCAAGAGTTAATAAGTAAATACGATTGATAAGCTGAAAGCTGAAAGAGTATTTAATAAAAACAGTTTTGCGTAAATTTAGAGTAGCGAGAAAAAAAAGAAAAAAAAACAAGAAAGGTTTCTGTAATGAAGAAAATTTAAAGAGCATCTTGAAAAATTTTCTTTAGCAATAGGGAGTCTTGATTGTGACAATTATTGTAACTCCAATGGTAATGGGCTAGTAGTTGCTAGTGAATAATGTAACAATGTAAAGAGTGTAATTGGGAAAAAAAAAATATTATGGGATAATGTTGAAATACACGATAGTACCATGACATATATTCCAACAACTTTGCATAGTCTTGGGCATTTCTGAATGAAACCAATGCTGTTTGGGTAAATTGGTTTCTGCTAATGATTTTGGGTTCGGTATTCAAAACAATATGGTAATCATTAAAATTGTAGAGAGTTTCTTTCAAGTCTTCAATCGATGCCGTATTAGGTATTTCCTGAAGTACAGCCTTGTACCAAGAATCTGTGTCAAGCACTGAATAAGTAGGGTCAACTTTGGGGATCCATTGTGCAGCTTTATCAGCAAAATCTTTGTCATTAAGTTGAACATATAAATGCCCTTTGACAGTATAGCCTATTTCCTGAGCCACCGACTTTTGTGCAACCGCATCAATTTTCTTTCCAATCGCAGGGATATTAACTCTTTTCATGGTATCTGGAATTCTTATGCACACTCTAAAAGTGGGTTTATCGTCATCAACTTTAGTTTCACGGTGTTGTTTTTGAGCCTTCATAATGTCTTTCAACTTTGGAGTTGCTCCATTTGGCGTTTTAGGGGTCAAAGCAAAAGGCAAAGTGTCGACTTTTCTTACCGCGCTCTTGATTTCTTTTTTTGCGTAGCTAAGTTCTTTGGTAGTTAAATCAGCCTTAGTTGAAATAGTTCCAACTTTGTATTCCATATTATCAACTCTTTTTTCAAGATTGTTGGTCATTTCTTTGAATTCCTTGATTTCAGTGTCGATAATTCTTTTGTTTCTTGCTTTTTCTTGAGACAAATCTTGAAGAGTCATCTTAGCTATTTCATCAGCTTTATGTTTCACTTTATCGCAATGATCCTTATTATCCTTAACTTCCTTTTTGAGTTTTTCAAACATCACATGTTTAACTTCTGTGTGAACCTGATTGTTTCTCAAAACATCAAGTTCTGAGCGAAGAGAATTCACTTGTCCTTCTGAAGCTTTAAGCTTTTCGGTCAAAGCAATGAGTTGTTTAGCTAACTCATTGTTTTTAAGTTCAAGATTTTGAAATTTTATTTCCCAATCTTCAATTGTAATACTCAAGTCTTCTTTAACAATAGACAATTCAACCAGAAATACATCCTTAAGTTTTAAGATGTATTCCCAGGCTTCAGAATTATCACCAAATGGATTTGCATCCGGCATGAGAACATCCATGTCACGTGATGGTGTTGCGTCAATTTCAACATCACCACCATCTGGTGAAGAGTCAAAGGTAGGGTTCAAGGTTGGACCAACATTCACAATAGGGGTTTCAACGGGGGTTTCGTGGTTTGAAGAAGCGTTATGCTTATCATTCGATTCAAGCTTTTTGTGGATAGTTTCAATTTTTTTATGGGAGTCTGGTTTTTCATTATTTTTTTGGATTTTTGTCGAGGGTTTGATGTGATGAGCTTCATGAGAATGAGGTCCTCTGGAATGAGAACTTTCTTTCTCCTTCAGTTCAACAGCAATAATTTTTTGCATATCATTAATATTAGTCTGTTCATTATTATTGTCGGTATAATTATTGTCGGCAGGAGGGTCGCCGCCACTAAACGTGGTTTGGGTGTTGTTGGGGGGGTCTGACATTTTTTTTTTATATGTTTGTTTGTTTGTTTTTATTCAAGGGTTATAGAACTATATAACATCAGCATCTGCGCTATCCTTTTATTGTCTGACTATGTGACTTGCCGGTTTTCATTTGTACCTTTTTAGTACGGGTGGTTTCTGTTCTGTGCGTCTCCGGTAGCCCGGAAGATGGGCCCTGATGCCAGCTTACGAGGAACAGGGAGAACCAGTCTGTCGGTCCCAAAACCTTCCCAACCCATTTCCACTTATCTTCACGGACGCCCATGTATTTCTTAATCTCTTCCGTCAGAGATACGGCCCGCAATCACCTGCAGGCTATTTAGACTGTACGGAAGAGTCGGCATTCCTGTAACCAGGGTAGCCTATGGTTTTCAGTCTAGGTGTATACTCCCGTACACATCCTCAGGAAAAGGGGGTATTCTGGGAATCGAACCCAGTATCTTCCGCTTTCGAGCGAACGTGTTATCCTTTACACCATCCAGCCCTTTCCCCTTTTTTTTTTATATTAAACTATTAGCTTGGTTCTTTCTTTGGACAATCCGAGTTTACTCTTATACGATAACTCCATTACATATATATGTGCCTGCGTAGCCCAATGGTTAAGGCGTTAGACTTCTAATCTGAAGATTGTGGGTTCGAGTCCCACCGTGGGTGAATTATTTTTTTTGTTGAAGTATAGAAGTAATCCGTGCTACTGCTTTTCGCAATTAAGTGTTGGAATATATGTCATGGTACTATCGTGTATTTCAACATTATCCCATAATATTTTTTTTTCCCAATTACACTCTTTACATTGTTACATTATTCACTAGCAACTACTAGCCCATTACCATTGGAGTTACAATAATTGTCACAATCAAGACTCCCTATTGCTAAAGAAAATTTTCAAGATGCTCTTTTAAATTTTCTTCATTACAGAAACCTTTCTTGTTTTCTTTCTCTTCTTTCTCTCGCTACTCTAAATTTACGCAAAACTGTTTTTATTAAATACTCTTTCAGCTTTCAGCTTATCAATCGTATTTACTTATTAACTCTTGCTTTTAGGTATGATAGCGAACTTTTATTATTTTATTATTTTTATCATTTTATATAATTCTTATATATACTCTAAATTTACGCAAAACTGTTTTTATTAAATACTCTTTCAGCTTTCAGCTTATCAATCGTATTTACTTATTAACCCTTGCTTTTAGTCTTCTCCGCTATGTCTAATCACGGAAACACTACAGGAGTCAATGAAGGACCCTCATCCTTCGAGTCAGCCAGCACTGGAAGTTCTGTTGCCCACTCAACATCTGAGACCCACTCAAAGAACAACGCCAGCTCTTATGAGACATTCGCCGATCTCCCAGTTCATCGTCAAATTGATCTCGCTGACCGTTCTGGATTTACCGTTAGACAATTAACCATTGCCAACGTGCCAGTTTGTTCTGAAGGATGTGAAGCTGAATTAAAAGTCTTAGCAGACTTGACAACTTACATTAGAAACTCAAACTTCAAAGCTAGTCCTCCCCCATCTCAAAACGAAGTTTGAGCAATCCTCTTGGCTCAAATCTTTTCGGGCAGGAAATGCTCAACAAGAATTTGGATTGTTTCTTCCAATTAATTACCATGATCACTGGTCTCTTGTTTTTGTTTTTTGCAGTCCATCTGGTAATTGTTTTCAAGTTTTTGTCCATGATTCGGTTCATTTATTCAAAGACGACTTTTTTAAATTTTCGTCCCAAAAAACTCAGTTTTTTGATTTAGACGTCTTCTTATCAAACATTGACATACTTCGAAGCAAGATATTTAAAGAGAATGAAAATATTACTGAAACTCATGTTATCTCACAACATTTTTCTTTTGGAGATTTGAAGTTTGTACCGCTACACTTACAAAAGGACAGCGACAGTTGTGGCATTCAAATGGCCTTGAATGCTCAACGCATATGCTCAGCTTATCTATCATCATCTGGTGTATTAAATTGGCTAAAATCTGAACCTTCAGTACAACAGCTTTATGGTCAAGATTTACGTGTTTTTCGTCGTGAGCTTGTCTATGAGATAAATATGGAAGACTTTCCTGTTAATCCGTCTGGGAGAAGAAGAAGAAGGAGAACATCCAATCTTGACTATTCTGAGAATTTGACTTTATCTAATGAGTTTACTCAAGATTTTTTAAATACATATAACGAAGCTATTGCAGCTCTTTTTGTTGAAAGAAATGTTCTTTTATTTTATGATCAACTGAACCATCAAAAAATAGGAACAAGGAAAAGAGATATTTATGACAATCTGGAAGAATTGCCTGATAATTTTGAATGCTTTTATTGGGCCGATCGATTCAAATTTCAAACGTTATTAGTTAACTTTGATTTTTTTTTCATGCTTTTTCCTAATCTTTCAAAACGTTTTCAGCAGGGAAAACGTGACGAATTATCCATGTGGAGAAAAATTGTGGTAAAACATCTTCATATTCCTTCTTACTTATGGACTTACAAATTTGTTCAAAATCCCAATAAACAGTCTTACCTTGCAATGTATGATCATTGTTTCAGCTTAATGTCAGATAAACTTTTTTCACAATTTTTAGGAAAAGTTGATGGCGTACAAAACTATGATCCTATGTTGATTAAAGAACTACTGATTTCTCTTCCTAGAGGATTTTCTGACAGAAGAATTTCCAATGAAGAACTACGTTATCAACGTCAGCTTAAAATCGAAAACGAAGATTGTTTAGTAACAAGGCGTGGAGTGACTGAAGACAATGTAATGCGAAAAATAACTAAGGGAAAGCCAGATACTTTAATTATTAAACCAGAAGAGATTTTACCAGAGCTAAAAAAAATTACTTTACTAGGAATGAAGAAAGATGCCACAGATACATGGAATAACCGTATTTCTTCAGATTTCAACAAAAAGTATTATTATATTTCTAAAGAGCTTGTACGTTATATCTTTTTGAACAGAAGTAACCATAAATAGAATCAAAATATTGTTTAGGTAGCTAATTTTTTTCTAATCAATTATTTTTATTAAAAGAAATCAAATATATTATATAATTTATAAATTTAAGACTTTCCTTTTATTATCAATATTTAAAAAAATGTCATTAATGAAATTTTTATATATAAACATTTTTTTAGTCCGGAAAATCTTCCATCCCCAAAAATTTTTTACTCCTCCACTCCTAAAAACTTTTCACTGCTAATTTTTTTAGGGGCAACATACATTAAAAAAATGAATTATGAATATAAGCAAAGGGAAAAGGCTCGGAAGAAGGTTTTCACAAGAAAAAAAGGTCTAATTAGCTCAGAAATAAGTTAGTATTATGAATTTCTAATTTTTTAATTTAATTTAATATTTTATGTAAAGAAATTTGGTTGTGTATTGATTTGGTCGATCCGCCAAAAGAACATTATTCTTTGAAAGAAGTTTTATTGAACGCTTGCGATGACCCTCATTATTCCTCTGTTTGTGTCAACAAATGGCGGAATATATATACACCAAAGATGCTTTTGGAGCTTTGTGGCAAAGATTTTTTAAGTCCTTTGCAGGTTGAAGTTATGGACCAGTCAATCAGATTATTTATTGCTAACCAAACTGCAATTTTTGATCACATAAATACCTGGCTCTGCAGTCCAAATCATACCGCTGAATACCGTAAAAATGGGTCTTCAAAACAGACATTGGCCTTTGAGTGACATTGAAAGGGCAAAAAATTTTATTTGCTCTTTTAAAAGCCGCAGGTGAGCCATATGTTGGGTTTGAAAAGCGTGTTTTCTATAAAGATCTTGGAATTTATGAACCAGCAAAAATATTAGAATATTATTCTGAGCGATACAAAGTTAATAAAAATCGGATTACAAACATCAGTACACGATTGTTGACAACAAACGGCAAAAGTAATCAATTTTGTCATGGTTTTCAAACTGATGAAGAATGGAGAATTGATCAACTGAAGATGTGGGCTGCTAAAATTAAGGAAGGCTTACAACATGATCCTACTTTATTGATCGAAAGGCGAGAAGTGGCCAAAAAGCTGTTGAATTTTTCTGGAGATCAATCTGTCTTAGAATTAACTCGTCCAACTGATGTTTTTTTTGGAGCAGTGATTAAAAAACCCCACACACCAGAGGAGCTAGAAAAACGTAAAATGGCTACGATGTACTACACCATACTGGCAAATCTGGGTCCTGAAAATATTGAAATATCTTTTTCATCAATAGAAGAATCCGTTTATGGCTCTAAGGAAAAGTATTTTGACTCTACTGAGCATATTCGAAGTAAGTGAATTAGTCTTCAATGAATTTATAGTTATTAACATTAAATTTATAGGTTCAATTAACAAATTATTGGGGGAAGGAACTGATGGAGTTGAACCGACTTTTACAACTGACAGCCTTAATTTTTCTATTGAGGAAGAATTTCACCTTGACGATGATGAATCCAATGGCACTGACATTGACCTTAGTCTTAACAATAATATTAATAACGATGAAGATTGCTTGAGCGAAATTTTTGATAAAAACTTTTGTTTAAAAGAAGACGCAGTTGGTATCATTGAAAAGATTTCGGCTAATCACCAATCAACATTTTTGGAAAAAAACGATCCACAGGATATGGAAACAACAAAGTCAAGCGTCTGCGATACAGACAAATCTCATACTTTTGAACCCAAAACTTTTTCTGAAGATGAAGTTTCTGAGCTTTTGTCTTCAGTTGTTAAGATGATTCTTCTTCGTTCTAATAAGGCTTCTGATATTGGAAAGCTTCCAGCTAACAAAATTAAGAAAAGATATGCCAATGATTTTTGGACTAGAGAACCCCAGTTAAGAACTCTTCGCAAAGGTTTTCTTCAATACATCAAGGACGAAAAAAAATTGCAGGCACGTTTTTCTGTTCTTAATAATCTTTGTCTTATGTTTGAGTGTAATGAAAGTTTATCATTCAAACAAGCTTCTAAATTTATTTTAAGACTTTCAAAAGCTCATGGTCAATCTAGAACTTTTACTAAGGAGGTTCTGAGCAAGATAGAAAAAATTTGTTATTTGACTTTCCATACTGGAAAACTTGACCCAAAATCTAAGCCAGTTCTTGCTTTTACTAGCGATCCAAAAACAGCAAAAAAAGCAGGAATTCTGTCTAAAAAGAATAGTGCACTTAAAGGATGTCCCCGTGCAACACCTGGAGAAAATCTAAAAGAGTTGTTTCCTAATGCAAAATTTATTGATTTTCCCAATGTCAAAATGATACGTCGTGGTGACTGGACTACAGGTGATGAGGTTGTTTATTTTTGCGCAAATAGATGTATGGCCTTTACTGGTGCATACTATGATTTGGCTGAATGTATTCAGTGTGGCCATCCGCGTGATCCAATGTATCGATTTTATTATTTTTCACCTCGTGAAAAAGTCAGAGACTTTTTTGAAAATAAGATTTTGGCTAGGATAATGAAAGATGCACATAAGCGACAAAGTACTGACGGTTCAATAGAGGATTTTTTTGATGGAAAGCTTTATAAACTTCTTTCACAAAAAAAAATTCAAAACGCTCAATTAGGTGAAGATTATCAAGAAACTATATCGCTAAAGTATTTTGAAAATGAAACCGATTTAGCATTTATGATCTCATTTGATGGCGTACCTGTGGAGTTTGGAAATAATTCCTACAACATTGTCGTTGCCAGATGCTTAAATTTACCACCGGAAGAGCGCAATAAGCAGTCAAATTCAATAATATTAATGTCTTTTCCTTCTGGTGTTAATCCTATTGCTAAAAAAGAGAAATCCGCCGTAAAGGACTGGGACTCATTTTTTTTTCCCTTTCATTAAAGATAGTGCATTAGCCAGTACATTAGGGTACACCGTTCATGATGAGGACGAAGGGATCATGAGAACTGTTAGGCATCATTTTGTTTTATCTAGTACAGATATGCCGGCAAGCTGCGAGTTGTCGGGGTTGTGTGGGCACATATCTGAATCACCTTGCAGATATTGTCTTGATGTAAAAATATCTACACAGTTAGAGCCCACCCCAATATTGTTCCTCCTCCTACCTTAAGAAAAGGGTCGGCATCCAAGAAAAACTCAAAAATTAAATCAGCTTTCAGAGTCAACAAAAACAAATCTTCAAATCGAGTTAAAGGTTTGGTTTCATATAAAAATCCTACTTTGATTTTGCCTAAAACTCAGACATCTCAGGACTCCAAACCTCGTGATATTAAGTGGTATAATAAGATTTATAGAGAAGTCTTAAATGAGGAAGCAAAAGCTGCCCCAGATCGCAACAAATTCACTAAACAGGGGTTAAGCCGAATTTCAACGATATTCTGTTTAGGGTCAATGGTACCTGATATGTCATTCCCTGCCTGATTTCATGCATTTATCGTATGCAAATGTTGGAAGTAAACTTGTAAATACTATTATTTATGGTAAAGACGGCCCTTATAAGTTTAAATCAAAAGCAGAGGATTCTATTGTCAAGTTTATAGAAAGTCTGAATACATTAGACTACTCATTTCTTCAAAGAAAGTTTGATATTGGTGCTATAAAGAAGGATTTAAAACTTCACATTCAGTGAAGTTTAAAGCAAAAGCAAGTCAAACAACTTCTTTCTATTTTGTTTGGAATTGTTATGAAGTCTCAATATGAAATTGAGTGTCTTGAATACCTGGTTCTTGTCACAGAAATGGTGCATCTTTTAAGATTACTTTCCTTGCCAAGATTTTTCCGCAAACTTACTGAAAAGGTTAGAACTTGGAATTGATCCTTTTCTTAACTTTTTTGAAAATCTTTATTTAAGAGATATTGAAAATCTAAACTTTTTGACATTGCCTTTGCACACATTGCGGCATATGGCCCAGGTGATTCAAGAAGTTGGTCCAGTTAGAGCGATATGGTGTTTCGCAACTGAAAGATCTTGCGGTATATTGAGAACTCAAATAAAATACGGAAAGGCCCCTCATCTTACTCTTTCCAATCGTTATATTTATCAATCAATACTTAACAGTCTTTCCGGATCAGTATGCGAATTTTCAATTGGTGCCAAGTTGCCTAGGAACCTCAAATATAAGCCACAAACTGAGCTAGAAATAACAAGGCAAATTGAAGTTACTGAAATGATCATGAAATATCTTGAAAATGATGAGCGAAGTCTGGAAGCTTGTGGTGGATCCCATAATATTAAGGCTAAGTTTTACAAAAGGATCCTTTTTTTTCAAAGAGACCTTTCTGCGTACATTAACAAGTATGCACGGATCAAAAATAAAAACAACTCTTCTAGTCATGTAATGATTGAAGATATTGTTGAAATTGACTCTTTGGGTCCAGGAATTCCCACCAAGTTTGCTGTGGTAAAGGAATTTCAAATTGGTGTTGTGAAGCCTCGCAATTACAAACTGCAATTTTTTGGAAACAGTGATAATAATAGTGGCTATTCGATTATTGGTTATTATATTGACAATAAAGACTTTGTTCGTGAGCCTTCAAAATTTTTTTCACCACTCTCTCGTGTTATCGAAGTTAGAGATGTTATATGCCCAGTTTGGCCCATTAATGATGGAGAGTTATCGATATTTGTAGATCCATCATTTGTGGAAGAATACAAAAGAAGCGATGGTACAATAGCCAGAATTGAGGAATATGATGATGAGGAGGATTTCAATCATGTTTGTAAGCAGTACACGAATATTTAATTGGTTTAAATATATACTTGAAATTATTTATAAATTTTATACTTGAATTATTTATAAATTTTATTTCCTATTTTGAAATGTCTGTGTGGGGGTTTCTAAAGGAAAAGAAAGTCTTCTAAGAAACCGTTTCATTGCATTTGTGAAGTGGAGAATTAAATTACGTTTTCCCAATTTTTAAAAAATATTAAGGAGACTTGTTTAGTTGATATCAAAAAGCTGAAGAGATATTTAGTACTTTCTTAAATATTTGAAATATTTGAAATGGACGTTTTTTTAAACGTTGAGAAAGAAGTGAAATTATCAATTGGACTTTAACACGGTAAACTAAATTCTGCGATTTTCGTGTTCTTTTGTTGATGTTATGTTGTCTATCAGAAAGATGAGAGCCGAAAGTACGTGTTGTTGACGTTAACAAAACAAATTTGGGCGCCACCTCTTCTTTACGTAAAGATGTAGTTGAATTTTTTTTAATCTTATAGTTGAGATGAAAGAAAAAACTTTGGAAAAAATTTAAAGTCACAAAATCTAAAAAATTTTTTCTTAACATTTTTAAAAACAACAACAAATTTCCTTTATGTTAAAAATTTAGGAAAAACAACAACAACAAAAAAATTTCTCAACTTTCTTAATGTTGGGGAATTTCAGTTCCATTAATAAAATCTTTCTTGTTCAACATTAACAACAACAAAAACATCCCACTATTCATATCACCAACACAACAGCACAAGCACCTTTTTCTCACTGAAGCTAAATCAACAAAACGTCAAAAAAAAAATTTTTTTTTTCAACATTGACAACCACCACGAAATTCCATCTTATTATCGTCAACTAAACAAACAGCCACGCCACCCATTTCTGAATGATGTCAAGGTTATCAGTGATGCCACACAAATATATGGTTTCTCAACTTAAAAAATCTACTTTCATTTTACGCTTTGCCAGTGTTTAGAAAAACCATTTACAACCCCAAACGAATTTCCCATGTATCTAAAAGGACTTTAATTATCTGATAAAAATTATTATTAAATTAAAAATTTTTTTTCATTACATTTTTGGTTGTGACGCCGATACTGCCAGATGATCTACCAGATATTAATTTAAAGCTCTTCTTTTCAATGATAAGCTTTAAGATTTTTTAGCTGACTTAGTACGCCTGTTTTTCTCATCCTCAGACTTTGAGTTGCCCAATGGCCTCTGCATCTGTCTCAAACCCACTGACCAAGCGATACTTTTTATGAACAATGATATCAAAAAAAAGGAGTCTTTCCTGAATTTATTTTGCATATTAATAAATGACAAGCCTGTTTAGTAGCGAAGCACTATATCACCATAAGTGAACCTACTTCTCAAATGTCATTAACCATATGACCCAGTGAATGTATTGGTAAAGTTATAAACTATAAGTTTTTAGTATCCTTTAAATAGACTTCCTCAAAACAACTTCATAGTCTTGCATTTAATGTTCAAGTATTTTCAATAGATTTTTCTGAAATTTTAGGTAGAGAGCTAGCCGAGAAGTTGTACAAGTCAAGTAATAAGACATAAATAATCAAAATCATTATATTTATAAATAGACTTAAGTCTATTGTAATGTTATCAAGCTTAATAACATTACCAAAATAAAAGGGAAATGATCTTTTTGGTTTGGCTGAGCTTAACTGGTAAAAAAGTTTTAAATCCTTCAAATCCTTCTGTCATGCTGAACTTCCTTTCAACAAAACTATAGTTTCAGTTTAGCTATAGCTATCATTATTAAAACTCTCAAAAAAGAATCTGACAATTGATTCCTGAGTCCTAGACTTGTAAAGATCTAGGCAATCTTTACCATAAAATATCTCACCTTAAATCTGAAATGGCTATTTGAGTCCTTTTTCTTAACCTTGAGAAAGCAATTCATCTAATATCTTTCGCATTGCTGACAAAGCAACTTAAGAAAATGATCAACCTGTTTCAAAAAAAAAAACCAAACAAAAAACAAACTTCTTGAAAATGGTGTTTTTGGGAGAATATAGTAAAATAAATGAATATAATAGAAAATATTTAATTGTCATTAGTTTTCCCTTTAAATTTACAAAAAAAAAGTTTTTATTCTTATATTTTTCTTAGATTTTCTTTTAAAAACCCCCTACGCAAAATGGTATACTAAGCTCCACGTCCAGCACACTTCTAACAGCAACATCAAGTCTTCTAACTAAATGATCTTTTTTTCTTAAGAATTTGAATTTATTTTTTGCAACTTGCTGTTTTCCAAATAAATTTCTCATTAAATATTGCTCTAGGAAAATTTGCAATTAACTTTTTTTAATTGACACAAGATCAATACTTTCCAAAAAATTCTAAGAAAAGTTTTTGTCTGGAATAAGTTTGATACAATGATCATAAATGATATTTATCTTAACTTGGCTTGATCGTCAAAATTGAAAATTAACTTCAAAGAAGAAATAGGGAGCTCTTTAATTACAATTTCTCTTTACATAGTTTTCTTTTTTTTTATTTTCCTTCTTGGATTATCTTGGAAATATTTGAATAAAGCTCGAAGTAGTCAAAATTAATTAATGTTGTTTGAAATTTGAACCTGGTAAACAAATAAGAACAAAAATCATTATTAGCCAATACCTCAATATGAATAAGATTGGTAACTTGTTTGGTTTAATTTATATTATGATCCAATATATCAAAATTATTAAAACATTTCTCCACAAAGATTATGCTCCAGAATTTCCATTATAAGTTGTTAAGTTTCGAGTTGAAAAGGATGTTACAGCTGTAAATGTGGAGAGTTGGAAACAGTTCATCACAATTTGGTTAAGTGTCCTTTGCTTGAAGAAGAAAGCAAAGGATTAAAACGGATATCTCCAGAAATGGACATGTCGACTCTCAAGCAGTTTAATTGGCTTGATTGTAAGATGTATCTATGCTTGAAGGGATTAAGAAATACAATTACAGCGTTGATGAAGACAAGTGGAAATAAGTTGGGAAGGTTTGGCTTTTTTGCTTCCCCCCTCCTGTTCCTCTTAAGCTCCTCTTAAGCTGGTATCAGGACTTATTTTCGGTCAGCTGAAGATGATGATGTTATATAATTCTATATCCCTCGAATAAAGACAAACATTAAAATTATAAATTTTAAATTCAATGGTTAATACTAACTTACTCAAATATTCAATAGAAGTAGCTTTCTTATTCCATTTTCTCCAGCATGGCCTAAAAGGAGAAACTTCCTATATCAAGTAAAACCTCAAATTGATAATCAATTTTTACCATAGGAGGGTTTACTTTGTAGCTAATTTAATATACCATCGATGGTATCAGATAATACATAAGCCCCATATATGCCCATATCATTTAAAGTTTTTTTAACCCCACAACTTTTATCACTATTTTGTATATGTAATTTTTAAACTTCAATCAATCATCAAAAGATAGAATTTTTGGTAATGATACAGTATCAGTAATAGGCCAGCATAGAACGTAATTTTTTTGTTTAAATACTCTAAGATTATATATATATATATATATATATATATATATAGCTTGTAGACCCTTAAATTAAAATACGGGCTCTTTTGAGATACCACTTCAAAAAAGATTCCTTAGATCTATGAGCAGACTCATGTAAAAAATAATTTGAAAGAAATCATTAATTTGACTGTACAAAACAAATGCGAAAGCTAAAGAACAGTGATACTCATAATTAATTAAAATAAATAAATTGGCCTCTTGGTTAGCGTTTTCTGTTTGAAAGGATTGGAAACATGAAAATAGAGAGTTCAAACATGGTTTCAAAATATTTCAAAAAACCATTATTGTATAAAAATATTGATGGAAAAAATACAAAACGAAGAGACCAGGATCAGAAAAAAATAACTTTTTTTTATTACAACTCAAATAACACTATGTTAGAGGTATTTTTCTTTTGCTCAATATCTACTTGAGATAGTTCTATGGCCCTCCCAATAGGGGAATTTCAAGAACCACAACACGTTCAAGTTACTGTCTTTTGGTGACCCCTCACTGTTAGATCAATTTTATTTTTAAAATGAACTTAATATTAGTTTTGTCTATTTTTCAAACTTCAGCATTCTAGCATTCTAACATTCTAACATTCCCGTTTGTGCTGAAGCCTGTGAATTAAAATTGAAAGTCACGGAATATTTAATTACCAAGTTTTGTAAATCAACTTAATAGCTAATCCTCCATTTTCACAAAATTACATTGACTTTAATTTTCTATTGACTGCCACTTTATGAAACCAGTAATTTCTGCAAAAAGAATAATTAGGTCTTTCACGTCTAAAGATTTTATTAGCGGATTCCTAACAGAACAAGCTTACCAAAAAAAAACAACATCAGCATTCACTAGCCTTCACAGCTAGCATAATAAATTATGTAATTTCAATATGATATGAAAAAAAAAACTATAAATAGGCAGGAATTTTCTCTTCTGCTTTAATTCTCTTTTCTTCTTACATATTTTTCAACCAAATTTTTTATTGTCAAGAAATGAAAGTGGCTATCAAACTATAATTAATATTAATTGGCCATAGGTGACAATGATTATGAATTATTAATTAAACAGACATTCCACTATGGATAACTACGATTTTGATACCAGCATAAATATCGGAAATTCAGCTTTAAAAAGTGGCGATCCATTTGAAAAGGGAGATGTTATTGAAGTAAGTAGATGTGTTCATACATGCCTATGTTTATATACTAAATAACTGGCAGAGTTTAGGAAATGGGTTTAGGGCAGTTGAAATAATTACAGCAAAAAATTTATATACCATTCATAACCATAGCGCTAATGATGACACGATTTTACAGAAACTGGTGAAAGTGTGAAAAAGACGACGAAAACGACAAAGACAGCAAAGATGATAAAACAGTAAGCAAGCATTAATATATTTCAGCACTAACTATTTAGAAGTCCCGTCGAAACGCAAGCCTCCAAGAAGCCCTGTCGAAATCCCTTTTAACGCTACCACGCTGAAAAGCTCCGTCAAAAAAATTCCAAACCCTAACCCTTTAATAAGAAGCTTTGTTGAAAAATTTTTAACCCTAACCCTTTGGAAGCACTTAATACTCGAGTTCCAGTCTTTTTTTATTGGATATCTTTGATTTAGTATCAAGATTCTTTTCTATTGGATGCTTTTGATTAGTATCATTAATATGTAATATTTATAAGTTTTTATGTAATATGTAAATTGTAATAAAAATTTCAAATTCCCTTTTAATTTTGATTTCAATTCAGATTTTTGGCATTATTATGAAAGTTGCGTTGGTTACACCTTTGGGATTTTTCGCACTTTTTCCCCTAGTAAAGTGGTGGTTTACTAAACAAATAGACGTGGTAAATTTATTTTTTCCCCCACTATAAAAATTGCTTAATAAACATTTTTTTTTTTTATTTAACACACACACCTGGTAAATTTAATATTTTCAGTGGTTAAATAAGCACACACACCTGGTTAAATAAGCACAACCACCTGGTAAATTTAATATTTTCTGTGGTCAAATAAGCACACACACCTGGTTAAATAAGCACAACCACCTGGTTAAATAAGCAAATTTAAATGTTTAATTCACCGCATATAATAAATTTAGAATTTTTGAAATTTTTGAAATTTTTTTAAAAAAATCCTTAAATTAAATTATAAATTACAGAATTATATATTTATATATATATAGCTTGGTAACAATGCCTCAAGCTTGTTCGTCAAGTGAGCATCATCATTAGTTCTTCTCTGTAGTAACGCGTCAAGCTTGTTCGTCAAGCGAGCATCATCATTAGTTCTTCTCTGTAGTAACGCGTCAAGCTTGTTCGTCAAGCGAGCATCATCATTAGTTCTTCCAAGTTACAACGCTTCAAGCTTGTTCGTCAAGCGAGCATCATCATTAGTTCCTCTTAGTATTAATGCCTCAAGCTTGTCCTTCAAGCGAGCATCATTGTTCGTTCTTCTCAGTATCAACGCGTCAACTTGTTTAAGTGAGCATCATCGGTTATTCTTCTAAGTATCAACGCGTCAACTTGGTTAAGTGAGCATCATCTTTCTTTTTTCTAAGTATCAATGCATCAAACTTATTCGTCAAGTGAGCATCATCGTTCTTTCCTCCAAGTATAAACGCGTCAAAATCGTTTGTCGCCAGCAAGTGAGCCATCTTCATAGTTGTAAAACTATTTTAAGTTGTTAATATTATGACCTTTTCTGAAAAAAAAAAAAAAAAAAAAAAAAAAAGATTTATAGTACTTTAAACTTCTGAAATTTCCATATCTTATAAGGCGAATTGTATTAGAAAAAAAAAAAAAAAGTGATGTGTTGAAAGAAAAGAAAAAGGTGAAGAGCAGCTTTTTTTATACTTTTTTTTTAAAGATTTAATATAAAGAGAATTCTTATTGGCTGAGGAAAGAAATATGCACTGTGGTAAAAATGTACTTTAAGTCTAATTGGCTCTATCATAATTTTGTTATATTAGTAATCATTGTTCTTATGGAAATATCTTATTGTTATGTTTGATAAATAGTTTAAATATGTCTATTTTGTTGTAAGAAACTAGAAATTAAAATATTATTTCATCTATTATTTCCAACTTAACAATCAATTTATTTTTTTATATCTATATATATATATATATATTCATCATATTAACAATAAATAAAAGATAAAAGATCTACCCTATAACACACTCCAATCAACATATAAACTTATGGTTACATAATGATTGATTAAGGCTCAACAAAACTTAGTCCTGCTGAAGCTGTTGACAAAACCAATTATCCGTATTATATATTTTATATATATACTTATCTATTTTCTAGTAATAATGCCCCGGAATTTATTTAGTACTTGGACACGGACTTAAAGGAGCAGTCAACGTATGGAAATTCAGATTCTATATTTGGGCCATCTTTGTCAGATGTAAATTACATCATGATGTATTTTATTTATGTGGTATGTGCTTGTGAATTGGAGGAAAATGATTAAGAAAGAACTTGTGGTTTGGATATGGGATATTATCTTTTAAAAAAGATAGAGGACGTATTACTAGTAAGACATAATAAAAATTTAGATATAAAATAGATATAAAATAGATATAAAATAGATATAAAATAGATATAAAATAGATATAAAATAAATATAAATATAAATTAAATATAAAATAAATATAAATATAAAATAAATATAAATTAAATATAAATATAAAATAAATATAAAATAAATATAAAATAAATATTGAGTTTTAAAAAAGAATATATATTTTTACTACAGTTTCAGTCATAGCATTTTTATTTTTATATATTTATATTTGAATTTATATTATTATTGTTAGATAAAAAAAAATAATAATAAATAGAAAAATAAATGTCAGTGTGCTGGGAAATAAGTGTTTTGGTGTTGGGAAAAACAAAAAATAAATAAATAAATAAATTTATTTTAAATAAATTTTAATAAAAAAATAAATTTAAATAAAAAAAATAGAAAAATAAAAAAAAAAATTCATTTGTGTGGGAAAAAATAAATATTTTTGTTGATTTTTAATAAAAAATATTAAAAAATAATAATAAAAAAAAGATGCTTATTTAACCACGTCAAATGTTTATTTCACCAGATGAAAATAAATAATGTGCTTATTTAACCAGGTGGGTTGGGTTATATAACCAGGACTCCAAAAGCTCCAGAGTAAAAATTTCATTTTGTGTGGTGGGAGTCACTTTTTGTTAGTGAAAAATCCCAAAGGTGTTAGTAAATATCAGCTATATTAAAGTTGCGTTGGTTGGTAAAAATCAGCCATGTCAATGTTGTGTTGAGAGAGAAGTGTTAGCCATGTCAATGTTGTGTTGGCAGCGGTTTCACCTTCTTATCAACATTGTTAACTCTGTCGTCAACCGCTTTTTTTATTTATAAAAAATTGCACTTTAATTGGTGTTCTGGTTGTTGAAATGGCTGTCCAAACTCCTTTATACACAACATTCACAAGAAAATTAATTTCATATTGAAAATACACGGTTTCCACTTGGAATGGGTTTTTTTTAATATTAACAAAATCAATAGTCTAGTTGTAATCTATATCATCATATTACTCATATAAATCATTTTCATCTCTAATAATTGGGTTTAAGAGTCTATTTTTGACGGTTGTTGTTGTCGTGACATGGGTGTGACTGACTATTGAATGGAAACTTAATCAATTTTTAAACAAATTTAATAGCCTAGTCTTTGTTTAAATCATCATATCACCCTTGTTTATGATTCACATCCTTGAGAATTGGGCTTAAGGGTCTCATTTTGACTTTTTTTGTCGTCGTGAAATGGGTGCCAAAAGTCAAAAAGTGAATTTTTTCAATTTTTAAATAAATTAATAGTCTAGTCTTCATTTAAATCATTATATTAATCTTATATATCAATTTCATCATTAATAATTGAGTTTAAGGGTCTATTCTTGACGTTTGTTGTCGTCGTGAATTGGGTGCGATTTTGGTCCAAAGCTGCTTTGTCAGCGATGAAAAGATTGGGTGAAATCAGCCATCTTAACGCTAAGAACAAATTCGCAAAATTACACTTTTAGGTTTTCCGTGTAACCTTGTTTTGGCTTTATTTAATATGATAAAGCAATTCAAAAAATTCTTTTCTTTTAGTTAAGAAAGCAGTGAAGGGAGGAATGTTTTCTATAATATGATAAAGCAATTCAAAAAATTCTTTTCTTTTAGTTAAGAAAGCAGTAAGGTGTGGAATGTTTTCTAAAAATTCAGAAAGCCATATACTTTAATATTATTTTCTGATTATTAATGTCATCCACCAAAATATGTATTTGTTTAAAATTACAAAACCTAAAACGAGAGGGTTTTCTGTCATAAAAACACCAAAACCGGAAGAAAAAGGTAGAGCCAGCTCGTTTTTTTGTTTACCGTGCTAGATAAAAGAAACTGGCCTCTAAGTGATATTGAAAAAGCAAAGATTTTGTTTGCGCTTTTAAAGGCCATTGGTGAACCATATCATGGACTTTCTACAAAAATAGTTTTTAAAGACCTTGGAATTTATGATCCGGGAAAGGTACTTGAATACTATAATGAGCGATACAAAATTAACAAAGATTCAGTTGCAAATATTGCCACACGCTTGTTATATGATGATAACGGGAAAAGTCAATTTCGTCATAATTTTAATACACCCGATGAATGGAGGATTGATCAACTAAAGAGATGGGCTGAGAATTTTAAGAATAGATTCAGCAATAAATATGATCCCGAACTCATAAAACAAACGCGGAATGAGGCTCTAAAATTTTTTTATTATTCTGGACGTCCCTTGAGTATTGATTTCAAAGCTTTGGAAAAATATGCTACAATATTATTGAAGGAAAACAAAACCGAAGAACAATTTGTTCACAGAAAAAAAATGGATTTGTTTTATCAACATTTGTCTGAAGCTGATCCCAAAGATTTGGATATACCTCTTAACATTTATTTATATGACTTTCTGAATGAACTTGAGAAAAATGGTGGAGGTAAGATTTAATATAAAATTTCTTAATGTTAATTAACATTTTTGATATAGATTCGTCGGAGAAACTCAGTGAAGAAAATATATTGGAAGATGATGATGATGATGATGAAGAAGAAGAAGGTAAGATCTAATAAAATTAAAAAATTCCATTTATTAATATTTTTGATATAGATTTGACGGAGAAACACAGCGAAGAAAATGTCTTGGAAGATGATGAAGAAGAAGAAGAAGAAAGAGAAGAAGGTAAGATCTAATAAAATTAAAAAATTCCATTTATTAACTTTTTAATTTAGATTTCACAGAGAAACTTAGCGAAGAAAATATCCTGGAAGATGATATACCGGATTTTGAACATCAAGATTCAGACTTTTTAAATCTTGACAAAATTTTTATTGAAGATGATGAGTTTTATGACAACATTGTTGATGAATACTTTAAACCACAAACAGTTTTTATCGAAAGTGACTCAACTACTACTCTGGCCGATTCTTCGGTAAAAACCAAGGCAAAAACTATTGAAAGCACTCAATCTAACTCTGATAGCGATACTTTCTTAAATACAGAGTCTGATCAAGCAGGTGATAGCCAAATTTCTGAGCTTTTATCTTCAGTCATTGAAATGATTGCTCTTCGAGATAAAAGATTGTCACATGTTCCCAGACTTTCCAATAAAATGAATTATGCTTCTGAAAAATGGATTGGAGAGCCCAAACTTAGAGGTCTTCGTCGAGAACTTATATCATATGTTAAGATTAATGAAAGTTTATCAGGTGGTATTTCAGTATTAAAAATGCTTCGTACATATTTTGAGTCTCACAGCAATGTTTCATTAAACCAGGCCATCAAATTTGCTACAACAGTTTTAGAACAGCAAAATTTGGATCCTGATTTTTATAAAACAGTGTTTTCCAAGATCAGGTATATATGTCATTTTACTTTTAAATCTGGAAAAGTTAATCCGAATTCGGAGCCTATCATTGCGTACACAAAATATAAAGATAAAGCCAAAGAAGCTGGAATTAGGTATACAAAGGCCAGTGCATTAAAAGGATTTCCAGAGCATAATAATAGAGAAAATCTCAAAGAACTTTTTCCCAAAGCTAAATTTGTTGAAAGTGATGGTGTAAAAATGTTACGCCGTGGTGACTGGTCTACAGGATTTGAAGTTGTTTATTTTTGCAGCAATAGATGCATGGCATTTACGGGTTCTAGTAGTGATTTGACAGAATGTGCCCAATGTGGGAAGGCTCGTGATCCGATGTATAGATATTTTTACTTCTCACCTCGTGAAAAAGTCAGAGATTTTTTTGAAAACACAGGCTTGTCTAGGGTCATTAAGGATGCCCACAAGCGACAAAAAAATGAAGGAGAAGTAGAAGACTTTTTTGATGGCCAACTTTATAAGCTTCTTTCACAGAGATGCATTCAAAACGCTCAATTAGGTGAAGATTATCAACAAAAAATATCTCTCAAATATTTTGAAAGTCCGTGGGATTTAGCTTTTTTGATATCATTTGATACTCCACCGGTGAAATCTGGCAACTCTTCTTATAATATAGTTGTTGCTCGATGCTTAAATCTACCTCCTGAGGAGCGTAATAAACCATCAAATACAATAACTTTGATGGCATTTCCCTCTGGAATTGATCTAGCTGCTAAAAAAGAAAAATCTGCAGTAAAAGATTGGGATTCATTTTTTTTCCCATTTATTAAGGACAGTGCATTAGCCAGCACACTAGGATATACGGTTTATGATGAGGACATAGGGGTCATGAAAACTGTAAGGCATCATTTTGTTTTATCAGTTGCAGATATGCCGGCTAGCTGTGAGTTGTCAGGGTTAAGTGGACACACGTCAGATTCTCCTTGCCGTTACTGTTTAGACGAGAAGATTACAGCAATAGTTTTTCCACCAGGGGAATCTATGGCACATATGCCAGAATCATCAGGTCCACTACCTCAAAGTTCAAAAAAAAATAAAAAATGGAGAGGGCCTGGACCCTATGGTGGAAGAGTCCATAAACAAATAAAAGGATTAGCGACATTCCGTCATAATAATTTACTCCTTTCCAAACCCCACACATATCAAAACTCAAAAGCTCGCAACATTGAGTGGTATAATACTATATTTAAAGACATTTTGAAGAATCCAACCAACTTAGTTTCAAACCGCTCGCAATTTACTAAACGAGGCTTAAGCAGAATTTCGACCATATTTTGTTTGGGTTCAATGGTGCCTGATATGTCGTTTCCGCCTGATTTAATGCATTTGTTGTATCCAAACATTGCGACTAAAATTATCAATACCATATTTTATGGTAAAGATGGCCCAGATATTTACAGGTCTGAAGCACTGGAATCAATTGTCAAATTTTTGGAGAGTTTCAATAATATTAGCTACAGTTTTGTTGAAAGGAAGTTCAACATGGCAGAGATAGCCGATGGGATTAAAACCTCTAAACCAGTTAGGCTTACAGCACACCAAACCAAAAAGATCCTTTCATTTTTATTTGGTATCGCTATGAAGTCAGATTTTAAATATAATAGTTATTTATATATTGTTACGGAGCTAGTGCAACTTCTTCGATTGCTCTCTTTGCCTAAATTTTCAGAAAATGTATTGAAAAGACTTGAAGATGGAATAGAAAGTTTTTTAAGGGTTTTTGAGGAAGTATATCTAAAGGACGCTAACAATCTAACTTTCCTGACTTTACCAATACATACGCTGCGTCATATGATTAAAGCCATTCGAGAGGTGGGTCCACTTAGGGCAATATGGTGCTTCCCTACTGAAAGAGCTTGCGCTGTATTAAGGTGGCAAATAAAGACGGGAAAGGCTCCTTTTTTTAACTCTTTCTTATCGATATGCTTATGAATCAATACTTCAAAATCTTAGTCCATCAAAGTATGCTTGGTCAGTAGGTTCGAGAAAGTTGCTGAAAATTTTGCGCGAACCAAAGTCTGAGGATGACAAAATCATACGTGAGAAGACAGTTGAAAATATCAATAAGCTTATCATTGAAGAGAAAATCTTTGAATTGCTATCAGGTGGAGCTTCAGGCAACAGAAGCATCAGCATCACAATCAAATTTTATGAAAAAATTAATTTTTTTCAGAGGCATTTGAATGCTTTTATTAAACAATATGCTCGTGTAAGAGATAAAGACAATTCATCTTATCATGTTATCATTGACGATATTATTGTAATAGACTTTTTGGGAAGCGGGGTTTCGGGACAATTTGTCTTGGTGAGAAGGTTTCTGCCGGGTGTTGTCGTACCCCGCGATTACAGGATGCAATTTTTTAATGACAGTAGCAATATCGGATATACGACAATTGGCTATTATATTGACAAGAAAGAATTCATCACCAACCCTGAAAGCTTTTTTGTGACTGATAGCCATTTGGTACTTGCAAGGGACATCATATGTCCAGTTTGGTTGATTAATGATGGCGATCTTTCTATAGTTGTTGATCCATCATTTGTGGAGGAATACCGGACAAAAGACGGTAAAGTTGTAAGGACTGAAGAGTATGATGATGAAGAGGATTATAATAATGTGTGTAAACCATATATGAACATTTAAATAGATCGGCATATAATATATTTAATAATAATTTTTATCAGATAATAAAAGTCCTTTTAGATACATGGGAAATTCATTTGGAGTTGCAAATGGTTTTTCTAAACACTGGTAAAGCGTAAAATGGAAGCAGATTTTTTAAATTGAGAAACCATATATTGGTGTGGCATCACTGATAACCTTGAAATCGCTCAGAAAAGGGTGGTGAAGTTGTTTTGTTGACGAAATAGAAAGTGGGATTTCGTGGTGGTTGTTAATGTTGAAAAAAAAAAAAAGTATTTTTTGACGTTTTGTTGATTTGGCTTCTGTGAAACAAAGGTAGTGTGGCTGTTGTGTTGACAATAATAAAATGGAATTTCGTTGCTGTTGTGAATGTTAACAAAACATATTTTATCAATGAAACTGAAATTCCTCAACATTAAGAAAGCTGAGAAATTTTTTTCATGTTGTTTTTCCTAATTTTTCAACAAAATAGAAATTTGTCGTTGTTTTGAAAAATGTTAAAAAAGAGATTTCAACGTTTTGTGACTTTAAATTTTTTCCCAAGTTTTCTCTTTCATCTCAACAATAAGATTAAAGAGATTTCGACTACATCTTTACGTAAAGAAGAGGTGGGAGCCAATTTTGTTTTGTTAACGTCAACAACTCGTACATTCGGCTCTCATCTCTCTGATGGACCACGCAAGATCAACAAAACAAAACAAAACAAAACAACACAAAAATTTCAAATTTGGGTTTACCGTGTTTGGGAATTTATTTATTTTTTAACTAGTAGTTTAACAATAACTTCTATTATTAGTTTAAAATTGAATTTTAAAACAAAGATTGGGTTACCTTAATTTTTTTCTTTTAAAAGCAACTCCATGTTACCTGTTAAACAATTGCACATTGTAATTTGGAATTCAAACAGTTATTTTTAATATATATTAATTGGTAAAAAAACATTGCAATTACTTTTTTTCTTGCCCTATTAAGTTTTCTCAAAGTATATTTTAGAGATTACTTTTTTAACCATATTATCACCGATATCCGAGGTCAAAAAAGAAATTAATAATAATAAGATATATTATAATAATTATTTATGATTTTTGTGATTTTTGTGATATCACAATGATGATCAATATGACAATTTTTTTTATATTTATGATGGCAATACTCATTCGGTCTTTGTCAATTGATTTGCATTATTGTAGTTTGTTAATTTTAAAAATTAAATTGAAATAGCTGATTTATCCTCCGCTTATTTTATTTCTGACACATTTACATTTAGGCAGAAATGGAAAAAATAAAACAAATTTTGTTATTTTACGGGACTCCGATGTTAAAAATGTTTTTTGATTATTTTTCGAAACCATGAGTATAATTTAGATATAAAATACTTGGTGTCTTAGTGGCTTTGTTTTTAACAGTTGACCTCACACAGTGTGTTTTCCTCAACTATTGGACTAAACTTTTTTTTTTGTTATTGCCGTTTGCTAACCAACCCTAAAATTAATTAAGCTTGCTCTTTCTTTTTTACAGATTGTTTTTTGCTTGTTCCCTTTTAAATATTAAATTTGGTTTAAAAAAATAATTATTTTTTATTGAAAGAAAATAAATATGTGACCGCGCCTGAGTTATGAAAAAAAAAAAGTTCTGGCGTTTGGAAGGTATTCATGCCAAAAACATAAACACACTGAACGAAACAGAATGAACCAATAAGTACTCAAGTTGAGGAGGTGCTGTGCGCACGACTAGTATTGCCGTCAAAGATACGGTAACAGCAATAAGTACCGAGAAAAAAAAAAAAAAAAAAAAGAGAGAGAGAGAGGTAGAAAAGAAGTATACAGTGCCCACTTTTTTTTCAGTCATTATTGAAAGCAAAAGAAAAAAAAAAGAAAAAAAAAATTAATTTTTCACTGAGCTGATAAATGAAAACCATTGCATTTTCTCATTCTCATCACCAACCCTCATACGTAACCCTTTTTAATTTTATTTTTATTTTTTTTACCGTCATTTTTCATGTAATTCGGCTATTGTAAGGTTTCTGCCAGGTACCTTTATTAAGGTGAGACATGCGTCCGCAAGACTTAAGACCCTGATTAATTCTTATCTATGCTTGGTATTTTTTTTATTTAAATCAATGCGTAAAGTCCACCAACACACACTCTTAGAAATCAGCTGTGTATGAGAGTTCTTTTATGAAAAGAATCCTCTTTCCCTTTTCACTTTATAGCTTTTTTATTACACGGTACATTTATTTAGTTTTATTTAAGTCTATTTTATTATTTTTTCTTTGCGATCGATAATTTAAGAATGACTGCATAAATAAGGAGAAAGAATAGAGAGTGGAGAGAGTTTGTAAGTATTCACTTTTTTTTTAAGAAGTGCCTTTCCTTGGCCTTTCTTTACTTTAACCTAAGGCTTTTTAATTCCTTTAATAAGAATAGCTGGTCCAAATTCTTTTTATTGGAATTTAAGCAGTTTTTCTTAAAAAAGCTGGGGAATTCATGCATGATCGATGATGGGTTGAGAGTGGAGCTGATAAAGAAAAAAAAAAGGCGGAAACTAGAGTATCATTGTAAAATTAGTATGTGAGGAATTAATAAAAAGAAAAATGATAATAGTAATAAAAACAATTGGCCTTTGTTACATCAAAAAATTAAAATAAAATAAATAGAAATGAAGTGGTAGTATATAGTACTATAAATTTAATATACCGGGAGAGCCGTGGAAATTGCTTTATAACGACTTTAATCTAACTTTCAGAAATAGTCGTGTCCATTTCGGGTTAAAAATAATTACATAAAATAATAATAATGGAGCCATCAGTTTCTTGCAATTAAATCATTTTGAGGGAAGAGATTTTTTACTGTTGCGCACAGACTTGTTTAATGAGACAAAAGAATGGTATATCAAACTTGAAGACTTCAATTTTTTTTATTAAAATGACCTTATGATAAAAAAAAAAAAAAAAAAAAAAAACAGAACAAAACAAAACAAAACAAAACAAAATAAAATAAAACAAAAAAATTAATAAAAAAAATTGTAAATGATTTGGCACAGTGAAAAATCAATAATTTTTTTATCTATTCAATTGCTTTATTCTTTTTGAGTTATTTCTCTATTTCCTTCTCATTTGGACTTATTTACATGGAATTAAACTTCATTCAAACATTTTCATGACTTTTTCATAAATATATTCCCCTCTTTTTCTATTTTATATTAACATACATTTATCTTATCTTTTCATTACTTCAAGTGACTGAACCTGAGAAAAAAGCGCACGCGCGTTCCCACACGAATTTTTTTTTTATTTCTTTCATACCTAAAGCCCTTTACAAAAAGGATCTCGTATTTGAAATTAAGCTATTTGAGTTTTTTGTCAAATCGTTTTTTATTGATTTTTCAAAAAAAAAAAAAAAAAGAGTTTTTAGATAATCAATTCTTTTTTTTTCTTTTGAATCGAAAAAAAAATATTAAAACAAAATAAAAAAAATACAGTTATAAGAACCCGTTCTCAGTTTTAAATTATCCCGAGTAGTATTTACTTTAATGCCTTAATTTCAGGATATATAAGAATCAAGCCTTTCCCTCCCATTTTGTTTTCGCTTTTTGTTATATTTTTTCTCTTTTTCTTTTCCTATTTTATTCCCTTTCCCATTTTCTATTAATCACCCTTATTCTTAAATTTCTACTTTCTTTGTTTATTTGTTTTTTGTTTTTTTGTTTTTTATTTTATTTTTTACACTCATTTTTTCTTTAATACACACGTTTATTCAATCATGCTGGAATCAATGATCTTCGATCCAGAAACAATTTTCAATGCACCAGGCATGGAAGCCCTGTGCAACCCTGACTCAAAATTATTTAAAGGTACGCTATATATTAATCGAACCAGGACCCTTTTTTTATTTTTTTATTTTCTTTTAAACTTGACATGAATAAAACCCCTGATTAAAAATTCCTGCTAATAAGGTCCTTTTACTTTAGAATTTGATGCCGATAATACCGACCTTTCCAGTGAAATTCTTGAGTCTTCAGCAGCACCATTAATTGATTCGTCGCAGTTTTGCGTTGCACCAAGACCCTCATCGTTTTCTTCAATGCAGCAGCCCCCATCACTACACGCATCGGGCTCCACACGACCAGTTTCCGCATCGTCGGTCGACAGCTTGGGACTCGCATATCTGGCTTCTGGGGGGAATTCCCAGGTGCACAGCCCTATTACCGGGCTGTGCAATTTTGGAAGTGGCCAAGGGCCTGGAGTTGCCAATCAAAATAGTAGTGTCAACAATACATCAAATGGCTTTTTTTCTGAGTATACAAGTAAACCAGTTTTGGATGGTGAAGAAGCGTCAGGACATAGCTTATTTATGGCGCCTCAACAAATGCTTACTACACACTTGGTGCCTTCTGCGTTTGATGACGATTTGGTCAACCGCTCACGCCAGTCATCGTCTACTTCATCATTGGCAGCGGCCGGAGCTCATGAAGCTTTTTATTGGACTTCACAGGTAACAAGTCCTGTGGTGGAAGGGTATGAAGATGCGCGAGCAGCTGCAATTCAACAGTCAAGCAATGGCACGGTGGAGGATAGCATGATGACAATGATGATGATGATGCGATGTAGGACAACAACTCGGACGGAAGAGACTCCCGCAGTGTTTGACGATTCGTTGATGGCCCACATGTCGCATTTTGGAGGGGGCACTGAAGACGATGATGCCGGGAATGGCCACACGCATACAGGGCTTACTTATTTCAATACTGGACCTGTGGGCATGACTACGCTACCATCGAATAGAGGGCCTACGGGGCAGCTGAGTGCAGGGGTTTCAGGAATTGAGGAGCCCGGGTTGATGATGAGTTATCCGAGTGAAGTCGAGCTTACATCGATGATTGGCACGTCAGCTGGGCTGCGCCCTGCGCCGCAGTTTAATTTGGATATTGCGGCGACAGCTGGGCCCAGAAGTGTTGGAACAAATGGCATGATTGTGGCTGGGCCTGCGACAACACAATTAGATTTTGCGGTGCCTGCCGGGACTTGGGTTGTGGCCGAAGAGTGCACAGGACCAATGGGTGTGCCAGTTTTGGGAGCAGCGGGTGTGCCAGCAACTGCACTGGTGACGCCAACGAATGGGAGGAGCCTTCCACGGGTTGGACGTATGGATGGAGCAGTAGCCGGAGCCGGAGCCGGAGTTGGAGTTGGAGCAGCCGCACCTACGGGCATAAGCCGTGCGGCCCCGAGTGCAACAGCATCATCAACAACACGCATGCGGCGTGCCAATACTAGTGCAACAAGCTCATCTCATCATAATCGTCAAGTCTGTGGAGCGTCGCCGATTGCATTGTCACAGACTAGCACGAGCAGTGCGGGGAAGCGCGGAAACAATTTGAGCACGAACTATGATGATGACGACGACGCGTTGCTGGAACTTGCGCAGGAATCAATGGTACCTGGTGAAATGATTGTGCGGCTGGACTATACGGAAGGTTCGGGGTACTACCGCGGCGGTGCACATAATCGGCGGTCGGGGGCTGTTGAGTCAAATGTTGGTGCAACTACATCTGTTTTTGCTACTGCTGCTGCTGCGGCGGCGGCGGCGGCGGCAGCAGCAGCTGCTGCTGCTCGTGAAGGAGGTGCCAGCGGATCTGGTGGAGATGACGAGCCATTGGATAAGCCTGGGGCGCATAACAAGGGCGAATTGGTGAAGCTGCGGTGTCCAGATTTTGCTCGATCGGCCAAGGGTGGGGAAGGAGGAGCGATTTGGGGGTTTTTAAATTTACGGCCACGGCGTGCTTGGAAGCGGTCTCGTCGGTACGATAATGGGTCCAAGAATGAAAATAAAGGGAGTCCGACATCGACGACAACGACGACAACGACTACGGCTACGTCTACGGCAACGACCACGGCAGCAGTAGCAGTTGTTGAAGCAGGGCCAAGCTCGAGTAGGCGGCGCAGTGGAAATGGGACGGAGGGGACGAGCGATGGAGAAGCTGGATCCACGAGCAAGGTGGAAAAGCGGCGATCGATGGGCAGCAGTGCTGCAAATCGACGTAAATCGGCAGCGATGGCAGCAGCAGCAGCAGTGAGTGCCGACGGGACTAGTGTTTCTAGGACACGGTCTCGGCGGGCGCCCGAGTAATAAAAAAAAAGAGTATAAGATAGACAAGAATGTATATTAAAAAACGAAAGAACAAACTAAAAGAAAAGATAAAGTTGAGGGTTTCTTTTTTTTTAAACTTTATAAAAAAAAAAAAAAAAAAAAGAAAACCCTCAAGTATACGGCAGTATAAAAAATGCAAAAAAAAAAAAAAAAAAATTTAAAAAGAGTTTTTAAAAAAAAATCAACGCGGATGACGCTTGAGAGATGCAAGGTTTTCGCGGTCTGCTAGAGTAAGCTTGTTGAGAACAACATCGATATCATCATCGTCAAATGAACTGTTTTCAAACTCTTTGCGCTTAGGAGGAAGGTCTTGGGCCGATTGAGGGTTAGATGATTTACGGCCGGTACTGGCACTAGTGGTATTAGCAGCAGAATTAGTAACTGCAGAGCGAGCACCAGAGTCAGCTTGAGTGGCATTATCATCATCGTCATCATCATCGTCATCATCATCGTCATCATCATCATCATCATCATCGTTATCATTATCTTCATCCTCGTCATCATCCTCTGGGTATCCTCCTAGTTTAAGAACAATACGGTTTACAATTTCGTTCCAGTCCATCATGCCACCCATGCCAATATCGCCATATGACCCGACAACTTTTTCCACTGGTTTTAGGACCTCGATCCAGGGCATTTCATCTTTAATGACCTGGAGGTGACGCTTAGTAGCCGGGTTGTTGTAGGCGTAGGGGACCATTGCAGGAGCAATAAGGATTGGGTACTGAGTATTCCAAGCACGAACCACGTTTGTGAGCAAGTTGTCGCAGAGACCAAGAGCGATTTTGCCGAGGGTGTTTGCACTGAGGGGGGCAATGACAAGGATATCAGCCCAGCGGCGCAATTCAATGTGAACGACAGGGTCAGAGCGGGTAGTCCAAGTAGCCCATTCGTCTTGGTCGCGCCAGATGCGGACAAATGATGGGATTTCACCTCGGGACACAAAGTTTTCGGCAGCCTTTGTGAGGATGATTTGGACAGATGCTCTGGTAGGTCCGTAGATATCATTAAGTTTACTAATGATGAGGCGTAGTTTGCCAGTTGAGATGGATCCTGTTGCAGCAAGAAGAATGTGAAGTTTTCCGTCATCCTGGGGGAGTCGTGGGTCGGTTGGTAGATCTGTAGTACCTGCAGGTACTGTTTGTTTTGAAGTGGTTGAGCCTGAGGATCCAGAGATATCTGTTGTTGTTGTTGTTGTTGTTGTTGTTGTTGTTGTTGTTGTTGAAGCGGTCGGAGCAGTAGTAGCAGCAGCATTCAAATGAGGTTCAGGAGACGCAGGAATGGGTGGAGAAGAAGTAATTGGGTGGGCATCCGAGCGTGGAGAGATTGGTTCCAAAAAAAGTACAGGGTTGTGAGGGGAAGGCGGCACAGTAGAAGCAGCAAGAGCAGTGGTGGTGGTGGTGGTGGTGGTGTTGTTGTTGTTAGTTTTGGTGTTTGTGTTTGTGTTGGTAGTAGTAGAAGTGGTATTAACAACAGGTGGAGTAATTGGGAGATCTGGAGATTTTGGTTGGTCAACTTGAAGTGGTTGTTGTATTGATGGAGAAGAGGGTTGGTTCGGTTGGAGAATTCCGCCTGCGACGGAGGAGACAGAGCCGGATCCGGAGCCACTTCTACTGCGAGGAGTATGGCCCATGACTTCTTCGAGGAGAAAGTGGGCATGAATGGAAGGTTGTTTGAGATGCAGGGTGGATGGGCTGACGGCCGGCGAAAGCTCATTATCAGAATTGATGATTTGAGGTGGGGTAGTGATTGCAGAGGTATTATTATTAGTATTATTATTATTATTATTATTATTGTTGATGTTGTTGTTAGAAAAAGAAGCAGAAGCAGAAGCAGAAGAGGAAGAAGAAGAAGAAGAAAAAGTGTTGGGGGCTGTTAAAGCAGCTGAGGAAGGGGTCATGGATTGTACAGCTTCAGCTAGAGCAGAAGTAGGGATAGCGGGTATTGCTGATGTTGTGTTTAAATTTTTTGGAACATTAAGCACAACGGGTCTTGTTTCGACTGGTTCAGGGGTGGGCAAAGTAGAAAGGGAGGGATTGAAGGGGATAATTGGGGGGCTTTTGGCCAGTAAGGAGGGGGATGGTTTAACAGCTGGGATTGTAGTTGGAGGAACTAAGACTTTCCCCTTTACTTTAGAGATTTTCTCAGTTAGTTTAGAGGCTTCCTTTTGAGCTTCTTCTTCTGAGACTGGGGTTGGAGCAGGAGCGGGTTGGGCAGGGAATGGAGGATGGTTTGACACGTGCGTGGAGCTGTGTCTGTTGAGAGTAGTAGTAGTAGTAGTAGTAGTAGTAGTAGTAGCAGTAGCAGTAGTAGGAGGTGGAGAAGGAGCTGTAAGAGTGGTAGTTACTGTAGGTATTTGGATAGGTGTAGGGCTAGCCAATGGTCCTGGAGAAGATGACGATATAGCAGGGGTAGTCAAGTCATGTTCTCTATTTTCTTTAGTTTCTTCATCTTTATCTTTATCTTCATCTTCACTATTTTTCTTTTCAGAAAAGGAAAGAATTGAAGGAGGAGGTAATGGAAGATGACTGATTAATGAAGGTGTTGGAGAAGATGAAGAAGGTTGTTGTTGTTGTTGTTGTGGTGGTGGTGAAGAGGATGTTGTATTTGAATTTGTACTTATATTAGTTGTTGTATTAGTTGTTGAAGATATTTGAGGAACAGACGTGTGATGACCTGATGAAAGAATTGATGCTGGAACAGGCCCAGAGACTGGAGATTCAGGCATTCTTTTGTATATAGTTTATATATATATATATATATATATATATAAAAAAAAAAAAAAAAAAAAAAAAAAAAAAGTATTAACGATTATAAAAATAAAATTATTAAAAATTTGATGATTATATATGATGAATTGATGGTGGTGGTGGTAGTGGTGATGGTGGTGATGGTGGTGATGGTGGTGGTGGTGTTTTTTTTTTTTTTTAAAGGCGGACAGACAAAGCAGACAGCCAGGCAGCCTTCAAAAAAATAAAATAAAAAAAAATAAAATAAAATAAAATATTTTTTTTTATTTATATTATTATATGCAACCAATATTAGTCATCATTAGTTATTGTTTACATACAAAATTTAAATTTAAAGGTTTTTTTTTATTTTTTATTTTTTAAGTTTTATGTTTTATATTTTATGTTTTATGTTTTATGTTTTATGTTTTATGTTTTAAATATTATGTTATAGGTTATAAGTTTCATGTTTTACGGTGATCGGCCAATGACTGGCCAACAAATCTTTCACGCCCCCTTTTTTTTTTTTTTTTTTTTTTTTTGGGGGTCCTCCGGTCTTTAATTTGAAAAAAAAAAAAAAAAAAAAAGCCCTCTCTTTCTCTCTTTCTTTTCAATCTTCAATTCTCAATTCCATATAGAAAAATTAAAAATATCTTTTCACCCTCTTCTTTTTTTTTTTTTTTCTTAAAAAAAGATGCTCGGCCGCTCGTCGAAATCTCTCACTCGAGCTGCCGTTCCATGGCTTAGGTCTCGCGCACATCCAAGTTACAATAGTCCTTCTTCTTCCCCACCTCTCCTACATTTTGCCCGGCTTCTTTCTCAATTCCATCCAAGTGTCCAGTCCACACTTTCCCAACTCAATGCATTCCAACTTCCTCGGTTCGGGCTCCCAGAAAACTCGATAGATGTTATGACTGCACCTAGTGAATTCTATGATTGTCTTAAATCTAAAATTAAAACAGCTAAAACCCGCATTTTCTTGGCCTCTTTGTATATCGGCAAAAATGAAAAAGACCTTGTTCAATGCTTGGAACAAGCATTGTTCCAAAACCCTGACCTTAAAGTCTATATTCTTGTAGATGCTCTTAGAGGAACTCGAGAAGCTCCCGAAGGTCCCTGTGCTGCATCACTTTTGGCCCCGCTCGTCAAGACTTTTGGCGTGCGTAGAGTCACTGTTTCCATGTACCATACCCCGGAACTCCATGGACTAGCTAAGCTAGTAGTACCCAAGAGATTTAATGAAGGTTGGGGGTTGCAACATATGAAACTATATGGATTTGATGACGAAATCATCTTGTCAGGAGCAAATTTGTCGCATGATTACTTTACTGATCGCCAGGATAGATATATGTTGTTTCGTTCAAAAGAATTGACGGATTACTATTTTAAACTTCACCAAGCCGTCTCTTCAATTTCTTACAAGGTTATTCCATATGTCAAACCCAAACAGATTTTTAATGAAAAGCCTCCATTTTGGCAAAAGTACCTGCCGGATCGCCCAGACCCTACGTTTAAGCTTATTTGGGACCCGAGCTTTTTGATTCCAGAACCAACAAGAGATCCTAGAGGATTCATTTCAGTTGCTTCAGAAATCTTACGGCCTCTTCTTAAATCCCAAACCCCACTGGACCCCTCTATTTCAGATGAAATTATGACTTATGTTTATCCTGTATCTCAATTGTCCCCATTATTCCCCGAGGGTGAAGATGCATCGACTGAGTTCCCAGTGATTGACCGATTGCTTTCCATGTTAACATTGAATCACTTTAATTGGGTTTTTACTGCTGGGTACTTTAACATGCACCCACATTTCCGTACAAAGTTATTAGAATCATCTCCACCAGGAGCTGTGGTTGTGGCAGCAGCACCAGAAGCTAATGGGTTTTACAAGTCAAAGGGGATTTCAGGGCTTCTTCCTGGAGCTTATTCATTGTTAGCATCAAAGTTTTTGCAACAAGTTAAGGCAACATCTGATGCAAGAACACGCAATTCGCACATTGAGTTAGTGGAATGGCGCAGGGGGACAGTTAATACACCTGGTGGATGGTCATACCATGCCAAGGGGTTATGGATCTTTGAGCCTAGTCGGTTTGTTCGGGAATACAAGTATACCCCAGCCGAGAAGCCAATTTCAGCTGTGGAGCAAGTTTCTGAACAAGTGACGAAGCAAGTAGCCAAGCTTTCACAGAAACTTAAGGGAGAGAAAGAAGAAGAAGAAAAAGAAGGATCTGAAAAAAATGAAGTTACTAGTGTGCCGAAATTTATTCCAGGAGAACCACGAAGTATGTTTCAATTGGAAACTGATGAGACTCTACGCTCGCCTGTTGTTACAGTAATTGGGTCTTCTAATTATACTCGTAGAGCATATGCACATGATTTGGAAGCTAATGCCATTGTTGTAACACGGGACCGTGGACTTCAGGCACAGCTTCGGACCGAGGTTGTACAAATTCTTTCTCATGCACGGGAGGTTAGTATTGCTGAGTACGAGTCCCGGGAGCCGACTTTGGTGCTCCGAACGTTGACATGGTTTTTGGGTGGTAAGCTTTAATTATTAATGTATATAAAGTGTAACTGTAATATATTATTTTTTGTATGTAATTATTTAAATGTGTAAATCTCTAGATATATCTACATATATATATCTAAATATGTATGTAACAAAAAAAAAAATAAATAAATAAATAAAAAAAAAAAAAAAAAGCGCAGATGTTTTTGTGAGTGAGTGAGTGAGTGGGGAAAAAAATTGAATAAAAAAATGGCCGCCTTTTTTTTTTTTTTTTTTTTTTTTTGTGCTGCTCACCTGTTTTTTTTTTTTTATATATATTACACATAATAATAATATTAATAATAAATACAAACCCCATATTTTCAATTAATTTAACCTTTACACTAACTAAATTCTTTATTCCTCCACTCATTTAACCCCATCTTTTTTTTTTTTTATTTATATATATACTATAGATATATATATATATACATATGTATATATATTCTTCAAAATGAGTGGCTGGAAATTAACTAAATCTCTCACAAACAAAATCTATCATTATGCCCGGTTCCCCGCTACTGGCGTGAGTCTCCGGCAAATGGTACAGTTTGGCGGGCGCCCGTCTCAGGGGACCCTATTTAGAGCATCTCAGTTTGTGGCCGAGGAACTACCCATCAGATTAGCACATCGTGTTAAAGACCTTGAAAGTTTACCACATGGACTTTCTAATATGCCATCAATTCAACGTGTCCGTGATTGGTACGCTCAATCATTTCAAGAACTTACGGAATTACCTGCTCCTAAACTAGACGCAGACCTCAAACAGAAACTGTTCCGGCCTCACGTGCTACATGCCGCGGCTCCATCACCACCATCGGAAGAGATTGATAATCATCTTGATCATAATCATCATCATCATCATCCACATGCACGCGATGTGGCCATCAAACCAGAAGGCCCACATGATGCTAAAAGAGCCATCTCTAACCGTAGGTACTTTGCCAACGTTGAACCAGACACATTATGGCCACCAGAGATTTATGCATATAATCAAGACCTAACCACGGCTCTTAAGAAAATCAAGCGGCGGCATGACCCTGTGGTTACAACAGTGGCCCAGGGTGTACAAGAATGGAAAGATACTGTGGCTGCAAGTTCACGGTTGGACGCACATTTGGCCGAAAGTTTGGTTTCTGCAGCAGGTGAGTATCGTGCTACTCCATATGGAGATGCACTTCACCATCATACACTTTCATCTCCTGTAATGGACCAATCTGTACAGGCATTTTTGGACCGGTTTTACATGTCGCGCATTGGGATCCGAATGCTTATTGGGCAACATATTGCATTAAATGAGGAACCTGTACGGGACGATTATGTGGGCATCATTGGAACGGCAGTGCATGTACGTGATATGGCCCAGGCAGCTGCTGATAATGCTCGGTTTATTTGTGAAGAATGGTATGGGTTATATGAAGCACCTCCAGTCGAAATTGTGTGTCGGCCAGAACTTCGATTCATGTATGTACCTGGTCATTTAAACCATATGTTATTTGAAACCATCAAGAATAGTTTACGTGCTGTGGTCGAGAAACATGGTATTGATGCAGATTTCCCAGCTGTTAAGATTATTGTTGCAGAGGGTAATGAAGATATTACAATCAAAATTTCTGATGAAGGTGGAGGTATTCCACGATCAGAGGTTCCTTATGTGTGGACTTATATGTATACAACAGTTGAAGAGACACCATCGTTGGAACCAGATTTTAATAAAAGTGACTTTAAAGCACCAATGGCAGGGTTTGGCTATGGGCTACCCATTTCACGATTATATGCTCGGTACTTTGGAGGGGACCTAAAGTTAATTTCTATGGAAGGATATGGCACAGATGTATACCTTCATTTGAACCGTCTGTCAAGTTCAAGTGAGCCTTTGGGGTGATTTTAATTAATTAATTAATTAATTAATTAAATAAATTTACATTTTTATTTTTCATTATTTTTATTTTTTTTTTTTTCATTTTTTTTTTTTTGACATTAATAATTAAATATTTATATATATAGATATATATATATATATATATATATATATATTTATTTTTATTATTATTATTATTATCATCATCAACTATTTTTTTAAAGGAACCTGTATTTTGTACTCCTTTTTCGTAACAAAAACTCCACTAAGAGCTTCATCATCTACAAACCAAGAGACTTTACCTGCGGCTGCTTCATTGACAAGAGATGAGGGGAGACCCTTTTCTGGGCGTTCCATAATGGTTTTCAGAACTGGAGCCTTTGTGGAACCCTCAACAACAAAAGTAACACGATGAGCATGGTAAATGACAGGCAGAGTAAGAGTGATTCTGCGCGGTGGTGGTTTAGGAGCATCTTCAATGGGAGCAACCCAAGCATATTCTTCACGCAGAAGAGGATGGCCTGGGAAAAGACTACAAATGTGACCATCGGGTGCACATCCGAGAAGTAGAAGATCAAACATGGGGAGTTTGACCGAGTCTTTATTAGCAAAGCCCCTAATGAGGACCTTTTCGTAAGCATCTGCGGCTTCCTGGGCATCGTCTAGGAGAGATTCATCAACATGGAAGATATTTGGTGGTGTAGTTCCCTGTGGAAGGGCATCGAGAAGTTTACGCTTAACAAGGCCATAATTAGATTCGGGGGAGTCAAAGGGGACGAGTCTTTCGTCTGCAAAGTAAATGTCCCTGTTGGTGAAGATAAAGAGGGGGGGTAGAGAGAGGGGTGGAGAGGGTATTTGTTAGTAAAGTTATCTTGAGATAATTGGAGAGAGGAGTAGGGAGATATGGTATGACATAAATAGGATAGAATAGATAGGATAGATAGAATAAATAGATAGGTAGAGATAGGTAGATAAGTCCATGGTGGGGGTCACAATTAGTTTAGTGATAAACTTACCATCTGTCCCAGATAACGTCTGGTCGTGCGAGAAGGCCTTCTTCTAAGACTGATATGAGAGATCCACCAGAGAGGCCGATTTTGAAGCGACGTTGTGATGGTGCATTGACTGGATGTGGTTGTGGTTGTTGTTGTTGCTGTTGTTGTGGTTGTTGTGGTTGTTGTTGTTGCTGCTGTTCCTGTTGTTGTTGTTGTTGTCCTATTATATTTGTAGATCCTGTTATTGTATTTGAAGTAGATGGAACCAATGGAGAAGATTGGAAAGATGCCAGACTTGTATTTGTTGCACTATTACTATTTGAAGCTATGGGAGTGGATGATGTAGAAGTTGGTATGGAACTTGCTGAGTTTGATGTGATTTTCTTTGGAGGAGCCAAGGCAGCATTTTGGGCAGCCACAACATGGTCTGCAACTGCAGCAGCAACTCCAGAGAATTCAGGGAACGCGTAGACGGCAGGCACAGTACTTGTCATTTTGAAAAGATGGGTTTTATTTTTATTTTTTTTTATTTGACAAATTCTGATTTTTGATATATAAATATATTAAAAAAAAAACAAAAAAAAAAAAACAAAAAGAAGAATATGTTGTGATGATTTCAAAAGAAATCCGTTGAGGTGGCGGTTTTTTTTTTTTTTTTTTTTTGTTGGTATTGATGTTGTTTAAGGGGCAGCAGTTAAAGGGAAAGGGAAAAAAAAAAAAAAAAAAAAAAAAAGAGAAATAAGAAATTTTTTTTTTTTTTAAGACAGGGGCTTGTGTAAATAATAGACTGGATACGTATAACTGAGTCTGTTTACAAAGATAAGATATATATATATATATATATTTTTTTTTTCTTTTGTGTGTTGTGTCAAATAATAATAAATACTAACATAAGTGTCGCTTAAAAGTATTTTAAAAGACGTGTTTGATTGATTGATTGATTGATTGATTGATTGATTGATTAATTAATTAATTGGTTTGATTAATTTTTTGATTTGATTGATTAATTAATTAATTGGTTTGATTAAATATTTGACAATGAAGATTACTACAACAGCTTTTACAACCCTAGGGATGTTCATCATTGATGAGATCCACTACGAAAAAAGTTTAGAAAAACCGCCAGTTTATGACATTATGGGTGGTGCAGGGACTTATGCAGTTCTAGGATGCAGGTTGTTTGCCGGTCTCAAAAGAAATAATAATAATAATAAAAAGAAGAAGAAGAAGAAGGCCCATAGTTACTCTTCACATGACATTGGATGGATTGTTGATGCTGGTAGAGACTTCCCTGAGTCATTGGAAAAGGAAATTGCCAGTTGGGGAACAAATGCAGTGTTTAGATATGACAATAGTAGATTAACGACTCGTGGATGGAATGGGTATGGAGCTCATGAAGCAAGAGATTTTAAATACATGAGTGAAAAAAAACGGTTAACAGTTGAGGATCTTGTTGAGCAAAAGTTAGAAGATGCAAAGGCCATTCATTTAGTATGTTCTCCAGAACGGTTAATAACGGAGTGTAAGAAATTTGAACAGACGGATATTAATATTAAAAGAAACCGTCGGATAGTAATATGGGAGCCAGTACCTGGGTTAACAACTAAAGAGCATTTTAATGAGTGCATTAAAGCACTCCAATGGACAAGAGTTTTTTCTCCTAATGTTTTAGAAGCAGCCCAGTTTTTAGGAGAGACTGAAGAGCCTATATCTAAAGAGGAAGTTACTCGCGTGGCATTGAAGTTTCTACAGTATATGCCATTGGATGGTGCTGTTATATTAAGACGGGGGGCTCTTGGGTGTGCAGTATTTACCAGAATGCCATTTGCCGGTGGAGAGATTCAAGAAGATTGGCCTAAGAGTGAGAGTGAAATACAAGATATACCTAGTATACCAAGTATACCAAGTTATTATTATTCTGCATGGCTACCTGCATACCATGTCAAAGGTAGGGAAGATTATTGTGTGGAGGATCCTACGGGTGCTGGTAATGCATTTCTTGGAGGAGTTGCAGCTGGGTTATTATTGGCAGCTGATAATGATGATAATGATAGTGATAATGACTATGATGATGATGATGATGACCTGACAGATATAAAAAGCCCAACAGCTGGGTTTTATGATGCTGCTGTTTATGGGACAATTGCTGCAGGTACAGTTGTTGAGCAAGTTGGAGTGCCTAAAGTTGTTGTTGTTGATGATGATGATGAAGGTGAAGGTGAAGGTGATGGTGAAGAACTTTGGAATGGTGTTTCTGTGAAGGCCCGGTTATGTCGGTATACCCGGTATGTCCAATAATGCCTTGGTATGTCCGGTACGTCCGGCAAAGCAATTTTTTTGTTATAAAACAATTTTTTTTAATTTTAATTAATTATATGCTTAGCTAAGTTAATCTAATAAGCTTATATAAGTTATTTTTATTTTATTTTAAATAGTTCGGAAAAACTTCTTCCTCCCTTTTTTTTAGTGAGTATTTCGGAAAAACCTTTAAATACAACAAAAACATAATAAGGAACTTACAACTTACAACTTACATTTAATTTCATTTTTTTATTTTCATATTAATTTCATTTCATTTCATTTCATTTCATTCCATAATACTTTTAATACTTTTAATACTTTTAATACTTTTAATACTTTTAATACTTTTATTAATACCCCTCCTCTACTCAATTTTTTTTTTTGTTTCTACATTCCAATACAGGAAGTTTCCCCGCTGTTCAAGTCTTTTTGTGCTTGAAAAAAAAAAAATTTTTTTTTTCCGTCTGACCGGGCGGCGCCGGCCGTTTGTGTTCATTTTTATATTTGATTATTATAATTGTTGTTACAACAGAATTTATTTTTAATAATAATAATAATAATAATAATAATAATAATAATAATAATAATAATAATAAAATAAATAAATAATCCGGGCCTTCCATTCGTCTATTTAAAGTTCCTCTCATCTCACTCTGAATTCGAACTGAACTGAGCCGAACCACGGCGGGACTTTTCTTCTTTTGATTCTTTTTGATTCTTCTTTTTTTTTAAAGGCCCTCCCCTTCAATTTCGTTTTTTTTTTTTTCTTCTTCTCCACATGAAAATCCGTCTATGTAACCCGTTTGTTTTAGTCGTTTTGCTACGTAGTTGTTGTTGTTGTTGTGTCCTTTTATATATAAACAAACAAACAAATAAACAAATTCGCCGTCACCGCCCGATCAATTCTTGGCTGGATCTTTTCGGGACTTTTTTTCTTTAAGATTATTATTATTATAATCATCATCTTAAAGACTTTTTTTTTATATATAATTAAATGATCCGTTTCTCCATAAACCTTTGTATTAAATACAATCGACCCCTCATCTAATGTTTTTTTTTTTTTTTTTTTCAAAATAATAGATTCTCCGGCAGTTCCGAACTCTCTTTTTTTTTTTTTTGAGGTTTCGTTTACAATCTTTTCAAAGTCCTTTTTCATTTAAAAAAAATAAATAAAAAATAAATAAATAAAATTTCAAAATTTAATTCCTCCATCCCGTGGCTTTTCATTTCATTTTTATTTTTTTATTATTTTTTTATTTGTGTCCGGTGTCCCAACATACACACATAATATATACATATATACACATATACCCACCCCGCACTTTCTTCTCATTGGCCCATTTTTTACATTTATTTATGTCTGTCTGTCTGTCTCCTCCCCTCCCTACCTTCAAACCCGACTGGCCTATCACCGACCTTTTAAAAGCCCTCAACTTGTTGCTTTTGCCCGTCTGATTTGCTCCGTCTGATTTGCCCGTTTGTTTGTTTGTTTGTATGTTTTTTCCTGTTTATATATTTGTTTGTTTTTCTACCTACCTGCCTACCTGCCTACCTGCTTACCTGCCTACCTGCCTACCTGTCTACCTACCTACCTGCCTTTCTGTCTGTCTGTCTGGCCCTCTCTGCCCCGCGCATTTTCTCAATCTGCGGCGGCAACCCCCTCCTTCCTTCTCTCACCCCTCCCTCCTTAAATCATCGTTCTCTTAGTCTAAAATTTAAGTCCCGGGGGGTTTGAGAGGGCTTGTAGTTGTATTTTTGTATAGTTGTAATAAAAAAAAAAGCCCAGCTTTATATCATTACAAATTTTAAAAAAATCCTTCTTTTACACCCGCCACTATAAACCTCTCGCCGGCTCGCTGCTCCCGGGCCATATAAATACCTGCTCTTTCCCACCGGTCTCTTCTAAATCTTCTTCTTTTTTTCTTCTTCTTCTTCTTCTTTTTTTTTTAAAAAATTTTTATTTTTTTTTTTAGGTTTTAATATTTCTTATTATTATTTTTTTTATATTAATCCCTCCATTTCTACCTATTCTAAATCCCTCAATAGAAAAAATAAAATAAAATAAAATAAAAAATGTCCGCAATTCTTAAACAACGCGTCCAGTATAAACCACTCCTCGATAAGCTCCGTACCCCCCAGGAGCTTGTCCCCCTCTTCAAGGACAACATGTACATTGGCTGGTCTGGTTTCACCGGTGTTGGTGGCCCTAAGGCTGTCCCTACTGCTCTCGCCGACCATGTTGAGCAAAATAACCTCAAGGGTAAACTCGGATTTAACCTCTTTGTCGGTGCTTCCGCTGATGTCGACATTGAGTCCCGCTGGGCTGATCTCAATATGCTCCGTCGTAGAGCTCCTCACCAAGTCGGTAAACCCATTGCTAACGCTATCAATGATGGCCGCACCCTCTTCTTTGACAAGCATCTCTCAATGTTCCCCCAAGACTTGACTTATGGCTTCTACACCCGTCACAAACAAGATAACCCATACCTCGATATCTCCATCATTGAGGCTACCGGTATCGCCCCAGATGGTTCTCTCATCCTCGGTCCCTCAGTCGGTGCCTCCCCAGAACTCATCTCCTACTCAAACAAGGTCATTATCGAAATCAATACAAAACTCCCTTCCTTTGAGGGTCTCCATGACATCACCCCAGTCATCAACCCTCCCTTCCGTACCCCCTACCCCATTGTCAAGGCCACTGACAGATTTGGCTCCCCAACCCTTAAAATTAACCCAGACCAAATCGTCGCCATTGTCGAGTCTACCACCCTCGACAAGGTCCCTGAAAATACCCCCTCAGACGCAATGTCCCAGGCAATTGCCCACCACATTGTCGAGTTCCTTGAGCAGGAAGTCAAGGCCGGCCGTCTCCCTGATAACCTTCACCCTCTCCAATCCGGTATCGGTAACATTGGCAATGCTGTTGTCGAAGGCCTCGCTACCTCAAACTTCAAGGACCTTGATGTCTGGACTGAAGTTCTTCAAGATGGTTTCCTTGACTTCCTCGAGTCTGGCAAGATTCTCTCTGCCACAGCTACTTCCATCCGTCTGACCCCAGCTGGTTTCGACCGTTTCTTTAAGAACTGGGATGACTTCTCCAGCCGCCTCATTCTCCGTAACCAAACCATTTCAAACCACCCTGAAGTCATTCGCCGTCTCGGTGTCATTGCCCTCAACACTCCTGTCGAGGTCGACATTTACGGCCACGCAAACTCTACCAACGTCAATGGTTCCCGTATGCTCCACGGTCTCGGTGGCTCCGCTGACTTTTTGCGTAACGCCAAGCTCTCCATCATGCACACCCCCTCCGTCCGCAAAACAAAGGTCGACAAGTTTGGTCTTTCCACCATTGTCCCCATGGCTACCCACGTCGACCAGACCGAACACGATCTCGACATCATTGTCACCGAACAAGGTCTCGCCGATCTCCGTGGTCTCGCCCCCAAGGAGCGCTCCCGTGAAATTATCAAAAAGTGCGCCCACCCTGCCTACAAGGATCTCCTCCTCGACTATGTCACCCGTGCTGAGTCCTACACTGCTAAGCACAAGTCTCTCCACGAGCCTCACATTCTGCGCGATGCCTTTAAGTTCCACACAAACCTTGAGGACAAGGGCACCATGAGACTTGAATCTTGGGATTAAAAAAAATGTAGTATTAGTTTAAATTAATGTGTTGATGATTGATATAAAAAAATATAATAATAATAATGATAATAATAATAATAATAATAATAATAATAATAATAATAATAATAATAATAATAATAATAATAATAATAAATAAATATATTATATATTTTAGCACCGACCAAGCATAACACTAATGGCAGCTTGAGCATCTCCGCCACTGCATGCTGTATTGACGCAATTGATAGAGTTTCCAAAATTGTTGCGATGAGCACAAAAACACGGGTAATTGGCTGCAACATAAGCCCCGCATCCGGTCGAGGCCGCGTCTTGTTGGAATTGTCCGAGACAGGAATATGCACACGAGGGAATTTGTGCAGCCACAAAGGAGAATGAGGAAAGTGCAGTGAGAGAGACAAGAGAAACGAACTTCATTTTTTTTTTTTTGGGAGGGGAACAGTGGAATAGAAAAAGGATAAATTTGGTAATATAAAATTTGTGTGAGTTAAATTGTAGATTATTGTTATGAAAGGTGTGTAAAAAAAAAGTTGAATAGAGATTACAATTGATGAAAGAAAATAGAAAAAAAAAAATTAAATAAATAAAAAAAAGACATTTTAGAAAGACATTTCAATAGATTTATATACTTGTCTTTTTAACAATTCATTAATCTCATTTATCTTTAAATTGACTTTTTTTTTTAAAATTTCTGCTTTGATTTGCTTTGCTTTTTCTCCCCTCTTGTCGCTACAAGGCTAGACTGTATTCAAATGCCGATCATCTTTCAGTGAATAAACATTCATTCATTTATTCATTTATTCCCCCCCCCCGCACTAGCCACTTTTTTGAAATTAAAAAAAAATAAAAAAACTTGGCCTCATTATTTACTAAAACTAAAATCTTTATTAAACGAATTTTTTTTTCTTCTTCAATTGATATTTAAAACTATAAAATAAAATATAAACTTTTTTTTTTAAACTAAACTAATGATAATAAAGGCAAATGAATAAAGTGAAAGCAAAATCATAATCTTCATCTTATTACGTCTCCGTCGGCGTTTTAAACATTCTCCAAACACCTTCTTCATCATTTCTTCTTTTTCTACTTTCTTCTCTTTATATTTTTCTTCCAGAATTAGTTTAACACCGACCAAGCATGACACTAATGGCCTGGTTAGCTTCATTAGGAGGGCATGCACCACGAACACAATTCATAGAGTTGCCAAAGTTACCACGGTGAGCACAAAAGCAAGGATAGTTTTGCTGGGTGTAAGCACCGCAACCAGTGGATGAAGCATCTTGTTGGAACTGACCAAGACAAGAGTAGGCACAAGAGGGGATTTGTGCAGAGACAAGGGAAAAAGAAAAGGCTGCAAGAGACACAAGAGAAAGTTTCATTGTTGAGTAAGATTTTGTTTTGGGATAAAAAAAGCTGGAAAGGGAAAGTTTTTTTTGTGGGAT